CATTTATTAGTGACCAAATGGGTGGAATTATTCACTTATCTTAACATAGAAATCCATTATGTATCATATTGGAAAGTCTGCAAGTTCATTTTTCTATATTCGACTGCACATAATGACTGTGTGCAGGAGTTTTCATGATCCAATTCCTCAGCTAATGATGTGAACGGTTAAAAAGATAACTTTAGCCATTTATTTTATTAATTTCCCCTGCCAAAAGTCATACTTTGTGCGAATAAATTTTCAATTGAGAGGGAAAGACGATGGAAAATGTATCTGCGCTCTGATGCTATCGCTCCACAGCGTATTCAATCTTGTGGAGGTGTATTAAAATTTCATTAGTTTCCATGGCATGTGATTAAATCTGCACGAGATACTAATTGAATTATGCGATGCCCCGTTCTGGGATGGAGGATTTGTGGAGAGTCCAGTGCGTGATAATTTGATCCACATTTCTGATAAGACGCTGACAAATGTGACACGAGCGGCTCTTGACAAATTGCTAAATTAACCCGGGTCAAGCATGAGCACACGTCTCGCCATCGATGGAGTGCGAATGAGGAAGAGGACCGCAATGTCTCCAGGTGATAACCAGGGTGAGATATGGCTCACGAGCCGCAGAGCTGCAGATCAACACGCGCGAACAGGATTAGAAGTTCACAGGGCAGATAAAACTCCTCAAATCTGTACACCACTTCTGTCTCCTCTGTAAATTTGGAGAATTTGATTAGGAAATTCATGTTTCAAAAGCAATGGGTTCATTGATCTTCCTAATTGCAATCTAAGGAAATTCCCAGTGTCTTCTCAGAAGTACACCTCTTCTGATCACAATTCTTCCCTTGGGAAATTTTATGGGCGTCTGAATGAACAGCTTAATCAACACTCGCGACAATTTTATGTCAAATTAAACTGCACGCGTGCACCAAATGCCATTTGCACTCCACCCGCGATGCCGGCATTCATCTGTTGGCATTGTTGACGAACAGTTATAAAATAATAATATTATTTCACGCTCTGCGGCAGCGTGTCATAAAATATCCCCAGCAACACTCCCGGAGTGTAAATAAATACCAATTGATGGGACTTTTATTGTATGTGCCTTTCGATATAATTTCGCAATTTCATAGTCATCTCGACGCTGGCGAGCCACTTCACCATGATGACTCTATTCGGTGTCCAGGCGATGATCGATTGATCCCAGCATCGAGCATTCAGCGAGAGACGAGCATACTTTGCAGCATTTTGCATTCATTGTTACGCCGCGCTGAAGAAGTGACCAAACCCACTCTTGCACTTCGGCATTCCATCGCCACATGTGTTGCAAATCACTCTGCGCGTGTCAGATTTATTTGTCCGTGATTCTTTTTCTGGCGCAAAATCATATTTCGACCATCTAAGACACACATACACACCCTTTCAGAATCACAGGCGTGCGCGCATATTGATATTCATAAATATATGCGCCGGTTGTAAAATTAAGGCACTTTAGCAGACATTCATTCGCCTCATAATTCAATTTGTTTAATGGATATTCAGTTGTAAAATTTAATCCAGAGCAATAAACGAGTCTCTATAATTGTTGCTAAACACCGTGTTATTGGAGAGTTTTTTTGCAGATCATATATTTATTTATTGCCATATTTTAGTTAACATATCAATTTGCTGCCGCGACCGCACATGAAGATGTCGTTCAATGCGAAAACACTGTATTTGAGCCACAAGTTTTGATCTAGATATTTGTTTTCTTGTGAAAAGTGAGGTTTTTCTGATGAATTTACCAGCCAAATTGAATTTAATTCGACAGAGCAGAAATCACATGTCTTCAAGGAGACCTTTAAGGAGTTTTCGATGGTTGAAGTTCAGGCAGAATGCGGAATCCGCGATCTCCTAAGCACAGCATCTCAATTCGCCGGTCAAGCCGATCAGTCGAAATGTCTAAATTCGACGGCTGGCAGTGCATTTTATTACAATAAATCGCGCTGGGGAGCCAAAGTTGAAAGCGTGCGCCGTGATCAAAGCGATTGGCGGGCCCGCGACCACACGCAGGTCGCTCAAGGGTCGTGCGCGCCGCGTGATTAATTGGACACTTTTCGGGGACGCGCATGAGCGCGAGATCATCCTGTGCAATTGCCATCGCACTGATTAATATTCACCTGAAGCCCAACTGCTACTTTATGGCGCTCAATGCCAACATCTCGGGCTCGTCGACAGGCCGCGAGGAAGGGAAGCGGGCGGATCGCCATCCATCACTTAATTACGCCAACAATTTTATCTCATCGGGCTCCGCAGAGTGATACGGCAGAAGACAAATCTTGTGCCCGCGAAACGTGACTCGTGATCCTCTCCTGACAAATTTCCTAATCGCCAAACATGCAGATAGATTTCCAGTCGGCTGCCGTGCTCACGAGGGGCGCCGCAGTTCGCGATCCGACGTACGAAAGTTCTGAAAAATGTAATTAGTAGAATTTCAAAAGATTTTCATTACAATAGATCTTTATAATTTTCATTTATTGATTGAAAAATACGTGCTCTTTCTCATATCACTCCGTATAAATTTTAATATGCTTTGTTCGCGTCTTGTTTTGATCATTTTATATTAATCAGCGTTAATTCGATGAAAACTCCATGAATTGAAGTATTGAGAATTTTTCACTGAAAATCTATGAAATAAATATTAGACGTTCAAAAATCTGGAGAATCTGTAAATTATTCTTATCTCTATGCCTAAGTAAACATTCTTCCTAATTGTCTGGATTAATCACACTGAATCCTTATAAATTTCACCAGTAGTAATTCCTCAAACGGCCAACAAAATGTACAAATAACCACGAAATGACGCGCCCCGCTGAGGCACTCGTCCAATTGCCGGGTCATTGAATGCTGTGGAGAAAAGAAATCCAGAAGCATTGTGATAAATCTATTTGAAACTTCCATATTTTATTTATTGGTCTCCCTTTTTTGCTCCCCATTTTCTTCTCCATCTGCCAAGAATGAAATTTTTGTACCACTCGCGATCGTTTTTCTCGTCTTCTATCATGAAACTTATCACGTTTCTTCAATATAACACAATATGTGAAAGACTATTGAGTGGCCTCTCTTTTTTCCTACCTTCTGCGCTCTGATTTATTTTCTACCATAGCGTAAATCTCGTGTTTTTTCCTCCCAGAGCAATCTCTGCGGCCCGAGATGAAATGGCCTGAGATTCCTCGCTTGACCAGAATTTCTGGCATCCGCAGATCGCGGGCTATGTCTCCCCTGGAAATGTCTTAGTTTTGTGTGTCTTGTGCCGAAAATCGTGACTTGTAGACAATATTCGAGATGATCGAATAGTTTTTACAATGAAACTGATTCAATTGTTAACGGAATTCTTTGATCAATTATATGGCGAATGCGCTCGGCAGAGAAAGAGAGCGAGCTTTTGGCATCCGTCTTCGCGTTTCCCTTTTTGACCCTTTTGCCAGTCGCTTTGCCTATTCACAGCTCTCTTCTGTGCCAATTTACTTGCAATTTCCTCAATTTGCCGTTTAGTTTCTCATCAAATATAACGTAAAACAAACAACCTAAAAATGTCATTAGGAATCGACGTGAATCCTTAAATAAAATGTGTTTCCAGTTCAGATCAGGTGAAAAGCTCGGTGGAAAGTGAGAGAGAAGCCGATGACTCCGGGCGGCCAAATGACGCGCCCCTGGCGCGAGTTCCGTGATTGCCATCGAGTGTGGTAATAATTTGCTGGCAATTTTTCCATCATAAATTTGCGCGCCATGATGACACGAATTGCGCACGCACTCACCCACTTTGGCCAGCCACCCACTCGGACACCCAGCGAGCCGCGGGACGGATTTATTGGGCATTTATCACGCGGTCGCATCGCGATGCACTCTTGAGCACCACTCCGAAAACACTCTCAATCAATTGGCCACGCAGATCGCGGAATTTCCCATATGTTTTACTCCCTGTCGAAGCTGATTTATGCGAAACACTATTAATTTATTGAACTGGTGACTCTCATCATTGATCCCCTTTGTACACAACACACCACAAATTCCACTGCGCGGCGAAGGGCTATAAAATTGCAACAACACTCGAGATGAGGAACATTTGAAATGTTGTTCATGGGTCGCATTTATGAAGGAAAAAGGGAAGAGCATGAGCATGTTAGTGAAATTTATACAACAGATGCCAAGTCACTCTGATACTCTTATTAATCTCTATTATACTTGCTATAAAATTGCCTTGCACTTCATCAACATATTAGCTTTTCGGTATAAATAATAATTCTCGTGACAATTCCACGATGAAAGCTGCAGTTCGTTATTGCTGCGCTGTCTTCATGCAGACATTGTTGCGCGCGGAAAGCAATGATCTCTAGAAGTCATTTCCATGGGGAAATCTTCATCTACTTCTCTCCTGATTCAGGACTACAAGGACTCTTCTTATGATCTTGGAATGTTATTATTAATCGACATACTAATGATCTCAACTAAAACATAAGGAAATTTAATAGAAGTACGTAAAAGTTTCTCACCAGATATTCGTTTTCCAGCGATTATTTTAATTTTCAAACTATGGACCTTATATCTAGGCCACTACTGGACCTAGGCTCTTAAGCGGGGGTTTGTTGGAAAGGCTTCTGTGCCAGGTATAACATATTAGAACATTTGGTTGATCCATGCCAAAGGAACTGAGTGAATGAGGCAAAATGAGGAAAAAGTGTTTCATTCGATTGTTAAGATGAAATGGTTTTGAAGATTACTCCTTGCTATTCTTTAATAACTGTTTGTTCTATTGAATTAATTTAACTTAATCTAACCACTGTTGTATTTTCGCCTAATTAATTGTCATTTTGTAAAGATTTCACTTTGCTTTTTGGACAAAACGGGTCAAAACTGAATCCCCGCCAAATTCTGCGCTCTTCCGCGATGGCAGCGCTCCTGCGGCAAGCACTGGCGAAGTGCGGTAAATTGATGCGTCAAAGTGACACAACTGCTCGAAATCACAACAATGTCTCCTAGTGATAGAGACTGAGAGTGTTTTCAGCTATTGTGCACTATTTGGGGCAGTCTATCCACCGAGTGAGGCTTGTGCGTGGGGCGATGGCGTCGAATTTGAAGGAGGAGAACGACAACAACCCCTGCTCGCAGGTGGAACTCAGCAAGATGCTGGCCACGACGAAGGTGAGTCGCAGGAAAGATGGTGCTTTGTGTCATCTTCTGCAACCCAAATCGATCATTTTCACCCTCTCGAGCGGCCTGCTCACTGTCTCTGCTTGTATTTCTCGTGCAGCGCAATCCCAAGATTGACTTCAACAAGTCGGACCTGCTGAAGCTGCTCAGCTACATGGAGGGCGAATTGCAGGCGCGGGACGTCGTGATTGCCGCTCTCAAGGTGAGTTGCCTGCACATCGTGCGTGAGTGGCTCTAATGCGGGGGTGTTTTTTTGTAGTCTGAGCGCGTGAAGCAGCTCATCCACATCACGCACTACAAGCCGCCGAGTCTCAACGATCCACACGCAGCGCTGTTCCGCGACAATCTCGTGTCCGCCGGCAACATCGCCAGCCGCCAGTCGTCAATTGCGGCGGCGTCGTCGGAGCAGGAGGCGCGCTCGTACCCGAGCCAGCAGCTGGAGATTTTGCAGAAGACCATCTCCGGGCAGCGGCAGACGGTGAACACGGTCACGCAGTTGCTGAAGCAGTCCAAGGAGAAGTACTGCCAGGCGCTGCACGATCTGGAGGAGGAGCGCCGGCGCAGCGCCAGCACGGACCCCGTGAGCGCCGCCGAGCGCGTGCAGCTGCGCCAGGTGGTGTTCGAGGAGCTGGAGATCGAGAAGAACACACGGCGGAAGGCCGAGGACGAGCTGAAGAAGCTTCAGAAGACGCTGGACGCGGAGCGCGCGCGACAGAAGCAAATGGTGCTGTTCCTGCTCAGCGAGCGCAAGCAGATCATCATGAAGTACAATGAGGAGCGCAAGCGCTCCGAGGATCTGGCGCAGATCTTGTCCGAGGAGAAGCAGCGTGTGGACACGATCGCCGAAGGCTTGGAGGAGGAGAGCAAGAAGTCGCTGCGCATGGAGGCGGAACTGGAGAAGCAGCTGCAGACGTTCGAGGCGGAGCGGAAGCTGCTCAAGGCGGCCAAGGAGAAGGAGGAGCGGCGCATCAAGGAGCTGGAGCACGAGATCCTGCAAATGCGTGCCGAGTGCGAGAGCACGAAGAAGAGCGCGCTGGACGACGCCAGCGGCATCAGCCCCATGATGTCCAGCGTGACGAAGGTCGTGCAGCCAACGGCCACCGTGTCCAGCGTGCCCGTGTCCGGACCGAGTGAGTACTTTGCCATCGATTGGCTCTGTAAATATCTCGCTTGAATGTCACCTTTGCCGGAGCATTTGTAATGACATTAACAAGCAGCACTGCTGACGAGAGTAGGGGAGAGTGGGGCCGCTCTGACTTGTGCAATTGCTCGTGAGTGTTGAAGGGAAAGATATAGAGGCGCCGCGCTCCTCTTGCTCTCTAAGCATCATTGATTTTTTTCATATTGTTTTTTATAACTTGCGAGCGAATTGTAGCACGAAGCGTCAATTGATATTAATCGATTTATGTGGACAATGAAGCTTCGTGGATTTGTTGGCTAAATACTTTCAATTCCATGTGCAATAATGCTGGCGATTATCAATTGCAGCGACTGGAGTGGCGCGATCCATCACATCAGGCCAAACTCTTCGGCAGACGGCGACAATGCCAGAGACTGCGAGTGGATTTGCCACGACAAAGGTCTGTTTTCCTCATGTATTTTTGGCCGTAATTTTCTTGATTGTTCTTGAGTTTTCTGGAAAGAATTCCTATCTTGAGTCAAATTTAATTTTATATTTCAATTGATAAAAAATATCTCATATCTTGTCACAATCGAGATACTTATTGAGTCTTCTGTTGTTTTGTGCTTCAGGTTGCGCCGCGGAAGATGACTAGCACGTCGGCCACCGTGGCTTCCAGCGCGCCGCAGCAGAATCTGGCGACCATCACCAAGCCGGGCGCGTCTCTACCTCAGCAGCAGTCGCTGGCGAAGAAGTCCGCGGCCATGCCGCCGCTGGGACGCGGCGTGCCGCCGCCGATTCCACCCAACAAGCCCGTGATTCCGCCAAAGAGGGACGCCTCGTCGTCGAGGATCGCGTCGGCGGCTGGGCAGCCGGCCAAGGACAAGGAGGACGGCGTCGGCGAGATCGCGGCGCCGGAGAACGACCTGCAGCAGAACTACCAGCAGATCGCGGTTGGTGGCAACAGTGGCAAGTAAGCACGCTGAGAAGCTTTTTACTGAGCGGAAATGCAGAGGGATGATTGAGCGCGGCTTCCAGAGGGGGATTCTTATTTGCCCAGAGCACACAGAAGGATGATCTCAGTGTTGATCTCAATGATTCCGCCAATAATCTCATTTCGCCCGATCACAACGACATCACGCGCGCCATCGAATGAAAGTCCGTGCAAAAGACAGCTATATTCAGTTTTCTCACTGTTTTTGTGCAATTTTTAAACAATTGACGGTCCTATTCAACTTTACGGTCATACTTTGTGATCTGTTCATGCTAGAAATTGCTCAAACATCACATTTTTGTCCAAAAATTCAACTAAAAAGGCTTATCTTATTTGACAAGACGTCAAATTTCGCGATTTCTTAGTGTTGGCTGAAGTTTCAGTTGAATTTTGACTTGTTCATTGAAGATAAAATGCAGAAATATTCAAATATTCAATTTGAAGATAAAAGGTTTTCCTACTCTTACATTTTATGAATTAATCCATTTATTTTATTTTTTACATTTTAATTTCTCACATTTTATGGATGATAAGAGGAGATGCGTAAAGTTGAATAGTGTCAATGTTTTTGTAAAGGAATCTTTCTGTGTGTTTTGGCGCTTTTCTCGAAAAAAAATATGGTTTTCCACATTTCTATTCCATTAATGGACGTTTTCCGACGATGGATGGGGAAAAACTACCGAAGAAACACCACCAATTTACCAAGTAGAAATTTCGCAATCTCCACAAAACATTCAAGTTCCGATAAGAGATAGAAAAAAAAACTCAGCCATTAGAAAGCTTTCATTTATAGGTAGTTTATACACATTGTAATTGAAGGACATGTAAGAGTTTTGACGGTGATATTTTACGAATTGATTTCTGCCATGAAAATGCAGTTTACTTAATTTTTTTTGCGTAGATTTATTTGTAGACTATTTTGTCAAGTCATAATTATAATTTTGTGTCACTTAATATTTGTATTTAATTTATATGGAAGAAGAAGAAGAAAAAAAAACATGTCACTTAAAGTAGATTTAAGTTACATTTTATGCTTAGGACTATTTTTTTTAATACTTATTAAGAAAGAAAATTCTGGCGAAATCGCGCAGCTCTTTATTTATCAAATTAGTAAACTTTATTTTGTACAAATCTCCATGAATCTTTCTGAGAATGTTCAATTGATAAGGCGAGAATGGTTGATTGTCGACCAATTTCTCACTTTTTCACCTCAAATCCAACATTATTCTCTCGTCCAGGATGCAGAAGAGGAATTTTATAAGGGTGTGTTAAATTGATATAGAGAAGAAACTGACGCAAAAAATACTGAAAACTTATTTGTAGACTTTTAGTGACAAAGAGATAGACTTTTATTGAAAGGTGAGAAGAGAAATCTATAGAAACAACTTATTATCTTAAAGAGAAAGAGAGAGAGAGAGAGAAGAGCAAAAAGTAATATTATGTAGATAAAATGATGAGAAGGGATGAGAAAGAGAGAAAAAGCTTCTTTATATTGATATTCATGCATAAACATTATAATATCGTGCTATTGAAGATGAAAATATTCAGCATACAATTCCATAAATAGCATTTAAAAGGATAACAGTGAAAACCGCATTCGGGATTTTTCACCTTGATGTGTAGTGCAAAACATATTTCAAGTCATTTGTATTCTATAAATGTGAAAAATCATAACTGAATGGTATACATTTGAAGTCATTAACGTGATGGAATATGAGCGATTATAATGTATTTTTTTCCCTCATTATTGCACTCTGAAAAAAAAAGAAGAAACAGTGAAGAATAGATGTGAAATAGATATAAAAAAAATCACATAACATTAAAGACACACGAATATATCACAGATGAAGAAAATGGTAAGTAAAAATGAAGAGAAATAATAATTGCTAAAACAGGGAAAGAACTTAAGGACATTTTTTAATGGTTATATTTACTTTTCTCCTTAAAATGCGCGAGCAAAGATGATGCGAATCGATGGAAGAGCATGAAATAATCGTTGAATGTGAAACAATACTCACTGGTAGATTTACAAGTGAAACCATTAATGTAACATATAATATATATATGGAAGACAGACAGAGAAAAAGAGAGAGAAAGAAAGAGAAATAGAGAGAGAGGAGATGAGCAAAAGTGGGAAGAATGTTGATACTTATCTATTGTTAATGTTCATGCTAAAAATTAACTGATTTAGAACACTAGACAGAATCAAAATCAATAAATTGATTTAGAACTGTACTCAAAGTCTCTTCGTCATCAGGGCAATCAAATGTCGATTATGATTTTCATCGTGCTAATTTTTGATCAGCATTTACTCCAAATGATTAGAAAATCAGAATTTTAACAATTGAACAAGAAATATGATCGAAAGTCACGCAATTTTTTAAATTTTGTGGCAATTTGCCACTGTAAATTCACTGTGAAAAATACCTTTTCGTCCCTTCGGATTGTGCAGAATTTGAAACATCGGCCGGCGCAAGAAAAGTCTCACTTTAACATTAAATAACATAATTTTTTATTATTTTCTTCACTCTCCTTTCGTTCTCGATATAATTGTTTATGAATTTATCCATATTTTCATTCTTTGAGAATTGATTTTTACTATTGCCTTCCACGTCGCGTTGAAAGACTGAAACGCAGAATCCAAGACTTTTGGTCGGGTGACCGATAAATTGATGATCTCAATGTGACCAAATAGATGAGAATTAGAACTGTCTAATCACTGTTGATCCTGTTGAAATCAACAAACAAAACAAATTTATGTGGCTCTAATTTGGAATAATTGGTCATTTGAGTTGCGACGATGACTCAATGACGCGGCGGAAAACCGCTTCTCGCCGGTTCTCGCCGCAGAATGGAAATGCCTGAAAGATGAGCAGGTCGTGCTAATTGTCCAAGAGTCCAACTCATTGATCTTAAGTCTTGCTAACTGGTGCCTCCAGATTCGCGTCACTCGCCGTCATCGCGAGATTGTCCACGCCGGCGCTCTTCACCGCAGAAACTTTCCGCGAGCAGCTCTTGCGCTCGAACAACTGCGTGATGCTCTCGAGATCGCGGCCCTTCGTCTCCGGCACGTAGGATATCACAAAGAGGACGCCCAGGAGGCACATCACGGCGTAGGCCCAGAACGTGCCGGCCGTGCTGATGGCCACCTGGAGCGGATGATACGTGAAGATCACGATGAACATGATGAGCAGGTTGAAGGAGCCCGCGAAGGAGCTCAAGATGCTGCGTTGCTTCGTGGGGAAGATCTCGCCCATGAGCAGGAAGGGAATGCAGCCGAAGCCCACGGAGAAGCCGATCATGAAGACAATCAGGCTCACCAGCGGCAGGAAGCCGTACTCATTGTTCCCATTGTCGCTGAGGTGGAAGGCGAATCCCATCGATGTCATCGAAATGGACATGAGTGCGCCGGAGACGATCAGCAGCGGTTTCCGGCCGAAGCGATCCACGACGAAGAGGGAGGCAAAGTTGCTGAGCAGCTGCACGACGCCCACAATAATCGTGGCGATGTTGCCGTTGATTGAGCTTCCGGAGGCGCGGAAGATCTCAACGGTGAAGAAGATCACGGCGTCGATTCCGCTCAATTGCTGGATCATCAGCAGCACCAGGCCAACAGCCAGTGGCAGGAGCACTGTTCTCCTGCACAGTGCGCGCAGAGAGTAGGATTTGTAGGCCTTCACGGCGCTCGCCTGGTCAGCGGCTGTGCTGAATCCGGACAGCGCCAGCCATTCCGCCGAGACGTCAGCCTCGGGGATCCTCTTCTTGCTCTTCAGCCACACCGGCGATTCCGGCAGGAAGGCGATCACGATGAACTGCAGAATGCCAACGGCGCAGGCGAACCAGGCCTGCTGGCGCCACGGCAGGAAGCTGCCGATCACGTAGGCAAACACGATGCCCAACGACATGGCGATGGCGGGAAAGGAGGCCAGCACGCCTCTGATCTTCGGATCGCTGCACTCGCTGACGTAGATCTGCGCCGAGGGCAGCGTGATGCCCACCGCGAGTCCCGACAGTGTCCTGCCGGCCATGATGATCTCCCAGCGCTGCGAGAGCGCGATGAGTGCCCACGAGACCGCCCAGATGGGCGCCGCCAGCAGCACGGAGATCTTCCTGCCCATGCGGTGCATCAGCACCATCGTGACGAGGCTGCCAAAGAAGGCGCCCAGCGGCGGAACGGAGCTCACCCACGTCTCGATGTGGCGCTCCGGCAGGAGCTGCGGAAAGGTCTCCTTGATGGACGGAATGGCCGGAGCCGAGAAGCCGCGCACCAGCCCGATGCCGAAGTACCCGAGCGAGACGCACAGCGACAAGATTGTCTGACGGAAAGGAAAAGAAGAAGGAAATATTGATTTTAATTGCGATCCGCATGAATAATTTGAAAAGAAAATGAATGAAAATATCGCCAAATTTCCCTTTTCATTCGATGTTCTGAACGAGATTTCCTAAAGAAAGGGGCTTTTAAAATGAAACCTTAAAGTTTTAACCCTGTTTTCTTCCTTCGCCGACATATTTGGAAGAAAAATGTGCCGTAAAATTTAATAAATTTTATGAGAATTATAAATTCAAAGTTTTTTTTTACATTAAAAGTGTTTGAAATCAGTAAAGAAATTATTCCGAGTGTTTTTCATACATAAATTTAACCTTTTCCTGCTAGCGTCCAATGTAACTAATTTCATCTCAATGATTTATTTGTTATAACTCAGGTTTAGAAGATATTTTCCATATTTCCCTCGAAATGCGGCAATGCATTTGATGATGATCAACAAACGAGCCATTTTCCCTTCACAAGCAGCCTCGGCGTGTCCTCCAGACGGTTTAATTTCTTGTCTCTGTTGCGTGCAATTGGCGTCGTGATTGATATCACTTGCACGAACCTTGACGTCATCACTGCGATCGCCAAGGAAAACTTTCCACGCACGCCACAGAGATTAGTGAAGAAATCCGACAAAATGCTCTTAATAACACTTCTCATCGTGGCTGTGATGATTCTAAAATTCGCCTGCTTTTAATTAATTCAAACATCGTGACAATTTGTATTTAGCGCCAAGGCGAGAATTTTAGCCAATTTCACCTAACTCTGCCACCACTAAAAAATCAGTTTTCCTTGGTGTATTGCTGCAATTTTCCGGAAATTTACCCACCCAAACAAAAGGATGAATTCAGCAAATATTGTCCAGTGAAACGAATCACCGTGTCTCGAAGGCATTCATGCTTGAGAAAGCAATTTTCTCAGATGGAGGAACATCGTAATGACCTAAAATTGCTTCTTAACAGATTGCAAGACGGAAGAGGCGTTGCATAAGAGGTGGTGGAAAATTTTGTACATCGCGCTTTATCCAAGAAACAACTTTATACAAGAACAGCAGACAAAATCGCAAATGCAGTGAATCAATAAGCAAACACTGCTTGAACTGCGCGCAAAGATAAACAAGATCAGTTAGCAAGTGTTTAACAATATACACAATATCAACTGTTTGAAGAAAGTTATTTGTATGTTTTCTTCCGATCATGCCGAAAAATGTGCTACTTTGCAAATCAATTTGACACAATCACTCCCAAAACAACTTGCTTAGCCGCCAATCTGTGTGCAAAAATGCCAAATCTCGTGATGAAAGAAAAGCCAGATTGAACCAGAAACCGTGTGCTGTGAAAACCAACCTGATCGTGTGAGTTTTACACATGTTTTGATAATTGTAATCAATTATACTGTGGAAAAAGGTAATTGACTTGACAAGAACTTTATATCGCCATTAAACACTATCACCTGACTTAAAATAACAATACAATTTCGGGTTGGTAGTAAAAGAAGTTTGTCGAAGTCTGTCTGTTAAGTTTTTTCGTCAATATTCAGTAATTATTTTGTAATTGAGTACACAGAGTTAAGGCATCATTGGTCAATTCCGGTGTAGCGAAAGAGTACGGAAATATCATCCCACATTGGAATTGTTGAACTTGACTTTTGGCGGCAAAGGTCAAACGCAGTGCTTAACAGCAGAATTGCAGTCGAGATTCGCATTTAATGATCCCAATATTCAATTACACAATTTAAATGCTTTCATTCGCTTATTGAATTGACTCAATAAGTATGCTAAAAATAACTTTAACCCTTCAACATGTTTAAGTCACATTGCAAATGCGGGAAATCTTTAAAAAAATCTTCTCAGTTGTTTTATTATTGCACTTTGGAACGCGGATTTTGTCACGTAATTGGACTTTATGGTGTGTAAATTGTACAAATACTACGAGCAAAGCATTGTAAATATTTAATAAAAATAATTTAGGGGAGAACAGAGCTAATTTTGTCTTTTACAAAATGTTTTTAAAAAATCAAAAATATCTTTAAGAAATCAATTTAATTTGAAGAATTTCGCAATCTTTTAGTTGCCTCTGTTTACTTAACAATGCTTTCAGTTTTCCAAGAATTTTTTATTTTCAATTTTTAGGCTAAAACGTTTGTGGTTTAGGAAAAATTTCCTGGATTTTTTTTGACGTATGAAATCACTGAATTTAATGGAAAACATTAACGAATCGTAATATTTGGCTAAACTTCATTGGAATTCCACTGTGAAAGTGTCAAGTTTCTTATGAGAAAATCCCATGATATTCAAACTTAGACTTTAATGGGGTTTTCCCATTAAAAACCACTCCTTAATTGGTGACTAAAACTTGCCCCACTCTCCCCTAACAGAATTCTCCGTTCAATTATCAACCAATCTCTCACTGTTAAATCATAATGTAAAGCTTTAGGAAGAAGAATTAGAAAAAAATACACTAATTTACTCCACCCGAGTCACGTTAGATGTGCATTTCATATTTAGCACATTTTAGAAGGAGGAAAAAACACGACAAATTTGCAAAATACTCTTACGATGAGATAAACATGCAAATTGGAAGCTTTTTTCTCCGACGATCAATTTTTCTTACGTCTAGCGGAAGTCAAAGAACTTTGTTATGATTTAAAGAATCCCTTGCAAATCCCGCAAACAAAACTAAACCTTGGAAAAAGTTTTTGGTGGAAAATATGCATTTTTTAGCGCCTTTGCAGACACTTTTAAGACACTCACTTGCCGAACAATCGCCTTGGAGAGATGATTCATTTTGCGGCAATTTCTCTTCTAACACTCCACGAATTGATATATTATGCTCTGCGCCTATGACAAAACTTAGACTGCGAACACTATGGATTATATCTAAAGAGATGCTGATCTTCCGCTCCTGATCAATAGATCATGTCTCGCTGGAGTTCACGACGAAACTGATTTGTGAACTCCACAGCATTTTCCAGCTTTGCACGGTGATTGTTGACAGTCTCATTAAACTTGGGGCTTTTATTCCGTCACCAATTGGAAGAGATTCACATATTGTTGCGAGTGATGCGCTTATTTCTGGATTTTTTTTTGTGTGCGCGCGCCTCTAAACTGTCACTCTCCGTGTCTAATAGAATTTGAAACCACTAAATTGGACTTCTTATTGAATTAAGAGTATACTAACAATACTCCTGACGTGACACATTTTTTTATTGGACACCTTTCAGTGTGACTTGTATGGCCATTTAGGCTCTTTTTGCCGCATCACGACCAGAAAAAGCAACATTTTTCCATTGCAAAGTGTAGGCAAAAAAAGCTAATGATTTTATGGAATGCACGCAATACAATTCTCACTGCAGCCGGATGAAAATCTACTAAAAATTCCCAACTTCTTACCAGATATCGAGCTTCAGCGGCACGTGTTTGCAATTAACATTAAGAAGAGCGGACAGAACTATCACACATTGCAAGATTATTGTTCAGAATTTTTGAGGAAAGCTTCCTGGGATATTTCACTCACTCTTCCCATGAAGATTAGAACCTATTAAAGACGACGTCAACTGAAGATTGACTAGCAAATGTTGCTAATCTGAGCAATTTCCTGCCTTATATAAACATGTACATTGTATGCACACAACAGTCGCAAAACCATTTGGAATCATTGTCAGAAAATATCATACTTTTTATGATTCACGTATCAATAAAAGGAAGCATAAATTCAGAATCTCAAATATGATTTCATGACAAATAAAAGTTTCCATTAGACACGCCCACTCGTTAGCTCCGCCTATTTCCAAAAGCTTCATCGCACACTTTGTATTCTTTATCTGAATGTTCAAATTGTTTCGAACAACCAGGTAAAATATACTTAAAAAATTTCTACATATTTGCAATTGCTTTATTGAGCCTTTTAAATGCGTCCCATGGCGAAAGGAGAAGCACTGTTTGTGGGTAGCCAGAAGACACCATGCTGGGAAGGATCTAATGGCTCTCCACTCTTCCTTCTGCTGGCTCCGGTCTGTGGACAGGTGCCGGCCAGGATCTGGTCATATCCTCCAGGACAAAGAACAGCATAGAAGTGCGTGTTCGTGTTGATGGACTCAGCATAGAAGTGGTTAGAGCGAGCGTGAGCACAAGCACCGGAAACGTCAATGCCACATCCGGGCTGAGAGCTTCCGCCATTAGGATAGTAAGTGGCGTCTCCAATGGGAACAGTGAAGCCGAGAACACCAGCGTTTGTGTGAGAAGATTCTACAAAAGCTGCGTCTCCGCGGTCCATGCGAGTCGTGGTGTCATCAGCGCTGAACAGAGGCCAGGCAGGATCCAGACCAACAACACTAGCAAGCTGGTTTGGAGGCGGATGATTCTTTCCCGCGAATCCGGCCACATGAGCACCCAAGCTGTGTCCAATAACGGAGATGTGAGCCCTCTGAGCGCCGCCTGAGTTCACGATGAAGTGAATGAAGTTACCAACAATGGCTCCAGTTGGGCCGACGCGATTCCTGGCCGTGATGTAGTTAATAGTCTGGGCACCAGCGCTCCAATCCACGACGAAGACGTTGAAGTTTCCGCGCTGCATGAAGGCGGCGCGTGCGAGGGTATTGGAAGCTGCCCCAGGGCTTCCGTTCCAGCCGTGGATGAGGAATCTCGTGGGATGGCTGGGATTGAAGTTGGAGTTGGCAAGAGAGGCGGCATTGTTCCTGATCACAGTCTGTCCATTGGTCGGATTGCTCTGGGTGAAGAGCAGGAAGTGGACATCGGTTTCAGGGTTGAAGAAGTTCTCTGGCTCCTGATTCAGAGCCTCATTCACGTTGACGATGTGGAACTTTCCCTGGGCATCTGGCACCATTGCCCACTCCTTATTGTCGATCACAGGCATGAACTCCTCTCCGGGTCCCTCCTCCATCGGCAATCCCGGGGCCAGGAGGCTCTCCGGGAAGGCACACGCGGCACTCACGGCAAGCAGAAACACGAACACCTTCATCTCGATCACTAACAGCCCTGATCAGATGCGACGCGTCTTTTATAAAGGAACTTATCGTCCCTTATCGCACCTGCGCAGTCATCCGCAATCAATCTTGACCTCGTGATAAGGGGAGACCCTCGGTGAGAAAGTAGGATTACGGATCGAAGATCGCAATGCATAATTTATGGGCTGTTTTCGCCTCCGGGAGTCCATTTGCTCACCTCATTTTATCAATGATCGAAGACTTGGAGGCAAGCAATAGACAAGCTGAGACGTTGATAACGTACGGCTGACTGGGATTTCCCAAGATTCTCCATTCAAAGTTCGCTAGCGACGAATGTGAGAAAAATATGAAATTCCTCGCACGCCAATTATGTGATAATTGGCACGATAAGAGGGACTCAATCACTTTGAAAAAATCCACAAAGTCTATCGAGATGTACGAACGTGGAACACTGGAACAATATTGTATCAAGACCAAACATTACACCAAGTATTGCACTCTAAATGACAATAATAAAAGTGTAAATAATACAATTTTGCATTTGCAGTGCTTATTTTAGTATTTTGGTAGCACTTTGCATTTTAATTATTTAAATAAGAAACTTTTACGCAATAAACGCACACGAGTTTTAATCAAAATATCAATAACTATTGAGAAAACAATCAATGCTTTAATCCGTTGCATCGATAAGATAGTGATTTGCTGAGAATGACGAGATTTTTTATCAATTGCTTGTTATCACTTATATTTGTGATTGTTAATTGAAAGGATTTTTTCGTGTCTGATAGATATAAAAGACGATAAATGCATAAGAGTGTCATTCAATGAGTAGCAATGAAAGTTATTGTCGTGATTGTGCTTCTCTCCGTTGAAGGTTGGATATAAGGTGTGATTTTAAGATTTTGGCATTAATTAATTAATTGGATTATCCAGCATCTTCCGCATCATTATCGTCATCTCTTGACCATGAGCGTCCGGAAAGAAATTGGCCTGATTGGGCGATGATTCCTGATCTCAATGGAACATTGCATCTTGTGAACATCAAAGCTCAACTGGCAGATCTAGAAGCAATTTCAGACGCCGCAAGAGTAGAAGACATGGTTGAGTTCAGACTGTTCACACACAGTGTCAGTGATTACATAGTGGAGCAGAACAGTCAGGATTCTTTGGCTACTTCCAGCTTCAATTCCAAATATCCCACTTGCTTCATAATCCACGGATGGCACGGAAGTGAGAACTCCAGTTTGAACTTGCACATCCGAAAGGCGCTTCTCTCGCGGAGGCATTACAATGTTTTCGTGGTAAACTGGAGGGAAACAGCTGCCGCAGACTACATCTCAGCCAGCTACAGCGTTCATCCCGTTGGCGATGCAGTGGGACAATTCATAATCTTCCTGAAGAAACACACTGCAATGGCTCTGGAAAGCGTCACTGTGATTGGACACAGTTTGGGCGCGCATGTGGCCGGATTCGCGGGAAAGAGCGCCAAAGCAGGTGGAAAAATCGGAGTTATTGTGGGATTAGATCCGGCTTTTCCATTATTTTCTCATGCTAAACCAGAAAACAGACTTAATACCAGTGACGCCATCTATGTAGAGACAATTCACACAAATGCAGGACTTCTTGGCTATAAACTTCCACTTGGTCATGCAAGTTTTTTCCCCAATTATGGCACTTCACAGGTAAGACATGGGCAGCCTTAAGTTCCTAGACAATCAGTCTAAATTGACTTGTCTACATTTATTCACAGCCCGGATGCGGAAAAGGCTTAAATGAAGCCTGTGCTCACAGTCGAGCACATGAGTTGTATGCAGAATCCATCACAACAAAGCACGGATTTTGGGCGCGAAGGTGTAAAAGTTACAACGATATCAGTGTTAAAAAGTGTGAGAAATCCGGAGCTGATGCTACAATGGGTGGTGAACCAACAATAAAGAATATTCAAGGAGTGTATTGGCTGGAAACAGGCGATGATTCGCCATATGCTAAAGGTCCAATGTTGGATAAATAAAAATGTATTACGCTATTACGTTTAATTTGTCCATAAACAGAATGATTGATTGTAGGAAATTATAGGAGAAAGAAGTCTTTCTTTATTAAAAAAAATTCATTTCATTATGTATATTTAATTTATTTTAAATCAGTTCAACATCATCACGTCTCTTAAATGGGTCCAATGGCGAAAGGAGCTTCGGCATTAGTGGGTAGCCAGAAGACGCCGTGAAGAGAAGGATCTAATGGCTCTCCGCTCATCCTTCTGCTGGCTCCGGTCTGTGGACAGGTGCCATCTAGGATCTGGTCGTATCCTCCAGGACAAAGGACAGAGTAGAAATGCGTGTTCGTGTTGATGGACTCAGCAAAGAACAGATTGGATCTGGCATGAGCACAAGCACCGGAAACGTCAATGCCACATCCGGGCTGAGAGCTTCCGCCATTAGGATAGTAAGTAGCGTGTCCAATGGGAACAGTGAATCCGAGAAGACCTGCATTTGTGTGCATAGATTCGACAAAAACTGCGTCTCCACGATCCATACGAACGGTCGGATCATCAGCGCTGAACAGAGGCCAAGCAGGATCCAGACCAACAACACTAGCAAGCTGGTTTGGAGGCGGATGATTCTTTCCCGCGAATCCGGCCACGTGGGCGCCCAAACTGTGTCCAATAACAGAGATATCCTCTCTCCTGGCGCCGCCTGAGTTCACGAGGAAGTGAATGAAATTGCCAACAATGGCTCCAGTTGGGCCGACGCGATTCCTGGCCGTGATATAGTTATTCGATCCTGCGCCAACGCTCCAATCAACAGAGAAGACATTGAAGTTCCCGCGTTGGAAGAAGGCTTCGCGAGATACTCTTACAGTGCCACCACCAGGACTTCCGCCCCAGCCGTGAATGAGGAATTTCGTGGGATGGTTGGGATTGAAGTTGGAAGCGGCGAGTGAAGCTGGATTATTACGTTCAACAATCTGGAAGTTGTTGGGACTGTTCTGCGTGTATAAGTGAAAGTGTGTGTCGGTTTCAGGGTTGAAGAAACTCTCTGGCTCCTCATCAAGAGCTTCTTGCACACTGACGATGTGGAACTTTCCCTCGGCGTCCGGAACTAGCGCCCATTCCACATTGTCCACGGCTGGAGCTTCCTCCAGAGGCAAGGAACACACAGCACCCACTGCGAGAAGTAACGCGAACACTTTCATCTTGATTACTAAGTGTCGCCTGGAATCTGGGCTTACTTATAAAGGTTCGGTTCTTATCACACCAATCAATTTTCCTGCTTAAGCTGGCCCCATGGCGACAATTGTGATCTCTCAGATCCAGCGAAATCATGCAATGTGCAAAGGTCATTCAAACACAGTTCCTTTGAAATCATTTAAACAACAGAACTGTTTAACAGTTTCAAATCATTCATATTTGTTTAAAATTCGCAATGAAAACGTCTGCAATCATGCGCAGGGCGAAAGTTTTAATCACGCGTTGTGATAGAGCAAAGCTCTTTATCGATGATGTCAATATCTAAACGGTAAGGATTAGTTCTTTGTCATCTTAATCACTGCTGATAACATTTCGCTGCGTATAAAAAGACTACCATCGCGATGACTTGAGGATGTACAGTGCCATTTAACGTGTGACAATGAAGGTTCTCGCTGTGATCGTGCTTCTCTGCCTCGGAGGTTGGATTGAAAGTGATGTTGATTGATTTAAGGGCCATAATTTCTAATGCATTTTCTGTGCAGTGCACTCCATCCCACTGGAATCTCCTCCGAGTCCTCCAGTCGTGCTTAGTCATGGAAACCAGGTGAAAGAGCCCGAATACGCAATGGTTCCTGATGCTGAAGGATACATGCATCTAGTGGACATCAATGCTGAGCTCAGCGAGCCCGAAACCTTCTTCGAGGCTGAGCGGGATGTTGTCTTCAGGCTCTTCACGCACACAGTGAGTAATCGCGTGGTTCAGCTGGACAATCCCGGTTCCTTGACTGGATCCAGCTTCAACGCCAATCACCCAACGCGTTTCATCATTCACGGCTGGAACGGAGACGGAAATTCGGGCATCAACAACGCCATCCGCACGGCTTACCTCGCTCGAGGGGACTTCAACGTCTTCGTCGTGGATTGGGGCGCAGGAGCCAACTCGAACTACGTCACATCGCGCAACAGAGTGGATGCCGTGGGTAGGGCTCTGGCCAGATTCATAATCTTCCTCAATGATCACACTGGCATGGCTCTGACCAACGTAAATGTAGTTGGACACAGTTTGGGTGCTCATATCGCTGGAATCGCAGGAAAGAACACACTCGTGAGAGGAGGAATTTCAGTGATTGTGGGTTTGGACGCCGCCTTCCCGCTATTCTCCGCCGATCGTCCGTCTGAGCGTCTCCATAATGGCGACGCAAGATATGTGGAATCAATGCACACGAACGCGGGACTTCTTGGCTTTGACACTCCCTTGGGAGATGCCAGCTTCTATCCCAACTATGGAAGGAGTCAAGTAAGATTCTATAGGTTTAAAGAAGGGATGAAACGAATTTGAACAGTTTTGCTATTATATTTTTAAAAAGAAAGCATAAAAACTTACAAATGATGTGTAAAGGGAGAGTTTTAGAAGCTCCGCCCCCTCAAATGCCACGCCCATTTGTATTGCACTCTTGCAATTACATCACTTTCAATGTGTTTTGTATATAGATGGGGATTTAATAGATATGTCAGTCAGCATCTGTTAATCAGGATTTTAAACTACTAATGAAGAGAGTTCACCGAAATCCTTCCCTTCCAGCCTGGCTGTGGCATCGATCTGGCTGGAAACTGTGCTCACAGTCGCGCTCATCAATTCTACGCCGAGAGCATCACCACTGATCGTGGCTTCTGGGCGCGTCCTTGCGCCGATTTCAGCAACATCCTGAACGAGAACTGCCAGGCGATTGGAGTGGAGACTTTGATGGGCGGCGAGCCGGCCAACGTCAACGCTCGGGGAATCTTCTGGTTGCGCACCAACAGCAACAGTCCCTTTGCCATGGGGCGCATCTGAAGCGGGCTCTTCGCGAGGCTCTGGCGGTCCATGTGGGGCTTCACGGAGTTCATCGGTCAGACGCTCGCGAGCGGCCTGAGATTCTTCGAGAGGATCTGGGAGCGTTTCTTCCACGATCCGGCTTAATGCAGAATTGTTGAGAAAAATAAATGTGAACTCAACCCACGTGGACATGATAAAACACACGATTTTGTTGCTCATCTTGTTATTGCACGGGATTTGCCCAATCTCGAGATGTAAATTGAACCACGAGTTGCTGACATTACCTTCGCCAGTACTAATTGAGTGCCACACTTTGAGCATCTTTTTAATTAAGAAGAAATCTGTTTATTCGCAATGTCAATAGAATCACGTGAATTACAACACTGCGAAATTTATGTCCAGTGTCAAAATCGCGAATTTGTATCAAAAAACGGAACAGTATGGGAATATGTTGAGAAAATAGCATTTATGCTGATATTTATTAGTTTTCTCAAATCATGATCATAAGACATCAAAACAAGTTCAACAACGAACAGCAAATACGTTGAAAATTTCACGAATATTGACAGCAAATATTAAAGTGAATGATTAAAAATCATATAGATATCTGTACAGAATCAATGCGTAAATGAAGACTACGTTATTAACACTCTATTTGTGATATTCAATGCCTTGAAAAAGCTTAACTGCAGCATTAATCACACTATGAGACCCACTATGAGAATCACAGTTCCTATAAACGTTTTGTGATCCAAACTTTATCGAAAGGTCAATCAAAGACGTACTCAAATCACGTGCGCGTCGAAATGACAAAAAGTTTAGCAATATTTTTGCTCCTACAACCAGTTTCTCGAGTCACGAGTGTGGCTTTTTTGTTGGGACGTCATTAATGGCAAATGGACTTTGATGCAAATTCTGAAAATAATATCGTTTTAATCGGCCAGCTTCATTACAATCTTTGGTCACAAAATCCTTTCAGTTTTCACACAACGCTGCCTCTGGCGAAGGGTGCATTTCCGTTTGTGGGCAGCCAGAAAACTCCTCTAGCCGCCGTGGCCAGAGGCTCGCCACTCATGCGTCTGTTCGGTCCGGAAGACACGCAATTCTGATTGAGGATGTCGTTGTAATTGCGACACTGGCGACTGACAAATCCAGGTCCAGAGTTGATGGACTCGCCGAAGAAGAGCCAGGCTCTGCCGTGGGCACAATTGCCGGTAACATCTGTTCCACATCCGGGCTGAGTGCGTCCCCAGTTGGGATAGTAGTCAGCCAGGCCAATGGGCAGATCGAAGCCCAAGAGGCCAGCATTGGTGTGCATGACCTCAACGAAGTTTGCGTCGCCCGGAGCGACGCGCTCCGCAGGACGATCGATCGAGAAGAGAGGCAAGGCTGGATCCAGAGCCACAACAGCGGCCAGGCGACCGCGGGTCACGCGCTTTCCGGCAATTCCAGCAGTGTGTCCGCCAAGACTGTGACCAATCACGGACACACTCCCGAATCCCATGCCTTGAGTGTTGAGGAAGTCCACCATTTGAGCCACTCGCGGACCAACGATGTTAATGTTGTTCCGGGCTGCGGCGTAATTAATGGTTTGCGCTCCCGCACCCCAATCCACCACGATGACGTTGAATTCGCCACGTCTCAAGTAAGCATCCCTGATGTTCACATTCACTCCAGAACCGCCGTTGTTATTCCATCCGTGAATGATGAATCTGGAAGTTGATAAAGTCTCGAAGTGTTCAATGTCTTTCATAACAATTGAGGACGTTGAGGAAGATTCTTAATTACTATCTCCGCCTTAGCTCACAAATTCAGCATACCTGGTCGGATGTGCTGTGCGGAACTGGGAATTGGACACAGACCCAGCATTGTTGAGCGTCAGAACTTGGCCGGCTGTGGGATTTCGGCGCGTGAAGAGTCTGAAGATCACTTGATTGGCGTTGAAGAAGGGAGTGGCGCCTTCTTCCTCATTCAAATTCACCATATGCATGGCGCCATCGCCGTCAGGAATGAGCGCCCAATCCTCGTCATTGGACGGCACCTCTGGACTCAGATCCTCATTCTCCCAAATGGGATTCGCCTGAGCTGAAAATCGCAGCACAATCCAAAGTTATCTCAACGACACTGAATCACAAGAGACAAAGACTTTTACCGAAAGCGACGAGGGCGATGCACAGTAGGAGTTTCTTCATTTCACAAAGTGTCTTGGTACACTGGTTTATCGGAAAATGCGGAGTGGTCCTTTTATTGAGAGTTTTATCTAATCGAGAGTCAACTCCATCTCAATAAATTCTTCAGGACAAGTGAAATTTAGCATTGAGATAGCAGAGTTGTAAAGAAAATTCTCTTTATCAGTGTTTGACCTTTGTCTTACTATCACTACGTAAATTATAGTTAAGATTCCACGCGGATTAACTTGAGATTGAGCTATTTGAATGTTTAGTATGATCCGTTCGATTTCATCAATCACTACTGACTGAAGATATCACAAACTTGTCACCTTAAGGTGACATTATTCCAAGCAATTGCAGAAGTAAATAAATTCGGGAAATAATTAGACTTGGTCACGCATTAGTGGCAAAAAGTGCTGTGAATTGAGAGTAATTGTATTCAATAAATTATTCCAGATAACATGCATGTAATTGAGTGAATTTGCTCTTCAAGATTCTTCCTACAAGCTTCTTGAAGATCACTGAGATTACAGGATCAAAACGACTTATGAAACATATGAAATTGTACATAATTACATAATTAGCTCATGTACAAAAAAAAACAAAGTAAAATGTTAAAGTGTGATAAACGGAAGCCTTTAAAGCTTCTAATTAAGCCTCATTTAAATAAATCGTTTAAATAACAGATGTTAATTAAAAGTAAGTAATCGTATTCGTGTTTAATTAACTGTTGAGTAAATATATTGCTGTTATCGTTCCTTGTCTTCACACGATGTCGCCTTTGGCGAAAGGAGCGTTGTCGTTCGTTGGCAGCCAGAAAACTCCTCTGGATTCTGTGTCCAAAGGCTCACCACCCATGCGTCTGTTTGATCCGGAAGACACGCAATCCTGATTGAGGATATCTCCATAATTGCGACACTGGCGACTGACAAATCCAGGTCCAGAATTGATGGACTCTGCAAATAACGCATAAGATCTGGCATGAGAACAAGCCCCAGCGACATCAATCAAGCGGCATCCGGGCTGAGAAATGCCCCAGTTGGGATAAAAATCCACCATGCCGATGGGCAGATCGAAGCCCAAGAGGCCAGCATTAGTATGTATGACTTCTATGAAGTCTGCATCAGTTAGAGCGATTCGCTCTTCAGGACGATTGATTGTGAAGTGAGGCAAGGCTGGATCCAGAGCCACGATTGCGGGCAAACGACCGCGGGTCACGTGCTTTCCGACAATGCCTGCAGTGTGAGCACCGAGACTGTGTCCAATTACAGTAACATTTTCGAATGGCATGCCTTGAGTGTTGAGGAAGTCTATCATTTCAGCCACTCGCGGACCAACAATGTGAACATTACTGCGGGCAGCAGGATAATCAATGGTCAGCGCTCCTGCACTCCAATCCACCACGATGACATTGAATTCTCCATGTAACAAGTAAGCATCCCTGATTTCCACATTCACTCCCGAATCTGCGTTGTTATTCCAACCGTGAATGATGAATCTTTGCCAAACAATTAGAAAGCACTTGAATCAAGAGACATATGGTTTGGACTAGAGGGAGATTTACCTTGTTGGATGATCTACGCGGAAGTTGGAAATTTCGATTGATTCATTACTGTTTAAAAACAAATCCTGAGCATCCTTAGGATTTTGGCGAGTGTAGAGATAGAAGAACACTTTGTCAGCATCGAATGATGTTACTATATTCACGACCTCGTCAATAGTATTGCCAACACTATCAATTATATTCGCAGTCTTTTCGAGTTTAGAATTGACTAAGTCTGAAAAAATAGCGCGAGAATATTCGATAGCAAGAAGAACGAGGACAAAGCACAGGATTTTTTTCATTTCACAAGAGTAACTGAAAATCTCTGAAATTCTCAAGAGCTAATGAGAAGAATTTAATTTTAAAAGATTTTAACTTTGTAATTCAATCGTTTTCAATATTACCAATGTAACTGAAGATCATTGTAACTTTGTCACTTATTTAAAGCATTGGCGACAAAATCAGCGATATTAAATATATATTTAGAAATAATTAGACTTGTTCATGCATAAAGTGTAGAAATAAATATTGTAAACAGAAAGAAATTGAGCGAATTATTACCAAAGATTCTTGCCTTGCATATAAAAACCTTTGTCTAAAATGTAATTAAAGCACGAGGAAGAAAACAGTGAGAATTATGATCTTAAGAAGAAAATTGTGAATGACGAATTTATAGTCTGATTTATATTTTATGCACTCTTACAAATGATTTAATCGTTTATCATTTAAAATGCTGTTTCATCTGCATTTCATTCATGTTTCTCCTCATTCGTATTTTATCTTATTTTGGTTTGCGTCTCTCACTATCCAAATCACACTGAAATTCGTGCAGAAGTTTGAGAAGCACTGCTTCGTACATTCATTCGCTTCACTTCGTCACGTTGCGCTTTCACATTTCAGTCTTCATCTGTCACTCGAATACTACAAAACTCATTGCAATACAAGTTTAGCCTCAACTTCCTTGAATGATGTTTTCCCAAAAATTGCGTTAAAGCGTCAGTTTGTGGGCAGTTTTCCCAGAATCTTTGATCTTGAATCTCATCTCTCGTAATCTGTGAAGACTGTTAGCGTTCTGCGAACGTCAAAATCACTCGTCTTGCATACTTTTCTGCCCATTGCGACTGACCATTTGACCTGCAATTATTGCCACCCCATGGAACTGTTCAGGAACTCCAGGAAGAGGCGCTCGTAAGTCAGGTCTGTATGTGCATTTTAATGATTTCAATGAATAAGTCAATCACTCTATCGCCGAGACACTGCTCCAAAAAAAATGCCCTGTGTCGGTCGTGTGCAGCCTATTGCCGCAGTGTTGTGGGGACTTTCACTAAATCAAAATAGAGCCACAATTGCCCCTAATGAACGTACAATTGAGTGCGGTCCACGAGATAGGGAGAGCAGAGATATGAAATTATCTGAAATTAAGAGTGTAAATTACCATTCAGAGCAGACAAACTCCGCCATGCGCAATCGCAAATCCTTATGGTTTTATTTGTGCCTAATTGTTGTGTGTATCTAAAAAAAAACGTAAAGAACCTAGTCAAATATCAAATAGCGCCTTGGTACAATAAAAATTTATTATTGCCTTATTTTTGTACAGTCGAAAACGTCCTAACACGAAAATAGTTCCGTCTCGTGCAAGAGATTTTTCTGTCAGATTCAAGGCACTGGACACACATGATAAGCATTTGTGGTTTGCAGGAAGCAAAGATTCAATTCAATTCAATTTGAGAAATCTTGTCGCATGCATAAAACGTAAAAAATGTCAAATTAATAACTTATATTGACTTGATTCTTTTTCACGCAAGATAAAATGTAAAAAAGACTAGTCTTTAATACAATAACTTCGTCAATAAATGTGGTTTAAGCTGTCTATTTTACAATACAAAATTCACATCCTATCTTATAAGATATGAATTTAAAGTTAAATAACGCACTTAAAACGAGACCACGATAAAAATCCTTTCATCAGTCATACAATTACGAACATTTAATAGAAAAACTTGTGAATTCATGACTAAATCTTGTTCAGAATTCTCCTAAAATACTCTGTATGCTCACAGTATCCGCAATTTTCACGTCAACGACAGAGAAAACCTCATGGAAGTTGATGGACTGATTTGCAAGTGTTCTACTTCGCTTTCCAACGTCCAAGGCGTGATGAATTTGGGGTGGAAAAAAATTAAATTGTCATTACTGTGGGGAAAAAGCGGCAATTTGTTCGTCCATGTCGTCAATCTAAGTCCTCGTGACGTTGAAGTCACCAAAAGTTGACTGGAAAATGCTAGAGGATTTTCAATGTTGAATTGCGCCAATGACGGTACGTCAGCTTTATAAAGCTTTAGTCCAAAGACTCTTATATAAGGCGGTTTGTTGGAAGTTTGTCAACAGATTTTTGCCATCCAATGAAGCCACTGAAGAGACACGAGAGGGTGCAATGATTGCGAAATTGTACGCAATGCAGATTGAAATTGTGATGCTCTCGTGAAATTTCCCGTTTGAGTATCTAAATTGGGTGAATTAAGCTTGATTCAAGCCAAGCTAAGGCATCTAAAGTTATGTTTTTGTCGTGTCAGTAAATATAAGATGAAGAGACATAAATTGTTGTAGCGCGTGAAAGTAATTTACAAAATACGGTGATTTTCAAGGAAACTAATAAGAAATTCTTACAAGGAAATCATTAGGAAGTATTTTTGGAGTGCCTAAAGTTGTTCGATAGTATCTAATTTCGTGGGTCGTTGGCTAAAAATGGAGGTTAATTACCGAAAACGCACAATCAAGAGGCAAATTAATCTGTCAATCATATTGAGGAAATTTGAGACATTTTCACGATAACGCCTAAATGGCTTTCCAAATGTCCAGAGTACAAACATGAGGAATTCATCGCCAATATTCACTTTACAAGTTGAAATTGACAGTCAAATTGCAGCATTTGAAATACCATTTAATCACTGGAAATTCCTCCCCTCCAGGCAGACACTATAAATTGATAATTTTCCACATGGAAACATCGCAATTTGTGTCTGTGAGGACGAAAAGGGAGCGTGGAAAATTGAAATCTCGAAATATCAATACTGCAGTTGTGCATAAAATTAGCATTTGCATGCATTCTTCCAGCTGATACCCTTCGTGACGTCGCTGGCAAGTGGCTGTGAAGTCAAGTTACTTAATTGGAGATGGAATTTACAATTTCTCATGGAATTGAGCGCACTCTGCCCTTGAAATATCAACACGATGATCACATGTGAGGCACTTAATATGGGGGCTTCGAGACATTTTTACGGTAGATCAAGAATTTAGAGACAAATTGCCTCACTGAAGCCACTTCACAAAGAGAATTGAGAGTGTTTGTGAAGCCTCAAGAAATCTCCCGTCGAATTACAATGTTTCATTTGATTTCATTAGCTTACGCATGATTATTTTCACAAGAATTGGATTTGATCCAAAGGCAACTTCTGGGAAAGAGTTGTTTATGATTAGCGCAATATCGCTTCTTTTCATGAAAATCATCGTTCGTATGAATGCCTTAATGTGCTGCAGATAAACTGACAGACCACATTGGTAATTGGTTAAGTGGAAAATTGAGAATGACTGATTGTTATCATTCATCTCTGTTTGCCGTATGAATATTTTCACTAAAGATAAACGTGAATGCAGCATAGTTTGTTGAACTGCAAATGATTAAACACAATGCTGAATTCATATCAATGGATGAATAAAACACTCATTCGCTTTATGAAGTGCAAAATTGGCTATCATAATATCGAATGGGTCAATAAATTACACATCAAAGTCAATTCTGCGAATTCTGGGGATAATAATGAGTCACCCAATCAGTGTGAAAGCCCATTAGTGAGTCCTTCTCTCTTGCAGAAGCATGACGGGGTTGAGAGGCGGAGCAGGAGACTCAAATTGAAATAGGATCCGATCGGAATCTCATGGCCCGATGGCATCGACCTGGGGCCGAGCGCACGCAATCAAGGCGGCGTTGTTGGTCGGATTTATTTTGGTGGTGCTCCTCAACTTCTTCAGTTACCACTACGATGTCAAATTTGACAAATTGACTCACATCCCAACTCTATCTCACACAAGGTAGGATCATTTCGTCCGCAATGACATTCTGCTAGATCCTCCCTTGTTTTGGGGGCTAAAAGCAATGTAAAATCACCTAATTTATGCAAAGCATTTAGCATTTCAAGTGTTTCTGCAGAAATATTATATCAATAATTGACCATTGAAAATTCAACAAAAAGTAAAGAGACTTTACTAGAATGTCGTGAACTGTTACCAAATTGCTGTTATCAATTTTGGCAGTTCTCCGCTGTTGTGGCCAAAGCGAACACGTTCCAGTACCGAAGTGGCCAACATAACACATTCAGGATTGCCCTCAGTTAATGCCTCAACTGCCTCACTAGCCAACTCTTCCACTGTCGCCGTCGAGGAGAGAAACACTTCCGCCAGCACCTCGACGACGCCGCACATTCTCAATGAGACCCTCCCGATGGACTTGGAGCACTTTACGCGCGCCCCCGCGGAACCCGTTACCGGCAGCACCAAATTCATCAAGAGCCTGATGACCACGCTGGGCCTGAACGCCTGTCCGCCCGTGCCGCCGGACCTCGAGGGCCCCATCGAGGTGAACATCACGGCGGACACGATAGCCGGCGTGGAGCGCTGGCTGGCGCCCCGGCTGAAGCCCGGCGGCTGGTTCCGGCCGCCGTGCAACGCCAAAGATCACGTGGCCATCGTGGTACCCTTCCGCGACCGCGAGCCGCACCTGCCCATCTTCCTGAAGAATCTGCATCCGTTCCTGCAGCGCCAGCAGGTCAACTACGGCATCTTCGTGGTGGAGCAGACGTCGGGCAGCCTGTTCAACAGGGCGGCGCTCATGAATGTGGGCTTCAAGGAGGCCTCGAAGATGGCCAACTGGGACTGCTTCATCTTCCACGACGTCGATCTCCTGCCCATGGACGATCGCAACTTGTACGTGTGTCCCGACCAGCCGCGCCACATGAGCGTCGCCGTGGACACATTCGGGTTCAAGTGAGTCTCGTAATTTCCTCCTGCAGACACTCTAAAGACTGATTTATAGCCTAGAATTCATGGTTTGGAAATTCTGGAACTGCTTTAATTGATATTATATACAGATTTTAGCAACAATAGTTTCCCTTTATTGATTCTAAATCCAAATATCGGCAGTCTTAACTGTGTTCGTGAACACCGAGAAGAGATTCCTGATGGAAGAATTTTTAGCGATAGTGAATGACAAACGCTTATTGTAATGTTTTGGGCTTTTATCAATGGTCAATATTAATTTTGATATTGGCAATTGATGCGCCATAGAAATAGGCTACAATTGATTCTGAGAAGTGATACAAATGGGTTAATTGTGATGTTTGATTACCAGCAAGCATATGTATAAACATATCAGCAAACAAGCCAATTAAATATTTACCAAACTAAAATGTTGAGGTGAAAGTATGGAATTTGATAAAGTTATTATGCAATACATTGAGGAATGGCACACACAAGCCACAGAACATGTTTCATAGTGATGAAAGGCAACTTCTATGTGCTTTGATAAACCGAACTGTGCACGAGAGGGTGGAACAGAAAGTGTGGGAGCATTTTAATTGTATTATACTATGTTGCAAAAGGCGGTTTGAGTGGTAAATAATGAAAGTGTAATTATTTTGTTCACATAGGTTACCATATAGTACAATTTTTGGTGGTGTGTCGGCGATGACGACAAAGCAATTCCGTGCCGTGAACGGCTTCTCCAACTCCTTCTGGGGCTGGGGTGGCGAGGACGATGACATGTCGAACCGACTGAAGCACGTGGGATTCCACATAGCCAGATATCCCATCAACATCGCCAGATACACCATGCTGACACACAAGAAGGAGAAGGCGAATCCAAAGCGCTACGAGAAATTGGTCACGGGCTCGAAGCGCTTCGAGACAGATGGACTCAACTCGCTGAAGTACACCGTGAAGGACATTCGCAAGAAGCCTCTCTACACGTGGATTTTGGCGGAAATTCAGGATGTGAGTCGCTCGCAAATTATACACAATTCATAACTGGGCGTAATTTCTTTTGTTGTACCACAAGAAATGCTTTAAAAATCCTTAAGAATTTAAACAAAATCGATTAACTATCCTAGAAATCTATCTGACTGTGACTTTAAATCAGGATTTAATTAAAAGTTTCGCTACTACAATTTTTATGGAGTAAAATGTTCAATATTCTACCGGGAAATGCAAATTCCGTCGGTTTAGAGACGCTCAGAATTGATTTTTCAGGCGTTATTTTATCCAACTAGAAATAATATAATTTATGCACATTACAAATAGTATTATAATTAATTTTCAGAAAGTTAAACAAAGCGGCAAATTTCTGTACCTTTTCTAATTTCCTCTTCTGTTTTCTGCACTACGCTTTTTTTGCAGGGAAGCTGATAAGTGATGAAGTGGCTTTGGGGCGGCTGGGGCTGAGATCGGATTGTGAGAGAAACGCAGAATCTTCTAGGCAATTTATTAAATTGTAAAATCTTTAGTTGGGAATCATCAGTGTTGAAAAATGTGTGATAAAAACCCCCATTAAAAATCGTTGTAAAAATGTTCAGAGAGAAAGGAAACAGATCAAATCTGTAATAGATATTCATGTCTCAAATTTGTGATTAGTTCAAATTATGAGTATGTTAGGGTATTGTACAAAGTAATCTCAATATTCAATAAAATACTTCTAATATTCTTTAAGCAATGCATGAATTCTCAATTGTGGTATAATTTTATTCACAATTCAAGATCAGTTTTTTTTTCCTTTGGAATGTTAATGGATGAAAAATACTGAGAAAAAAATTGTATAAACTCGAGAACACATCAAAAAAAAATTCAATCAAAATTGAATAAATATCACAATATTGATATCAATTACTGAATTACCTTTTGATAAGTAACACGTATTACACTAGATTACAGTTATTTTTAGTATCCTCATTGATTCATTTATGTGCGAAATCCCATCTTCGAGTATATATTGCACTCTTACTGAAACTAAACCTCCAAATAACTACTAAGCAACTGAAGAAAATCTGTAGTGATACTGAAGCTTCCTTACAACACAGTTCTTGCATTTGTATTCAAATTCTGATTAGTAATTATGAGAGTTTTCACAAAGGCTGTTCGACTCTTGATGAAAACCTTTCTAATACATAATGAATATAGTGTCTTTCCAAAGATTTTCCAATATACATATATATTCATAAAGAGAGAAAACTTTGATATATGAATCAAAATATTCATGAATAACACTAAAAGTCATGAAGTATAGTGTGCAATATAGCGACATTTTCCTATCGAGAGTATCTATCAAAGTATGCAGCAAAAAGAGTCATTCCATTTTATATTTATGTAATAACATTTTATAGTTTGGAGTAACAGTGAATCCACGTGATTTCTCTCTTCGCATAACACTTCATTGTTCACATTAAGCGTTAGAAGCATGGAGAAAATGAAAAATTAAGTGAGATCATCGCGTCAATTAGAATTTGTAGTCTTGAATGTCAAAAGTATTGCAAATATTTCGTTGGATTTCTTCACTGAAAAGGTGTCAAATGCCAAGGGGCCGATCTACTTAAAGTGGACAAAATCTTGTATACTGAATTGCATCTCAATTGAATTTTCATTTCTTGATAAGTGCCATTGGATGTGAAGGTTGAAAATTGTGAAATACAGATTTCTCTAATAGAAAAGTGGGAGCACATTAAAGATAGGAAGAAAAAAACACATAAATTGATATTCTCTATTAGTATAGAAAAATCCAATCTGAAGCTATCTTGGCAGAACAACAATAAGCAAAAAATAAATAAGAATGGAAGTAGAAAATTTTCTAACCGTAGAAAGAGACTCATTGAAACACAAATGAAAAAGAAAAATGAACAAGAATACATGAATACAATAATAGTCTGTTTACTTTTTAGGAAATAGGCAAAAGTGAATTTCCAATATAAACTTATATATTGAACTGATGTGATAAGAAAAGAGAAATAGAGATAATAAAGTTGTGTAGACGATGGAAGATTTAGTGACACATCAGTATTAATATGGCAAAAAAGCATTCAAATAAAAATTCAGATACAAAATACAAATGTTTTTCCTCTCCGCTTTAATATCATTTGCCCATGGTGAGAATAATTCAATTTCGTGCCATTCTGCAAACTCTTCTGTTGCTCTTCTCTTGCATTTCTTCTCATTTTCCTGATTACTATTTTGCCAAATGTTTGAGTTTGCCACTCATGAATCAACATTCCATTAGAACATTTGTGCTTCCCAAAAGAAGTTTCACCGGAAAATTGTATTTGTCTCTGCGGGAGAACGTGAAATATTTACAAATGTGCTACAGTGAGCTTCACGGGCTAATAAGCAAAATCAACACTTCTTCGATAACAGACTGTGGAGACTAGCGAAATAAGGTTTTGAGTTTTTATAGTATGAATTTCTTTCATTCATATTTCTCAATTAATTGTGTGATTTATTTCACATATTTTAAATCAAAAAAGCTTTTAAATAAATCATAAAGTTTAACAAATAAAACCTTGAGAAATTATATTGTTAATTAGTATTCAAAAGAGAGCCTTCATAATGAAGCCACTGAATTCTCTCAACCTCAACACTGTCCTTTAATACTCTCAGGTTCATGAGCAATTCTTGTTGAGACCGTTGAGCCAAAAAAAAGCCTGCATTATATGGATATTGTCCTCTTTTATCGCTTTACAGACCATTGTCTGTATTAAATCCATTTCATGGATGGGGAATTCCCAAAACCTGCGATAACCTTTCGCTCATGAGATGTGAAGCTAATATTTGTCATGTCGCCAACACTATATGAAAAATGGGTCCTTGGGCCATCTGATCTTGTAATCACATAGTATGCAAATTATTTAGCGCTCAACACTTTCACATTACCCTCCAATGACGTCTGCAACGACACTCAATACGATGAGCCAAACACACGAGTTCAGTCAATTTCTGGAGACACACGTGTGAACATCAATCGAAATGCTCTCGAAACTTGTGCTTTTTCTCGCGCTTTCGCTGCTGCCAGTGTTTTGGGCTCTTGCCGAGCCTGAAAACTGCCTGACGCCCAAGCATTACGAAGAAATTGGATGCACGCCAGTGTTGGAGGACAACGAAATCTGCCCAAAGCGATTTGACTGCGGCACAGTGTTAGGCAGAACTGGGAATCAGTGCTACTTCCAGGGCGTGTCGTACAAGGAGGGCGAGCACATTCCCGGCAATCTCACAAACGGTGCTTGTCAGGCGTCCTGCTTCTGCCGCGATGGCGTCATAACGTGCGCCAACATCGAATGTCCTGAGATCTTTGGGCCCTACAAGCAAGGATGCGTTCCTCAACAGAGTGAGGAGAGTTGTTGTGCGCAAGATTACATCTGCGGTGGGTTCAAGAGCGATAGTGCGCTTATCAGTCACCTAAAGAGATCCGAGATAACGCATTGGAAATATTCCAGATGAGGCAGCTATTGAGGAATTGCCAACGTGCTACTTGGACGGCAGGAAGTACCGCAAAGGACAGAAAATGTATCCCGAAACGAGGTCCTGCTACACTTGCATTTGCGACGAAGGCTTCGACAACAGCACAAAGCTCGAGAACAACACACACTGCAATTTTATCAATTGCGGAATTGAGCTTCACTCCTCGGACGATGTGAAAAATGGATGCACTCCAATTTACTACGAAACGCCAATCTGTTGCCCAATTGGATGGAGATGTCGTAAGTAATGCGGAAAGCCAAGTAATTTTCTAACCATATTAACTATTTGGTGTCTTTGCAACAGCTCAAGACTCAGATTCAGTGCTTGAAGGCGAAGGACGAACAAACGACGAAGATCCTAACATGGAGTGCAAGTTTGGAAGGCTGACACTCAAAGTGGGAAATCAGCTTTCATCCCTTGAAGGACCGTCCGTGAAGTGTGAATGCACAGTTCCGCCCATGGTGACTTGCATTCAGACATCTTAAGCCAAGTCTTAAGCTGTAACATTTTGAAGATAATCCTTTCGAGAACTAATTTGTCTTGATACTTTATAGTTACAAATAATAATAATGATTTAGAAAAATAATTCGGTTTTTTTCACTTCATTTTCTGCCCATTACATAAGGCAAAAAAAGCTAAGTATAATCATAAGAAATAAGTATTGCTAAGATTTGCTCTAAAAGATCAGGAAGAACGAGATTTTGGATTGAAATGGGTGGGGCATTTCAGTAGGCGTGGCCTTACTCATCTGTATACAAGCATTGGAAGACTGAGAACCCATATGACGATTTCTGAGGTAAAATTTCAGGTACAATTTATGCAAAATCCCCCATAATTCTCTCTGTCTTCAAAGCAATAAATATTGTGTACTTTCTACCCGTATACTTAGAGCCATTAAAATTTATTTGTATCTACAATCAACTCCATATGCATAAACATAATAAATTGTCATAATGAAAGTCCTAAAGGTATCAACAGAGACTGTCTCATAATATTGCTACAATTCTACAGCTACAATACAAGGTGTTTATGTACAAATGTTCCGCTCCTGGCAGAATTGCTTGGCAGATGGGAAAGACGTACTCAGTACTCCTGCACTTTTAGCTTCTGGATGCGACTAGACACAAATTCCATCTCATGCGACAACTGCGATCCCGCCAGGTTCTCCACGCGCACGTCCTCCAGCGATCGCGCCTTCTTCAGCGGAAAGCCCGCCTCTCCGCGTCGCGCCCGGACGCCCGCCGGCGCAGAGATTTCCATGGTGTGCGCAGCCGGATCCGTGTCCATCATCGTGCTGCTGCCGGCCGTGGCGGTAGGATTGGCGATGGCGTCTGCCACGATGGCGATGGTGTCCTGATACTCGCCGGAATTGGGATCCAGGCTCTCGCTGCGCGTCCGGTGTCTCTCCGGAACTGTGTAGGGGCGCATTCGCAGCGGTGTGCCCGGACAGCGCCTGGGACTGCTGTAGATCTTAGACACGTACTTTGGACTCATGACCACACGACTGTGAGACTTGCTGTCTGTGGAGGTTGTGCAGAAGACGAATCCCGGCTCCCGGGTCAGGGAGGGATTCGTGGTCATGTTATCGAGATTCTTCAGGCCATTCAGCTCCGTCAGGGCGCTCATTAGCTCATTTTCCATGCCGCTGCAGGAAGTGATTAAACTTATTGCGAGTTCTAGAATTGTGCTGTCAATTGACGCATTTGGTTTGTACTCACTTGGGATGTGCACAGAATACACTACGGTATTTCCACGGTACCGAAGCAAAACAATTTTGTTGTCCAACACAAACTCGGATAGCAATGACAGCTGTTTCTTGACGCGCATCCAGAGGCAAAGCAGCTACAATAAATGGTTCCGAGTAATAGAAAATATGTACAAATGATTCAAGAAGAGATGGGTTTGTTACAATGCAAAGTATTAGCGTAATAATTACAAGAGAATCACGAAAGTGTCTTTAAGAGAGTTAAATAAATTCAAATATCTAATACTTCTCGAATTCTTGTGAAACTAAAGAAAAAGCCATTAATTGTTCTTCTGTGGAAAACTGAATACCCTCCGAATGCCATGAATCACAATCTCTTTCCATAGCACAAACCAGTTGAAACATTGATAAAATATTCGTTAACTTTCTTCATGTATGAATTGGAAACCCAATGAATGACTCAGATATTATTATATGGCGCCATGTATTCGAGCTATATTTTGAAAAATTGATTAAAACTTTCAATACAAACCGCGTGAAACATTGGTAAGAGGGGTAAGAAAGTTTGCTTTGCGTTCGTTAAAATATGCCAGAATTACAGTATCAAATTTGGCTGTGAAAATCTCATTTGTGGTGAAGAATTCAAGGAAGAAACAGTCCGGAAAAGCAGAAGAATGAAAAGGTAATTTTCAATATTTCCTAACATCTGCACTGACCAGAATCTGCTTGAAATCTTAATTCATCTTTTATCAAAACTTTTAAAATTGAAATTCTCTCTTAAAACTTTGATAAGAGATTTTCGTCCGATTACTTTGTTATGGGAAATTTTATGTGTGAGGTTATGTTAATGCTCCCGGACGCCCCTCAGGACGGAATTATACAATGATTTTCACACTAAAAAATCACATTTCCCGCATTTTCACAGTGAAAAAGTGTTCATCAGCCCTCCTTAGTGCACTACAATGTGCCCCTCAAGCGTGTCATTGTCCACCAACCCGGAATTTCTCCTTTGACCCAGTGAACATCTTCGATCGTGAGGCGAAGAAGTTGCAGCGCGAGAGGGCTGCCCTTAGGGAGGATGTTGATCTATATGACTACATAAAGGATGAGGTCGGCTTCCGGCTGGCTGACAGAGTGTTTGACGTGAAGAAGCAGTTTAAGGTGGGCGTGGATTTGGGCACAAACCGCGGTTTCGTGTCGCGACACATCCTCGCGGACACTGTGGAGCATCTCATCATGTGCGAGATGAGCCCCACGATGCTCAGCCAGGCGACATCCACGCCCGGCGTGCGCGTGACCAAGACTGAGGTGGACGAGGAGGTGTTCAGCGAGAGCATTGAGGACGATTCGGTGGATTTGGTCATCTCGAACTTGAGTCTGCACTGGATCAACGACCTTCCCGGATGCTTCGTGAGGATCATGAAGTGCCTGCGGCCGGACGGAGTCTTCATGGCGAGTCTCTTCGGCGGAGAGACGCTCTATGAGCTGCGCTCGGCACTGCAATTGGCAGAGTCTGAGCGGAAAGGCGGCATTTCACCCCACATTTCCCCATTTGCACACGTGAGTTGGGCATTTTCCGCCCGTTTTCTCCAACTTCTGGCTTCAATTCTGGCCTCTCTTTTGCAGATCCGAGACATAGGCGGGCTTCTGAATCGCGCCGGCTTCACGATGCTGACCATCGATACAGACGAGATCGTCGTGGGCTTCCCGAGCATGTTCGCGCTGCTGTGGGATCTCAAGGGCATGGCAGAGAACAACGCAGCCTTCAACAGGCCTCTCCATCTGCCCAGAGACACCCTGATCGCCGCGTCCGCCATCTACGAGGACATGTACAAGAAGGCGGACGGCGGCATTCCTGCCACGTTTCAAGTCATCTACCTCGTAGCCTGGAAGCCCTCGCCGGATCAGCCCAGAGCGTTGCCGCGCGGCTCTGGCCAGGTGTCGCTCAAGGATCTGGACAAGGTCGTCGAGGGGAAAATAAAGAAGGAAGAGAAGTAGAGCTTGTCGCTATAAATATCATTTTTATTACTCTTTGTCATTCAGCATTTCTCCTAGATTTCTGTTATCTTTTAAGTAAGGTAATATTAAGTCGTTGAACAAATGGGCAAAAAAATTTGAACCTCTCAGGATTTTTCGTGATTTTAGGACTCATAAACCAGTCTCTGATAGTGCGGAAATATCTCACTAATCGGGACATGCAGACTAAATTCAAGTGCCACCAGAACGGCAAACTCCGAAGCGATCAACTCCTTGCGGTTCAGCCTGAACACGCCCTCCGTCTTCTCAATCAGGCTCTTCAGTGCGTCGCCCTTGACGTCATTGAGCTTGGCACTGAGCAGCAGGCAAGCGCCGGCGCACAGCTTCCTGTTGGCCTTATTGATGAGATTGGCCAGAATCAGCTTCTCGAAGTACACATAAGCCTGCGAGATGGTCAGCAGATCCACGCGCGAGTCCATCTTGTTAATGCGCCGCATATCGCGCTTCAGACTACGCAACTTGCTGAGCGTCAGCTGCACTTGTGGGAACTTCTCGCGGAACTTGTCGTTCAGCTCCTTCTTCAGGTCCGACGGACGCACGTAGTCAATCACGGACGTCATGTAGGACGTGAAGGTGAGAAGAGTGCGATGCTTGCCGGCAATCAGCTCTGGATCATCCAGCAAATTGGCCGAGTACTGCAGATTCATCTGGCGACCCTCCAGACTGTCATCCAAGTCCAGAGTGGCACTCTTCGCTTCGCACAGCTGGATGGGACTCGAGGCGCCTGGCTTGGGCGCAGAGTGATTATCATATGCGAAACACCTGCAAGAAAAGTCAGGAACACCGTCAGAAATCTCAACACAGCGACAATTGCCGAAAGGATACTTTGCGCAGCACAAAATTCTATTTACAAATTAATAACAGACTACAAACCAAAGAAATGAGTAAACAATTAATTACACAGAGACAGACATGAGCGTTGTCAAGATGTGAACGAGAGAGGAACAAAGTTGAGAAAGTGCTGAAAAATGAATAAATCTATACTTGTAATAAAGCCATAATAACCAATTTTCCAATTAGAAATTATGTGTTAACAGAGTGAAAATATCTTCATTTCATCTCTACTTGATTAAATGAACCAACTTTTGGCCTTTATTGGCCACAAAATGTTCTCATTTCTAAGAATATCACTTAATAGCTAAAAAAGCTCTTAGAATTCAGTTTAGACTGAGTGTTTTTGATCCCCCTCTGCCCACACTTGGCCGCGCTCATGCACAGAGATTAGAAAGCATAAACACACACGACAAGGATGAGTGATTACCATTTGCTACCCTTCTGCCAGGTGATTATTTTCGTCCTGAAATTTGCAATTGTGACATTAATGAAGCATTATATGAGAGACAGAGATCCCAGACAGGACACTTTGGGTGAGAATGAAGCTGCTTTAGGGGGGTTCTTTGGACGCTTCCTCACCTGGCCATGGCGTGAATCTTCATAGCATTTGCGGATGTTATCTCGAAATTGGCCTCCGGAATTGCTCCGTACGCACTCAGATGCTTCTTCTCCTTGTAGCCGAGCTTCGACGGCACCAGCAGATGCCCGTAGGACACCTCAATGCTGCCGTCCACCTTCTCGATGCCCAGCAAATCGAAGGCATCGAACGGTGCATCGTTGATGGCCGACAGCGGACGAGGCCCAGAAGTGTTCCTGCGCCGCGTGCCGAAGTCCTTGCGCGCGTCGCGACCTTTGCAGTACGGCAGCGCGGAGAAGACGAGAAAGGGCACTTTCCTGGACGCCACAAGGACGCGATCGTCCTTGAAGTGATGCAATTTGGCCGAGCCAATGAAGCGAATCTCCTTCGGATCGGATATCTGGACATTCTTCGAGCGCCCTGAAAGACACAATTCAACACCTTTATTCACTCACCACTGGAAGTCAGGCTATAAACTCACCCAAAGACAAACTCTCAGAACTGCTGTTGTGAATATCGGATTTCCTCTCGTCGGTCAGCATCATCAGAGCTCTCTTGCTCACGCAACTCGTGCGAATTGATGATGATCCCAGGCGTGCTCTCGCCAAGATCTCATTTGGCTGACTCGAGAGTCTGCAGAAGAATGCCTTATTAATTGTTTTCCCATTAATTCGCCTGGTGCTTTGTGCTTCTATTGATTTCTTCTCTTCTTATTGTTATTGATAGAAGAACACTAATTGCTTGAGCAGATCAATTATTACTAAGGTAAGCAAGGTGAGATATTAACCCTGATAAGACTATAGTGGATCTTAATATCTCGTTTACGATTTCTTGAATCTTAAAACAAAAATATTTTAATAAAATCAAAATTGCTTCGAGTTCAGCTACAAATCGAGCCTGCAACACTTAGAATTGGCCGCAAAAACTGGTTATCAATAATTTGAACTAACGCAATTGGATAGAATGACGAATCTAAGCGAATCTTTCACAATTCGTGAGCAGATTGACAAAAACAATGGGATTTTCATTGTGTCGCAACGTCGCAACCAATGATAAGGTCACCATAAAAGAATGTTGTGCTGATGGATTTCCTCCCATTTTAGTGATAGACACACAGTAAAGCGATAGGGAAATGAAGCGTTTCACTGCAATTTCTTCCCTTCTCACGGTTTTTGTCATCATCAACAAATATGTGGTCGACTGCGAATCTTTCCCAGGAGTTTTCGTGGTGTCTCAAGTCGATGACACGAGCGTGACTGTGAGATTTCATCAGGAAGATTGGGAAGATAGTGAAATTGGTGATGAATTTGTAGCCAAGTGTCAGCTTCAATTGAAACCACTGCACGAAGAGTGGTCAGAAGCTGAGGTGCTGGACATTGAGTGTCGAGAGGACGAATTGACACTGGACAATTTGCTGCCGGACACAATTTACCGACTGAGAGTGACGATAAAGAGTGGGAATGGCGTGAAAGTCTCTGATGGTATTGATATTCTGACGAAGAGGCGACGCCCAGGACGTCCTCCACCAGGTCCTTATCCACCTATCATCAGACCGCCCATGGGAAACTCCACAAACAACATCGGACAAGCCGTGGAATCTTCAGTCAATCTGCTCTGCTTTCTTGCCGTTCTGCTCTGTAATCAACTGCTCTCCTTATCACTCAATTGATTTCTTATCGAACGTGTGTAACGACATCATTCCTTATCGTGGAGACCCAAAATGACATCCTGTCCCGGACGCACCGTGGATTCTATGAATACTGTTTGTGAGCTCGATGACACAGTGATCAATAAAATGTTCCCATATGCTATTGTTAGACGCACTTTGTACAAGAGCAAACACAGACAGCTGAGGCTACTCACCGCTCCCGGAGAGGAGTGTTGGCCGGGACGCCCTTGCCCATTGAGTAGACGACCGAGTCCGAGCTCTCGGACAGCCGGTCCTCGCCGCGCGACCGGGCGGCCACGCGGCGCCCCGTGTCCACGCGGACGTCGTCCGCGAAGGTGCTGCCGTCGCCCTCGTCCGTGTCCTCGTCCGGCTGGGAGGCCTCGATGGAGGCGACGGTGGTGATCTGGCAGGCTGGCTCCTCGACCGCCTCTGGCTCCTCCTGGCCGCCGTCCAGCGAGATGGCGGAGAGGAAGGCCAGGGCGGCCAGGCGATGCTTGTCGAAGGCCCCGTCCAGGATGGCGCCCCCGCGCGGCAAGTCACCATTGGGACACTCGAACAGACTCTGCATCGTTTCACCACTCACAGAACTGTACGCCTGATGGCACGACGTCTCACAAAGGTTTATGCTTGGGCATTGTGGACACACTCTTGTCACCCTGAACAGCACAACACAATAGCGGTAAACAAATATTTTTCAATCCAGCCATCCACTGAATAAATTCGTCACTTTTCACTGAGGTTTTTTGCGGATTTACGGAATTTTAGTACACATCCCGATAAAGTGGCATCTGAAGAGACAACAATTGTCTGTAGACATTTCGCGGGACAGGCGAAAGAAAATCGACACAGTTCGAATAGCCATAGGAAAATCATAAAAGTCATATCTCAAAAATGGCGCCTATTTCTAACGTCAATTTCTTCTATTTCCTTTCACGGTAATTGACTCTAATTGATTTGAATAATGGCGTGAAAGAAATAACTTTAGTATGACACAGGCCTATTACAGAATAGATCATACAGGAACAATTTCAAAAACAAACCGAAGAAGACATTATGCACAAAAATTCGTAATAACTATCTACCGTGCTATATCCTAAGGAAGAACTATCAGCTTATAAGCATACGAGGGATTAGTATACTTGAAAATTAAATGGTCACAGGTTAATTTGATAATTAATGTGAATATTTGCTTCTTTGGGGAACACGCCTTATCATAGTCAATACTTTCAACACAAGAACAAAGAGATTCGCAGAAGTACGAAATATGCAAAGAGACAAGGTTTTCCACAGCTTTTTGACGTTTTGAATAGCCATAAGGTCGTGGTTTGGGGCATTTCAGACTAATTATGTAATTATCTAATTTAGAAATATATAATATATTGAAACTTGTATTGAAGACATACTTAAGACATTACTAATGTTAGGCATACTCCTCCTTTCGAGTTAATTATATACAAAAAAGTTTCTCAAATTGTATAATTATTCCAAATTAAACTTTCAATTAGTTTCATTTGCCCCCCAAAAAGGGGAGTGTGAGTTGAGTGTTTAAATAGGGAATCTCCTTGGAAAAGCCCATCAAAGTAATTGTGAATTTTGATAAAGTGACAATGTTGGAAGAACGTCACAATCGCCTGAAGAATTTCATCTTCAACTACTTCTGTATTTTGCGATGTGACTTCATTCCTGACTTTGAATGGAAGATTATAAAGTGGATCAAGATATCAATTTACCCTGCTAATATGGCTTTCGCAATTTTTTGCTTCATTTGGCATTTGTTCTACCAAATGGAGGATTATGGATACGATTTAGCCCTGACGATTGTATACACTTTCGGCACTTATCAATGTTTGGTGGTTTATTACGAAATCATGATCAATAATCGAGAGAGAATTTTCACAATGCTGCGTTTCTTTGATGGATTTCTAAAGTCAACAGATCCACTTATTTCCTCAATAAGAAGAAAGCATCTTCTAGTTAACATAGAATTGGGCCTTAAGTGGACAAGGTAATAACCATTGTGCTTATGCAATCTAAATTGTTAAGGGTTGACTTGAGATCCTTTAAACTTTTTTTTACAGAATTTTCCTTATGTTCATTACTTTCGTGGGTGTAAGTGTGAACAGCTTCCATCTCTACATAACCAACTTTACCGCCCCATTGCTTTTGACTATTCCTGGTATTCCGATTGACAGTATCTTCTTCTACCCTGTCAACGTGATCTACGGAACTTATCTCTATTTCGCGATACTCATTAACATTACAAGTGCCGATGCAGTCATCATGATATTAATTCTATACTTCAGATCTGAATATTACTCATTGGCAGAGTTAGTGACTCAACTCGATGTTGATGCAGTGGCGAGAAAGAAGGGATCATACATACTGAGAATAACGTATGAAACTCATAGTGCGGCTCTGCAGAAGATAACAGAACTCACTCGGTCTTTCTGGCATCTCTACTTTCACAAACTCTTTGCCATCATGATCTACCTTTGTTGCACACTGTACATTTTTCAGTCGCTCAGTTCTTCAATTTTCATAGCAGTGTTGATTGTTGGCGCAATGACATCTCAAATCTTTATTCTGTGCTTCTTCGGTCAAGTACTGCAGAACTGTTCAGAGCTCCTCTACGATAATTTCTTTATGACGAAGTGGTATGAAATGAACTTATCCGATCAGAAGGCATTCCTCATCATGACGATGAATATACAGAGATCATTGAAAATTTCGACATTCGGCTTTGGAAACATATCAATCTACACATTTGTGCAGGTTTGATTTTCTTTTCTTTTGATTTTCGTGTCTTTTTCAATACTGATAATATCCTTCTGACTCTTATTAGATTTGCAAGGCTGCAGGGAGTTATGCTGCCATTCTTTACACCGTGCTCAATTGAAAAGAAGCTCTCAATATTGTCAGTTTAAAACACTTTAACACATAGTCAAATATGAATGTTTATGCAGAAATGTTGTTATTCAGAGATTACTAAATAAATTCAAGTCTCAGCACAACTGTAAAGATTTCCGAATTGAATTTTCTTATTGGTTTCATTCTTATTTCAGTGAAAATTCTAACTCATTCCCATACAACGGTTTCTCATTTTAAAATTCTCGCCGAGATTTTTAGTACATCTTCGGGCACTGTCGGCTATGTTCGTGGAAATATCCCATCAGCGCAGGCAGCCCCAATTGTCAGAATGACAATCGCGAGAAAAAAAGCAGTGCGACTGTGTGTGTGTGGATCAGTGTAAAAAATTCCATAAAGTAAAACGGGAATTGGGGGTGAGAAAAAGGCGAAATAGTGATCATTGAGTGTGATAATCCGTAGCAGAAGTCCTGTGCGAGACTCCAGAGTCCGTGGCAGTGGATTTTCAGTCGCTTCCCGTGGTGAAAAAGGCGCTGAGGGTGTGCAAAGTGGTGACTTTTGTGACGTGAACCCCGTGTCGCACAAGTCCCTTAAATGTTGCTCTAGTCCGGTAAGTGGGCGCCCCCAGGCGCTCCGCGCCGTCGTGGGGACACGCAGGAGTGGCGGCGCTGGGACGTGAGGCGGGTTCTGTGGGGGCCTGCGTGGGAATTCCCTCGGGAAGTGAAGATTTTCCGCGAAGAGCAAAATGGGTGACTGGGCGGCTGTCAGTCTCGGGTTTCGATCAGAGCTCCTCAAATGGTTCCCTGCAGTTTGATCGATTCAGCTTCTGCGTTTGTTTACTGATAACTCTGATAAGAGTGTTTGTGTCGCGCCAGAGCCAGAGCAGGAAACACTCTCGCCCATTGTCTTCGCAATTTGGGGTCACGCGAAAGAGGAGCCCCACTTCTCAGCGCCCTGCGCGATTGTTCGCCTCCAGCCGAGCGTGATGCTAATGCCAATCTGTCTCTCTCTCCGCAGGACATGGTTGTTGTGAGTAACGGCTGGCTGGAACATGCTGCAGAAGTTCAGTCCTTCCTCAGAGCGAATGGCTTAACAATGTCAGCGCCCCCCGTCCCGTCTGGTGTTGCCCCAAACGGCAGCAACACCCTCGTGGCACCCACCGTTGCATCGGCCGCCTCCCTCGTGCCGCCGACTCTGGGCGAACTGGCCGCCGTGGACGGCGACGCTCAGCCGCCGGGCGGACAGACGCCGGCGCCCGCGGACGCCGCCGAGTGGTTCCCGCACGACGCCGCCGCGGCGCAGGGCAACGGCCTGCGGAACGCGGCTGGTCAGCCGGCCAAAGCCATCCTCAAGTGCAGGCCCAACTCGCATCCGTTTCAGGTGAGCCGAAAGGGCGAACAAACAGTCCTCAATCACCCATTCGTGACACTGAAATGAAGAGTTCTTGTGTGAAAATAATACTATTTAATTCAGAGATCAATCCATTGAAGCAAAGACTCAAGATCAGGAGATTGCGTACAGGAAATCAGTGTGTGAAAATATGTCTAATTAGCCATAAAAGTTGTCAACTCTGCAACACTAGTCCTAAACTTCCATTAAACGAACATTAATGTCTTTATATTGAACAATTATAACCATTTTGTTAAAAACTTCTCAATTCATTTAAATAGAAGCAGAGTCATTAGCAAAGACATTCGCCATGAGAAATGCTTGCTCATCTGTGTTAATTATTTCTTTGCATTCTACAATTGACTGAAAATACTGCTGGTAGTTTACCAATTATCGCCCTTGAAAGATCTATCAAAGACAAGAAGAGAAAAGAAGGAAATGTTTTTGCTCTTGCCAAAGAGGCTGAATTGTTTGAAATTAAAAGAGATTTGTGTATCTGCGAATGATGGAATAGATTAGAATGAATTTTGGTGAGTTTGTTCGGAACTTTGCCGTTGTAACTGGATTAATTGTGTTAATCTTCTTATTCTTCAACAAACGAAAGCTAACTGAATCATTTAGAGACGGACATATTTCAGGTGTTCCATTTTCGATTAAATATTACAGTGCAAAATCAACGAAATTCATTGATTTTCCCGTGAAAATACACGTTTACAAAGACTGCGATAAATTCCATGTCTAAAATGCTCCTTGTGCGCCGCTTTTCCATGTTTGGCGGAAGGAAATGTTTTGTGGTTTCTAGTCACACGCCTGAAGGATTATTGCGATGGGGAAGAATTTCAATAACATGAGAAGTGTGCTTGTTATTGCCACTGCGTCACGAATCCCCGCAGCTATCATATTATTAAATGGTGTAGGAATTTATTATGTTGCACGGCGAGCTGATAAAAGATGCCACACAGCGAAATGTGTAGCTGTGTCAATTGAGTTAACCTCTCGCCTCTGCCTTCTTCATCGTCTTCTCTTCTCTTGTTTGTCAATTTAGAATCGGACACTTCTGCTTGAGCCGAATCAGGAGGTGAAGGTTGGGCGATCCGTGCCGCGACATCGCGTTGCAGAGAACAATGCCATCTTCGACTGCAAAGTGCTGTCGCGCAATCACGCCGTGCTGTGGTACAGTGACGGCAAGTTCTTCATACGTGACACGGGCAGCAGCAATGGCACATTCATCAACAACCAGCGCCTGTCGCCGATGTCCCATCGCTCGGACCCCTTCGAGGTGAGAGTCTTCAACTTTCCAACAATATTCCATCACTTCTTCTCTCTGACTGATAAGCTGAACACGAAGGGACAACATTTCTGAAGTCTCCAAATGGTTCAAATCGTTTTAAGAAATAGTTCCAGATTTTCTGCTATACGGGAAAAATTATATTAAGAGTTCTAATGCACTTATTTGAGCCAAATCTTTTTAAAGTTTTAAATTGCTTGAAAACTGACAGTTGTGTTGTGTTTGTGCAGGTCAGTTCTGGCGACATCGTGCAATTTGGCGTGGACGTGACGGAGAATTCGCGCAAGGAGACGCACGGATGCATCGTGGCGACGCTGAAGCTCTTCCTGCCGGACGGGCGTGAAACGAAGGCCAGTCAGTCCACGTGCGTGGGCGAGATTCCGCCCGAGGATCTGCACAGACTCAATCAGTACGTGCAGGAGATGGTGCAGCGCGAGCAGATGCTGGAGTCGAAGCTGATGGATCTGCAGAAGATACTGGAGTTATCCAAGGCGAATGCCGAGAGCAGCTGGCAGGCGATGATCGATGAGGATCGCCTGCTGAATCGCATTGACATCCTGGAGAACAAGTTGCAGTGCTATCAGAAGGGCATCACGGAGGACAAGTTGCGCGAGGAGGTGCAGAAGTTGCAGGAGGACAAGCTGCTGTATCAGGACTCGGCCAAGGAGGCGCTGCGGAAGGTGTACCAGGAGCGCTATGAGGCCATCCAGAAGCTGGCCGGCATGGAGCGCGCTCTGTCCAGCAGTGAGGATGAGTGCTCAGTGCTGAAGGAGCAGGCGATGAAGGCGCAGTCGGAGCTGAGGGACACACTGTCGCGCTTCAACACGCTGCAGCAGAAGTACGATGAGTTGGCGGAGAAGTTTAGTCAATTAGAGAGTCAGGTGGCTAAGAATCAGCCTTCGTCACTCATCCAGGCTCCCGAAGGTGACTCTGAGGGCGAGAAGAACATGAATGATGTATGTGAAATTGGGTGAAATTGTCACATTTCCTGCAATTGATGGGAATTTTTGTTGCTCTCTTCTTGCAGAAGTGTCCGGAAGAGAATTCAGCCATGAAGGAAGCATTGAGGAATCTTTTTGCCAAATCCGATCTGAAGAATCTCGAGGGATCCGAAGATATCATCAAATCAATGTTCAATGTGAGTGAATGATTGTCACTTTGTCAAATTGTGTTTGAAGAGATTAACATGGAATTGCGTGCGTTTTATTGCAGGACACGGACAGCAATGATGATTTGAATAATGTGCAAGTCACGTACTCGAGAATCTACGATAGACTCTTAGAATTGGAGAGGAATTTCACGTTATCGGACAACTGCAATCCGAGCACTGTGAAACAGGGTGAGTTTGAAGTCACACGGAGGAGATATTACGATCACAGGCTCTGTGAAAATCTTAGGAAGTGGGAAATATTTACAATTTTGACTGTCAAATGCTTTCTTACTTTGAAATTTGTGCAATTCTTGTAATATTTATCAGTATTTCTTGCACTAAAAATTATTTTTCACTACATTTCTAGGTTTAATAATATTCTCTTGGTTGGATGAAGAATCTTTGGGTTTTTTTTGTGTGTGTGATTAATATGCAGATTTCACACATGTGTGTTGGATTCGCACTTGAGTGGAGATTTGATGAATTAGTCTCATTCTCTTGGGCATTAGGCGGAATTCTCCAATGTAACACAGCATAACTGATGATCGCGCGCTTGTGTCTTTCCAGAGCACGTCCGGCGCGACAGCGAATGCTCCGTGGACTCGAATTCCAGCACAGAGACAACTGTGAGTGATGGGAATCAGAATGTGAACGAGGAGGAACTGACGCCGGTGCATAAGCGGATGATAAGTACAACAATTGGCGAGTTGAAGGAAATTTACAGTGACCTGATGAGCAATGTGGCGACGGCGCGAGAGGACGTTGTGGCGCGCAAGGAGTCCAAGGAGAGGTGCGAAGAGATGGAAGCCAAGGTAGAGTTTATTCACTTTATTTAAATGGATGTGATTCAGTTTATGAAGAAAGTGCACAATTGGCGCGATAAAACTTGGTAAAAGAACTGCTAAATTGTTGCTTCTGTTGCCAAAAAGTTGGTCATATGGAGAAGTTTTTGTAGAAAATAATGCAAAGAGAGGAAGAAAAACATGATGTTTTGTTGTGCGCTATAAATTGTTGAAATGGTTTTTGAGTGCAGTTTCTTAACAACATAATAGAATATCGTGATTTTAAGTTGTTTTCAAGTATTTCTGTTTCGCACAACTAAATAAAGGAAAAGATTTTAAGTGCTTTAACTCTAATTGCGTTGGAAGAAACGTTTTTTCCGGGATTTAAACTGAAAATTCACGCGGATTATGGTTGAAAAACCATGATCGAGTTTTTCACCTTGTAAATCCTCTAATGCACTGCGATGCTCTCTTGCAGCTGGTCACGCTGCAGGCGGACCTGCAGACGCTGTCGCTGGAGCTGCAGACGCGTCCCACGTACAATCAGTACCACGAGAAGGTGAAGCTCTGCGACGACCTGCAGACGGAGGTGGCGCTGTTCCAGTCGCAGATCGCGGGCCTGCGCGAGGCGGGCGAGAAGCTGGGCGGCGAGTGCGAGGTGTTGCGACAGCAGCTGGCCGTGATCCGTGACACCGTGCGCAGCGACAAGGCGGCGCAGACGGATGAACTGGAGGCGCCGGTGGTGAAGGTCGTGCAGGTGACGACGATGATGGAGAAGGATGCGGAGCTGTCGCAGGAGATCCAGCTGATCACGGATCCGGAGGTGCAGCGCGAGGAGGAGCTGGTGCTGTACAAGGAGAAGTTCGCGCAGCTGAGCGAAGAGAGCATCCGGATGCGGCAGGAGTTGGAGAGTGTGCGGCGGAGTTATGATTATCTGAGGAATAAGTCGCTGATAACGTTATTAACTTATTTGGTGCCCTTCGTGGCGCTCATCAGTTATTTCTTATTTACAGTGTTCTCGTAATTGGCGAGAGAGTGAGATAAAATGCAAGTTAAGTAGTTGCGCTGAGATTTCTTGTGTGTAAAATGTGGTTGATGCTGAAAAGAGAAGAAGAAAAAAATTGACCCGGTGAAAAAGAGAAGAGAATATTTATGAAATATCATCAACTTTCTCATAACATGTTAATCTAATATATATTTCTCACCATTTATTCCTCACAAAAAACACAGAGAGATGATTTTTGATGATGTGATTGAGTAAGGAAATCATCCTTTCAACTGACCTCTTTAGCAGCGCATTTTCTTCATTTTTTCACTCTCTTTCTCTCGCTCTTACATCCTGTATTTCCCGCCCAGTAAAGAGAAGAGAGTATAATTTAAAGAACTAGGACAGTGTTGTTACCAAAATTCATATTGAAAAGGAAACTCACGTAGAGAATGAAGAAACAAAAAACTCCTCATTGAATTCTGTCATCCATTAATAATTGTATTTGTATAATAGTTAAGTAAAAATTGATAGAGAAACTCTTCATATTAAACATTAAGTCGTGCGCGAACAGAGTTGTTTTAACGAGATACTAGAATATCATCAAATGAAGATAACGTTAAAGAAAAAAAATGCAAGACACAAAAAGAAACACAATTGAAATGCCTTTAGAATGTTCTTTATACACTGCAAATGAGATTAAGACAGTATATATTGATTTTGGAGGACAAAGGATGAAAAAAAATACAAGATATTATCGAGTATGTGAAGGAACAGAGAAAGCATTTATACAAAGAATAAAGGAGAATGGAGAAAGCAGAAGAACAAGAGAAAACAGAACATTTACAATAGATTATATATATATTGTCATGCTGTAGTTTTAACTTTGTGAAAATCATTCAGCAAAAGAAGAAGAAAAAAGAAGAGAGAAAATTGTGTGCAATTGTGCCATTCAAAATGTGTTTTCAGCTGAAGAATTGTACACAGATAACATATCTCGCATAATTCGGCATGTGTGCATTTGTAAGAATTTTACAAATTTAGATCAACGCAAAGAGAGCAATGCTTTTATCTTTGATGGAATATTAAGAAGAAAAAGAAAGAAAAAAAAATGACTTGTGGAAGGAAAAAGCACAGTCAGTGTTGATGAGTTTCTCCTGAATTTTTTGACCAGAATCTCCTGTGAAATCAAATAAGAAGTCGAAAGCGGTCATTGTTAATAACATTACTACAATTTTATGTATATTACTGAATAAAAAGAAGAAGAGGAGGAAGAAAAGGAACACGGATAGCAAAAGTGAAAAAGAGAAAAGAACACATGAATATATTATTACAAAGTAAATTATACAAACATGCTTTTTTGATAATAACATCTTACAAAAAGGAATACAAGTTTTACTTTCAGTTCAATTAAGTGCATCTATTAAAGTGTATTTCAAAAGAACTTTCAATGCCTTTTTACTCCTCTTTTTGCTCACTTCGAAAGTTTTGACGAATGTTGGCGATTTCAACTAATTGGTCGGCGCGAAAAGGACCAACATCAGCGACATCTGTGAAGGAGATTCGCCAAGTGTTGTCGCGCATGCATGCCAGTAAACTCATCGACAAGACGCCAGTGTCAAAATGTAAACAAATCCACGTGAATTTTCTCTCTGAACTTTCCTGCTATTTCTACACAATTCCGCCGGTGATAATGGATATCAACGATGTGTTTGACAACATCGCTCTGGCGGAGGACAAACTGACGCAGCAAGGATACGAAGAGGGCTTCGCGAAGGGCGCGGCGGCGGGAAACACGGAAGCGTATCACTTGGGCTATCACAGAGGCGCCGAGTTCGGGGCGGAGCTGGGATACTACACGGCAGTCGAGGAGATATCCAGGAGTGACTGCAAAGGACAGAAGTCCGAACATGCTCTGGATGTGCTGAGAGAAATGCTGGAGAAATTCCCCAAATCCAATGATGCAACAGTGGATTTTGTGGAAGAGATGCTGAAGATTCGTGCTCAATTCCGGAAAGTTTGTGTTCTGCTAAAGATCAAGAACGCCTTCAGCACCGAGAGCAAGCTGAGCTTCTAAAGGAATGTTTAGGAACTACAAGGACATAATATAATTTCCAATTAAAACGAGCCAAACAATCAGTGTAGGTAAGTAATTGCCCACAATGTGCTTTAGAGTCATTAGAGCCAATAAAGCGCTGATATTGCAACAAAACAGAGTGTTCCCAATTTTGATAGAGAAAGAAAGCAAAGTGTCTTGGCAAAAAAAACATCTGAGAAGCGCCATAATCATCTTGCAATTACTTTAATTTTAATAAGAATTGCCTGCTACCGATTACAACTGCGTGGAGATTTCCACTTGAGAGGTCTTTGAATTCGGCACAGGGCGCAAAAAGCGACACTTATCGGGCGAGCGCACATGGGATGTTTGGCTTGCGTGACCCTCCAAGAGGCTGGGCGTAATCGCATTTCGGTGGTTTTCTGGAATGCGCGCCAAATAGAGACAATTGCCACCCCAACTCCTCCAGTCTCCGGGCGCTCGAAGGAGATGGAAAACAAGGGAGAATCAACAATACGATCTCCTCGAGCGCGCTTTCGCAGCGAATAAGCTCAGCAAAGACTTGAAAAGCAGAAAGAATCGCGATTTTCAGCTGAATATTCAACTGAGTTCATTGAGCTCGATCCTTAGCAGTTTTTGACTTTTTGTCTTGGTGTTTTAGCCAATTTCAAGAAAAACTCTAAAAGTCATAATTTTTGTCAGATCAAATCCCAAGTTTTTCCTCATTTTTACATAAGAAATCAGATTTTCTGCAGGAAAAAGAGTTTCATAGTTTTAGGTTGGCTATAATAAAATATTTCAATCATTTCTGCTGCTTTTGCTCATAATGAATGGCTAAAATATTAGCAGAATTCAGCACAATGTTTAGCATTTCTCTGGTCAATTATTACTGCTTGAATATTGGACTCGACTGAGGCCGACGAGGAGGTGAGAGTCCTTTTTGGCGGGGTGAAAAGTCGTGCATTCACAGCATTATCAGGAGAAGCCTCACCAAATGCGACAGGAAGTATTGACGAAATAGCTTGTCTATAATCCATATTTGCTTAACAATCCGAGGCTAAGAGGTGTTATTTGGAACGTGATTTCACAATTGTGAATTTCCTGTGTCGATACTTGAAACCCTCTTTATTCGTCAATCAATGAATATTGTGTCATTGTTGTAAATGAATGAATTGGAATCACTTTTGGCTTTTAAAATAGATCAACAATTCTACAGCTGTGAATAAAGAAAAGCCTCACTCGAGAGTCTGGTTTGTGTTGCTAAGTGATGATCTTATCTGGTAAATTTGCGAAAATGTACTACAAATTAAATCGGGAGGAGAAATAAAAAAACACACACTCAAAGTCCTGAAATCATCAGAAACAGTGTTGAATGTCGATTTGGAATTAGAGCCCTGAACTGGTAAACAAAGTCCTTGTAATGATTGCTAATTATTGCATTGAGTTTGGATGGAAAACAAATCCATTGGGCATCGCGCTATCAGTTTGTCGTGTGTCAAAGTGTAGATGATAAGAGGAATTTCGTGCACAGTTTGCCGTCCGTTTGTTTTGAACTTGGCGCACTGTTGGAGGCTCGCCTCGCAGCACACCTTAAAAATAGACACTGACTAGCAACTGGTTATCTGGCATAGTCTGGCAAAGGTGAGAATTGCTGTTGTGTGTATCGAAGGAATTCTCGGCACTTTTTTTTTCGCTGAACAGCTAAAAAATCCAGATAAGAAAATACTCAACTGTATTCCAGCGAAAAATTGCTTTTCTACCCACCACTGAATGTCTTATAATTTGGACTGAAAATAGGAAAAAAGCCATAACATTCTCACAGGGCTCAGAATTTCTGGGTGTTATTGGTAATATATTGATAAGATGTTTGAGATTTTCGAACGACTCGCATAATTTTGAGGAATTTGCTGTTGCTATGCCATCATTTTCTGGCTTCGCCACTTTTTATTAGCGCCACGAGATGAAAATATACTGACAACTGTTGGCTTTCGACTGAGCAGAGGCGAAGCACGCTGTCTTGCCGCGAGAGTCTTTCTGTGGTCAAATTGTTTGGCCTCTGATCAATATCGCAATTGGAAATGACGTGCAAAGCAGTGAAATGCAGTGGAAATATCATTGCAAATTGACGTCATTGGGATGCACGTTTTACTTTCCATCTTCCCTAAACATCGGAAACGCAAGTGTAACTCATGTGCAGTTACTTCGAGTGACGTCAAAGAGCATGGGATTTTCAGGGAAAGTAATTTGTGCCTTTTTTCCATGATATTTTGGTCAATAAATCTTCTATTCACTACAATTCTACTTTCTGCCATTTATCAGAGCATATTTTCCAAAGTTCTTTCACGATTTTCAAAATTGACACGAATTTGGAAAGCTAACTTCACAGCCTACAACTCTCTAGAGCCTATGAAGGTCGACAAATGGCCGCCAGATGGTGCTAATAACTCCATTATGCGATAAAAGTCTTTTTATGCATTATGTAGTAAAATATTGATTAATACTGTTGGCTGTATTTTGCGGCGGATTCTAGAGAGGAAAAACCATAGTCTACAAATGTCCAAAACATACCACATATTCATTTGATTCTTATCCGCATTTTCCCCATTTTCATTTGCGTAAAAGCACTATACAGTTTGATGAGAGAGAAATCCAGTGCAAAATCACATTTCCTGATTGACTTCATATAGCTGGACGTGCGATGAAAATAGCAGCGCTTTTCAGCTGTGGGAGCAAAAAACTGAATTTGCATTCGAAGTCTCTCGCGTGGTGAAGTCAGATTTCAGCTGAGAAGAGTGAAAGAAAATAGAAAACAGACTAATTTTTCATGATCTAGCGATATAATTTACATATTCCGCAAAGATTTTCCGTCAATCCTGTTGCTTTTTCTCGTGTGGTTTTTCCCTAAATATCACCAAAACGAAATGCCACAAGTGTGTTTATGTTTTGTGTCGTCAGTTCTACAGACATTTTTTTTTCAATCGTCTCACAGCTGATGAAATCCACACAAGAATTTTATCATCTCACCATGTTTTCTCATGTTGAGAGATGATGGTGAAAGAATACTTTAATTACATCAGCTTTGTCACAGTGTGTTTTGTACACACATTTTGCCAATATTGTTCCTCCGGAGTCAGGTGACTTTTGCCATGCTTTTCGGGCCTTCTTGCCACTCCCAAGATCACCTTGACTGGCCTAATACTATTAGGCTTCTCGTGAGATATTTGATAGCATCTGGAATATTGACTTGAGCGTCAGAGCGAGAGAGAGAAGAGCGGTCTTCTGAAGTAAAAGTGCCCACAAGTTGCCAAGTCGCGCTGATACTTTTCAAAACTTGTTCATCTCTGGGGACAATTATTATCAAAATATTTGGAGACTTTCAGAGTCCACAATTGTGTGCTCTTTATGTGAGCGCGCGCGCGCGCGAGAGAGAGCTGGAAAATTGGGCCAAATGAACTAGTTTCTTGTGGATTTCGCTGCCCTTTTTAGAAAAGCCAACAACATTTGAACAGTGACGCAAAATCGCCCCGAAATTGACCTTTTTCCACCCAAATTGCAATTGATCGCATTTAGAAAGGCGACGGGCCCCCAAAGTGTTCTTTTGCCTGTTGAACAAGTTCCGTCAGCTGAAATTTGTCTTCCGCATTGTGAGAAAATTGCGCGCACAGACGAGTGTGAAAATAAGTCTATAAATTGCGTCTTGTTGTCTCTGGAGGCTCGTGATTTGGGGAGGGCCAAAAAAGCCACCTAGAGAATCGCAATCTCCTGACCTTTCTTCCTCCAAACGGATTCGCGCTAGGTCCAAAAATATATCATCTAGAGAAAGAGCGCTCATTAATTGAGAGGCAAAGCCCAGAGTCAGGGTGCAAAAAAAACCACGCGATTCCCCGGTTCTTATCGACAAACACTCCACAGTCTCTGAATGTTTTGGAGCGCTGTGAGAGTGTGTTTTTGCCGGGGGAAAAAGCCTTAAAGTCGCTCCGGCCATTCGTCTTATCGTCTCGCGGGAGAAAGAGAGATTAAAGAGCCATAAAAGCGCTCCTCTTTTTCCGACCCGCGCGCCCGATTCGGGTAAATATAGAAGAGTGTTGTATTTTAAACTTAAACCATGGCAACAAGGAAATGATGAAATATTTTTGAACACTGGGTGTTTTGATTGCCACCATTATGACTTATCGATGCTGGACACAGATTTCTGATGGCAGATTTCAGCAACAGCTCTCACTACGGCGCACATCGCAGCTGGAGATGCCATGGCGTGTGCTTGTTTACAGGAAAGCGGCATTTTCGCCCAGGATGGGGAAAAACAGCAGGAAAATACTGATAGGCAAGAGTGGCTCACAGAGGCTAATAATAGGAAAATTTGGTGTGTTTGTGCGCGAATTGGAGTTATGAATTGATTGATTCGTGGTTGTTTGATTCGTTTAACAATGAATGGAGCTTTTCTCTCTCGCGATAAAGGCTTGATTCTGAGTGCAAAAGCTCTTAACAACAATGAAGATTTAAATTTATATACTGCTATTAAGTGAGTTTTGCCTAATCCAGTAAGTTCTGGTTGGATTTGCTCAGAAAAACGATGTTTTGAGCATTATTAACTCGACAATAAACCCAAATAAAACTAGGGAAAAGTGTCACAAAGATCTATTATCAATCTGTTAAAGCTTGAAGAGATGGAAAGCAGACAGGAAATCCTGCTGTTTCCTTTGAACAGTAGATAAACAGTGAAATCGAATTGTTCTATTATTCTTAGCTTTCCTTTTACAACACACTTTTTCTGAATACAACTGAAAAATACTACAATTAATGATTCTGTTTGAATTTTTTTTGTCATACAATTCGTTGTGTTTTCAGTTGTTATGACGTCTTTTTAATTTTAATTTGTTCTTTTATCTACTAAATTACGGGGAAATGAGATTTTTATTTGATCAGATTAAAAACCACCTCGAATTGTCGTACTTAAGATCAGAGAACAGAAAATTAAATTTAAGAAAGTTTTCCTGTTTTTCCTCCAAACGCTAGCCTTGGATTTGTTTTTAATAATTTTAACGTTCTCAAGTCAAAGCTCTAGTAAATGATACAAACCTTTTTGCAAACATCATAAGTAAATACAAAAACAATTGGAATCAGTTGTTTTGAAAATTTTGTCTGGAAAGTGAAAAACAGGCTTTTTGTTATTTGTATCTCAAGTGAGATTTTCAGACATGCCAGGAAAAAAGATCTCCTATCTCGATGCTTGTACATAAAATCTGACCCCTGGACTGAAGGCACCTCTTTGGATTAGAAAACAAATAGTTTATAACGTGCTGATTGGTGTTCGATTAGGCCGAGCATATTGATAATCCGGGAGGCGCGGATTCGCGTGTTGATCTTTCTCCCGAATTATCATGCCTAATTATGCAGTATCAAACATCTCTCATGTGTGCTGCCGATGAAGAGTTCGAAGACTCTCCTTCAGATGACATTGGGGGCGCGCGCGCGCGAAAACAATAGCGTCTTGTGGATCAACTGATGATTGGCCATAAACACCCGGTTTGTGGATCAATTAATTCGGGCGCGGGAGAGTCAACAAGTGGGTGGCAGAGTAAATTTGCACAAGTGCGCTGGAGGTGGAAGGCTTTTCCACAACATGTTTTTTTCCCTATGTTGGCAACAGAGCGCGGTTTGGCGTCAGCTGGTGATACTGGTTGGAACAAGTGGCCGATTGAGAGACATTCGGCGAGTGAGACGATTGAAGCGAGCCTCCAAATCCGTCCAATCGCCTGATACCCAGTGTCCCCACCTCGGCGTGGCAGCGCTATAAAAGCTCGCTCGACGGGAGCAGTGGAATTATTCAGTTCTCGAGTGGCTCTCGCTGAAGATCTCGCAGAGACTTCCCCAATTTTCCCTCTCATATATTACAAGAACGTGTGGTGGAATTCTGAGATACAATCCCGTAAATGAATTACACTGAACAATTCAACAAGCAAATCTTCAGCAGTGAAAAGCACGAAAAGTCCTGGAATCTGTTCGATTACTTCTAGAAATTCCCCGGTGAGGAATTAATTTGTGAACACACCCTACAGTTCAGGAAGACGTGAAAATCATCTTGACATTCAACAATGCCTGAAGTCATCGAGAAATATTTTACCCAGTAAGTTGAACAAGCGCCCTTTTTTTCATCACTATCGCGATGTATTTTCTGGGAGTGTATCGATCGCTGTTATCGCTTCTCTGTTATCTTATTTGGGGGTTTTGCCCACTATTTAGTTAATGACTTACTCATAATTTCCCTCTCTTCTCCTCTTTGCAGACTGCCCAGCCAGGTGGGTCACTATGCTGTGCCGAAGAGCGTCGGCTCCAAGGCGGCGCCAGTGGCGGATCTCAGCCGCCTGTCGCCTCAAGTGCGCCAATTTGTGGAGCAATCCATCCTGCTCTGCGCGCCGGATCGCGTGCACATCTGCGACGGCAGCGAGACGGAATATCGCAGTCTGCTGGCGCTCCTGCAGCAGCAGGGCACAATTGTGCCGCTGCCGAAGTACGACAATTGCTGGCTGGCACGCACGAATCCTGCCGACGTGGCCAGAGTGGAGTCGCGCACGTTCATGTGCACGGAGCGCCGTGAGGAGTCCATCCCGACGCCCAGAGCCGGTGTGGCGGGAAGTCTGGGCAACTGGATCGCGCCGGCGGGCTATGATCAGGCGATCAAGGAGCGCTTCCCGGGCTGCATGAAGGGCCGCACGATGTACGTGGTGCCCTTCTCCATGGGGCCCGTGGGCTCGCCGCTGGCGAAGGTGGGCGTGGAGATCACAGACTCGGCGTACGTGGTGGCGTCCATGAGGATCATGACGCGCATGGGCGCAGCAGTGCTGGACGTTCTGCAGGAGGACGACAGTGACTTCATCAAGTGCCTCCACTCTGTCGGCACCCCTGCTACAGGAAAGGTCGACGTGGCGTCCTGGCCATGCGATCCCGAGCGCACAATCATCCTCCACAAGCCGGCGGCCAATGAGATTGTCTCCTACGGCTCCGGATACGGCGGCAACTCGCTGCTGGGCAAGAAGTGCTTCGCGTTGAGGATCGGCAGCACCATTGCCAAGAGAGAGGGATGGCTGGCTGAGCACATGCTCATCCTGGGCATCACGAATCCCGACGGCGAGAAGCGCTACATCGCAGCGGCCTTTCCTTCGGCATGCGGCAAGACAAACCTGGCCATGATGACACCCACGCTGCCCGGCTACAAGGTGGAGTGCGTGGGCGATGATATCGCCTGGATGAAGTTCGACGCCAGCGGCCAGCTGAGGGCGATCAATCCCGAGAATGGCTTCTTTGGAGTGGCGCCCGGCACGTCGGACGAGACCAATCCCAATGCCATGAAGACAATCTTCAAGGACACTATCTTCACCAATGTGGCGTCCACGTCTGACGGTGGCGTCTTCTGGGAGGGCATGGAGGCGTCTCTGGCGGCCGACGTGAAGATCACGGACTGGCAGGGAAGGCCGTGGGAGATGGGCGTGACACGCACGCCGGCTGCGCATCCCAACTCCCGTTTCTGCTCGCCGGCGGCACAGTGCCCGATCATCGACGCCGCCTGGGAGGATCCCGAGGGTGTGCCCATCAGCGCCATCCTCTTCGGCGGACGTCGGCCGGCCGGCGTGCCACTGGTGTACGAGGCCACGTCCTGGGCTAGCGGCGTCTTCGTCGGCGCGGCCATGCGCAGCGAAGCCACGGCCGCCGCTGAGCACCGCGGCAAGATGATCATGCACGATCCCTTCGCCATGCGGCCCTTCTTCGGCTACAACTTCGGCCACTACCTCAAGCACTGGCTCACGATGGAGCAGCGCGCTGAGAAGGCTGGTGGCGTAGCGCCAAAGATCTTCCACGTGAACTGGTTCCGGAAGGATGCACAGGGCAAATTTATGTGGCCGGGATTCGGCGAGAACTGCCGCGTCCTCGAGTGGATCCTGCGCCGCGTGAATGACGAGGAGTGCTACAGAGAGACGGCCATTGGCCGCATTCCCTCGTCGGGGGCTCTCAATGTCGACGGCCTGACGCAGAAGGTGAATCTCGAGGAGCTGTTCTCCCTGCCGAAGGACTTCTGGCTGCAAGAGGTGCAGGATATAGCCACGTACTTCGACAATCAAGTGGGCGTCGACCTACCGCCGCAGGTTGCTCATGAGTTGGCGACACTGAAGCAGCGCGTTGCCCAGCTGTAAACCATTTAATTGTAGCTGAAATTCAGAGTTCAAGAGTCGCACAGACCACAATTAACACAGTATAATAAGAGATGAACAGAAAAGAAATGAAAAAAATGAGAAAAACATGACTTGTGATATGATTTTGTATATTTTTATATAATGGTTACATCAATTTAAATATAGGAAAAATAAAATTTTTATATACTTGTATTCACATCTCTTTTTTTATCCATGGCATATTTTTTTTGTATACTTGTGTATTTGTTCCAGTTGATACATTTTCCATTAAATCCCTTTTCTGTGGGGAGAACTTAATAATAATCAGTTGACATTGAGAAATTCAGAGGACAGTTGAGAAAAATTTTAAATTCTCGCATGACGATCAACAATTTTGATATGAAGAATGATTGTCAGTCAAATTACATTTAGTCCTAACTATATTTATTCTTACTATACATCAACGTATGGTTTCTAAAATAGAAGTAAGTTTAGACGCTATAGAGATAAGTCGGAGAATTTATGGTCGCAACAGACGAGATTACGGGAAACCTGGAGAATCTATTGTCCTTCAAGACATTATTTGACAGATGTGAATTAGAATCACGAGTTGCGACCAATATTTCACTGAATTTAGAGGAATATCATACAAAAGTCACTGAATAGGCCTCATGATGACATTATACAGAGTCTTATTCCTAAGTAGTTTCACAATAATTCCTAACTTGTAAAATATTTAGAATGATTATAATTGTATTACGGTCAAAACATTGAATTCAAACACCATCGTGGTTATAATTCTGCTTCTATCAATGGAGATTTGGAGTACAGGAATCAAGGATCACTTTCTACGTTGATGGTTTTTATTTTTATTGTGTGACTGACTGAAATTGTGCACTAAACTTGAATCTAGGATTTTAGGCCGCTCTGCTACTCTTTATGTTGTTTGCAAGATCAAAACAACAATCAAAGGATCTTCCTTGCATTGACTCAAGTCAATAAAATTACACTTATTACCAAGAATTAAGATTCATCGTTAAAATTATTGATAAATTGTCTTTGAAAATGTTTGGGCATTTTCTCTGTCTCTCTTCTTTTAGAACTTACACACAATTGCACCACTTTTGAGGGATTCACAAAAGGTCATCGTCACGAAGGATTGCAGTAGATGGATGATTTCACAACAAGGATATCTCATATCACATTTAAAGCATTCTCTTGAGTCACAAAGGTATAAATGGCCAAGTGTTCTGTGGTCTCTTGGAGGACAATCGAATGGATTGATGAAGCAATTTGCAACTGCAAATCAATTGTGATTGGTTCCATTGAATTGACAAAACAACTTTGTCTGTATAAGGAAATGGCTTTAAGTTTTGCACAAAGTTGAAACAACAATTTTTCTGCCAAACATTCCAATTAAGCTATTTAACTATTTTCTATTTTGGCCTCAAAAGCTTCTGCATCAATTGATCGTCAGATAATTGAATATGACTTCCTCAGCATCCTGTCTTGTCTTTCTCGCCAATTGTCGGTGATTGTCAGACTCTCTGTTCCTCAAGTGAGCGACTCTTCTTGCCTCTTATAACACATGGAGATTTTCACAGCTCTTGGATTTGCTTATATCACTGAGGCAGATCTTCTGGAGGATCTCCTTGGCCAGATGGAGGGACATGTGCGTGCGCGAATTGCGCATCTTGCTGGCACTCTGGGCCGCCTTCTTGTCGCGCGTCTCCTTCAGACGAATCTGCGACCATAAACAGACAAAGGAAATTTTATAAGAAGAGCACACAGAGAAGCAATTGCTTCACACGCTTTACTCTGCAAGGAAGATTGGGTATTCAATGGCTAATTAAGAGATTATGTAAGATTCTAGACGTTCTAGAATCTTATACAATATAAATCATCCATAAACATCAGTTGATAAAGGATTAAATGCACATTGAATTCCTCTTCATGTCGCACATGAACTTGCCTGCTTGAGGATTCCCACCAGCAATTCGTCGACATTGTGCTGAATTCCACTGGAAGTCTCAATGAATTTGGCGTCTCTCGAGGCGGCGAGAGCTTTTCCCTCTGCACAGTGCAAGGCGATTATGGTCAGTGGTCAACACAATTATGTCTGAGCTTAATACCTTGAGTGGTTATAACACGGGAACGTGCCAAATCTGCCTTGTTTCCCACGAGAATCACCGCCTTATCTCTGATGACATTCTCACGCCACAGGTAATTGATAGTTTCCTCAGCACAGCGGAAGGAGCTGCGGGCGACCACAGAATACACCACCACACAGCCGTGGGGCTCGTAAGTCGACAGGGAGTTCTCCACCTGCACAACGAGCAGACTTTGTACACACGAACGCTCAATGGAGGAAATTATTGGAAGTGTTTTCCCAAGCAAATATCCTGCAAAGCTTATCAATGCGGAGAATCTGTACAAGGTCCCGAATTGTGTGTGTGTGAAAGGGAGATGAGTGACTATGCATTCAGAGTGATGTGTATTTTGCGATGAAAGGACGAGGAAATAGTATGAAAAATATTTAATATCATGATCGATAAGGGAAAATAAAACACTTGAGATGATTACAGCGTCTCGTAAGTTGCAATAAGGTGAAAATTGCAGTCGTTTTAGCACCAAGAATTGACACAATCCTCAATAATTGTAGGATGCAAAAAAGGATTTTCTGCTGATTCCAGCGAAACGTTCACAAAGATTGAACATTTCACCATTAACTTTGCACCTTCACCTTCACCTTGGTTTTATTTGCAATTCTATGGCTTTTCAATATCACTTGACCTTCCGGCCTTTCCAATGAACGTTCCATCAGCAGAAAAAAAAACTTGTTTCTATGGCTGAAGCTCATTCAGAGCACTGTTTGCTCAATTTCAAAAACAAACGGCAAAAGTATCACATTTTCCCATTGATTCTTGGGACATTAACATATTTTTAGATTTTCCTTGGCATGATGATAAAAAAAAACAAATTTTTTTCTTACATAAAATGCCAAAATCATTAATTACGCGTCTCACAGTATGCAAACTTTCCACATAGTCATCTAATGAAGGTTTTCTTTGTTAAAAATTCCCTTTTGGCAAACAATTCCACTCACGCAGGAGATTTCCCCGCTCGCTGGCGCTTTTCAGTCGGAGGGAGGGGGAGGCGAAAGTTGCTAATTTCGGGGCGGAAGACCCCAAAGAATTCCGAGTCATTGAGGGTGGTGAGTGATGTTTGGGAAAAGATGTGGGTCAACTTACGCTCATTTCAGACGTGGGATGATCAATGAACACCATCTCGGACTCCTCACCGTCCAGGAGGATACTCACGGTTTTCTCCCCGAATTCGTCATCTACTTGAGATGGATAGACGGGAAAAGATGCAAAATATCTTCATAGTAACACACAAATGGACAATTTCAGCAAAACAACATCGTCTGAGGGCCAATTTCGGGGAAATGTTGGGGCTAGAAAACCGCGGGGAGTTCTTCACTTACCCAAGCTCGCGTCGTACGTGTGCATGTACTCAGACGTCATGAATTGCGACACGAGGGCAGTCTTGCCGACGCCGGCGTCGCCCAGCATCACGACGCGATACCTGAGCGGAGTGCAAGTGTGGGGAGATTGATACAAAATGGATTTTAATTGGGAATATGGTGTGCTTCCCACTGCGATAAGACATTGCTCAGGTGCTCACCTGGGCGGCGGCGGTGGTTCGCTGTCCGTTGGCGAGGGTGGAAGTGAGTCGACTACCGAGTATCCGCCACCACAACACGACCCATCAAATGGTGACCTCTCGCTGGCTCTGCCGAGAGAAATGCAAATGAATCGTTACACGTGCGATAAATTATTTAATTTCTAAATTACTTTCCAGAACTCTCCACTTATAAGTCGTTTTTTTTTCAACTTGTCGATAGCTATTGGCGTTAGGTGTGGAAAAGGCAGAAGAGCAACTTTTTTAACCTGCCAATAAACTCCTTTCTATTTCCCACTCATTCATGAACCCCACTTTCACACTTTGATGTGTTTAATTTTTCGGAAAATCTCTTGAACGAATTCTTAATAAAATTATAAATCAAATTTAAAAAATAAAACCAGTTTGACAGACCGAGAAATTGTGGAAAATTTTTAAAATTGAATCATTTTATAGGGAATTTCAGTGTTCTACTAATCTGTCACTTTTGCAGGAATGCCACAAACATAAGTAAATTTATCTCTGAAAATCTTGTGTGAAAAATGGCAAAAAAAAACACATTTGCGAGAGAATCAATGAAGTGGCAACACTCATGAGCTCTGCGTAATATTCCTTAAGATCCTACAAAGCCCACAAAGTGATGTGACAAAGTGCAGAAAATACTTTAAAGACTCTGTTAAAGAGAATTTTATTGACAAATTCATTCGTCTTCCAGCGCAGGAACATTTTCCATATTTCCATATAGCGATTAAATTGTATATTAAATAAATTTGCAAGCGGCGAAAAATGATCCCTCCCATCCAGCTCGTGATATTGATTAATCCCGCCCGCACTTGGGGAGAATTCCACCGAGATAAATGATAATTTCAGGCGCACTTTTCCTCAAAGGCCGTTCAACTCAGGCCGGAAAATTCCGGGGCTCAAGCGGAATCTCATTAATATGCATTACAGAAAGCTGTGATTTATTGGCACGTGAAATGTATTTAGTCAAAACTGTAATTGAAATTATTACAATCACATTGCGAGGGGATTTTGTGGGTTAACCGAGGAAGATTGGTCGCTTAGCACTAAATCGTGGCACATTATTTTGCAAAATCGCTTCACCTGAGCAATTGATGAATACCTCAGAATGTAATTGAGATTATAGGACAAACAATTAGGCTTGCAATTAGAGGAATAATAGATTAGGTGAGAATTGTGGGATTTCAATACCTCAAATTAATGTGTGACAATTTACTCAATAATTAAAGGAAGTAAGCGTACCGCAATTACCGTCACAGACACATTAATTGTTCATGGAATTGATGCATTATTCTACAATTTACATGATTAAGACTTCAGTGGGCATTTTCTCAGTCATTTTCACAGGGAAATTGTTCGCCCCAGGAAAAACTCAAGGAAGAATGAAGATGAAATATGGCAAACTGTGAAGAGTTCCTAATTAAATATATCAACTTTCTGAATTGAGTGATGAACTTCCATAATCCATCACTTCCAGACGAGAGAAATCAATCAGGCGAGCTTTAGCAGCAAGCCAAAGTCGTGATCTTACATATAAACTCTACTACAATTCATCATGATTCCACTCTCAATTGCTACAAATCATTGCGGTGAATTTTTCCACTTCACGATTTATCCGTGTGAAATTTCAACTATGTCACCGAATACAGCGAAAAGTCACATGTTCGTAATGTGATTTTTCACGCAGTCTCATCTATTAATCATGCTGCAAGGCGACTCTCGCCATATGGATTCGGTTCTAAGGAAAGACGCTGAATATTTCACGAATGTTGATCAAAATTGTGGCTTTTGCCAAACTTTTTCCCGGGAAATTGTTGAACAAGAGAGTCTTGAAGATTTTCCTTGAGATTTTCCCTCATTACACATAAAATACAAAAGTGCACACAAAACATTCTCTTATACACATTCCCGTGTTTGGCATTGTGAATACGGGACCACTTTCCAAATGCCAAAATATCCCCAGAGAAAAGAATTTCCCGCGCGCACAGCAAATGAAATATTCAGCATCTCAAAAAGGGCATCCTTTTCCACCATCAATTCGCCCGTTACAAATTGCGCTCAACTTCCCATTGGCTAAAATTAATTGGCGCATGTAGCGAGATGTCATTAGATGTGTCTCTACCTGTTGGCAAACAGTCCGAAATTCCTTTAACAATTAATTCCTTATATCGCATTATAAATATGTCATTAAGTAATGCTCTCGTGGGCGGCAGACAGGGAAGGTCAGTCGAAATAACATCGAAATAAATCTTCAGAGGTATTTTCTTTTCAACCTTCCCTGGCATTGATGGCGCGCGCGGAGGGTGGAATGTGGAAAGGACAGAATTTATGGATTTCCCGTGAAGAACGAAGTCTGCAGAATGTAAAATATTGGAAATTGAGAGAGTGTAGCGGCGATTTTGCACAACTTTTTCTCCTTCACCATGGCGAATGACCATGAAATATCTGCTCACTTTCATACGTGCGATGGTCCATTGAATTGGGGGGTGGAAGAAAAAGGTGAAATTTGCGTCTGAGTGTTGTGAAAGTGGGTCAAAATGTAAGCTTTTTCATGGACATTTCAGATGCTTTTACTGGGTGAAACTGTGCAAGTGGAGAAATTTAGAGAATATTCATCACTATTTCAGCGTGTAAAATGAAACTCTGCAAAGCATAGGTTTATTAAAAGCTCCCCTTTACCACTGTGTTGATTGAATTTCATTTGCAGATTTCTTTCATGCTGTGAAATGCAACACACCAGAGTAATAACAAGCAGCAGAATGGCAAATATGTGACCAACGTGTCCATAAGTGCATTTATTTAAGCTTAATTGAAGTCTCGCATCCAAAATCACTAATGGAACATTTGTGTGTGATTAAAATATTACACATTCCCCAAATAGAACAGACTATTTAATGCTCTAAATCACTGGCAAAACATCAAAAGCTCTCACTCTGACAAAATAAACAATTTCCACTCTTAGTGAAGCTTTTAATTTGCGTAAGGTAATTATCGAAAAACATTTCCACTGTTAGTAATTCACACAAGAACATCACAGAGATGGCTTTCCTGGAAGATTTTCCGAGCACAAAATTCAACTGTGCAAATTTAATTATAGAGATTGAGTGCGCATTAGGAAGAATGAAAATGATAGAGAAGCTGAGACTGTTCTAATGAATAGCGCGTAATTATTTCACAGTTGAAAATCCAAATGCCACGAAAGGCATTCCGTGTGCCTCAAAAGGTAGAATTTCACCCAGAAAAAGGATTCAACAGGTTTCTGTGATTCTATCAGGCAAACTTCTCCTTTCATCCACCCAATCTCACACTCCCTCTCACGGAGCCTTCAAGCTCCTGTGCGATACAATGTGGCGATGATTCTCTCCATCGTCATGACTACGGCAATTGGAAGTGTGAGTTGCGGAATCTCTAAATAAACTTTTTCCTCATTTCCACTATATGGAGAGCTTTCGGAGAAATACAACCTCATGAATATTGCAATGTGCATATAAAGATAAAGCTTAAAATGGCATCAGCACGGCTGTGGCGTATTATTTTCCAGTTAGAAAATTAAATTTCGCAGAATTCACTTCAAAGATTTCCCTGTTTTCTCCTCTGCAATAAATACAAATTGCTATTTCTCATAAATAGCCACATCGGTTACAAAAAAATCCCCGGATTTATTGCAAAAACACAAATGCTGAGGGATAAGAAATAACTCATTTATTTCTAACGGATAATTTTGCAAGAAAATTGTATTTCCACGCCTTCGCGCTCTTATTTTCCCTGTGATTTATGTATAATTGACTCATAATTTCCCAGGGGCGAAATCTTTCGCCTTTCTGAGCACGAGATTTCCCGGGTGTTGAAAAGAATTTATTTCAATGATTTCAATTCTCGCATAATGAGTAGAAATATCGCGCGCGTTTCTTCATTTCAACTTTTTTTTCCCCCATATTTAATTGAATTCTCTCTTTTAATCTGCTTCGCACCTTTCATGGCACAGTGGAAGATGTATAAATTGGATGGGAATAAGATTGCAAATAGAATATTACTCGGTCATGAGCTTCTTGAGGACTTGAAAGGTCATTTCGTCACGAAAGCGCTGCAATTTCATTGCAAAACAGAATTAAGGAATTAATAAATGGATGAACTTCGTCAAAGAATGTTTTATGGGTAAATATTTTTTCCTCTCCTGTCTTCAAGATGATATTTTTAGAGTGAATCTCTGACGCGATCCTTTTTGCAGATTTCAGGTGTTCCCTTTGTGGGGTGTGAGATATTTCCAAATATAGATTCCTTCTGTCTACATAAAGCAATATCCTCGGGAGCTTTCGGGGCTTATGTGCGACCGGGAAAGCGCTCAAGATGAAATCTCTGTGGGATAGGCATTCCCGACGCAAACCCCCGCCCTTTGATGCCCTGTTGGGTTGAAATTAAAGCCCAGCATTTCTTTCTCACACACAAAAATATCCCATCCGATATTTCCAAGAGGGAGATAATGCGCCTAAGTTTTGAACATACACCAAGAGAATTGCAGAAGAATTTTTGATAAACAGTGAGGCTATGACATTATTATTTAACTTTGGTTCATTATAGGCTAAAATTCAGGTTATATATCAGTTATTTCTTGATATTGAGCTCAAAATAATCATGTCAAAGCATAGAAAAATCGTGAAAAAACTCTTCAAAATACAATTTTCAGAATCAAAATTAATTTTTGAAGATTTGTGTGACTTTTATATATTCTTAATGTCTATTAAATAGGTTGTTTTTAGTAACTCATTATGTCTTAATTGGCGTTTCGACTAAATTGAAAGTACTCCACCAATTAGTCATAAAAGAAACCTTTCTAACTCAAATATTGTTATTATTTAGTCACTTTGATGTAACATCTCCTCCTTGGATATTCCTTTCGTCATAAGCCAAACGCTTCTTTCCCTTTCGGGAATGAAAAAAAAAGAATAATTTTCCACCCTCGCAAATTCATCTTGTGGGCATTGAGCTGAAATCCCAACGGACGACAGACGATTTTCCATAAATTAACCACAGACTGGGATGGGAGATTCAGCAATGCACTTGGGATTGGGGTGGATGGAGTGAATTGAGTGGGGCAGAAACACCCATTTAATGTACCCGCCAATTTTCCCTGTGCAAACAAATTCCGAGTTAATTCTCCCTTTCGAACTCATTATTAAATCGTTTCCCATTTGCTAATTACGGAGATAAGTAAATGTCAAAGCTCCGGAGAAGGGTAAGTGATCAGCGCTCAATATCGCACCAAATATCACGTCATTACACTGCCGCCACCCCTTCAATTTGCCTTATCTCCCTCCAATGGCGCAACTAAATTAATATTTCGCTCCAGCACAAGGGATGAGGAGAACGCGCCCGAATTAGCATAGAAGAGGCGACGCTCCAGAGAGCTTCCCGCATGGAAAACACCACAACTAGCATAATCTATTTTGATTACATGTCGTCGCACCTGAGCTATATATAAAGATTAATATGTCTTTGCTCGTGTGCCTGGAGAAAAGTTTATTTTCTTGCTGGAAAATTGCCTCCAAATTGTCAAACTTTTTGCCATTTTTGAGACAAGAAAGCCCTCTCTAAATCAATAAATTTGCAGAATTGTCACTAATATTTATGTGTGTAGCTTTTTGCTAAAAATATATTTAATAATTGCGAATTTCTCGCTCCTCAAGTTCGTCTTCCTCAATTTTCTACCTCATATTATATTCCTGCACGGTAATCTGAAATCAGATGCAATTAACAAATTCAAACTCCGGCGCAAAACTTTGCCAAACTCGATAAACAAACAGAGTATAACGGAAAAAAAACTTTGTAAAGTCGTTACCACATATCTCGCATTTGAAGCCGGCAAATAACTTGAGGGTGTGTTTGGTAGACTCCTGATTTAAATGACATTTTCCAATAATTTCCACAATAATCCCGCCGCGTGCACTATCATTCGCTCGCCATCTCGATAATAATTTAACAAAAGCTGCATTGGTGGAATTGTTTAAGGCTCGAGCGCCTCCTGGACTCAATATGCAAACTTGTGGTGTGAGAGAATTGTGTGGGAGAGAAATTGGGTGGGAAAATACAAACATTTTCCGCTCCACCATCGCAGCAATATTCATTAATCATTTTCCATCCCGCGTGCCATTTGCCGTCAAAGTGAGAATTAAGCTCCTTGGCCGCCAAGACATTTTCTCTTTCATTCTCCGTCTTGCAGGCAATTTTGCGGTATTTTCACATTGTAGTTATATGGTATAATTAAATTAATATCGCCACAGACTGACTCAGACGCGCTGTTCCAAGGAATTCCCATGAAACTTCTCACTTTGCGTCATCATGGTGAAAGATATCGAGACCAAGAATGCGTGAGTGAAAAGCTTCGTGAACAAAGGACGCAATGAAATTCTGTCTGTAGCACAACTCATTTATCTTGTCGCTTCGACAATTAAAATCGCTCCAACAATACAAGGATATATGTTTGAGGTGTGGAAACATCATTTGCCTGCCTATCGATCCTTTTCATATATTCCATACCAGAAGACGCGCTTCACGATGAATTTAATGAATTTATCAGGTTCACGAGTTTGCTGTATGCAAAAAAATCTCCGTGTGACGCACCAAAAGATAAATGGTGGTAAATTTTTTATCCAAACACCAACGTGGACACACAAAAACCAGGCCAAGGGTGACATATTTTACTTCACACACTCTCTCACGATCCTATATTTCATTTTACCGATGCGAAGAGGGTGGAGAAGTCGGGAAAAACTCTATCTTGCCACCATCGCCGAGTAATACGTGCCAATCAAAGTTTTTTCACCCGTCCATCAATTCACCCTTTTTACCAGCGCCGCTTTCGCTGCAGAAGTGTGTTGTGTGAGGAAAAAAGTATTTGACATACATGAGATTCAGTACGGAATGGAAATTCCAACGGCTCTACTTTGGCAACGAGTATGAAATGATATTATGACATTACAACCTCTCTATTCAATTGATTCGTCAACTTTATCTCCTCACGCAAATCAATCAATTGTTAATGCATTCCACCAAATGATAAGTGAAGGATAGGAAATACAAGAGGTAGGAAGCAGGTGAAAAATCCAGATAGATCAACTTAAATTATTTTTGTCTATATATAATATTGCCTTATAGAATGGTTCAACTGATATTTTGGCACTAATCAATAGCAATAATAGGAAGAAATGTGTCAATATGAATTTAAAAAATATTCCAATCTATCTTGAGTCCACGTAGTTTTTCAGATATTTTTGGTATTTTAAACAAAACATTGAAAAGTCTCACAATTTCATATTTTGCCATGAATATCCTTCCTTTGCTACAACAAACTAGCGAGTTCAACAGCCTTTGTCGAAAAAGGCCTCATGACATTTTGCCCAGAATAAATAAAACACTCAAACGACACTCCAGCAGCATCTTGTAAGACAAATCAATAAGACATGCGAATTTTCCAGAGTGTTTTTCGCGCGTAATGATGACGACTGAACATTTCGACACTCATTAATTTCCATTAGAAATCATTTACACTGTGACTCTCACGAATTCTCCCTCTTTCACCTCACCAACACCCGAACATCCTGGAGTGAATGATAAATGCCTCAACTTTCTCAACAATCCGTCGATTACCTTTACGACGGGGGCGCATAAAAAGGGGAAAAGATCTCGATCTGATCCTGAGTTGCCAAACACCTCAAATTGTGGTTTTTCGGCCTTCTTCACTTGACACACATCATAAATTATCCGGTTGTAATTAATTGCTCTCTGGCCCTGTTTGGCATACCCAAGAGGAAGTCGAGAGAGGATGAGATTCAATTGTTTTCCCGTTGAGTTTAAGGAACAAATTAATTCGCGAGTGTAATTTTGTATTCGGAAAAATATATGAAAATGGCGATTATGTGAAAGGGAAAGTTTTAGAAGCCCCGCCCTCTTATAATCCACGCCCATTTGTATTGCATTTTTGGAGAATTATTAATTTACTGCTAATAAAAAAAATATATTTCGAGTAATCTCTGGTAAATATCAACTTGCAACAGATAAACATAGCGTGTTATTTGCCCCTCGATGGCGTTCAGTTGAGCTGTTTTGGCTTAAACTTGATAGCATCACAAATACAATGACTTCTTGTCTGTGCCTTGGAAAATCCACTTTGTAATTTACAAATGATTCCCAAAGTGAATGTTTCTCATTATGAAGGGAAAAGAGACTGCCGTTTTTTTGTCTAATTTGACTAATTTCAAATCTCTTGTGAAATCATAATGACTCGTATAACATTTCTGATTATCTCTGCAGATCCCTTGAGATGCCCCTAAAGCGGCCAGTAAAAAGGATACAAATTGTCTGCAGGGCTTTCTCGTGAACGAGATTATTGTTCTCTGGCAGATAAACTTTGGCACAATGGCTTTAACTGACTCTGAAGGGTAGTTATTTAATGTGTGTTTCCTCTTTTTCGGGAATTGTAAAGCATGACGCACTTTCCAAGTGTGGGAAAAATTCGAAAATGAGTTCCCTAGCAAGATTCCTAAGTTTATACTTTGTCCATAGTCTGAAATCAAGTTAAGTTAGATTGATGAAGTTCCCCTGAGTCACACTTCCTCTACAATAAATTAGTCAACATCGGATCGCACTTTGACCATTGAATTGATGATTCCACTTGTGTGAATCTGACTCAAGGATGGGCCGGAAGATGCCGGAAGAGGGGCTAAATTGCCGGTGAAAGTGTGTGTGTAATTTCGGGCCTCACCTGCTCGTGGTGGAGTTGACGCTGGTGTTGCTCCGGGAGCGCCTCGAAATAATCGAGTCACCGCAATTCACCACAGTTCCCTTGCTGATGGAGAACGTGCGGAGGCGATAGAGGTCGTCACTCTGGCGCGGATTGTACGGCCTTTCCGGCAGTGAACACACCCTCGGCCGGATGTGATCCGGAACTGTGGAGGCAAATGAGAGAAATAGACACCACGGTTATTGGGATAATCAATAAATTCAACCTTTCACCGCGCACACATCATTTTGCCGTCATTATTGGCACTACTAGTCCATGTTAAATCACATAAGTGGCCATTTATTGTCTCTATTATGGGGTGGAAATGAAATAAATTCAGCAATAACTGTGGATATACTGCGCATTTTCGCCATTCACGCTCTGGCAGATGAGACTATCATGGAATTAATGATATTCCAAGGGAATGTTGTTAGACAGAACATTTATAATGCAACTTTTTCTACGCTCAGTAGCACAATAAATTCAGAAACCGAACTCATAATAGATTTCCTACCTATATAACCTATATAAGAACTAAAAGATTGTTAGATTATACTTAAATTGCACTGGATTTAATTAAACGCAATTTCCCGGTGATTTGCAATTAAAAGTTTATCTGTTTGAGTCAAACTTTAGCTTAATTCTCCATTGCGATTCTGAACAATCTCTTCGAGTTTCGAGCATTACTTTAAATTTAACGTTAATATTCCGCTATCAGCAAATGATTCTTCAATGATACTTATAATAATTTATTCAAGTGATTTCAATAATCTTGACACTGTTATTCGCAACTTAAGTGCTTTAAGCTTTCCTCTCATTGAAGATTTCTCACAGGAAATCTCCTTAAAAGTTTGCCAATATAATCTTTTGTGGCCGTTTGGATATAGTATGGTTGAAGGAAGAATGTATTGATCAGCCACAATGAATGGTCTGGTAAATGTTGAAGATGTTTTAATCCATGAAATTAAAATCTGCGCATAATATCGCCACTGAATCTGAGCCCAGAACGTGGCAGATAAAATCAACGAGCAGTTCGTGATGCGAAGAACCAATCTACGTGCAGAAAATTCTCAGAGAAAAACACGTCAAAGTGTTTTGGGGTGGGAGGAAAAAGGCAATTCGCAAATTCTTCCCACTCAACAAATTATATGGAAAAGAAATATCACGTTTGTCGCAGCGTGTCCTCTCCGTGAAGAGTGATTACGAGGCAAAGGCGTGGGGGTGGGAAAGGTATCTTGTCCTGAGGGGCAAATGTGAGATTTACATATACGCCTGGCGTGAAAAATAAAACTTTAGTAATTTAAATAGAATTGAAATTGACTTTCTCAATCACTCCCACCCTCAGCATTTGGCCTCACCCAAGGCTAAGGGGTGTGTTCGACATTCCGACACAAGCTCGCTCGGAATATAATTCAAAGATTAAAACCGAGACGCGCGAGGAGTGAATTGTCTATTGAGGGATTCATATCTCAAAAGAAAACTCCAAGGAGGAGATATTTTTCGTGGAAATGTTAGAACAAAAAAATTGTTTTTTAATGTCTTTTGAAGAGCATTTTCGGTGAATTACGATCATTTTGCACTCTTTATCAGATAATAACAAATCTATATTCTCAAATTTAAGCCTTGAAAAGTACGGAATATTTCCAAAAGGAAATTCCTAACTGGGGTTTTACCCTTACAATTTCTGGAGAATTCCTTGAATGCTTATAAAGCGTTTTCATGAGAATTTCAATACTTTCATTTCTTTGAAATTCAAGCTTTCCATGAAATAAAACCTATTTTTAAGAAAAAGAAAAAAACATGTTGACAGGATCTAAAAATAAAGTTGTATACTTTATCTCCTCCTCGGAAAATCCTCCTTATTGGGACTTCTTTGAAGCACTACTCCTAATCTCTCCCTCGTCAATGCATTCTGGGAAAATTACCCACCACAGGCAAGAAAGCACCATTTAAAAGTCATAAGAAGTGACATGGGAGCAAGAGACTTTCCCTAAAATATTCACGCCTGACTTTGTTGAGGACTATGAGACTCTTAAGCGTGATTTGCTCTCACAGCAGAGAGTCTCGCGTCGGCCAATTTTCATTAGAATCACCTCAAAAGCCTGTAAACACCCATTGAGAAGAAGGACTCGATATGGCGGTTTGGGGCTGTTAATTGAAAAATCAACAGAGAGTATATTGTCCTAAATTTGGAAATGTATCGCGCCCACCCCAAATCTCTCCCCATCGCTTTTGCCAGGCGAGCACATCTTGAAGATAAGAGGGACGCCTTCTTGGGGCGCTGCGACAACAAACCCAAACGAACACACACACACACACACACACACACTTATCAATTTTCCCCCGGTGATGATGGAAAGTGTTTACGTTGGCAAATGGGAAACGGAGAGAACCATCCCCTCACTATGCTTCACCCACCATGTAGAGTGCCATAAACATTTATTGCGGTGATATGTTCATGTTATGTGTGCCTGTGCTGGAGATGCCCTAATGCGCCTCTCCTCACCTGATTCCTCAGCCCACGACCGCCCGCAACGCCAATCTGCGCTGCTTGCGAAAGCGGGAAATCGCATTTTTCTATTTTCTCCAAATCATATTTCTCGCACTCACACCGAAGTCGCACTTTATCATGAGAGCGCCCCTAATATCAAGATTCAAGACCATATTCATATGCTGTCGCTCTTCCTTTGAAAACTAAAATTCACAATTTCTCTTCATTTCCCCACGAGGAAATGCATATTTCAAATTTCTCCTCGTGAATAACGTCTCTAAGCAAAGTGAAAAGTTTAAATAAACATACGGAAACCTCGAGAGAAATAATGAAAGTTGTGAAATTTATCTTAGAATTAGTTTTGGTGTTAATAATCCTAAATTGCCTAGATAAGATTTAAATGGTACCGAACAAAGTTTTGCAATCTTACAATGCTTTTCAATGCAGGGACAATCGTATTTAATTACATTGATAATGCATTGTCGATTGAATTGTTTGTATTGAAATCCTTCCTACTCCCAGGGAAAGCTTTCTCATGACCATGCGCATGCTTTTCACTCACCAGGCAACTCCAGGAAGTTGGACGTGCGTCGCTGTCGGCCGCGACTGGTGGCCTGAAACGCCAGGGGACCGATGTCCTCGTTGGAGAAGATGGATGAATTAGAAATGGCACTCTTCATGGACTCCCTCGAGCTGCGCCGACTGGCCAGGTAAGCCAGGCCGCCCTGCGGAGGCAGGAAGTGTCGCGTGAGATGCGAGAAAGCGAATGTCAAGGGGATTCTTACCTTGGAGCTGCCGCGGCGTCTCGGGACAGAGCTCACGGAAGTTTCGGCTTCCAGAGAGGCGTCAGTCAGGTCGCTGGTGGACTTCCGACAGCGCTGGGAGACAACGCTGTCGGAGCAGGTGCGATCCAGCATGAAGTGGGACTTGTGAATGGCCTGCGGACGAAAGAATGCCACATGATTGATGGGCTGCCACTAATGAAATGAGCGACAATTTATTCAGTAGGAAAATCGGCAATTCATTAGCGAAAACAGTGCCAGAACTTGTTCCTATTTAGCCAAAACATAAGCATTTAATAAAGCTAAGGACTTCAATATATAATGACAAGGTCATTGAGCTCAAAAGATTCGTGAAAACAATTTTGCACGGAATTTCATGGATTCTTTAATTGTCTAATCTTCATTGTCTAAAAGCTATATAGAATAGCATTTGTACATAGCAAATAAATATCATATGAACATATATGGCATGAAAAGTTCATGGGGTGTTTCGAACAAACAGCAAAGTTATTTACTGAAGTGTAAGAGTTCAAAGAATCGCTGCAATATTAATATTTGCTCAGGGAGTAATTGAATAAATATGCGACACAATTGCCTGCTTAATGAAATTTTCAATCCCTTGCTCACTGGCCTCTCGCAGGAACGCAACTGCGCGAGATTCGCAGTCAGATTGTCTCTCTTGCACACATACCTGATATCCGGGATTTGGGGTGATGTTGATGGCGTAGCGCCGCTTCACGTTGCCCCTTCTGTGGTGCATATCAGTCTGGACTGTCTTTTGCTCCTCGGTGGAATTGTGCCTGGACGCGGTGGCGTCAGAAGTGCCCATCTTGCTCGTGGCGCTCGTGTCATCCGTGAGAGCACTGCATTCACTCTTCGTGATGCTGCGGCCGCGATCGCTGCTGCTGCAGACGGCCGTCGTGGCCGTGCTCAGCTCCGACTCCCCGGATAGCGTGGACTCCGTGACGACAGAGTGACGCTTCACATCATACTTGTAGTCCGTGCCATTTTCGCCGCCGCCCTTCACGTCGAACACCCTCATGGGGTAGTTCTTGCTCCGCGCGCCGTTGTGGCGACGATAGAGCGCCGCCGGCGATTGGGGCGGCGCTCCGCCTCCACTACTCGTGCTGCTGCCGTCGAAGCAATTCAAATTGGCGTCCTCCAGTGACAAGGGTTCGGCAGCGAAATCAAATTTTCTGCCTAAAACAAGACGGATGCAGGGAAGAATGTGAGGGATGGCTTTAAAAATTAACCGAAGACACAATATAAGCACCAGGGGGCAAATATGTGTTTCTCGTACATCAGCAATCGCCAACAATTCCTGGCAATGCAATAAAGCACATTAATTCAATCACTGTATTAAGAAAAGAAATCGGAACCCAATTATAATAATCACTTCTGATTGTTGGCAGTTTACTTGAAGATCAACGTCTGTTTGTGCCTTGATTTGTGCTTTTCATTACAAAGAACTATGGAACAATTGTTATTAATCCTTCTTATGCTCAATTGCAAAAGTGATAAATTTGTACTGTTCATTCAAAAACTATAAATTTGTTGTGTCTAATTAAATCAGGGGATGAAAAATCGGCAGATCTGCAGTTATTCGCCCCTCAGCAGGCACTTCTGCGTCCACTTTGGCTGGATGCGAAGTCTGACAACCCCCAAGACATCGAGTTACGAATCCCTGAAAGGGTATGGGTCAGGAATTTGCAGGCGAAGAATAAATTATGCGGAGAAATGGTGTGGGCGGGAAGAAAAATGAGATGACAAGGAGAAGAAATTACAATGAAAATGCGGTAAGGCACGCGTTAAAGTGGCTTCCAAATGACGCCTCTTTGCGTAACGCAGGCGACTTTGTCTTGTGCGATGGCATTTTCATTAAAAGTCACAGATTTTTCATCACAACACGGCATAATTGAGACACAAAAGATCACATTATCACGTTAAATCTGGGCGCAATGGATTCATTTAGCAAATGTAATTATGAGTTTAATTACAGTGATATCACTATATTTCAGTGCCGAATATCCTCAAGGCTCATGCATGTCACTCGTGCAGCTCATAAAATTCTAATTGAGAGCCAAAAGTGTAAACAACATTTGAGTATTCTTGTCTGAAGAGCAAGCAATAAATGTGCTCCACTGACGAATTTCCCGTGGAGAGACAGCATAATTTGAATTTTTGCTCACATCAAAGGGAAGCTATGCAAATTCTCCGCGTCTCGACGGAATTTCTGCTGACATGCAAATTGCGAGAGGCATTTTTCGCCACGCAAGAAAAGTGAATTGCTCGTAACGTGGGAAATTCAATAAGAACACACTTACTTTTGCAGTCGTATATGGGACTCACGGCGTCGTAGATAAACTTGCGCGACTTCGAGGGCCCTCGCGGCGATGGTGGTACCTCATAATTGTAGCTGGAGCAGTGCGCTGTACTGTAACCCGAGCGATGGACGCTGCCGGTGGGACTCTTGGCATCGGGATAGTCGAATTTGCATCCTACTCCCGGACTGGGCAGTTTTCTGACGGAGAAATCATGAGATAATAATATGAAATGAGGCTTCTATGAGTGTTTTTAGTTAAAGATGTACATTAAAAAAACTGTCCAGACAAAAAATAGTTAAGAAAACTATCTTGTGATCATTTTCTCAACTTGGATACATTCTAGAGAGTTGTAGACAGTGAAATTTCCATTCCAAATCCGCACAACATTGGGTAATTGAACAAAACCTTCAAAAGATATGGGAAAATATACATATGGTGGAGAGTAAAATGTCTCAAATTGACACTTTCCAGGACAGGACTTTCCTCAGAGAACCCAAAGTAAGTTAGATAAACATTTAAACTAATATTTATTTAGTTTAAGTGCTATTTGTCAGTGGAATTGTTCATTTACGAGCTAAGATAGTGACTTGACGTTGAAGAAATCCTAAAATATCTTGCAAATTACTCACCTCGGTGACTTGGGGCTCTTGGGCGGCGGCTCGTAAGCGAAAGATGGCGATTGTGGGGGTGATGAGTGGTTGGGATCGAAGATGTCGATGGGCGGCGTGTTGCAGTCATCCCAAGATTGTTGCTGGATCTTCGGCGCTTTCGGGCTGTGCGGCGGAGTTCGTTGACTCGTCATCTTCACCCGCGCAGATTTGACGCGAAAATCACCGTAATTGAAATGCTGATCCGCAATTAATTAACACACTTCACCACATTTGATCTACAATCAGCGTATTTGCAGTGCAAATTAGCGGAAATCCGCTCTCAACTCCTGTGACGCACCACTGCAATTATCTCGCGGCAATGATAATATTTCCATCATGCGTTATGACACAATCTCCGCACTTGACGACTACCTGAAAGGATTCCATACAGCATTTGCATCAATAGCTGATTATGTATAATTCGCTGAATTATGTGTAACTTGTGTGCGTGTGTGTTGAGTGTAAAATCAATATGTCAGAGGGCGGAGACATTCACCTATTTTAATGAGGAAATGAAAAACGTCTGGAGAGAATACAATTTTCCGCTTATGGCATTTCTTCGGGGGAAAGTAATTTACAGAGTATTTTCCACTATGCCAGAAGTTTCCTCGGAATGTTATTAACAACATTTCCTCAAGTTATTATCAAACATTGCAACATGATTGAGTGATGACTAGTCTCAATTAATTATCAAATAACATATCGAAATATGCGCTTATTCAATTTTTAGACAGACTAGAAATATAGTCTGCAATAATTTCAATTTTGAGATTGAGAGAGAGATTTTTAATGTTTTCCACTCCATTGTTTGATGGAAACATCATATTCTGCAAATTCATTCTAATTATCTTTTCTGTGTAGTACTTTAGTATTCCTTTTGATGTCGCTATGAAATATTTTAATATTATTCTGTGGCACATCAAGAATCACTCAGAGAAAATTAGAAATGTTAATATGTGTAAATTGCCACGACTTTATGATGAAACACACATTATGATATGCACTTCGCAATTTCCTTCAAACGCAGTTTTGATAATAGCATCATGAGTAAGCAGAAGAAACACCCACGGAGTGTGGCAAGACAAAATGCAATATTGTGGTATAATTTTCAGTAACATCGACATAATGGAATTAATAGAGAGTTGCGGTGTATCCTTTATTGCATTACTTGCCACCTCTTGACTTTCTGCGCCTTGAGAGTGGCGGCGGAAGTGCGAGTGGAAAAAAAGGATCAGCGAAAGTGGGTTAATAGAGTTTGCAGACTTTTGTATAAAATTAACCGTGCCGTTGGCAGAAAATAGATCATTTTTCATGTGACGAAAGTGTTGCCCACCAAACAAAGGCCACCCTCGCGCGAGAGACGGCTTAATAACCACCGCAGAGAGGCGCTTTTTGAGGGTGAGTGAAATGTGACTAATCACAGAATTCCATGTTCTAATTCCAGCATTGATTCTCTAGGATGGAATGGCTTGTGTGAAGGAGCCATTGATTGTGTTTTATTACACATAAAGCATACTCCTGCTGCCCTTTTTGCCGTCAAGCGGGTGTGAGAAGGCATAATGTCAAATATACGCAACAGCGAATAATCCAGACACAAGAATTCGTGTCGTAATCATTTGTGTCTCATTAATGTTTATGCGTGAATTATTCAAAATCGACCGCCCCCACTTATTGTTATTTGAACAATTGCGTGGGTGGATGTTTTTATATATTTCACACTAAACAACACGAGGAGGCACTCGCGCACACCCTAAGATTTCTGCACATTTTCCCTCCTCGCAGGGAATGACGAAATTCCCAGAATTACCTTCAATTCAGCACATGTATCGATTTACAACCCAGTATTGACTCACGAGGCGAAGGACTGTAATTTCCGTGAAAAATTTATATGACAACATTTTTAGAGGATCGTATATGAAACGAATATGGTTGAAATACATGTTGAAAATTTTATACGCGGCAGAGATGAGTTAATATATATGTTATTATATGGTATAGTTTAAACTGAACAACAGCGAAAACATAAAAAAAATAATACTTTTACTGCAAAAGAGCACATACTCGTGCACATATTTGAGCATTTTTCCACTGAATTTTGAATAGGAAGAAAAAAACAATGCAATATCACAAGTTTTAATAAAAATTCCTCATCCAAAGTTTAAACAGTTGGCTGAATTCGAGTTCTTTCTACTTTTGCAATGCAATTACTCTTAAGAGGTTTCTGAAATGATGTGCAATTTGAAATTAAAAATGGTTTCTTTATAGATAAAGTAAGCAATCAACCCATAATGCATTTTCTTAATCATCTCAGTTGCCTCTAGCCAATGCTTTTATTTTTCTAACATTTATCATCATCCATTATCCGAGAAGAATAAATAGAAAAGTCCCTGTGTCGCAATGTATATATATATATATTGTTTTCTTTTCCAATAGAGACACTTTTGCAATAAAATCCAGCTGCAGAATATGAATTTTGTGCCGCGAATGCACTTGACACTCGCTTCAATTTCCTCCGGAACGAGAAACTTTCCCAATACATGTCACTGTGAGTGGTTTGGATGGAAAAATTTGAGGAAAACCCACGATGTTGCGTGGCAGCACAAAGGGTGATTGTTGGTGAAAGTAAAATGGCAAACATGTGATTTCGCAAGAAGCTAAAATTGACATAACAGTGGTTTTTTTGGTATATGAATCAGCACTCCTTCGCAGCAAGTTTAGCGTGGCGCGGAAATCACTTTTTCACCCTCTTGAAGAAGTGAAATTCCACGTGAAAGTACATATAAGGTTGGGGCATGCGAAAACGTGCAGAAATGGTGATTGAGAGAACACGCATTGGGAATCGTATCAGGATGTAATTTGAGACACTCTCACTCGATATATTACAGTGAAATTGGGAATTTTCTCGCTGTCATGATAAAAATGGAAAAAGGTCACATTTGAATACACTCCGAAAGCGATGTTTCTTTAATGTGTTTAAAATGACAATAATTTGGCAATGACACTGTATACCAATCTTTGAATACTGGAATAATGTTAGATGAAAAAAATCAAATAGTTTTCATAGAATTGCTCAAAATTTGCTCAAAATTTATTCTGTGTCTGTTGAAATTGTGAGACATGTTTATAATACATGAAAATTCTACACCAAAGACAATAAGTAAGTTGATATTGTATAAAGAACTCTCTTCAATCTTGTGAAATTCAGTCAATATTTAAATAACAACAAATGTTACAATATAATCTCATATTCAAGGCATTTCCCAGTATTATTCCCTCTTCAGAGCTTACATGGTCCAAATAAGTCCGGATAAGTTGCATTTTTGTGGGGAAAAACTCTAATCTTTATGCAATAATTTATGTCTAAAGCAAAGAAGGATTAACAAAGTACAAGAATAATTAATAAACCCTGATTCACACGACCATTTGAGGGTCCGAAACCACCATATTCTGATCTCAGACTAATCTGAAACTTTTGAGTGCACCTCTCAATAAACTGAAGACTCTTCGTCGGTAATTCCGTTTAAAGCTTAAAGAGTATATTTGGGGGGGGGGGGGGGAATTATGATGAGAAAGTTTCCACGAAAGTTTCCTCAATTGGGCATGTCAGGCAGAAGCATCGGATTCACACGCAGCCAGTCAAGTCCGGGGGTGATTTTGTGTGGTGTGCGATGTTATCCAATGCGATGAGTGCTGTTTGGGGATCGTTAGGGTGGCGTCGCCCCAAACACCCAAGACGAGGGGCCACGGATGAGAGATCTGGCACAATGGATCTGAGTGCGACTCAAGCGAACGCGCAAATGTCACAGGGGAGGACTTTCCCCAAGAGCCCCAGCATCATCCCTTCACCCTGGTGGCAGAATCTCGTCTCGCGTCGACACAATGGATTATTGTGTGATGCAAAAATTATCATATGTGATCCCTTTTCACAAATCCACCCCATGTGGCAAATCATGAAGAAAGTGATAAATCTCCGGCACACGAGATACAGAGTCCGCTTTCAGGCTTTCCGGCCATTGCTTCTCATCCCCCCCCAGAGATGTGTATAGAGACTTGAATCATGGGACTGAATCGGATTAAGAGAGGTGAGTTGAGAGCTTATGGGGAATAAAAATGTGTAGCAATTAAATTGAAAGTCGTGCCATCGCCTCAAATTATTGCCAATTTAGCGAATGTCCAGTGAATCGTATCAATTTTCCGCTCAGAGCCACTGTAACAATCCCAGAGCGTGACTACAGAATGCTCTCCAGCAGCCCACTTTGCCGCATGGATAGAATGTGGGCGGGAAAAGGCCGCGATGGTTTGAGGTGCGGGAAAAATTACATGGTATTCACTCGAGTGAACACTTGTTGCACAGCAAAATTTCATTGAAACACCATCGAAACTCCATTTATTAAAGCTCAACAGGGAAGAAATTTAAGAAAATCCCACCCCAAACATCGTCACGAGACATTTGACGGCTCGACAATGTGATTTGATTCCCGTCTGATAAATAAATCAGTGCGCTTGGAAAACACACATGAGGGTGCGTTATGACGTTATTTTTGAGATTAGGGTGAAAATGCTTTGTTCAATGATTTATGCCGCACTCCATCCGTGACAACATTCCGGCTAAAGTCTTCTTGTTTTATGGCAAACATTTCGAATGAAGCTTAAGTATATTTTTTACTCGTGTAAATACAGTAATTCTCACACAAAAGCTGAATATTTTCCTCATATGGTTAGTTGAGCCGAGTCAAGTTCACTTTGCCATAAAATTATTCATATGTCCGGAGATAATTTAGAGCTTATGTTTTTCACTTTTCGCGTACATTATGTGAAAAACCGTCGACGAAGGTGAAGAACTCGCCAATTAAGAGATTCTGTATTAATAAACGTACAGGTTTATGGCAAATTTGCGTAAAGAAATTACCGCGAAAAATACACAAAATATCTTCGTAAAAACCTCGCAAATTAGAGGGGTTTTACATATACACTTCACATATTCGGCAGAACTCTGAAACAGTCCCGAAAATCGTGGAGCTTTAGTACAATATCGATTGTAATTATCTTCTAGGGCTTTTGAGACTTGTTAACTTTAGCCAGAGAATTAATGGCGTTAAATTGTAAAGCTCAACATGACAATGTGAATGTGAAAGTAAATTATCGCACAATGCACAAGAGATACAGACTTTATTTTGCGGTTTAATACCATTAGTCCAGACTCTCAAAGCCTCAAAATTGTACATGAATTATTTAATTGCAAAATAAAGTTATTGCCAGCACGAATTCCACAATTCTGTTGAATGGCTGGTGGAAAGTGGTATTATGAAAAAGTTATGTGAATTTTCTTGCAAAACCCAGGGTTTCACGTTCTCCGCACAGCCCCAAAAACGACAAGTGTGTGCGAGACCCAGAGGTTATCCATCTCTGTCGCTGAATCCTCATGAAATTCTCTCGTGTTGCCACCACACTCTTGTGCTGTTGACTCTTTGGCTCGATGGGGAGTGGTTTGTGTAATTTATATATGGGCCGAAAAAGATTCATGGTGAGCCGAGAGCAGCCCAACACGATTCACGAACAAACAAACATGGCCACTAAAAGCCACAAGAGTTCGATTTTCACCCCACATCCATGGGTAATCGACATTGGCATTTTTGCCGCTCTTTTCCCAACATCAACGAGACTCCTTTCGAAAGTGGTTGATATACACAAGCGGGAAGCTCGAGTGGACTTAATGACTCCCGTGAATTGCCAGAGTCTTTAACCCAAATACCACCCACCCATTTATTCAGGTCCATTGAATCACGATAATTATGCCACTGGCACTTCCTCGAAGCTCAGCACGGAATTGCATGACTAACAGTGGATCTTCTTACAGTGATCCAATGGCTCAAGTGGCAATTTCCCGTCCCAGCTGGGAAATCTGAGAGAGAAAGAGAGACGAAGATACTTCACCTGCTAATGGTGAATTATGGTGTCAAATGAGAAAATGTGTGACATGAAGAACAATTCACTAACTAAAATCCAATTAAATTATGACATGCGACACAATTACACCAATTCTCTGGCTTTCTCAAGTTTGCCAAAATCTCTTCTACAATTTTTTTAATCCTCGAAAACCCCCTAAAAACTCTTTAATACTTTCGAGAATATAATAGCAAAATATGTTATATAAGCGCTTTGTCAGAAAACAACAGATGTGCTATTCTTTTATTGGCAAAATGCTGGGATATTCTGCAGAGCAAAAGCAACTTTTTCGCTTCATAGCAACTAAGAAAGACAAATGATAGAATTTCGTTTTCAATGCGTCTCAAATTTCCTTTGCCAAATACTCTACAATAAAATAATTCCACACATGGTCATAATTTTTGGATGGATTATTTTTATTCAAAGCAATGTCCTTAGCAATTTCTTGAGAATATTTTCCAGACTCTAAAAATACTGGACACAAAAATCTTTTCTTTTAAGGTTCAGTTGAAGCTTTTGAGAATTTTTTCAGAAAAGTCCTTAGATTGATTTTTCTTACAGACTGTATAGAATTTTTCTTCACATTCTCCAATTCAAGCTCTAATGACATTCATTGTACTGAAAATTCGTATTTCGGCAAAACATTGACTTCAAATGTTTAACTTCACGTCGAAAAAATGGTAGGAATAAAAGGGGTGGAGATAAGAAATGAAGGTGAGGCAGTAGAAAATAGCAGCTCCAAGAGCTTTTCCTTCTGCCGCCGTGTCTGCAAGAGACGTGGTGAGTGTGCGGGTAAAAATTATCATTTCATTGAATATGCCATTAAAAACAATTCCTCCATGCGAACCGATCCTTCGCCGCAAATCTCCCTGGCAGCGTGACGCGTGTCAGGTGCCTTAATCCTACAGGCAATGAAATGGAACACATCACATTCAACCTCAGTGGATAAATTCAAAACGTGCCCGGAAATGGAAATCGCATGCAGTAAAACGGCAATATTATGCCCGTGGACGGGAGAAGTTTCTGATGGGAAAAATAAGTCTCAAAAGTAAAATCTCTTCTCCTTTTTCTATTCTTCTCTGCGGACTTTATACACATATATATATATATATATATATATATATAAGTATACATCGTGATTACCGATTCTATGCATCAAAATCATGCGGCGAAGAAATGTAAAATGCGCTCAGCATTTATGACAAGATATGAATAGAATTTTCCGGATTGAATTTTTATTATTTGCCCGTATTAGGAAATCTTTCAGCACCCACACAAGTGTTTCCTTTCCTTCGCAACACACATTCATAATATCTGAGAGACGCGTTTTGTATCCAACGAAGAATTTCCACCCTCTAAGAGCATTTTCCAAGCTCCCACAGAATGGCAGGAAAAAGGGTGGCGCGTCGAGGGTAAAATTCCCCACCGCAGAGTCCATGAAAATATAAAATGGTCTTCGGTTTATGGGCTGCGCCGGGTCAATGCCACGAGAATGGCTTCGAAAGTGGCAAATTATTTTAAAGCATCTGCTATAATGATAGTGAATAATTAAGACATTCCAACCTCGTGCAGAATACATAATGATGACCTGGAGTTTTTCGAGTACCTTTGAGATTCCTGGTGAAAAAATATTTGCTTTCCCAGAAATTAAATGTCAAAAGTCGACACTAATTCGCATTAAAGCCCTCCAAAAATTTTTTGTGTAGAGAACTTCCGTGTACAGTGAAGCTTTTATCGGATTTCAATACATTGTGCGCTTTGCAGAAACTTTTTTTTTATCGTAGGCAGAAAAGTTCATTTAATGCTCTCATTTCAGAAATTTATGCGTAAAATTTTCAAGTGCTTTTCACTTGTAAATCCCACAATTTTTTTCATCTCTCTGTCAAGTGTTTGTTTCAAAAATTACATTTGAGATAAAATTTATATCTGAAACATTTCCCAGAGCATCTCTTTTGATTCTTTCTAATCAGACCAATGCAATTTCATTCAAAGCATTCACTGTGTGATAAAATGCATTCAGAGCGACCACTGCTCCCACACACACTTTATTTGCAATCTCATGCTGCTCTCCATTGACTACAGAGACTATAAAATAAATAGCAAAATACAGAAATAAATTCCATATTCTTTGTCACTCGGAAAAGCTCTCGATTGTCACTCGAGCATACCTTTATGAGAGACAGAAAATATTTGCAATAAACCGACGAACTTTTCCTTCGATGGAAATATAAGTGGTATAAAATTGCATTTTCCGCATGACATTGGCTTTTGTTGACTTCAGATAAATAAAATACTTTTCCTCTCGGGCAGATAAATGAAAATTCTCCATGTACAAAGAGAAAAAGGACGATAAAATCATTTGCTCTTTTACGTGATGATATTAATATATGGTATAATATCATATAACTTCATCGAAATAAATCCGTGTAGCGAAAACATAATTAATTTTACTACCGACAGTTTTTTACCCACTCTCGATTGCAACTGTTTTTTTACCCTCAACATTTCGACATAATCAATTAAAACGCGTTGCGAATTTTCCACTCTGGCAATTTGACGAAATAAATTTTCAGCCTCAGCGGAGGATTTTTTTTAATCCCTTCCCAGCGGAGCAAATAAATCCCACTTCACATGGAAACATGCACAACAGTTGAGTGGTAGTTTGTACAACATATGATAGCGGGAATCAACAAGTTATGAGACTTAATTGAGCTTTAATTGTCCCGTGAGGGAAGTTTTCACCCGAAATAACTTTGAGCTTCATTTCGAGCATGCGAAGGATATATATTTTGTTGCAATGAAACATGTGGGTGGAATTTGGCCGTAGGAGCGGCGGAAGGACACGAGGAAGGATCACTTGGGCTCTCCATTATCACGTTTCCAGGCCGAAGAGCAGAAAGCACGGGCACATTTGGCGTACAGACGATGGCAAACACTTGTGGCACGTTCATAAATTTTGCAGCGCTGCGGAAGATGGGCAAGAACCATTCTCACCGACCGCAACTTGAGGTGAAGATTGACATTGACGTGGAGGGAAAGTGAGTGTACTTGCCAGGGTTCAATTTTCCACCACCTCTCTGCCCACATGTTTCAGTAGCATTTGACACAGACTCACCCGACAGAGATGCCGCAACGGCTGGAGGAGATTGCGGTTCCGGCAAACTTTCCACGCACAGCAAGAAAGTTAATTAAAGAGAGATCAAGTGTTGGCACCAGATAACTTGTGTTGCGCGACACAGAATGCCACTGGCAGATGAGCGAACCGATTTGGTCGGCGAATGGCAAGAAACTGCCGAGCGCGGACCTCAGTCAAGTCCCAACACGGTCTGCAAGCGCGACTCCTGCGCTCAGGAGAGCGTTCTCGCAGGATACAGTGCAGTGCAGAGTGTTAGAGTCGTGTTGCGGTGTCTCTGGTATCCCTAACGGAATCAGGATCATTTTATCCTCAGTGCTCAGCTGAGTTATCCGAGCTAGAGTTCATCTGGACAATCAAGACAAAAAAGCGGGATTTAATGACTTTATTATTGATGAGATACATAAGGATTGAAGACATAGAAGTGTATTTTTGTATCAAAGATTGAACGGAAAAGACACAACATAAAGCGTAGTAAGTTCACAAGGTTTATACACATAACAACAGGAACAGCATTTATGTGGGCATTTTACAAGAAGTAAAACAGAGACAGAAAGGAGTTAAGCTTTCTTCGCTTTTGTTCCGTCACATACATAGTCGATTAAATGCTGATCGACCAAAAAAGCTCACTTTGCATCAACGCGGATCTACCATTGTGTTCGCCAGTGTTTGTGGCGGAACAAGAAGAACAGCGCGAGAGCGAGAGTCTCTCCGCGAGAGTCCGGGCGAGGAGAGCAGCATGTCGAAGCGTGAAAGCTGGAAGGCCGCCCTCTGGGCGAGGGTTGGGGTCGCCAGGTGGGAGTGGAAGTGAGTAATTTTCCCGTTTTCTCCCTGTTCTGAGAGGCCAAAGGCCACGGGGTGTTCGCCATCCCATGGCGAGCGGCTGCATGAAGCTACAGGCGGTTGGAATTGCAAGAATTACATTATGTTGCATCACGCTGGCACACTCAAATCGATATTCACGTGCAGATTTATGGATTTCACAGGACAAAGTGCGTTAATGAGTTCTGATCGTGAACACGCGACGCAGTATTCAGGCCATAATCGAAATGATGACTGATGAATTTATTGTTCTGTGGCTTTTATTGTGACCGGTGAATAAATTATTCAGGGCATTTTTCAGGCAATCCTTATTAGTCATTCTGGCCATTTTTTTTTGTTCCTGATGCGCTCTTTCGCTCCGCATGAAGGCAATTCGAAAATGATTGGGAAACGGACGAAATATTGCGGAAAATTGTGAACTCTCTCCAAAAGCGGGACTGAAAATTGAATTAGGTTGAAATTGAATTTGCAGAATTTATTTCACATGACTGAACACACTTAGCTTCTGGTTTATATTCTCGAAATTTCGTTATTTGCTGAAGGAGAATTGAGTATCGAGAGATTATCCGTCAATCTTGTGAAATTTCGAGTATCAAGAGTGGAATTTCAACGATATACATTAATTGTTTTGTTTATGCGCATATTGTCTGCTGATTCTATTAAAATTTAATCGAATGCATTAATAACAACACACGATGGAGGCAATTGTGGCGGAGTGTCCATTAAATCTCCCATTGAATGGTGACAATGCGAGGGACGAACAATTAGGCTTGCTTATCGAAAGACCACAAATACTGATAATAATTTAATAATAGTGGAAAATGAATCGATACGCTCTTCCCTCTCGCCATATGCTGATGAGTCGTGGAAAGAGGGATTCTGGGTCAGGAAAGTGTACATCGTCCAGAAACGTGCTTCTTCGACGATGATTTATGGCCCGGAGAAAAGACACCCAAAATACGTTCAATTTTTGGCGGAAATCCATTTCCACCCCTCAACAATGACGCTCCATTTGGCGGCAAAGCCCAAAGAGCCATTCTGAGTGCTGTAAAATCTCATCCACATTCACATGGCATTCAAACCCTTTCCGCCGGTCACGGTAAAGTCCTTTGAATCATTTTTCACGCCATTTAACAAGTGCTGTCAATTCGCATTTTCATCCACTTCCATTTGCCGCACTCTCTTGCTTTTTTTTTTCTTTCTTTCTAGAATTCACCCATTCTCTGGAAAAAAAAGGTGCGATTTCAGTCACACACTCGCGAAAGTGGGCAGAAAGTAGCAATGGAAAGAGGAGGACGTGAAAATGTGCGGAGACGCGAATTGCAGTTAACGATTTTCCACCTCATCAATTTTTAATACAACCCGTACGCGACTTGCCAGCGACACCTGACATGCCCTCGACTTCACCCTCGCACGAGGCACTGATTCGCCGCCTCGAGTTGGTGTGCTGATAAGATAAGAAGTTGTGCTTGAAAATCTGGCGCAACAATAGAAAACCCACGATTGTAACACACAACAATTGACTGTAGATGCCTCTGAGAGTCACAAAGTGGCTTTCTTCCTTCAATCCTTTCACTACAGCAAGAAACTGGGCGCGAGAATCAAATCTAATGATGATGACGACTAATACTCTGTGTGAATTTATTTTAAATCCAGGGAAAACATGGAACCAAATAAGTATTCTTCAACATGAAATGGTTAAGAAACTTACCATCAAACCTATCTTCAATCTATCATTCTCGCATTTGTGTCTCTAAATTGTCGATTTTCCTCTCTCTCTCTCCATCTTTGCCGCATTCTCTTTACTTTTGCACGGATCGCGGATGTTTTCCGGTACACAAAAAATCATTATCCCGTGAATGCCTTCAGGGGCATCCGATTGATGTTTGGTGCCTTCGTCTCCAATTGACAATTTCACAAATAGGAACAGAAGAAACGGAGGAAAAAAATGTCTGAGAAATGCTCAAAGGAAACCTTCCGCACAATATTACGAAGATTCTTTTTCTCATGATTGTGCGCGACTTTAACAGAGTTCAACAGTTACAATTGTTCATTGAAGATGAAAAAAAAAATTGATATCAAATGCGTTTGAAGAGCTTATATTTGCGAGTGGAAAAAATTGTTCAGTAATGGATGATGAATTTAAAATTTAAAATATAATGAAATTTTATTCTGCTTCACAGTAATCTATACACTAAAAACGGCTACTGTTGTGTTAATTATTGAAAATACGTAATGGTTAAATATAAATTCGAACAAAATCCTCTTATCAATATTTCTTCCTGATATAAATCGATGTTAGCAGTTTTTTGTGCAACATTTTCCCAAAAAAGAGAAAACCAAGCAAGTGTTAAGCGACAGAAGATTGATAAATTCTCCGCTTGACCAGAAAAGTCTCCTCTCAGCAGAACATCCGTCTGAACTTCCGGTCATGTCTCAATATATGATGTCTTTTCTCTCCGTTTGGCAGATGGGAAAAATTGTGTTTTGTGAGATTCAAAGTTTTCCAATTAGCTCTGGCAATCGAATTGACTCTCCAAAAAATACTCACGCATTTGTACATCACAAAATTGTATTTCACAGCAAAAATATTACGTTACAAAGAGTGTGTGTCTTTCATCTTGAGTACATGGAACTTTTTTTTTAGTATCTTCTCTACATCTTACACTTACAGATATTCGTCAATCTTACTCGATAAAAAGGAAAATGAGTCACATTTCCTCAGACAATAAATAGACAAAATGGACTTGTGATTAATTTACTGCGGAAGTCACAATATTGTATCACTTCGCATTAAATTAAAAGGGTTTCTGCGTCTTTCGGCCGTCATCAGGTGAAAATAATACTTGTGTCAACTGCAGACGTTGTCTCTCTCTCTCTCTCTTCATTTCTATAAGAACTACAATGTAGGAAGATCACTTGCAATTCAATAAAATCTGACAGAAACACAAGTCATGGCATTGATTGACGTGAAAACTTGTGAATTTTCTGCACATTCTAACATTGTTTGGCAGGTATTTTCACAGAACTTTACACATTCGACTTCTATTTATCACATAGATCACAAAACATATAACACTTCGCACGTTCTTACCTTAAACTAATTGAAGATCTTGGAACACATTTCAGCGACAAGTGAACCTGTGGCTGTCCAGGTGGGAAATCGTCGGCAATCCTTTGCCGCAAGTCGGGCAAATCACCTTCTTCAGCTCACTCTCGCCCACGGACTGTTCTGTGCTCATTGTCAGCTGCTTCACCGCCTGCTCAAGTCGCTTTGTGCAGATCTTGAGGCCCGAGAAGTCATCGGCCAGAGAAGATTCCTCCTCAGAGCCGTCATTCGGGGGCTCTGGGCCATCGCTGAGCTTGTCCAGGATATCCTGATTCGATTGCAGCATGAAAACCATTCGCCGCACGAACTCATGATGCGTTATCTTGTCCTCCACCTTCAGCTGCAGCACCTGATTGCACTGATTGATAAACTCGGTGAACCTCTTCAGCAGACATTGATCCGTGTGCTCCTCATAGGTCTCCTCAAACATGAAGCGCATCCTGCAGAAGAGACACTTGCGCTCGCTCAGCTTCTCAGGCGCATTCGCAGCGAAGTTCTGTCCATCGAACATGCTCATCTGCGTGATGTCATCCTCCACGAAGGCCTTCTGTCGGTAGCCAAAGTATCCCTCGCTCTTCTGCATGTTGTCCGTCATCCGGGGAATGTCTTTGGAGCCCCTCGAGACGCTGAGTGGCTTTGTTTTCGGCAGTAACTTGTTGATCGTTGCATTGGCGGGCTTCCGCTTGTCATTCCTATCCTCAACAGTCACAGCTGCTCTGGGTACAGTTTGAGCAATTAAGGGATTCGTGTGGTGGCCACACAACCAATCTCCTGCCTGAGATGCCCTTATTATGCCCAGGCGACAGGTCAAAGCCTGATTCCGGAAGATGACAGCATGTTTCATGTAAGATATGCAGACGGAACACATCTTCTGAGGCAGTCCATCGTTCGGCAGGACCTGAAAGACCAACATAAGTCAGTGAGAGACCCTCCCGGACGCTTGGAATGTGGATGAAACTCACGGGAATGTTTAGGACGTCCTGCAAAAGGACTCGAATGGGGTGAGGCCAACTGACAGCTTCGCGTAGGCCCATTTCGTGCAAGTAAAAGGGAATTGGGGCGCAGATGTCATAGTCTCCGGGTCCAGAGCACACGCGACACAGATTCTTAACATTCTTAAGCATTTTTCATCACAATGGACACAACTTTTCCCTATTCGTTTTCCTCGTTTTCGCAATGCGTCGACGCGTCAAATGCAAGTTCAGCAAAACTCTAGTGCCAAGATTAAACACTGCGGCGCTGTTGGCAATAAAAAGGTGGAATTATTTGAACCCGGTAATTGATCAACTGTCTTTTGCAAGCAATAATTTTTGATAGTGAAATCTCAAAGAAAATGATTCGCAACACCTTAAATAACACCTCAAAAGCATAAAATGCAATTGCAGTAAAACACTCGTGCAGTATGTTCTAAAATATTTTCTTTATTTTGATGTAATGATCGAAAAATATGGTTTTTTCTCTCTAAACAAAAAAAAAAGTTGGTAGAATATCAGCAATATACATATCATAGTATTGCAACATATTTTGTGCTTCGCAAGATCCTATTCTCACTCCTCACGGCCGCTCGCATTCTCATGCAATTGCAACATTTTATTGACTAGCACCTCTTCGCGAATCAATTCAACTGGAACTGAAAGACTTCGAGAAGCTTTCAAGTTTTCTTACAATTCCGACAAATGTCTTTCTAGAATCACTCTCGTTTTCCGCAGGAGGAGAGAAAACGAGTGAGAAATCATTTAATTTTCATCTACAATTATTAAGCACCGACGATTCGAGTAACTCTGATTGTCTCACTTCAGCTCGTTTCAATTTCTTTTAACAAAAAAAAAATGGGAATAACATGTGTAAAAAATTATCGTTTTTTCTCTTTATCTAAGATTTAGGCTAAACAATATATCAAGAACAATATGCATTCTCTTCTACTACAAAAAAATATCATAGGTTTTCTTGCTCTTCTTCTTATTTGTATTTAATGCAGAGTAACTTATGAAATGTGTGTTTATACATCAATTTCCTCTTATTATTGCAATTCAATTATTGGAAGAGGAGAAAATCATATCAATAAATTAATGCATAAACATTGGAAGACGCTGTGACAAGTTGCTGCAAAATTATACATTACGTAATTCGCCTAAGGAATATTTGTAAAAAAAAAATTGTGTGTCACTTCTCATTAACACAAGCTATTTAGTAGCATAAATTCAACATAAACTATTTCACTAAATAAATTAAAGATAATTCTTCTACATTATCATTTACTCTCTCTCTCTCTTTCGCTTGTATATTTTGTGTAAACTTTTAGAGTTTTTATTGCAAAATCAATTAAAAATATAAATGTATTAACTATGAATTTCCTTCCGCAGCGCGGAAATGTTTTTATGGTGAATTTTTACACTTATCTTCTCTCTTTTCATTAAGTATCTTCTTACAAGAACAATGACTTTCTACTAATCTTGCCATTCTCTTTCTCAACAAACTTATTCAACAAATTCTTGGAAAAGGACATTCTTGGCAAATTTCAACAGTTTACTAAATAAATTTCTAAATATATATATATATATATAATGATATTCTTCTATTGCTAATCGATGAGCTTTTGTATATTTTGAGAGAACAATATTCACATCAAAAAAAAATGTTGCGAATGGAGTTTCCAATTCTCCTTTCTTCATTTCTTTTTCTCCTAAATAAAACAATATTAATGGCAAATAAACAGCGCTCAATGTAATTGCAATTGAATTGCAATGCCATTTTCATCTTCATTTTCTTTCTTTTTTTTTAACTTTTCTTACAAAATACCATTGTAATATCATTGCGAGTTTTTATTCTTCTCTACAATAAATTGTAACAATATTAATAAATCAACAATTGATCGCTTTTGCATGTGTATTCAATGCAGAATTCGACGCGATCGGAATATCTTAGACACAAAGTATTTGTTCTCTCTTGTGGTGTAGAGAAGTAAAGAAAAAAAAAACAGTATGTTAGGCTAAAGCTACGCGCGCGCGCCGGCGTCTCTACACGATGAAGAGCTCGACGTACTGGCTGGGCGCCACGGAGGGCGTGAGGACGCGCGGCGTGGCGATCTTGTCATGCTGCTGCTGCGAAGCTGCGGCGCCCGACTCCGCAGCTGCCACAGGCGCCACGAAGCCGGCTGGCGGCGATTGCGGCGCGAAGCTCTGATGCTGCGGATGGAACTGCGGTGGCTGCGAAATGGCCGGACTTGTGGTGGTCGGACTGGCCGTCACGGCGGCGGGAATCGCCTGCGACATGTACTCCATGGGGAACTGCAAGAGTGAGAAAGCGTGAGCAACAGATGATCAGGACTAAAGGCAAGATCACTCAGTTCGGAAGCCCACAAGCCCACAAAGTGGCTTCAATTGTCTAACTAATCTTTAAGTCTCAGTCAAAGGACTTTTGATTGATTCGAATCTTGCTCTTGTCGTCTTTTGAGCCACAAATATCTTAATGTATACTTGAAAAGAGTTTTTTCTCCGCTTGGACTTTTCACTCGTCCTAAAGTCTTGGGGTGTTGGTGAGGGGTTGAACAGGAGATTCAATTCCTGAGCGGCAGAGAGTTGCACTCACCATGGATGGCTGATTGTGAGGCGTGATGTTCGGTGGAACGTGAGGCGGCGGAGGTCCGTAGTAGGTCGTGGGCGACACCGGGGGACTCGGGTAGCCCCAGTAGAGAATGGGCGGCGGGTAGAAGGCCGGATGTCCTCGCGGCGGCAGCACGGCGGCCGCATGGGGCCCAAATGGTGGTGGAAAACCACCAAAAGGAGGCCCAACAATTGTCCCACCTGAATCAGGGAGAGAAAAAAGAAGAAACGCCAATGAAATCACTGAGTGCGTGAAAAGGCGCGTGAGCGACTGAAAAAAACACAAAGAACTGAATTTTAATAGATAAATAGTCACAGCTAAAAAAAAACTTGCAGATATTCTAGAGAAGTTACTCAAGAGAAAATGTTATGAAACAACAAACACAAATATCAATATTATTTTTTTTCACAAAGGCATTCTTCACTAAAATGTGTAGAATTTTCTCTCTTTCTTTTTTTAATCATTTTATCGATGGACAAGGCAAACACACTGCACTTTTGCAGACTACAGATGTTATGTAATGGAGAGGATTCTTCAGTGACAGTGGGGTGAGAGAGGGTGAAAAAAAGTTATAATAAAGAAAGTAAAATAAAAGACAAAACACTCACCATATTATGCAAGTTACACCAATTCTGCCCAAACACCAAATGCGATTATGTATTGTTTTTTTTTCATATTTTAATTCTCTGTTTATTACTTGCCTATAATGCCAGAGTTTAATTTTTTTTTGTTTTTTTCTGATAAAAACAGACAAACTGCTTCTATCATAATAATGTAAGATAGCACCATATAAAGAACATCATATTGTCTTTAGAGAGTATTTTAAATACCAATACACCAACACAAACATAATTCACGTTCCAACTCCAATGTAGATAAAAAAAAACTAAATAATATAGATAAAATAATGTGAAACATTCATTTTTGGAGAAAATGTCGTTTCTTTTTATTTTGTCCTCTCTCTAAAGCGCCACCAAACCACACAAATTGAGGCTCAACACCAGCATAAGAAATCCTCCAAAAATGACAAGAAAAATGTTGATTTTTGGTTCAAAAAAACAGCAACAACAATATAAGTAAGATGTGACCCAAAACTCATAAATGATAAAGAAGAAGCAAATAAAATACAAAAATAAATAAATATTATTGACGAATAGAGACAATTGAAATTTATTCTGTTGCATAATTATTTTTAAAAAGGAGAAAAAAATATTAAAGTGTGTGTAAATTAAAATGCGGCAAATAATCCAACATACACTTATCATATAAAAGGTGTTAAAATAAGGGATAAGATAAAGTAAAAAAAAAATGTATTGAAGTATTTTGCTCTCAATCCAAACTTCTCTTATGACCTATGACACCACTTCATTATGTATTATGTATGTACTAAGCCTATATATGTATAGCGAAGAGAATAGCCAGTCAATTTGCGTTTTCTGAGCATATTGTTTCCCTCTTTTATTTTTTGTACTTTTTCCTCATTTCAAATTCAAGAGCATTTAATTTTGACATTAAATTGCAAATCAACTGATTATTTTCGCTTTCCTTTTGTGCGTCTGCATGTCACTCTCTTTTTTTATTGTTCCTTACAAAGAGACCACTGACATTATATTACTCGCTTTTCCACCATTTAAACTCTCCTCGTGTGTCGCCTCACAATTAATTCACCCCATTTTCTTGGCAAATTGCAATAAAAGAACACAAATGAGAGAGATGCATAGATGATAGATTTATGCACACACAAACTATATAGGTGTGGAAAATTAGAGATGCGGTTTTTCCTGTGCATTTTCCTTCCTTCCCACACACACGCACACACATTTCTATTTTATTATTCTCCAACCACCACTGAAACTTCTGACTGCACACGGTGAATTAACATTGAAAAGCCAATTTATTTTCAGCTATTTTTACTTAAATTTATGACTGTGACTTTTCAGAAGCAACAGTTGCGAAAGAACTGAGTAAAAAGTATTGATTAACAGCCTTAAGATTGCATAAATTCCGATGATTTGGCATCGAGATGTGACAATTTAAGCCAAGTGCAATTTTTTCTCTTCATTTTCTGTACTCACAAATTGAGAATTCAGACTGTAAATGAGGACAACTTTTGTAGAGTCTGAATGTCTAGTTAGTGTAGCTTTTCAAGCATGATATTATTTGTGTTTTTAAAGTATGGCCTAAAATCACAATCCAGAAACCAATCACCAAGAATGCAGACACACAGAAAGTTATACAAAGGTGCCTAAAATAAAGATATTAAAGTAATATAATATATTGTCCATTACAGTTATTATTATTGTTTGTAATTCTTCTTATTTATCTCCAAACTTAATTATATAGCATAGAAATAGCCCTTGACCACAATACACAAAACCAAAATTATCTTTTGCCCAAACATTAGGGATAAGAAGTATGCTAAAAAAAAAGACAAACCTCCTCAAAAAACACAGAAACGCGATAAATTAAAGAGCAAAATAATGTAAAGCCAATTAATAAATATGTATATATTGCAAGTGTTAAAAAACTCTAAAACATATAAAACTATAAGGAGAAAATAAACACAATGAATGCCAGAGAAATTGTGCTGAGAGAAGACAAAATTTGATTTTGTGAATTGATGAGCCAAAATACAAAATTATTATATATAATAAAATTAATTCCTTACAATTTCTATTATACTAAAGAATCATTGAGAGCAAAATGTGTCTAAAATTTGAGCATCTAAGAGTTATTAATAAAATCTAATATAATTAACTTTATTATAGAGAATGATTTACGAAATACAATAAAAATTAATTCGTTTTAGAAACGATAACAAATCATAGATGAATTTTATTAATTATTCAAAGTGATAGATAAAAAAATATGTATGGACGGGATAATTCATTAAAATTTCTCATTGGAAATAAACGTGGAAATTCATATGAGACACGAAAGTACAGAAAAATATCTCTTTGCCCAGCAGGAAACTAAGTTGTCAACCATTCTAATTCCTCACTAATCTATAGCATATTGTTACGCTTTCCCCACTGCTACTGGCAAATCTCTTCAAAAATAGCTTCATGTCGCAGTTTGACAATCAAATAAGGAAATGAAACTATTTTCCAAAACCACATCTATAAAACATATCAATCCAATATCAAGTACAAATATTATTATAAAGTAGAGAAAAATATCAAGTACGAAGCTCAATGAAATTGTAAATCTCTTATCAATAGCAGAGAGAAATAATAAAAAATTAATATAATCTAAAATCCCCATCACCCAAATCATTTCAATAACAGAAATTACAAATAATAAATTAGCAAAAACATCGCATGAATAAATATATTCTGAATAGTATTCCAAGATGTTTTCTCGTCATTATTTTTTTTTCGAACTCGCGACATGATAAATAGAGGAATGCTGCTTTCTCTCGTTGTCTTTTCTTTTCTTTTTTGGAATAGTATTCATCAATCACTGATTTTGTGAAGAGAATAATAATAAAAAAAAACTCTATCATTCACAATAATAGCCCAAAAGTACGTAAAACATTGAATCCTCCTCGTCACAATGCGGTTAACACCTTTGCGTGTGGATGAATTTGTGTGCATTTCATTAAAATAAGACCATAAAATATGTATTTTGAAGAATTGCGTATTAATAAATGACCTAGTTTCCCACTTTTCTTGCTTATTATTTCCCCTTTTGCACCCAAATAATGCGTGATGGTTTATTTGACGTGAATATGCGGGAATAAATGTGATTGTGTGAGATTTTGGAGTGATATTCACATGATATCTTGGCAATAAGCGATTATGATTCCACTGATAGCATTAATTATAATCACATAATTGGGAAAGACATATGGTTTTTCAAGTCAATCTACAATTATTTCGATAATCATCTTGAAACATTTATTACTGAAAAAAAAATTAATTTGGAGACCAAAAATAGCTTCTAAAATGTTTGCTTGGAATAGCTTTTCCTCCTATTTTTTCCTGTAACTTGATTTAAATCTTTCCTTAGCAGTTGTTCATAAATGCATGATTTCTCAGGGGTTTCTTGTATCCAAAACTGACACTTATGAGTTTCTTTTAACCGCAGAATGCAAATATTTCATACTTGTAACCCTTTGAGTGTGTTAAAGCGACAAATCTGAGTAATGTTCTGATTAGTTATCAATTATCAAATTGCTCACAGCCAAGTTCAGATGAAAACCTCGCACAAATCTCACCGGGAATTATCTCAGGATCAGGGGGAATTGATCGGGAATGTGTTTGAAGTTGAAAAAACACGGAAGACTCTCTGGACACAATGTCTTCATTGCTGTATTGTATATATTACAATTCTAACTTAACAAGTCTCAATCAGAGTGTATAAATGGAATGATTGTCGTTGCAATGGAGTCTCAAGAGAGAGCCGCCAAAGAGTTACATGTTGGGAGGGTAGAAGGGGGCGTAGATGGCGGCGGTGGTGCCGGGATAGTGTCTCTTGGTGGCATTCCCGGCCGTGGCTTCCTGCTGGAAGGCGTGCTCGTAGGAGCGCTTGATGGAAGCCACGGGTGTGCCGGGCTGCGGCGGCATCACGCCCGCAGCCGACGTCAGAGAGGGATGCGCCAGCGGCATGTGGTGCGCTAGCGCCGCCGGCGGGCCCGGGATAATGCCCATGGGGAATTGCGGGTGCGCCGGCAACAGGGCGCGCGGGGAGAAGAGGAAGGGATGCGGCGCGCCCGCGTGGGCGGCAAACATGGGAGGATAGCCCATGGCGGCGTGATGGGGGGGAAGGGCGGCCGTGGTGGCCGGATGCGGCATGAGCGTGAGATTCTGCAGCAGCAGTTGCTCATTGGCCGCGGCGGCGCTATGGCGAGCCAGATTCTGCTGCGCAATGAACTGCGCCTGCTGCTGCGCGAGCAGCGCCGGCGACGGCGGCTGAATGGACAGCGTGAGCGGAGGTGGTACGGAAATGGGAATCTGCTGGGGAACACTCGTCGGCGGAGTGGGCTTTTGCTGTGGTGCTGGTGATGAGTGCAACATACCGGGTGAGAGAAGTGGCGGCTTCGATGGATTGGCCGGTGAGTGAAGGCCGCCCGTGAGGACGAGGTTCATGTCATCTCCCGAGCACTGGAACACTTCGATGTAGCGATGCTTCTTCCCGAAACTCCCCATGTACTTGTTGTGCTTCTGCTGCGCGCACGCGTACGCCGATGTCTCTGAGTCCATCTGGATGAACGCCTCGCCACTCGGCTGTCCCTGGAAGAGAGAGAATCCATACACTGTAAGCCTTCAATGTGTTTCAGCTAAACCAGAATTTTACTTGAATTTAAGTAAAGGGATTCAAACTGCCGAGGAATTTGTCGGTAATTTGATAGAAGCGTAAATGGTTTTACTCACTTGAGCATTATATACCATGTGAACACCTTGGAAGACTATATGTTTGGCAAAATCCTCCAAGAAGTGCAAAATATGTTCCACCTTGGCTTCATAAGGCAATCCTCGCAGCCTGATGCAATCCTTGGACGTGCCACTCGTGATGACGTGCTGTAAAGTGAAGAACAGTCTTAACATTTCTCTAAATCCTCCCTCTTTATGTCCATTTTTTAAACTCTATCCGTGATTCACAAATTCAAAACAAAGAATATGCTTATGAAGTGAAAAAGTGATTCAGTAAGTTTAACACTGAGAGGGAAAATGTGCGTTATAAAGGGAAAACGCGCTCTTGATTCTTAAACATGTGTGCGTTTGTGTTGTGACAGGAAGATCGCGAAAAATGCGAAACATTTTAGAAAATCAACAATGCCAACACAATGTGAAATTCAATTACCTGAGGCACAAGAGGAATTTGCACTTGTGGCAGTTGTGGAATCAATGGTGGGGCCGGTGGTTCATACGTCTTCGGATCCATGGATCGATTAAGTACCTGCAAAGGAAGGATATGGAAAAAAGTCACCAATTTCCTCACTTTTCACACCACTTGAGCCACAAACTTACAACATACACTCTTCCACGGAAGGTTTCAAGGAGAGAATTTACATGAGAATTGAATTATTGGGACTACACTGAGAAGAATTGATTGAATTGAAAATTGAGCAGTTACTACATATAAGTCCACTGGAATGATCGCAATCCACTCTTCTCAGTGTGTACAATTGCATTGAGCTTTATTAATTGTACCTGTTGCACTTCGGCTGTCGTTGAGCGAAAGAGTTCGATGTATCGCTGCCCAATTGACTCTCGATGTCTCGAGAGGGCATTCGGGGCATCCGACTCGTTGGAGAAGAGCACAAAGGCATCTCCAGTGGCTCTGCCATCTGGCTTCTTCACGAACAACACCCCGTCCACCCCATCGAGCACTTGGCAAGGATTGTCGCCCGTGGAGAAGAAGTCCAGCTGTGGAAATAATCAAGTGCTAATTGAGCTTTTGTCACATTGTCTAACAATGCCATCAAACACCAACCACTTGCTTCGCCGTGCAATCATACGGAAGTCCCCGCATGCGAATGATGACCTGGGCGCCCTTCGTGAGGAACGCCTGCGCCTCATTGGATGCCCCGCCGGCCACAGCCAGGAAGTCCTCGCCAGATGCTCGGTACACTTCAATGTACCGATTGCCAATGTGATGCTTGTGCCTCTTGAGCGCCATATCTCGATGTTCCTGTGACACAAATCTCACCAGCGCCTCTCCGTTGCGTCTTCCCTGTGGCGATAGACAAAGAGCTACGCCACCCCTTTTTGCACGCATGAGAAAAAAAAGATAGAGACAAGAAACAGAGAATATATAAGTCAAATGCGATAGGACACACAATGAACTTCTTTTCATCTCTATGAAAATTATAACTTTTCTTTGAATCATCTCTCAATGCTTGTTTTGCACAAACACACACACATACATTCTTTTCCGTGATAACAGAAGACTCTTCCATCTCATTCTCTGTATTTCCGATGGTATCAGGCGACCTTTTAAACCGTCCACATACAATTAAGACAACTCTCTGTCATCCCAAAGAGACCCTCGGCTCGACACTATGTAATTTCTCTATTTATTTACACTCAACTTTCAACTGGTAGAAATACGACGCTATAACTTTGTTCACGCGGGCTTAGAGATTTCATCAATACATTGTTACACAATCCTACACACTTTTTCCCCCTCGTCAATACACAATCCTCAAATACAATCGCTTCTGGTGAGATTAGAAAGGACAAAGATTACAATTTTCAAAGTTAAATCTTCATCAATTCACACAATGTACTTTTGATTGTGCAACACGATATTCTGTTTATTATTACTACAAAAAAAAATCAAATTTACACAGACTAACGGAAAAATGATCGCTTCATTGGTGAATCTCTCACTTTTATGGCAGAATTTTAGAGAAGATCACATTTTTTCTCTCTCTTTCTGATAATGAAAACATTTCTAGGAAATCCGGTGAACTTTAGACTTTAAACTATCAACAATGGATGATATCATGTGCATTTATTAACCAATGAACTCAAAGCGATATTGGAAATTTATTGAATTTTCCCATTAAACATCACACTTCGATTAATTTCTATTCCTTGTCCTTCGATTGTAACAACAACAATTAAAAAAAAACATGGATATGTACATACATGTGACGCAATGACAATCCCAATCAATTTTCCCTCATATCTCAACCACTTTGCAACTAATTTTCCACACAAACACACGACTATTTGCACGATCATCATTAAATTCAAGTGTCCTTTACATTCTTTGTGCGCGAAGTAGCAAATTCTCTTGAATATGGCACAAACGGAAAAATGATTATTCTGTGTGTTATTGTACAAATAATCAAGAGACGAATATATTTGACCAGTGGTGATGATAATTTGAAGGGGAGAAGCTGAAAAAAAAGTGTACAGAATTGCTTAAATACTCACTTGGCAACATTCAAACCCCGGAAAAACTTTGCAATATCTTGATCACTGCTCTGCCACGGAAGACCTCTGGCGCGCACTATGCACGATCCATCAATCTCATCGTCAATTGAGCTGCAATGTTGGATTGGGCAAGAGAGAGAGAGAGAGAGACAAAAATGGCATGATTAGAGGAATTTGCTGCTGTACAAAAACTCCACACTTGGACCTCAAAATATATTACAAATTAATAGACATGAAACACTTGTGAGAGCAAAACACCACGCAAACTTCACCTTTTCTGTGTGCTGGACAAGACAAAGAGCAAGTTTCGGATCTTGACTTCTACGTAAATCACTCCTTGAGATTCCAGATCACAGTGTGCATAAAATATCCAAGAAAAGAGGATACAGAAAAAGAGGCACGTTTCACTCAGGATCACCTCTCCTCTGACTACTGTATTTCTGCCACTGTGACTCGAGTATCGGTGGCAACTCTGTCGACGTCCCGAGCCAATAATCAGGCAAGTTTTCTGGTCGACGATAGAAAGTCATAAAATTCTCTCCTTCAATATGGGTATCGAAGCGACCACTGATAAGAGGTGCTCATGTCTAAGTGACCCCAACGGGAATGTAATTATTTTTAATTTTCATCTCTACAACCACACATTACGTGACTTTACACAACTTCTCGCATCTCTCTACACACTCTCACGAACATGTTCTCCTCCGCATGGGAAACAAAATCCTGATAATGCCCAACCGACGCTCTCATCTCCAATCTTGTCCATTTTTCAATAATCACTCACACAATTCACTTAAGGAAAGATCCAAGATATCTTCTCAGCTCTCCAGCTATTGAAAATCTCTCAGTGTTGCACTAAAATGTATTTATATTTTAGATTTAAGCGATTTCTACAACCTTCAGACACCTCTAAAAGGGATAAATTAAGGCCATTTGAATAGAGAATTAACATGTTTGCATTACTTGAAGTTGAAATACACATTCTGGGATCAGAAATATTTTCTCTTTCACTTGTTGTACTATTGTATAAAAAAATTACATTTATCTATTCGCCACTAAATTATTTCTCTATCGAAAATATTCCATATAAAAATGTCATATTTTGCTCTATTCTTTCTTTATTTTCCTACAGATGCGTGCGAACAATTTCCCAGTATTTTGCAAAATACATTATTAATCATGGTAAAAAATTTGTGTTAATTCACAATAGTTTTTGCAAATTTGCAACGACTGTCTGACAATGTTCCCATTGAATATCATAAGACATTCCATTGTTGTCATAAGACAAGAAAAGAATAATTGCATTTTTCTAGTATTAATGTAAAAGTTTAATCAAGAAAAGGCTTTAAAAAGGTCCAAATTTAACATTTCCGTATTAAACTGACTTTTCTAAGGACAAAGAGTGAGAAATCTGTCTTAATCATTCTGCATCGCACTGTAAGTTTTGAGTGCATGCATTGCAAGTGCGATCGTATTTCAATTATATGTTCATAACTAACAAACCCCTGGCTTTGTATATGCTAATAATCAGAATTTATATCACAATTATAATCTCAAGTGCGTGAGTGACAAGTATACTTCTCCAATATGGAGATTTCTCTCTCTTTTTTCCCACAAGATCCCTATCAGTGCAAATTAGTCTGAATATTTCATTCGGAAAATCCATATCACTTTGCCAATTGCATGCGATAAGGAAGATCAATCACACTCTGATGGGCTGAAATCAATCTACAGCGACGCAATCGACATCTCAACGTCCCGGAGAAACTGCAGCTCATGTGGCAAGATGCAAAAATATCCACTCTCATGACCTCGTCCCCGTAATATGTGGTCTTTTTTCTCTTCTTACACTCTCTCGTGTTGCTCACCTATGCGCTCCCGCGTGTGCGGTGTGTGTATTTTTTCGCAAATATTAATTACTTTGCGATTTAATACCACGGCGCTGTAAATTACACACATATTGCCATCGATCTGTGTGCACTTGCCAATTGTACACATTGTAATTTATTTGGTATTGCGTGTGAGGCAATTTTTATTCTTTCTCCTCATCATTATTTGCTTCTCCTATTTCTTCTCCCACAGCTTTTGCCTTCCCCAAAAACTCACTGTGCGACTCAAATCAGTCGAAATGTCAAAATAAATTACTAGATTTTTGATACTATTGACAATGCTATTTGTCACGAAAGGGAGCAAAGTGAAATTATGTGCTTATTTTCATCTCTCAAATGTCCCCAAAATTCAATTCATGCAACAAAGACAGCAATACTCACCAAATTCCTGGTTCAAGAGCGAGGTTAATCGTTTCTGTACATTCAAATTTATGACCTAGAAGAGATGGCAGAGAGGAAAAAAAGTAGTTAATATTTAATCTTATCTCACATAGCAAAATTATACACTTTACATTTACAGAAGATTGGTAGGTACTTTTGTGAAAAGAAGGAGAATGGCAAGGAAAAAATAGCGTATTTGCGGTAGAATTTGTCAGAAAATAACAGAGTGAAGTGCAGTGAATGAACAATAATAATAGAATGAATTTTTCTCCACAAAAATATCATGTGAACACTCTCAACATCGCACTATATAATGTGAAATGCCGCGAAATTTGATCAAGCGCGCCACACACAAAATATATTTTTTCTTTCACCACACAATTCTCTGCGACAGTGAAGAGAAAAAAATGTGCATTCTTGCAAAAAAAAATCACCATGCAAAGAGTCATTTGTGTGGCGGAAATGGTAGCTTAAAGACGAATTCAATGTAAATTGTAGAAATAAGTGGTATAAATGTCAGTGACTTTGCACATTTTTTTTTTACACAATATCACTCCCTCTCAGTCGTCTCGAAGACAGCCCAGTTATTACCTCAAACATTTAATCATCTGTAAACAATTACACACACACACTCAGCTTATATTTTATATACTTCTTAAAGTATCAGAGACAAATTCAATTTCATGCAATCATTTGTACGATAAAAGTGGAAAATATATATTATTGACTTCTGTAAATTTTTCACATACAACTCCAAGTCACGAAAAGCCAAGCACATTTGTCACACATTCTTCACATACAAGTCAAACATCTTCACTTTACCTGCTGACAAGAGAGCCTGAATTATCGTCACCATATCACGAGACTCCTTCACATAAAAATCCGAATCAGAATAGGGCTTCAGTTCCAGTTCTGAAAGGGTAAAAGAAGAGAGAGAGAGAGAAAAATGTTAGCAAACTGATAAGACATGGAAGAAATGCTGTGAATTATATTTAATTTCCGCACATTTTATCACACAACACGGCAAGTGTATCCATCTTAAGCATATTCAATCAATCAGCAATACAATGATCAATTCCATCCACAATAAATTGATCTTTACACCTTGTGCCAAAGTCTGAGAGACACAGCGAGAAAAGTGTGCGCGCGTTTATCAGTGAGTTATCAGGGCAAAACTCTTCACGAAGAACATCACACAGCAATGGAAAATAAACTCAAAACTCCGCTAAATGCATTTCCCGCTGGAGAAAATGCTCAGTATATAATTAACAACATGTGTACGGTGGCAATTTGTGTCGCGACAGTGCAAACTTCGTCTCCCAAGTTTCACAGTCGCTGATGGTGAGTTTCTTCACAGATGGGGCTCTTTCCGGAATGTGGGTTCCGCACCAATAAGCCCACAATTATGCACAATCCAACAAGTATATGGGAAGTTACTTAATCCATTTTTGCCGAGTGACCTCAACCAGGAGGTGTTTTCAGTCCGACACACTTGACCATTCACTGAATTGAGCCATTTTCTTCCCTGCAATTAGAACTTTCTTTTCGCCCCACTCCACAACCGCGTGGAATTTCCATCAATTTTGTGCGGTTCTAAACCTCAAAATAAACAAAACCATATTCCAAGTAAACTTTCAAGTATTTTTTGTACGAAAAAAGAGTGTAATCAAAATGCAATTTCTTTAATTCATTCACATTGTTGCTTTTGAGGTTGTTAAGAAGTTTATTGTAGCATTGAAAAAAGTGATATCTTGCATAAAAATCCAAAATATTCATTGTGTTCAATAAAGGAATAAAGAGAATAAAATTCAACTATTCTCCACATCATTCCTACGTATAATGAAGCCTCTGTCTTTGGAATTGATTAATATCCGTTTAGCACAGAAATTTCATAACTTTTATGTAATAAGTTAGAAGATTTTCATTACTTCCACATAAATTGATTTATAGCCATCAATACACATGCGCATCTTTTAAATACCTTATAATCCACTCAAATCCTTTTGCTGACATAATAGAATCTTTTAATAACTCTCACAAAACCCATCAAAGTGAGAATATTCGCATTTGTGTGCGAAAAATTAGATATTTTGTGTGCGGCTAAAGGTATTTATGCGAAAAGTAATTTTCCCTCACGAATAATTGCATTTTCTTGGAAATCCCCACACTCACAGAGTGCAATAAATTTCTCATAGTAATTTTAACACGATTTCATATGTGGTTCGCCTTTCTTGGGTGTATTTTTTTTTTCTTCTTCTTCTCTCAAACTGAATTGTAGTTGTATGAAGCAGTGGAAATTCTATAGTGGTATTAACACCTCCGTCATTTTCTATTTGATTATTTGGTCATTTGTTTATGCAAAATACTTTTTTCCCCATCAACGCAGTATCACGTGAATGTCCATAGGACGAGGGAGAGATATTGGACCAAAATCTGTACAACGTTTCATAACAGTGTCAAATTTCCCATGCCTAATGAGATAATAGTAAGAATAAGTATTAAGAAATCACTTAACATGTTTATCAGTGCAAGTTTCAAGCGGATGTGTAAGAATTCCGCTAAGAACTTTCCATGACGGTTTTGAGCATATAACTACCAAAAACCCACTTCCTCAGACTTCATATTGAGCTGTACACCACATGATTTTCTCCCCCTTGGCGCATGGACTCACCTGTAAGCATGTCAGCTATGCTGCCCGGAAGAGGTGGTAAACTAGGCATATTGACTAGTTTTTTGGCATCTGTGATAGGAATGAGCGCCCTGGACAGGTCGCCCGACTTACACCGCACCATCTCCTTTCGCAGGTCGCTGAATCGCCAGTAGTAGGAGGGCAATTGGATATCTTTGGCACTAGCTTCTGGGTGAAGCGACTGACGCAGCGCCAGTTGCCCATCTGTGACTATGCGAAAGTTCGGACTCGTCGGATCGATGGACAGAGAGCGTGCGTAAGCGTCAAACTGCAAGGAAAAGAGAGAGATATCATTGGGAAATTCATCGTCATCACAAGCGTCAGCATCTTGAACACATCCGATGATCAATGTTGATCATCACAGAGAGACGTCAATGGCAAACAGAGCGTCTGATAGATAAATCTCCCACAAGAAGCGTGAATGATTCGGCAGATTTAATTGCTAATCTTCCTGTCATGAGTTTCGCATCAACCGGAAGTCATTCCGCAAATCGCACTCAATCTCATAAATGCGGCCGGTGTAAAGCTTTATCAACGCAATATAGTTATAAAATTGTTCTGGACATACACAAAGTGCTTTTTAAACGTTTCGCCCCGAACAAATTGAAAAAAAGAGTGTTCTGATAAGCACTGATTGTATTTCTATGCCACAATGTGTGCAAGATTATGATTTACGAATTGCTAAGCGAACAGAATTATCAAGAGTTCGCTGATGGAATTTCTTCCTCTCCTGCTCGCTAACACGGCATCTCAACACAAAATTGCACTGTCACAGAGTGAGGAAATGAAATATTTCGTGAGAAATGTTAAACTTCCAAAGACAGTCATTCTCGGAAGTACAACATGACGAAGAGTTTTCACAAACTCTGTGCACAACTTTGCACACATTCATTACAAATTTGTAAAGCAAATTTTGAACTAATGAATTTTTTTTTGTTTTTGATTCAATCACTTTGCAAATTTGTAATTCTCTAATTGTAAAGCATTAAAAAAAGAGATTTTCACTCAAATTTAAATATACACCATCAAATTCAGTCAATAACAGTGAATGTACAAAATATATAACATGCATTTTAAGAAATTGTACGCGCCAGAGAAAATTGTACAATTAGAGAATCAGTCATGAAGGAAATTGTTAGCGACAAATTGTGAACATCCGCATTGGTCTATATTTTAAGAGATATTTTTATCGTACGACCGCCCCTTTTTTTCCAACATTACACACACTGGATGTATAATTCTTTATTTTAGAAAGTGGATGCAGGAATTTGATCATGCAACTTTGCCCATGTCGTTTTATGAAGAATATAATGTCTTCTCTGTCCTTCTAATATCGCCACACGGCGAAGGAAGATATCATTATCAACACTTCAGTTACAGTTAAAGAGCAACATAAAGTATGCTATTTGCTGCATATTTACATAGATAATTGCATTGTTGACATAATCAGCATTGCCACTCTACATATATATTGCAATTATTCTCGTTAACTCTTTCTCTCTTTTTTGGCTGAAATAGAAGTACATTCATCTGCAATGGAGAGCAATTTATAAATTGTGCCTCTGCATTTTTTTTTTACTTCATCGGTCGCCAATTTCTTGAGCATCGCACATTGCAAGCGACGCGGAAAATTCAATTGTTGCAAAACAAGAGGCCTTTCTTCATTGTTGTCCACCTTGTTGTGTGACTTTTTCCCCAAACACACACACACACACACACACACAGCAAAATCTCATTGAAAATATAATCTTAATGGGCATTTGTTTCCGTTCCTTGAAAATTTTGCACCACCAAAACCAGAGCAAAATAAATATATAGAAGAGAACATTGCCTAAAATTGTATGACAAAATTTTCCACATCTCTTTTATCTGCCATTGAGTTGTACAACAGCTTTTCTTCTCCTCATAATTATTGCAGTGCTGCAACACAAATCATGATTATAGCCTGTATTTGCACATGATGGAATCACACAATTGTCTGTGGGTGTCACTGTGAAATTTTTGTGCGCAAATCAAACATAAAATTGAAGATAAATATCCCGGTGTGTGGAATAAAAAATTTCAATCAACTCTTCACTCGACAATTTTGCAAATATTTGCCCAACTGAACCATTGAGACACCGACAAAATACAAAAGAAGCTTAAATGGCAACACAAAAAGCCCAGAAAATACAAAGTTCATGTATAATGTTTTTTCATACGAGACACAATAAAAATTCATAATATACAAATTACAGATTAATGATCGTTATCATGGTGGCAATGGTATAATATTATAAACGGTGACTTGTACTGTAAAAATAAGGAGTTTTTTCAGCCATCCAGCACTCGAAAAGTCATGTCTCGATAGTATAAATTCAGTGAAACTCTGTTGAGGCAAAAAGCAAGGAATTTTGCAAGGTGATTGATGTGTTAGAAATAACCGAATTTAATCATTTTGGATATTAATCACACTGGACGATTTGGTGTAAAAGCCAAATGTTACTGAAATGTTATGTCGATAAACGATTACAAGTGCTTTAAAATCTTGAAAGAACAAAAAAGGCAGCAATTTATTAGCATTTTTATATGACTTTTGCGTGCGATTTTGCAATAAAAATCAGAATTTCATTTTTTTTCTCCTCTCTTAATGCATGCAAAAGACAGTGAAATTCAATGAGAATCACAAATTACACGCAGTGATAATTATTGCAAAATTGTGTTATAAACTAATTGAATTAATATGCAATTAAATGATCTTGTTTGCATTGTGTCATTTGTAATATTTTAACGCATTTTGTTACCGGAATTGCCAATATATACATAATATTCACTCTTCAGTCATCAATTATTGCAAACTACATGTCACTTTGTCACTTGTATCAATTTCCATTTATTGCCAGTTCGCCGGGCGAGAGTAATAAGGCAAAAATATGCAAATGATGTCGATAGACTGGAAATTCATTCTGAAATTGTACGAATTGCTCAATAATAATTCTCCTTGCAGCTCAACCACCTTGCTTTTGGTCATACCAACTATCAAACAGCGCCAGCATTTTCCAAGAGCCATTCACTCTTGGTCTATATTTCGGCCCGTTTGGACTTCAGGTTGTAATCAACTTTGAATCTCTCTCTCTCTCTCTTGCTCTCTTGCCATCTTTTATTTTTCACGACATGAATTTCATGTGAGCATTTTTTCCTCCATCCACATCATAATTCAAATGATAGACTCTCTGTGCACCTGACAAAATATGTAATGCCCTCAACTTGCAACTCCCATCGGAGAAATTCCAAAGCAAATTGACCTGAACTACAGTTTTTTCTCCCGCCATCCCAATCTTCACATCATCCATCGCTTGGGCTGCAACTATTCCGTCATGAAGCCGGTGAGAGGAATCGTTGAGCTTTGGTGGAGTTACAAAAAATGCAGGTTTAACTCTGCACACAATCTAATTTCGTTATAAGATGATAAAACAATATGAACAAATATAGAAAGCAATATATCTTGTAAAAAGATGTAGAGAAAGGTGGGGTAGAATGAGCCAAAAACCGTATTTTTTTAATAGTTCAACTAATCTTGAATGACTGTTTGAAATAACACACATTCAGAGCTTAATTTCAACATTCTATGGAAAATCAGGCGCTTTTCCGGACGGTTTTAGACAGAGAAAATTGCTGTGAGACATGATTTTTACCCTTTTTGAAGATCAAAATAATTCTCTCAGTTCTAAAATAACCATTATTAATTATATTTACTTAAAATTCATGCTTTCCTATCGTTTATAAAATTTTCTTTTCATCGCATATTCCCAATTATAATCCACGTTTATCATTATGATTCTTTCTCAGTGCATTTTATATGATAACTTGTCATGGCAGAGTCTCTTCTACTCATTTTATACCTTTAAATGCATTCAGTTTTCTCCTCAATCTCAACATCGGAATTTTAACTTCAAGACAAATCTTTCCTCTTGGAATTCACACAATTTGTAAATTCTTTTCCAAGATCTCTTGATCAGTGTGCGTACAAAATTTCTTTAGTTCTACAAACTTACGTCAATTCATGGGGAGAAGAGAGAGAAAAAAACGAAGCAAAACAGTTAAAGTGTCGTCATGTTGGCTTTATCACGCCCCAATTATTCAACTTGGCACTTCTAACAAGCATTTCACACGTCCTTGTCAATCAAACTAAAAACTACAAGTTGGAAAGTCCAATTGTCACTTAATTATAGTGTATAATCTTCAAAGATGTGGGTTTATTGCTCACCCAGGAAGTTGATAAATTTTCGCAGGAAAAAAAACGTTCTTTCTTCCATTTTTACCCTTGAATCTGATCTCATTCTTTTTTTCTCTCTCTTCCCCTTTTTCACAACATTCTTCAATTGAAATATGAAATTCTTCAGTCTCAATAAATATCTCAATTAACGGATATTATTTATAGAATTGCTTAATGAATTCTGGCCTCTCACCACCAATAATGTGTCTCACTGTATACACAACATTGCAGTCTCACTACCGATTCAATCACACTCTGTGACGCTCAGCATATCTCGAAATACTAACAGCTTTGGCATGCATTCACAAGGTCCTTGCCCGGTCACCAACCGCGTGGCCGCAATGGATGCTGAATTCCACTCTGCAGCCACACACCAGAAGAGGAATCACATCTGCAGCATCCTGAACACACTTTTCCATGCCCAAAAACAGCCCATCAATTCACCCAACAATCACGCGCATAGTTAAAATTGTGAAATGACTTATGAAAGTTTTACAAGAGAGGTGAAAAATCATAAAAATCACCTTTCAATCGTGATAGGAAAAATTGATGTTATGCTGGGGAAGAAGCAAGGAAAAAAACATAGAGAATCATCCAAAATTGATACTTTTATGCCCTCTCCCTCTCTCTCTCTCTTTGTCGGAATGCTTTTCACATTCGATGGCGAGGTGGAAAAATCGACAAGAAAGACCATGAATCTTGCATCATATTTCTCATCGTGAAGTCTCACAATGTGCCAAGAGATCGCTTTTATTCACACGGAGGATTAACAAGTGCAAAGGGCAAAAAAGCACCACCAATCTTCCACTCTTCTTCCTTTTTCACCGCCTCTCTACACTCTCACAATGCACTCAACATTCGAACACATACACTTTGACCCAATTAGCCGCAAATTCACCTGTTCAACCGGAAATTCTTGCCCTTTTCACTCACTCTCGCGTTTCGCGAGCTTTTATGTCTTCTCCTATGTGGACAAGACGCAGTGTCCTTGGGCGGAGTTGGAGGGAATCCATTGAGACATGCGGTCTTGAGTTGTAGAAGCACCCGCAATTCATTCACAGCCATCAACAATTAATTCACTGTGACCTTATCGTGATGCAGATTTTATCGCAATCATCACACAAAGTGGTTCACCATGTGGTGTCAGGCATTGATACAGATTCCGTGCAGATCGCAGAAATAGATCCATCTTCAAAATTCATTGCATATTTTAATCATGAGCAATTCTCTGCTCAAGCCATAAAAAGCCGTTTCTCTGTCCAAATATTGAAAAGATCTTGCAAAATACCAAAAGAAGACAATTTGACTATATCTTTGAGACTTTCCAGCGCGAGTATTTATCACGTGTTTTCAGTTGCTTTTCAAACAATTTCTGACAATACTTCAATCCCTCTTAATGGATTCCCATCAATACACATTTCCCATTTATTTGGGACTATTTTTCCGATTTCCACTGTAGATTCCATCCGATATGCAAAAGACATCAGACTGTTTTCTGACACATTGACTGACTTTTTTTTCACTGCAAGAAGACAATTCAATTGAACATTGCCGCTCTTTTTGTACAAATATGTTAAGTGTAAATTAAGCATCTTAATTAATTACACATTCAATTAAGATAAATAAAAAACCAAACACATTACGTGCAATAATTATTGAATACAGTCAACATGTGTTTAATAAATTGATGTGATTTCTCGAAATTCGCATTAATTCGCAAAAAGCTGCTGATTTTACGATAGACTTGTGCATGATTAATTCATCTTCAATATAATGGCAACATTCCAATATGAACTGGTTTGAGCGGGTCTCGAGGAAGCACAGCTGAAGGCATCCTGTGCAAGTCGAGAACACGCGCTTATCAATTGATTTAGACCATCTCGCCGTGAAAGAGTACAGGCAATATGAACCATGCTTATCACGACGGTTATCGTGTGCGCTGAAGTGCCCGAAACCGGCAATGGGGGGATCATAAATTTGAGATTAAATCCCTCCAAAAAATGTGTGTCATTACGCAATTGTGAAATTGCTCGACGTTGTGCTCTTCGTGGGCCTACGAAAGACTGTGAGAATTGTCCGCTTGGGTATATTTCTAAATGTCCACCATTGTTTGTCATCCAAAAGTCTCTCTGGGCGACAACACATTGGCAGCGCACGCCCGTTTGGCTTGTAGATGACGGAAACAATACCCAACAAACCATCCAGTCAACCACTCGTGGTTTCGTCTTATTCAACCTAACTGTTTTAAGACATTCGGAACGGGTTTGCGTCGATGAGGCTCTTTTTTCCAACATTTTTTTTCGTCTCTGTGCGCGTCTTCCTTATACTTTTATATTCTTCCACATATGTATATTCGATAATTGTACTCAACGACGCGATGACGCGGCATTTCGGGCGATAGGGAGAGAAACACGGGGAAAAATATGCGAATACCACCAACTTTGCACCTTAATCGAGCGTTGAGCAGTGAAATGGCACAACATATTTATGATTCACACACAAACTCAGTCACTATCAAGCACCAATAGAATCTGATGCAGATATCAAGGCATTCTTGAGACATTCATTGACAACAGAAAAGAGTGACTCTGAGCAACTCCAAAGCATTTCTCCCACTCTCTCATCATCCATATTGTGCAAAATGTCTGTGGAATTTGCTAGAACATCTTCTTGGCAAAATCAAACACACACTCGCGAAAGAGCGAAAAAGAAAATCACTCAAAATATGTGAGCCCATGAAAAATGTGTCTAAGACAAGGCAGAAGAAAGAGTGTCACAGTGAGATAAAACAAATCTCTGAGTAAACATCTGTCAAAGCTACTGTGAAATGATATTCCAGTCGCTTTTAAAGTCAAATTTCCCGTCTCGGCACTTGAGGAAGAAAGCGTGCGAGTGTTGGCAAATTACTCATGCATCTTACCTGATCGATAACTTCACCGAGTGGGCGCCCAGCCACTTGCAGGAAAGACTCCGTGATGGACAGTTCAGGTGATATCAGGGCGTCCGGTGAGCTTGGCTGTTCCGTTGCCTTCTCCTTGTTGCTGAAGTGTCCCACCGGACGGACTAGGTACTGTTGCACACCGACAATCTGCAATCAATCAGCACACAAATCCATCAGTTAATTGAGCAGATATTGAACTTCTCTGACTTATTATCAATTGTTAACCTCTTAACCGCAAATTAAGATAATGTTAATGACTAAAAACATTATGAAATATAAATTAAAATATAAAAATCGAATTTGAAAGTTTTCGCACAAATATCAACACAACAAAATTTGCTAAAATCCAGCCCAAGAAGTCTGTAAAACAGATTCCGGTGATAATATCTCTCCCTTTAGTGTCAATTTATGTTATAAAATCATACAATTTACCTAATTTTACACACGTAGTTTGTCTAATCATTAATTTTGTCAAATAAAACCCTCAACTGTGCTTTTATTTCAGCATAACCCACAATTTTTGCACGCATTTTGTTGTGAAAGTTTATGAGTTGTACTATAAATTTTATAGTGTATTTAATCATTTCATATCTGTAACAGCAAAAATACAGGGTGATCCAATTAACACCAAAGACTTATGTTCAAAAAAAAAGAACATTTCATTGGATATTAGATCTAACTTGATACGATGCTAGTAGAAGCTTCTTCACCTCTCAGCAAAGCAATTTGAATCCCTGAATAGATCGATAATTATCTCTAACTGCGTCTGTTGGAGATTTTCAGCAATTTGACTAATAAGTTCGATAACATCAAACATAATAATGAACAGAGATTGGAATGCGCCAATCCGCAATATGTTATTTGCACTATCTCACAACATCCATGTCCTCTTATCTCTTGAATCTCCTTTCCACGTAATATTTAAATAATTCTTACAAGAGTGCGCAGAAGAGTATTTGTGGGTCTTTTGTACTTATTGAGAAATTTCAGGCAAAACACTAATGACTCTTATTTGTGCAGTGTTTAGTGGCACGAAGAGATGCACAATTCAAGTGGAATAATAATAATTGATGATGATGGTGGAAGCCTTGGAGAATAATAAGAGACCTGTATGTGTTGTTGGGATTCTAATGGCTCAAACTTAAGCGAGCGAGAGAGAGAGAATTGATAGACTGAAAATCTTTCTCATTGGCTTTTGCATATATACTCCAGAAGAATATCTCAATCTCTTCAATAGAACACCTCGGAAAATTATGTACATTGTCGACGAGAATCTATTTGAATATAAATTACGCACACACAACACTTGGGGACGGTTTTAATAGCCACTCTTTCAGCACTTGTGTGTCTCATCCACAGCATTTTTTTTTCAAGATGTGGAGGACAAAAGGTTAAGGATATTCTGCCATATTAGATGTCTGTTCACGTATTCGCTCCACCTCAAATCTTGCACATCGCCTAGTTGACCCTAATTATTCAGCCAAGAGAGTGACAATTACATTTATGACTCTTGTTATACAATTGTAGTTAATATTTAAATTATTACCTCCACGAGTGGACATCAAAGTCCGTAATTAACATTGTTATTTCTCAAATATCATCTTCCACACATCGTGTCTCTCTTTTTTTTCGTCTGCGTAACACAATTTACTCAGCAATAGTGAGGAGTTGAGACAAGAAATCACGTCGATATAAAACTAATGAGGCGTGATATAAAAATTTTATCGACTATGTTATTAATTTCAAGGATTAGCAGATGAAATTTTGACAAGTCTCGCGCGCACACATCATATGTGAAAAACAATCATCATCATCATCAACCTTTTATTGCATGCTAAAAGTTCAAGTAGCAAAAACTCACACTTTTCCTCATCTTATCTCTACCCAGAAATCTTACGTGCGTTACATAAGAATTTTGACTAAAAGCCACATCTGCAATCCCAACAGAACATTTATGAGTTATGTTGGCAAAATCTGATATTGTGTGTGTGTGTTAGGCAAGGGAGAACGAACAACAGTATTTTTACCCACTTGCAAGATAATCCATAAATATTTTGTATGCTAAGCTATGTTGCTGAAAAACAGCCGCCATCCTTAAATTAACCGTGATTACTAGACATTTTTTGCCTTCTGCTGCATTAATTAGCGCCTTAATCGCACCTCTGAGCAGTCTAACTGCTTCTTCGCGAAAAAAAAGAAGCAACGAAGATAATGCCATGGCGTATAAAATTTCTTAAATGCGCGCGCGACTTTAAGAAGTAAAACTCATTGCCGCGAAAAGGTTATACTTTTCGTGTGGAATCCCCGTCGTCATTAATTAAATTTCACTCCACACCTGAGGATAGGCGTATAAAATGTCTCAAGCAGTCCATTAAAGATGCGCGACTGTTTGACATTGCAAGGCGAGGAGAGACAACATCTCTTCAGTTGCGCGGTGAGACTAAAAGAAACTCACACATTGGTCATAATTGATGGAGATAAAATATAACATAGTGTGGTTTATTTTTAATTCATCCACATGCTAAAAATTTCACTTAATTCACCTCTTTTGCGACTCATCTTCTGATCTCTCCATGAGGGTTTAATCAACATCGCTGAGCAATTTTCCAGCTGAATTTAATAGTGGGAGACAACAATTATTTACTGCATTGTGTATAGAATTTCCGAGAACATTTCTGAATCTATGATAAAATATGCCAGAAGAATTAAACGTATCGGAAAATCCACAACTCACACACATGCAAATAATTTTGTGCAAACATTGCTGATTTAATTTTCATCTCTATTTCTAGAATTTCGACAGTCACTGTTTGAACAATGAGAATATTCTTTGAAGGAACTGAAAAGCACCATCTAATCTAACATAAGTACGATTGAGAATTTTTGTGGATGCACAAATTGCAAACATAATTGGCAATAGTCACAATTGACCCAGAATTGGTACAAGAGCCCAAGCACATATTATTACTGACTTGTGAGGGATGAATTTGCGTGCTAGTGCGAGATGAGAGGCAAACTTACTTACCATACAGCAAGTATAAAATGCAAAATAATTGGAGGCTCAGAGATGCAATTTCACAAAGGAAAAAAAATCATGATGCAAAACAATCAGCATATATGATATTTTTTCTTCACCTCCAGAAGGGAGATAAGCTCTGAGAGTTCATAGAGTGGGAACAGCAAATTATAATTCAATCGCGCCTGCATTGAGGGGAAAAACTTAGGCTTTTGTGTGCACAAAATACAGACAGAGTGAGTGATTGAATTCTGATATTCCACCCATTCACGTGCGCGGTGGATAATTAAAATACAAAAGTATGTGCAAGAGGTGAAGGGAGGAAAGGACAAGCAGAATTGTTTTTATTATTATTATTGTTGTCTTTTTTATGCCTATATAAATATTTTATGTGCCACTTTTGAGGCTTTCTGCCAAGTGAGAATAAAATTGCACAACAAATAAAAATATATCCATTCGAAAAAGTATATTATTCAAAAGAAGAGAAAAAATAACTGCCGTGTAAGTGTCAGCATTATGATTGATTTCAATTTAATACCACCAACTTGCGCATATATTGCCAGAAGTATTATCATTGAGATGCTTTTTGGACGGTGCGTGTTGAACAGTTAACACCCAGCAATTAGGCTAAGAAACTTTCGCTCACTGACTTATTAATATATATATTTTTGGGAATAAGTAATGAGCCAAAAGTGCTTATAAGCACACCAAATCTCATGCCTATTAGACAGACACTCAATAAGCACACGATTACAAAATTCCACCCCTCGGGCGGTAGATTTCACAGTGAAAATCACCGCTCGATAATTTGTCAAAATAATTAAGTGTTATGACAATTGTTACGATATTGCCAATAATATATTTAAAAGTCTCTCTCTCTCTCAAACACCAAAGTGGACTTGCATCGCTTCATTTGGTGCTGCTTTTTGCAATGCAATTGGACATGACGAGTTCAAATTTAGAAACTTATACAGTAATTAAGTGCCATGAAGTTGAATTGCTAGGAATTTTCTTGTTATATATTTCTCTTTTTTCTCTTCTTCTTCTTCTTTAAAAATTTCAATCAAGCTTTCCAATGCAGAAATCCCGCAAATTTTATTCACCTCCAGAACACCGATATTCAGCTCAATCGTTCTTGTAATTAAAATTCCCTGTTCTTGAGTACAACACAAAAAAATATGTACAGTATTTCTTGGTCTTAATCCTCCCGCCGCGGGTGTTCTTGAAAAATAATTAACATGTCTTTGGTTTTTGTTGGTCTCCAAAAAATTGGGTACCTTTGAAAGCCTTCCGTTGGGTGTTTTGCGTTAAATGGAAAATTTCCATTTTTGCACTGTAATTGCAACTGACTTTTCAATGTCAAACATTAAAATTCTCTTATTGTGAAGTACGTGAAATTTGTGTCTGTGTCTCAAGAACAAAATGGAACGCGCGCATGTCTTATTATTGTGACCAAAAAAAGAAACCAGCGCCAGAGACCAATTTTACCAAAATTCTTGAGAGTGATTTTAACTGAAAATCAAATGAAGCGTACAGAATTGTATAGTGTTTTGTGTGCAATTTTGCGAGTTATCATAAGGAAACGATTTAGAGCGAAAGATGGAGAAAAACTCTTAATGAGATAATAATTGACGTTCGCCCTCTCTTTTTCCCTTCAGACACTTATGCTGACTCTATAGTGTGTAATAAGGAAATCACTGGTCGTGTGCGATGTGCATGTAAAATTTAGCATGATGCTGTAAACATATTAGCAGACTTAATTATATTTAGTGTACTGTGAATTGAACAATTGACTTATTAGCGTATTCTGTGTGTTGTTTAACGTTTTCCACCTTTTCTTCTGCATTCTTTTGATACTCCAGCGAATCATATTGAAAGATTATCACAATGATTTATCACTAAAATTATATATTTGTTTTCCTTTTTTTTCATATACAAGAAACATTAAATTACAATTTTCGTACGGCTGTTTTTGCTTACAATCTATAGTGGCAATTATTAAGTTATTGGCGCGACGAGGCAAAGGTTTTCCCAGCAGAGGTAGAAAAATATGTTATTTTAGACAATAATAAACCGTCTTGGCCAAACACGAACATCTCTTTGAAGGTAATTTTTGCTTTTGTAGCTCTGTTTTTTTTTTGCTTGAAAGACGTGCCGTCTAGTGATTTATATTATTTTAAAGACTCCTCAAATCTATGAAGAGCACCCTTTTATGGTCATGTGGCAGAGAAGGAGTTTCATTTCACAACTTTGTGCACAAGAGTCAAGTAAGAAGAAGAAGAAAAAAAAACAGAAGAAGAATGAAAAGAAATCTCAACTTTGTGTATGACTTTTTATTCCCTCAAGCTGTGAAAAAGTGTCTTAACTTGTTCCTCACTCATTTTTTGCGCAATGCAAAGTGCACAGAATAATTACACTTGACCAAATCGAATGTGTGGAAAGAATTTTTGCGCGATTGCGAATCAACTCGCGCTGACCAACTCTTGCTTATATTGATGGCGGTGGGCAAAGCGCACAACGTGAAAATTCACCTCTTTTCCAACACCACCTCAAAAGACCCGTCAGAAGTTGTACATTAACTTGCAGCTCTTCAGCCAACGACGCGGACCAAAGTACACACAAGTGCGCGAGAATGAAGAGAGAAAAAAACGCAAAGTTGAATTTCTTTTATATGTGCAATAATTATGTAACTTGGAGAGTCCTACTGTGAGAGACATGGGTAAATCCAATTGTAAAAAAATGCAGAGGCAAAAAGAGCCCAAACAAGTCACTTTGCTTATGGCAATTGAGATTCTTAAGCCGACGATCGCGGTGAGTGCGTGAAATTCTCTTCATGGACACCAAAACTTTTAGATTGTAAAACTAATCAAGAATTCAAAAAATTATGTGTGATTCAATCGCAAATCCTTGATGGCAAAAGATCTTTTTGGCATAGAAAGAAGACTTTCAATTCACGAGAAAATTTATAAAGCAAATAATTAGACTTCTTTCAATTTCTAGCCCAAATTCTAGAAATAACCATAGATTAAACATGTGTTTTTTTGGTTTTGATAAATTTTTGTGCATTTTCTGTTCAGAATTTCTTTTCTGCCTTGTCTAAAGCAAGTTTTAGGCTCAATAACTATGAAAATAAGATTTTCAATCTTGAGTTCATCTACAACATGCACAAGGAACGCTGTTCGGATTTTCCATTACATCCGAAAGCAGAAATAAGTTATTTTTCCCCATGAAAATCCTTCAAAACCACCTACTTTTAAGTCTCTATAAAGACATTCTTTCGTCTTCGTCGAAATTTTAACAGTCTTAAACACATGAAGTATTTTTCTTCTAATTGACAGTCAGAAATTTGGGTCATATTTGATCCATGTCAGTTTAGATGTGACAAATCTTCTCAATTCACGTTCTATTTAGATGTTATAATGTGATGTTTGACTTGAATCTTCGACTTTTGTGTGCTTTAAAATGAGAAATATTGGTAAAATATCACTTCCACCATTCAAAATGTGTACATTTTTCCATTCACTCAATTGCATTCGATCCCCTAAACTTGTGGAATGGCTTAAAGCAGTGACGCTTGCGCCGTTTGTGCAGGAGGAGGAGATTCCCTTGTACTCAGCCAATTATGACTGCGGCATCCGCCGAAAAGCCAGCACTTTGTTCTATTTATACGCTATCATCGCTCGCGAGGCTCTTTCCCATTCGCATTATTGCTTATGTTGGACAAATTGCCAAAGAATGAGATGAAACGTGACGCCCACTTTTTCTCCAATTCGCTCTGCGCCTTCACAAGTGGATCGACTTCAGCCACACAAAATACAAAATGTTTGTCCTCTCTAGAGAAATCATGCTTGAAAAATTGACGACAAAATCTCCACGTGTGTCACAATGAATTGTTTCCTTTTCCATAATTCACAGCCTTTTGACTGGCCTTTTTTCTTGCCTCTTGCGCGCTCGCGCGCGCGCCTTTCTGAAGCCATCGCGAGGCTGACAATAGAAAATGAGGAACTTTAGCACTTTTGCAAGTCAAATATCGTGACCTCTGAACCTGCTTTTAATAAATAACACACAAGAATCCATTGTAAAATTGAATACAAGGAGAGATAATTCCCCCCTTTTCACACTCTTTCGTGTGAGGAAATTATTGTGCCTCCCCAGGAAGTTGTCCATGTGACATGCAAATTTCCGATATGTCGCGATATAATAAACCATTTCACCAAGGAAAACTCCAAATTTGTGTTTTAAACGTATTTGCCACTCATGGAAGGTTTTATTAATTCAGAATTGCCCCTAACTTTACTCTTTTCACGTTGAAAAGAACGTCAATCTGTAGAAGTGAGGCAATTCTTATGACGCTTTTGCTACAAAGAGTGAAATGTTTTATTCATTCTGCTCGACTTTGATTTAATGACTCGAAAATCATAAATTACTCTCTCAACATTAGATACAATTAAAAACTTAGACTCTTTCTTCACTTGCACATCACAGAAGATGATCAAGAGTGGAAAATTTAAAGATAAAAAAAATACACAAATATCTGTAAAAACGGTTAAATTACGAATTAGAAAACATCACATTTAGATATCCTGAAATCTTTCAACCTCGTGAACACTTGCAAAAACAAGTTTATTCAGTAAAATAAAATTCGTTTATGGATAAGCAACATTTCTGTATCCAATAAACGTAAAGATTCGTTTTATGCTTAAACACGGAAAGTGCTTGGAAATTATCTTTTCATTCGCAATTTTAATTTGCTTTTTTTCCAAAGTGAAAGAGTCCATCAATCAAAATTCCAATTAAACATCTCTTAAATCATACAAAATACATTGCAAAGTAAAGATTATGTCCACATTAAATCTATCTTGCAAATTTTTATCGAAAGTTATTGTAGAATTTTACGATATGAGCACATCTTTGCCCTTTTTTCTACCTCTGGTAGACTAAAGTCAACCACTGCTGTGCTCTTTGGGCTATTCATGTGTTTGATTTATGGCTTTGACTTGTTGCAGAGGTATTTATTGCGTCTTGAGGGATTTCTTCAATTTCCTGCGCGACACTTTCACCCGAGCGCTCAAGTGTTCGTCTCGCAAAAGGCAAAAATCAAAATTATCAAGGGGTAAATAGGTGTCTTTTCACAGTGAAATATGAACGGCAGACTTGAAAAAGTATAAAAATGCTTAAGAAATTACAATAAGAAAGGGTTATTATAGTATAATTCAGAGTGTTTGAAATTATTTCTTATGAAATCATAAGAAAATGTAGAGAAAATTGCAAAATATTGCTCAAAATCCTTCAAAATACTTTAATTCCTAATAATTCCAAACTAATAAGTGTATTTTGACTATTAGATTCAGTTTAGATTGCATTTAACAGTAGAAAAGTTCTCCAATTTATCTATCTCAATCGAATTCAAACTGAAAATCCTTGAATTTACCATCGAAACCACGGAATTGGAAGATGATTTGATGAATTCATGCGAGAAACTGTTATAGAATCAAAACAAATCGCAAATTTACAATCTTTTGATGCATGCAATGTTGCTAAAACTACAAAACCCCTTTAAATCCCCTCGATTTGCGTCGATCAGAGCAGAAAAATCGACAGATCGACGATATTCCCTCTTGACACTAATATTTATGTTATGACAAATTACTAAATAAATGGCAAAGATGAAAGACTCACATTTGTCGTGCTGGCATCGATGATCACGTAGACGAGCAGGACGACCTCCTTCTCGTCAGAGCCCAGGCCAGGACCGCCCAGTCCGCACGTGGCCACATACAGGGAGACAACGTGTCCCGGCATCAGCATCTTCCAACAGTCTCACTTCTGCTCTTCCTTCACTCTCTCGCTCTCTCTCTCTATTTCTCTCTCTTCCTGGCGTTTAGGCGCGATCTCCAGTGCCTTCGGTCTCAGTCAAGTGCGCAGGGATTCCCGGCTGTGATTGCTTGATATCCGGCACCTCCTGAGCCACCCATTCGTGTGAGATGTGGTCAGAATCCAGCAGAACTGGTTATTGAGTATTCTGTTGCCATTGATGATTTGTTGATTCTCTTCACTGCCTTTTTTCACCTTCCCCAAGATGCGTGTTACGTAACGCTCCGCGGGCAAGAGTGTAAAGGTGCTCTTCGCGCGCGCCTCTCTGCCCTTCTTCGCCTCCTCCTTCACTCTCGATGGCGATGGGGAAACGGCCACTCTTCCGAGAGAAATTCCCTGCGTATTTTCACCCAGCCTCAATCAAGAAAGCCCACACGCTCGTGTGTGCGTTCTTCGACGCACAAGTGCCACAGTATGACGCAGAATGTTCACAAATGCGGAGAAATTTCACTCAAATTTTCTCATTTCAACACAAAATGAGGGAAAAAAGCATGGGGAATTTTATGCAACTTACTTCAAGTTCGTGTAAAATTAATAATAATCAATAACTGCTAATTGTAAACCAAAGACTGTAAATATATTGTCATGTGTGAAGCAAGGAATTGTCCTTCATTACATTATTTTAAAAATCATGTGCATTTGATGGAAAATTTCCTTACTTAAGGATAGTTTAGCTAAAACTGCCTCATAATTATTCACAGTCAGTGAAATTTCAACCCCTATAAGGCTCGAAAATCTTTAAAATCAAGGAATTGGGAACCTCATCAAAAATTTTATGTTCCTTTTAACTTTTAAATGTTATTTAAAGGTTTTAAACTTAATTGTTATGGAACTAACACAAAACGTTTCAGAATATCAGCTTCCAGTCAATTTAGTCTAGGAAAAGCGTAGATAAAGGCTTCAAAGTCCCTGATAAACATATTCTTCAGATATACAAAAGCAAGAACACAAGAACTAAACGCATTAATAAAGCTCTTCAATTGGATTTGCAGTGAGACTTGGATCTTAGAAAACTCCTTGTTCTTCTCCGTCTTCTGGCATTTCGGCCAAATATTGTGCACCTTGCGCAGAGCCTGAGAGGATCTGAGACGGAGAAGAGACTGAGTTGCCGCCGAGGCGGAATATTGTCAGGGCTCTGCGATCATTTTGCACCACACTGTGCCACCGTCGGAACCAATACACACCCAAGAAGGCCGCGGAGAAATTGTCCACGGCAGAGGTGCTGCTGCGGTCAAGTCTCCGGGATCCCGAGATGCCACGGAGGCGCTTCGCTGCGGTGATCCGGTTGCAGGTCCTCTCAAGAGGGCCACACACGTGTCAACACAAGAGTCCGGACGCAACAGGTACCGTTAGACTCCGTCTCGAGAACACTTCGCCACGGCACAATCTCTCTCTTCTTCTCCTCTTTTTCAGGTGGAAATGTCTGGCGAACAAGCCTTCCAACTTCTCACTGGAGGCATCGAAGCGGAATCGTCATTATACTTAATGGAATTGCTCAAGTTTCAATGCACTTTGCGTCGTCCGCACACACACACACGGAGTCACACTCTCGTCACGGGAATTCCGGGCGTTCTTGCCGCCCCGGGAGGAGCACAGGTGGCTCTGGGACACAGGTGAATGGGTCGCAGGAGCTCAACAGGTAGCTACTGCTGTGGGGGCGCTCGACTTGAGGCGTTTTCTGCTACGTGTCCGAGGAGAGGGTGAGCCAGACTGAAGGCACAAGATGACTGGGAATCAGAAACTCACCTGTGGCAGGTGAGAAGCGCGCGCCCTTGCGGCCAGTACGACAGCCACACGATCGCTGGAGTGTTGCCCGATTTGCGCGCGCACTTCAAGCCAAACCATCATCAGCCGAGCCGAAGGGGTTTCGCAACACAGCCAAGTAATTCCTACATGTGATTTAATACGAACATCCATTACAGAAGTTTCCTTTAAAAATATTGTACGGAAATTCATATTCCTGGGTTAAAATTACAATACAATCGTTAATTTAATCTTCAGCGTTATTTCACCTTCAATTTTTCTTCTTTTTCCTTTTTCATATAAAATGCGCGCAAATTCCACTAGAATTCCCCCTTTTTTCCTCGATAAAATACACTCGATCGCAATCCTTCAGTGTCCAGAGAATCCAGCAAATCCAGAGGCAGCAAGGCAGAAACTCCACCTTGCCGAAAAATACGAGGAATCTTTGAATGACTACTCGAGAACCGTTGTTTCCTCTTTGACTAAAAATTCCACAATCTCCTCTTCAACATCGTCCGTGTCCAAGTTATCGGTGTCGATATCTGCAAGAGTGCGGAAAAGCAGTTTAATCAGGGTTCTATGAATGTGCTTCTGAACTATGCAAATCATCTTAAGACTCAATGGAAGATTTCACTTTCGATTGAACCTTTCTCATGCACAACTAAAGAGCCAAAGAACTATTGAAATACTCACGATTTCTCATCTGAAGCCTCCTCGTCTTCTGGCTCTGCCACTCGGCGATTCTCTTGGTGCGATACTCATTGAACGCCTCACGCAGTTTAGCTCTCTTCTCCAGCAACTCCTTGGACGCCCTGGTCATGCGCATGCGATCCTTGCTCTCGAACTGCGGATAGTACTTCTTCAGCTCCTTCAAGATCTTCACCTGCTCCTGCTCAGTGAGCTGTGACGCCGGCCGCGGACGCCAGAGAAACTGCACGAAGTTCTTCAGCATCACGCGCTTCTGGCAGCGCCCTTGGAAGTTCCACAGGTAGTAGCCATTGTCCTCCTTCACCTTCCACGCCGACACACCCGTCACAACATAGCGCCCCGTGGGATCCCACTCCACCTCGGAAGCCCTGAAGTGGTCGCCCGTGTTCATGACCAGGAAGTAGTTGTTGGTGTCAATGAACTCAAACACGCCCAACGTGAGATTGGCCAGCACGATGAATTGTCCGCGTGGCGACCAGAACAGGTGTGTGCACACCTTCTTCTCCAGCTTCTTGATCATCGCCGGCTTCTGCCCTGTCTGCACCTTGTAGAACGTCACATTGGCGCTTGTCTGCTCGCCATGAATGATGGCAAACTTCTGCCCAATCGGCTCCCAGGCGAAGGCCAAGATCAGGTCTTTGATCTCCACCGAATCCACTGGGATGTCACGCTCGCGCATGTGGAAGATCTCAAAGTTATAGAACATGCCCAGGAACTTCACGTCCGAGTCCTTCTTGTCCTTCTTCAGCTTCGAGAAGCGATCCACCTTCACGCACAGATAATCACCAGATTGTTGCCAGTGGATTTTGCAGTCGGCCACATTGAACAGATTCTTGTTCCTGATCTCGCGCTTCTTCGGGATCTCCAGCAGACTCACCTTGGCCGGTACATCCGTGGTCTCTGCCACCCAGTAGGCAATGATGTTGTCCGTCGGCGACCAGCTGAAGCTCCTGATCCCCGCCACCTTGATCGACTTCATGTCCAGCAAGTAGAAATTGGGCGTCTCGTAGATGTAGATTGCGCCCTCGTCCATCCTGGCCACGTACTTGTCATCGTGCGACCACCGGAACATGGACAGATTGCTCACGCCATCGGAGATGAAGGAGCGCTTCTCCTGGCCCGTGCGAATGTCCCAAATGATGATCTTCTGCCCCACCGATGTCGGCCCGTATGTCACCAGATACTGCTCGCACGGCGAGAAGTCCACGAATTGCGTGCCCGGGTGCGGAAACTTGTTTATCTTGACGAACTTGCTGCCACCCCATAGCACGACTCCGGGCTTGTGGAACGTCACGATGTACGTGCCCTGAGGCGACCACTTGACAAACGTGTCAGTGAAGCGCTGTCCAATGAAAAAAAAACACCGTTAATGTATGCAGAAAGATAGCAGATTACGCGGCACTTACGTCTCTCTTCTCGATGTCCGTGGGCTCAGGAAGAGTGTTCTGCCAGAACTGCACCTGGACGCTGGACGGCGCCGTCTCGGCGGCCACGCAGAACTGGTCGTACGCGTCGGGCTCCTGCAGGAAGTTGTACAGATCACTCTGGACGGTGTAGGGCTGCGCCTTGGGGGCTTCCCAATCCTTCGGGATGTTCTCGTACTTGTTGAAGTCCGTGAACAGATTCACCGCGAAGGTGTAGTTCTTGTCCAGTCGGTGATTGTGCATCTCCTTCACCGCCTCCTCAGCATTCTCTGGGTTCTTGTACTCCAGGAAGACATAGCCCTTCGTGTTGCCGTTGTCGTCCAGCGGATAGAAGAAGTTCGTGACCTCGCCAAAGGCGTAGAACAGCTTCTCGATCACCGACTTCAGCTTCTCCATGCGCGACGGCCCGACAATGGGGATATTGTCCACCACAATTACACTCTCCACGCCGTCCGTGGCGCAGGGCTTCTGCTTCAGCATGTCCGCCAGCAGATCTATCCGGGAAAGGGGCAAAAATACCAGTAAATCCGGTGAGAATTGAGGTTATGCGGAATCCGCCATGCTGTCAATGCGTAGACGTGGATTACCTTCGTCGGAAATATCGTCCACAAAACCAGGTGGATCGTCGAATCCCGGCTCCTCGCCATACTCATGGTCACCGCCACCCTCCGCCGATTGCTCGTCACTTTTCTTCTTGGCCATTTTCACGGTAGTTGCTGGGAAAAACGGCACGAAAATGAGAGAGAAAGTTTGCACTCTGCGTATGTCAGCGACCGGAAAAGAAATGGGAGAATTATGGCTCGTGTGACAGCGTCGCAGTCGCGGTTTATGGCATCGATGTCCGGACCATAATTTCGGCGCCATTATTTTGGCATTGTTTTGTGAGGTTGTGTGCGAATTGTATACATTCTTAGTTTGCTGAAGGAAATTTAATTTAACACACAGAATGAGCTCAAAATCTTCGGTAAGCCAGAAACGACTATTATCAATTTCTTTAGCTAAGTTGAAATGTCTTATAGATATCTTTTGACGTCAAACCACTCGAGCAAACAATCCTCAGCAATGCCGCAAAGATTTCTCCTTTCATCCGGGAGACAACAATAGGGCCAAATGCTAGAGATTGCTCCATTGAGGAAGGCATCGGCGGTCTGGCGATTGCGGAGGACAAGAGCGCACTGGTAGCCAATAAAGGAGAGAAAAATAGGAGAGATTCGGATGGAATTAGCGCTGCGCAGATCAATTTGAAGGAATACTTCGATGACATTTCGCATATCCGGAAGCGATTGAGTCTGGAGAAGGAGCGCAAGGAGGCCATCCAGAAGGAAGTGTTGTCACGCATGAGTCGTCAGAAGATCCAGCAAACAGACCTGGACGCGATCTACAGCGAATCGCAGAAGAGTCTGCAGCGGAAGCTGGCTCTGCTGTGCGAGCAGACGGAGAACAGAGTGAAGCAGACGCTGGAGGAGCAGGAGAGACAAAATCAAATACAGGAGGAGAGGATGCGTGAGGCGATGCTGGCCAGCAGCAAGCGAATCGATAGTGTGCAGATGAAGTTGAAGCAGGTGCAGGAGAAGCAGAAGATGAACTCGTGCATTGAGGCGCTGGGAAAGGCGCAGGAGAAATTCGTGAAGTGCTTCGAGACGTTCGCCAAGACGCTGCTGGGCGTGGAGAAGAGCCTCCTGCCCAACTACATGGCCTTCAATGAGCGAGCGAAGCCTCTGATGGCCACGTACGAGCAGACAATCAAGTCCATCGAGCCGCGGAGCATGTCTGAGGCGGCTGTGAGGGTCATTGAGGGCCTAGTGGAGGATTTCCAGAAGCTGCGCCAGGAGTTGGTGGCGAAGATCGCCTCGGACGCGGCGGAGGCGGAGGAGGCGAAGCAGAAGGCAGCTCAGGAGGTGCCGAAGGTCAAGGAGAAGTCACCTGTGGATCAGACGGACGCTGTGCGGAGTGTTCAGGGCCTGAACCAGTTCATCAGTCCCGAATCCCAGAAGCAATACACGCGCGTGATGAGCAAGCTTATGGACTACTCCAGTGAGATTGAGCCGCTGTCCAGGGATGATGGCATGAAGAAGTACCGCTTCAACTGCCAGAAGGCCATCAACATCCCAGTGAATGCCATCTCCGGTGTGAGTGCCGCCCATCTCAGGGACAAGCACGACAAGCTGGCCACTCTTCTGGGCGGCAATCCCGTGCCGTGCGGCGATGAGCAGGTTAGCGCCGCCGCGCATCCGCTGGGCAGGAGGTTCTGCACGGTGCTGCTGGCGAAGAAGTTCGTCAACCAGGCGGACATGATGGTGGCCAGCAATCCCAAGGCCGCCTTCCCCATTGCCGCTGTGATCGTGGCGCTGTGGCAGAAATTCCCGGACTTCGGGGAGCTCTTCCTCGCCAACTTGTACAAAGACTGTCCATATCTCGTGCCCTACTTCATCCCGCAGTTCGAGGGCCAGAGCGCGGAGGAGTACTGTCATGAGCTAGGCTATAAGACCATCAATGGTGCGCAGGAGCCGCAGGACATGTACTTGAAGCGCATGGCGGGAATCGCGAGACTCTACGCTGCCGTTCTCGTGACGAAACTCCGCGCTGGCGAGACACAGAGTCATCCGCATGATCTCAGCCATGGCTGGGTGTGGCTGTGTAACATCCTGAACATGGATCCGCTACCTGATATCTGCGCCACGATCCTGCTCGAGGTGCTGCAGACTGCCGGCGAGGAGCTGCGGCGACTCTACGGCAGGCAGTTTCTCAAGCTCATCTTCGCCATTCAGAATCAATACTTCCCGAAGCTGAAGCAGGTGGACGAGGGCGGTCCCAGTGTGCGCCTGGAGGTGCTGCTGGCCAAAGTGATGCAGGAAGGTAAGTTTGAGCAGCCTGAAGGAATCCTGCCGCCGAACTTTTGGTGAAAAACTGTCCTTGTAATGCTTGCAATTGTGTAAATTCATTTATTAAACGTTTATAACGAAGCGTCTCTGCGCCAATTATTAATGATATACTGGAGAACTTGGTGAATTCCATCCCGGCCCAGCTTCCCGTCCAGGTAAATCAGCTCCAGCTTCGCTTGATTGTTTCTTGGTACCATTAACACCTCCGCCACAAGGATCGGCTTCTCATCCAAGCGCGGTTTCTTCCTTTCCTGTAAGATCTCAACGTCCTGAGAAGCTTCTTTCATCATCTGACGCCTCTTCCTCCTCTGGTGTGACCAGGTGTTGCTCTGCGCCCTCACCAGCCAATTAGCCATCCCCGCGCTCTCCTGCAGAATTTCCACCGTCATTTCTAGCTCCCCAAAAATCCTCCTCAGCTTCTCAATGACGAACTTTAGCGACTCTTCATCGCTATTCGTGAGGGTGAAATTCACAGTCTTGCTGTCACTTCCAGCGCCGGCGCTGGGATTGATGCAAGGCACCCTCCTGAGGAAGAGATCTTCCCGGAAAGTCCACGCCAGACCCCATCGTGTGGTGTTTCCCTGGCAGAACTGGGTCTCAATGTAATTTGTGATGTTCTTCTCTCTCAACTTCTTCACCAAAATCGCTAAATCGTGCTTAACACCTATCATGGTGGTGAAGAAGGCCACTCTGTCCTTCATCTGGACACTCTCCTCGATTATTCTCTCAATAAACGCCACTTCTCCGCCCGCGCAAGCCAATTCCGTGGCATCTCCCGTGGGCGCATTCTTGGGCGACGCTCTCTTCCCCGTTCGATTCTCCGGACAGTCTCTCGTGTCGTCGAAGAAGGGCGGGTTGCACATGCAAAAGTGAAGATCTGCCTGAACTCTCGAGAACACAGAATCACTCTCGTCTTGCTGGATGATCGTGACTTTCTCGTGCAAATCATTCCTGACCACATTTTCTCTGGCACTCTTTGCGATCTCTTCCGTGATGTCTGTGCCGTACATTCGCCAACCTTTCCACTTGGCACCCAGCATCGGATACACACACGAAGCACCACAGCCAATATCCAGACCAGTGGCCTCACAAATGCCCATCTTCTCCAGGATGTCCTCAATCCAGAGAATGTAATTCAATCGCAAAGGTAGCGTTGGAACCAACTTCCCAGCCGGAATTTCCACATCCAGCTGAAAGTCACGCAAAAGCAGACACTTGGTCAGGATCCTGAGAGTGTCTGGATTCCTAAAGTCCACCTGGGCGCTTCCATTCAAGTCCTGCGAGGGTAAATTACGTGAAATTATCCTTGTTCACAAATTATTGTTGACATTCTTACCAATTTGCAGACTTTCAAGAATTCCGGGTACTTCACCGCGAGTTCAGTGAAATCAGGAGGTTTCTTGTAGATATTCCTCTCGTGCATGAACTTGTTCTTGGACATTGTCCAGGAAAAAGCCAAGAAAACTGGAAAATGCGTGCAAAAACCAACGCAATAACCGTCCAATTGGTTTGTTTGCAGACACACATAAGACTCTTATCGGAGCATTTCTGTGAATTGATCAAAATCATTCCAATATTCTGTAATTTCACTTCTGTTGCTAATTTAACCACTTGAAAATCATCAAGAACGACAAGAACAAGCTGTGAAATTCACAAACTAAATAAATTATTTTATGCAAATCCAATTGTCTGATCTCTTGTCCATTGAATGTCCACGGACAACATTTGCCCCCTCTTCGCATGTGTTCGCCACCAGGCGCCTCTGTCGACGCTCTACCTGTCATCGCGTTCAGTTGCAAAAAGAGTTTTTTCTTGTGCGATTTGCCTCCACCCAATTTTCATGCGATTTCCACCTGAAAAGGTCACCAGATTGTGTGAAATATTGCACATCTCACATCGTAAGTATCCCCTCTGCGTGTTGCAAATGCAGTTTCACCTGTGTCAGGTGGTTTTCGGGGTGAAAAAGTGGCAGAAAATAGGAAAGTGCATATTCAAGATGGCGAAAGGCTGTGTGAAAAATTTTCCTCACTCGCAAATATCGCCCAAATGGATGGCATTTGAATGGGTGAATGGTCGTTATTTTGGCAAAAAATGAAAGCGAGGGTGTTGGTGCGTTGTCTGGGTGGGATTTTGGTCCTCCCGGCTGATTTGTGTGTCCCGGAGAGGGTGTGTTTTTGCTCTTGGGCAGGCAGTTGAGAGAGGCAAGAAAAAGAGGCGAAATGAGAGTGAAAAAAACAAGTTGCGACAGCGAGAAAAGCGTCTCATTTGGCGCTGGTCGCGCCGTATGACGTCGCGGAGTGGAGGAGGAGGAAGTGGTGCGCTCATTGATTTTTCAAGCCAGGCCTGACTCACCAGTCACGCCGAGGCAGACATCGACTCAAGATCACAGTGCAAAACGCGCTCCGGAACGCCTTCGTGGAAAGGGATTCGCACGCACGCGCTGTGCAGCTCATGCGCCCCAGTGGAAGTTCGTCCGGAGAGTGCATCCCAGTGAAATTCCAGCCCAAAATAGACACACTGGCGAGATGACTGGAGGCACTCCAGAAGACACACAGTGAATCCCTCGCGCGTGCATTATCTCTCATGAGTGCGCCTTGTGCAATTCGGGACGACATACAGTGAGTGGCAAAAGAGTGGCGACAGTGTTGGTGAATTACGTGGTGAATTGGATTATTTAGTCACAGGTGAAATCACACCCAAAATTGCTACGGAAATTTCGGTGGTGTCTTTCAGAGCAGAAATTTACGGTTCTTTTTGATTTATGTGTTCTTGAATATTACAAGAACGGGATGGAATTTTTCTGTGGACTTTATGACACTGCAGCGCCCCTTTCTTTCCAAGAGTCTCTAAGCAACGGTGTCGTGCGTTGTGCTTTTTTTCTTGAAAGAAATTCCATGGATGACAAAGTCGTGCTCTCGTGACTTTGTAAAAATGCTTTCTTTGGGAATTTATTAGGGTAATTAGTGGGATGTGCTAATGAGCATTGTTCTCATACTTTTGCCACCTACTGTATAATCTGAGAGTGTGTATTTCACTGTGAAATTAATTAATTATCTCAGCGCAGAAATTCGCCTTCCTGAGACTGACTTTGTGTGTCTTTTATTGACCAACATGGTCAGATAAAATGTGCTTCACGCAGTCGAGAAGCGTCAAAGCGACCATTGACAACCTTGATTTATAATTAATTCGACAAATTTTGTGAATATTAACACCCAATGAGGCGTCACACAGTCACTTGTCATCTGCTGTGCTTGTGAAATCTCGCAAGATCTCTTCGAGTTGTGTGTCAACAAAAGTACATCATCAAATGTTGTGTCACTACTGTTGAGAACAACGGGAAATACGGCTTCTTTTTCTTCGTCTCTTGGCGATTGACAAAACCTGGGAAGAAGACGGAGTTTCCGGTATCTGGGAATGAAGTCAATGTTTTTCCACTTCTTAGACCTTTTTTATGGGCTCAACGTCTCTGAACTGTGTGTGTTGTACAATTTAACGCTTCCAGTTTTCACACACGTTTCCCATTAAATTGTATTGTTTTTCTCCTAAAGAAAGATCTCAAGTTTTGCCTCTCTCTCTCTCTCTCTCTCTCTCTCGCTCTTCTGCACAATGCTGTCAACTGACGATGTGTTGCAAAAGCTTCCCCGGGAATTGTGCTATTCAATGCACCCAGAGAAGAAGAATAGGAATGTTATGGAGAGATAGTGCGTGTTCTGTTGCTTGATTTACTGATAATTGGGTAAATTTTATTTATAAACAATGAGTAATTTAGCGGGAAAGACGTGCGTTGGCGTTATCAGTTTTTACACACCGAGACAGAGAGAAGAAGAATTGGCGGAAATTCTTATTCTGATTGGATTTGTGATGTCAAATTCTTTATTGTAGAGATCAAATACGAAGTCATTGTAGTTTTATTCCTGAACTTTTGATGTTTTAGCCGAAAAAATTTACGATTTTGGTCTGTATTTTGATGCTTGGGTAACTTCAGTTGGCCGGAAAGCAGTTTCCTAAATCGCACGTGCAGAATAATGAGCGGAAATTAACTCAAAATTGGAGTATTTAACATTAAAACTCATAGTCAAACAGCAAATCTTATATTTTTCGGCGTAGATAAAATTTTTTGCTCAACACAATAAAATTTGAAGTCAGAATTCTTGTTTCATTTTAACTAATCTTCTTTAAATAGCATTGGACGGAAAGTGATTATTAACGCGCATAATTAGGTACTTTTTTCAGTGCAAAAGAATAATTGAAATTTAATTATTTTGATTAAAGAACAATTCTTCAAGTTATCCATGAAAGTTTAGTGAGGAAAATTATAAATTTGCTGATTTATTGTTCAATTCTATAGGAAATCTCTTATGCTCTTAAGCTCTTGAGTTATGAAACGAGTGTGTAATGTTAAATATTGTCGATATAAATCTACACAATTCCAAATGACACTTTATTTAATTTATCACATCAATATTGTGCTTTACGTGATTTTACTTTACGCATTTGCTGTTCAATTTGCGTCTCGCATTTTCCAATGCTCTTTTGTTGCATTTCGCAAAGTGATATTTTTTCTGCCAACAATTTGCAAACACATACTAATTCAATTTTTGTATACAGGAATTATAGTTTTGAAAAACTGCCAATGAAATTGAGAGTTTTTCGTAAGAACACTTTTGTTAGATAAATAGATGATGATGTAAGTTGAGTTTACTGATTTTTTGTTAAATTGTATCTTATGCAAACAATTTACATCCGGTGAGAGATTTTCTTGCACAAATTGATCTCTTGTCCCAATTTCTGACGAAGAATGTGAAGAAGAATATGTTATGCGAAGAGAGATTCAGTCAAAACAGAGGTCAAAATTGCCATCGTTGTCTTTTTTTCTCTCTCTCTCCTCTTTTGTGCAAAGATGAATAGATTGAGGAAGAGAGAAAAAAATGCTTGTAAGAACATTATCTTTTTGATGGTGTATGAAAGAAGTTGAGAAAAAGCCGTTAAGATGTTTGATATTGACAATTTGTGTCTTCCATCATCAAAACTGTACGTTTTGCAGAGGAAGAGAGAAGTTTTTTTATTGCTCAGAGAAAGAACAGACATGCGAGAAGAGTGACTTGAAATTTAAGGCAAAACATTTTCCAACAGTGTCTTATTCCAGTTGGATAACTTTACCGGTCAATTAGTCATCCAATGTGTGGCTTTAAATTATGGCACATGAACTTTTGATGCGATGCGAAATATATTAAATAAAACAGAAACGTTAAGAGCCGCTTGAGACACACAAGTCAAGACCAGAACATGAAGGAAAAGCCAAAACTTGTACAGTGTTGCATAACGTGCACAGCTTAATTGCAATGGATTTGGTATGGAATATAAGTGTTAACAATAAAAAAAAGTTCGGGTGAGGAAAAAAAAGGTGTTTGCGAGTGCGCGAACTCGCGCATTAGTCATTGTGGAAATATGTGGGGAATTGAGGTACACAATTGCGGCACTTTCTTGTATTTATGGACGATTGATTGATTTTTGTGACCAATGGCAAATTAACCAATATATATATTTCTTTTCTATTATATTAATAACACATAAAACATGCTTTTCAAGGTGGATTCATATCTAATTGTGTGCCTTTTCCGTCTTTTCTCTTTTCAGATTCAAGATTATAGGCTTTGATTGCAAAGATACACGACGCTAAATCGCGCACAGAGTGAAGAAGGCGAAAAAAAAGTGAATTGTGTTGTGTGTGTGAGAAGGAGAGATATAATTTTGTGTATCGACAAAACAGCATTTGATTTGAAGAAGAAGAAGAGGTGAAGTAATTGGAGTGAAGAGAGAAAAATTGTATTAAGGGAAATAGAGAGGCGGAGAAGAGTGGAAAAATCTCGTGAAACTTCAAATCAATCACCTCGGAGTTGTGGAGCACAGGAAAAACATGAAAATGGTTTTGTCACAGCGGCAACGCGAGGAACTGTAAGTGATTTATCATGAGTAAATTTTCTCTATTATAAAGTTAAGAATTCTCATGCATATTTATATACATATTAGACTTCTTCCAATTGCATTCCGCACATGTTGCAAGAAAAAAAGATTTGCGATTAGATGAAAGTTCAGAGATAGTTGCACTACATTTTCTGCCATTTGACTTACTTTATACGCTACAATCCTCTCTCAATTGCGATGGTAAATACACTGACTTTGTTGCTGTGTTATAACAATATTTTATGAGTTGTTGATACTTTGTTGTCACGATTGGGTGTTAAAGTTATTTTCATGGGGAGACAGAGAGAAAAGAGCTGAAAAATGTGCATCGTTTAACCCGGTGTAGACATTGTGACTGATGGTTTTTGATGCAACAATCGCGTTTGAATTGATAATCATGGAATACAGAACATAAATATGAATAAGAATTCTCCATAATAAATTATTGCCAAATAGTTGCGACTTGTTTGGTTTTCTTGTTGTGTTTTCTCGCTTAAGACACAAATATGTAGATGTATAAATAATATTGTTAGTGAGTTTCTTGTCAGAAGACGATAAACTCTACAAGACAAGACGATTCATACATGGAAGGCACGTTCAGCACTATTTTGGTTCTGAGTGGCAAGATTTATTGTCTATTTTCTTTATCGTCTCTACAATGTGGGCAAAAGTTTCCAATATTCTTCCTGAAGCTGAAGAAAGATCTTAACATTCTTCTAACACTATTTTAGAGTATTTTGAGAGAAATTTGATTCGCTACTAATTCAATATACACAACTCATGAATATAAATGAGACTTTGAGATGTCTTAATTTTTGGCAATAAAATAGCCAAATAAATACTTATGATCAAGCAAATGCTAATCGGAAACTGTAACTATAATGAAAAGAAGAAAAAAATATTCCGTAATTTCTGTGATCATATTGATTTATAAACAGTGCCATCAAATTGAATGGTTCCAGAAAATAGCGTTTCATGATAACTTCCTCATCTAAATCCTACGTTCTGTCCAGATTTAAAATTACTTCCTCGTGATTTCAATGCATTTTTGTGATTTATGAAAATGTTCCTACCTTAAGTAGCATTCTCTCTACAGTAAATTATTGGCACTATTTCGTTTGCTGTGGTGTAATTTAGTGGGCAAAAGTAGCATAAAAGTGTGCTGTTCTTGCGAACAATAATGCTAAATTTTGGTGCAATTTTCAGTATTCGTGCTACCATTAAAGAGTAAGAAAGAAATGAAAGGAGAGCAAAATGTAGAGCGAAAAAAAATCTCCGCCCTGCAATTATTTCGGAAATTTGACATGGAATCATTTGTATATTTAGTAATAAAGTACAGACACAAGACTTAGCAGGGGAAGCCTTATAGAGTGGAATGCTTGTGGTTTAATTTTGAAATCTCATTTGTGGGCATTCATTCCTCTTTTTCGCTATGGTGAGAAGACCATGTCTGGCACTTCTTTGCCGTTTTTTTTCTTCTTCTTCTCCTCCAATTTTAATCTCACAATAGAGCAAAGAAGGTTGGAGAGTTGCTGGAAAGACGTTTGAGCGGATTGCGCTGTGAATGGAGTGAAATGTGTTTCGTGTGTGGAAAAAGCCATAGAGAACAACGTGAATTTCTCGGCGTTGGAGTGCTTTGAAAATGTCACGAGCATGTGAGAGAAGTTGATTGACCTTTAAAAGCATTAAAAGCATAAAAATGTTGCTCAGAAAAATCCCATGACTTTGCGGGTGGAATAATCTAAATGCGTCCAAGACGTGATAATGTTGAGTGAAAGCATAATTGAGCTTAGAAAAATGGATGAATTTTTATCGCAATTTAAGAGTCTTCATTTCTCGAAACAGATGGAAGAAAGTCAATGAATTGGAACAGATGTTAAGAAGAGAGAGAGAGAGATGAAAAAATTGCACTTTCAGTGTCACCATATTTTGTTGATGATGTTGACAACAGTGAAAGAAAAGATGAAGAAGAAGAGAAAAATCCAACTGATGAGCGCGATATTGTGTTGATTTCTCGCAAGAAAAATTACAATAATGATGTCGAGAGAGTCGCACGGAAATGAAATGGAAAGTTTTGAGCTCAAAAAATTGATTTAATATTACTTAATTGGCATCTTTCTTCGCAATCTGTTTTCTTGCGGCCACATCAACACAATGATTGTGAATGAATTTTAATTGCGTGATAATTGCAAGTTTGAGGGAAGGAAGGAATGAAAAAAAAACTTGAAGTCGATTGATTGCAGGGCAGAAAGAGAGACAGAGAATTGTGATTGGAATGCTGTGCTTTCGAATTCATGGCCAAGGCTAGGCAGGAATCTATTTCACAGGAGGTTCATTAAATATATAGGCAGAGGAAGAGACTGAGGAAAAGTCCGTGACGCTTGTTGGTGTGATGCGGAGACTGAGGAAATCGATGAAGCTTCAGTTGACGTCAAACTGTGGGTGGATTTTTCCCATATTGACGAGAAATTGTTGGGGTTTTGGCTATTTAAGGAAGAAACACGCTGATGCACTTCAAAGCTAATGATTATTATGGATAATTAGAAGCAAAAACAAATTGAACAAAGACTTTAAAAGTCTCTTTTTTCCTTCTGACAATCATTAGAATGCAAAGTCACACGGCGCAAATATGTGTGCACAATGTTGTTGTTGATTTTTTCTCGCAAGAATTCCACAGTTTTTTCTGGTTTTTCTCCATGTGATATTGAAACGCAGTGAGATTTTTCTCCCATGTTGTGTGTTTGCACGCTGAATGTGAGGAAAAGGTTAAAGACATTGATGATAATTAGCTTGAGATTTGTACAGGGGAAAAAGTTACATTGTTATGTGTAATTATTTAATATCCAGATAACGATTCATGGTGACTTTATTGCCTTTTATGTCTTGGATAAAATTGTTGAAAAGAATTTCTCTGAAAAGGTTTTTCCTATTCATTTTTTGAATACTTTCTTTTACCATTTTGATATGACCAAAAGTAGGTTCTTTTATTGAAGACGTTTCGCATCTTTTGTGCCACAATAATGTGTCAAGCGTTGAATTACAATTTGAGTTCATAGTGACTCTAAAGTTCAGAGGCGAATTACATTGAGTGTGTTAAAGAAGTGAATGAGAAAATATGAGATAATGACAAATTGCAAAGTGGGTTTTAGGTCAGAGAGTGATAGATTGGGAAATGTGTGAGTCGCGCGGACGCAAAGCTCATCAATTTTATATAATGTTGAGTGGGAGCGAAAGAGAGGGAGAGAGAGAGGATTCTTATCAAAGTCAATGTCTCGCAGCCTAAAGTGACCCCTTGGCACTGTTCGCCATTCGGCGCGGGAGAGGAGGAGACAAGAGACAGAAATAGACACAATTGAGAGAGATTTGCACTGACAGAGATTCATTGACAGAATGCATGTTCATTTTTTTGTGCGTGATGTCATTGCAGAAACCAAGCGATTGCCGACTACTTGGGCAGCAATGGATACACGGACGCGTTGGAGGCCTTTCGCAAGGAGGCGGATGTGTCCAATGAGGTGGAACGCAAGTACGGCGGATTGCTGGAGAAGAAGTGGACGTCGGTGATTCGGCTGCAGAAGAAGGTGATGGAGCTGGAGGCGAAGTTGTCAGAGGTGGAGAAGGAGGCGCTCGATGGTGCGCCGACGAAGAGCAAGCGAACACCGGGCGAATGGATACCGCGACCGCCGGAGAAGTTCACGCTTACGGGTCACAGGGCGACAGTGACACGCGTGATCTTCCATCCAGTGTTCAGTCTGATGGTGTCAGCGTCTGAGGATGCCACAATTAAAGTGTGGGACTTTGAGACGAGCGAATATGAGAGGACACTCAAGGGACACACGGATTCAGTACAAGATATTGCATTTGACGCTCAGGGAAAATTGCTGGCCTCGTGCAGTGCCGATGTGTCCATCAAGCTCTGGGATTTCCAGCAGACATACGAGTGCGTGAAGACGATGCACGGCCACGATCACAATGTGTCCTCGGTGGCTTTTGTGCCAGCCGGTGACTTTGTCCTGTCAGCATCGCGAGATCGCACGGTGAAAATGTGGGAAGTTGCAACTGGGTGAGTTGACAAAATTAGATCTTTAATATCACTGTCTAATGTTGAATTTCTCCTGTTTTTCTTTTCTTCACCGAACAGCTACTGCGTAAAGACATACAGCGGCCATCGGGATTGGGTGCGAATGGTGCGAGTCGGCATTGATGGTTCCTTCTTTGCAACCTGCTCAAATGACCACACAGTGCGAATTTGGATGACCAGCTCAAAAGATTGCAAGGTGAGTTGCTCTCTTTTGCCTCGATATTGAAGATAAATGGCACGCTTGAGTGTGTTTATGAATCGTATTGAGTGATATCTCTCTTTGGGTTTTCTCAATGAAGGTTAATTGTAATTGTTTGCACTTGTTTTGTATGCAAAGTTTTGCTAATGAGACTATAAATTGAACACAACAACAAGGGAAAATTGGATGAAAAGCTTAACGTATTGTTGTGAGAGATGGAAAATGCGTAGTGTTGGAATGAATCAGTGAATCAGTTGAATGATTGTGGATTTTCCCCGAAAAAAAATAGTAATAAGAACCCAAAAGAATTTGCTGGTTTCTTTCTTCTGTCTAAGCATGACTAAATAATCCATTGTGTGTGTTTTGTTATCTGTGTTCTCTCAGGCTGAGCTCCGAAATCATGATCACACTGTCGAGTGCATCGCTTGGGCGCCTGAATCTGCCGCCGCGGTGATAAATGAGGCTGCCGGTGCGGACAACAAGAAGGGTGCACATCAAGGGCCATTCTTGGCTTCTGGATCGCGAGATAAGACAATTTGTGTACGTATTCTGACTCTTCGTCATTAATATTGAGAGATGATCTGATCATTTTTCTGTTTGTCTGTTTTTTTTCTTGGCCAAACAGGTGTGGGATGTAAACTCTGGCTTATGTCTTTTTACGCTTACGGGTCACGACAACTGGGTGAGAGGACTGATTTTCCATCCTGGCGGCAAATACTTGATTTCCGCAAGTGATGACAGGACAATCAGGGTGTGGGACTTGCGCAACAAGAGATGTATGAAGACCCTGTATGCTCATCAGCACTTCTGCACCTCTGTTGGTGAGTAGAATAGCCATTAATTGTGTATGATATTCAGTTAAGAAGTTTCTTTACTTGAAATAAGGTAAAATAGAAATATGACTAAAAGATAAAACATTATCAGTCAGAGAAAATTATTAATTACTGTTTTTAAGTCTCTCTAGAGCGTCTTTTGAGTTTGTAGAACCATTTAAGGAAATCAAATTGATGTTATAATAGATAGAAATTTGACTCTTTTACTTTTTTTCTTGCAGATTTCCATCGGACTCATCCATACGTTATCTCCGGAAGTGTGGATCAGACGGTGAAAGTTTGGGAATGTCGCTAGATTCTCCTAATTCTCCTAGTAGATGATATTTAAGGGAACTTTATTTAAATCCGCTTGCCACACACTTCAAGACGAGAGAATTGGATGGAAGGAAGAGTCGAAGGAGAATAAAATGCAACATTGAAGAATTCCTCCAAATAGGGAGAAGAGTTAAATTATGGACAGAGAGAGAGAAGCATAAAGAAAATTGTATGTGTGAAAAGATGATATTGCGTGCGTGTGCGTGAGTGTGAGCAGAAGATGAATAAAATAATGATTATTTTTTGGGGGAGTCTTGCAATCTTCATACCAAACTTTTATGTAAGAAGAAATCTTTTAAATCACTCTATAAAATTATACATAACATGAAATAAAAATACTCCAGACAACATACTGGAGATGGAAAATAAATCTTCAAATGGAATTAAAAAAAAAAAATAAATAAATCACCATAAAAATAAAGGTCGCTTTTTGAGTAAATATCAATGATGAAATTATTGTTAAAATGAAACTATTGAAGAATCGTAAATAGCTTTCAATGTAGATATTTGTGGCAAATTGTGCTGATTTATTATCTCTAAAAGGATGAAAATAAAGCCTCACAGAGTTATTATTGCTAAGATAATAACATTAATCTATACAACAACAAAAAAATATTGTGTAGAGAAACAGAATTGTAACGAAATATACTACATTTATAATACTTTCACTTTCTCGAGACTTACTAGTTTATCTCATTTTTTTTGCAAAAGCTAATAGTGAATTTTTAGGGTGTTTAACTGTAGAGAAAAAAATATACACAATTTGCTCTTTTGAGAAGAAGAAAATCATATTTCTTTCAAGACAGAAAATGAAGAAGAATGAATTTCTAGCGATTGTCGATGAAACTTTCAATGCAACTCTCAAGTTTAAAAACTGGTTTGAAAGAAAGTGATGAGAGAAGAATGGACACTAATTTAAGTTTAGTGGAGTGAAACGAAGATATTGCGACATTTATGTTAATCTTTAAAAAAGAAAATCTAATTATGATTTAGTAGAATTTTTAGGTTTAAACTTGAAAACAACAACGTCGAATATGGATCTTTAGAAGAGACAGAGATTGCATCTAAAACTAAAAAGGCAGGTGAAAAATACTAAGAAAGGAAAATCAGAGCAAAATGTATTAATAAAAAGAAAGATACCTTTTAGTAGAGTGACAAAGTAGTAATTTAATAACAGTGAACAAGAAAATGAAGGTCATTTTATTAGTTGTTTAAGAGGAGAAAGAAAAAGTTAATTTAATCAATTTACTTGTACTTTCTTTCCACTGCGGAAAACATGTGTTTTCCTTTTCACTCTTTGTTTTTCTCTTTTTGCTAAGAATCCAGAAACGAAATAATTATAGAAAAGATATATTTTACTATATTTTTTCATTAGTGTGAATTGTGATCGTTTTCTTTTTTTTTATTCTCTGGTTGGAAAGTTTTCCAGCCAAAAGAAATGGAGGGAATTTACATTGATGTATAGAAAGCTTTTGATTTCTTTTTTCCAACATGCAAACATCTTAGAGAATGTCACGAGGAGAAACAAAACTATTTATAATGAATCTAAAAATGCAGTATGAAATAAAATAATGATGAAAAATGCAAGATTTCTTAGTGGAGACTCAAACCCAGTTCTTTATTTTTATCCCCAAAATCTTCAGTACAGTTTGCTTATGTCCTCATATTGAATGTTGCTGATCTGGCGTCCTGTCAGAGGTCCTCGTGTGATTTCCACGGTGACGCAGTAGTCATCCTCCTGGAGGCTCTTGAGCAGTGCTCTGGAGCCTCGATAGGCGCCGTTGAGGATGAGAATCTCCTTGCCAATCTGCGGAATGACCGTCTCCACGTCGTCCTGGTGCACGGCCACCTTTTCTCCGGTCTCCAGCAGCTTCACTTTCGCCCTGTACTTGTCCAGCATCTCCTGCACGACGGCCTTCTCCTTGTACATCCGCCCATCGCCAATGGACTTGCTCACGATCTTCACGACAATTCCCTCGCACAGCCAGTAGCTCTTCCTATTGCTCGTCTCCTTCTTCGACTCCTCAATCTTCATGATCTCATCCAGAGCCGACACTCTCCTGCCCTCGTCGCGCTCTTTGCGCTGTCGCTTCGCCTCGCCTGGCCGAGAGAAGCTGAGTGGCGTCTTGAAGACGGCCTCTGACTTGCTCTTCTTCGTCAAATTGATGTTCAGCTTGATCTTCTCGTCCTCACTCTCGCGCACAAACTCCTTGGTATCGTCGCTGGCTGTGCTACAGCCGGGCACATCCTTCTTGCCCTTCTCCACTTGCTTCTCAATGAACTCCTGCAGACGCTCCTCGTCATCCTTGTCCATCTTCTGCTTCTTCGCCATCTTCTCCTGGCGCGCAATCGTCTCCGGATCCCTGTCGATGTACGTGATGTACCAGCCCTTCTCCGTCTCGTCCACAACGCACTGCCCCGTCTTGCCCAGCCACAGCACGAAGCCCGTGAGCGAGAGCCACTTCGTGGCGTTCATGTGCAGGTGATTCTTGTCCGTGATGTACTCCTGGTACACCTTGTTGGCCGCCACGCGCTTCGTGCCGAACTGCCGTCGCAGGATCTCCGTGTAGCCCTTGGCGAACTCCCGCGAGAAGTCATCGATGTAGCGCCGCGAATTGTCGGCGAAGAGCAGCAACTGCCGCTGGTGGGATTCGCTCATGGTGTGGCACTTGAAGCCATTCTCATCTCTGCACTGCTTCTGGCACATTTGGCAGTACCAGCGCAGCTTCTGCAGTCCCTTGGCCTTCATCTTGTTGGCCAGGTACTTGGGAGTACCCACCTCAGCGCGCCCCATCGTGAATCACCCTTTATCGCTGGCTGGAAAAGCAAGTCAGGAGCATTAGGAATAGATTGGAGAACATTTTCTGGGCACATTCTTACCTTAAATGCTTGATATTCAGGAGAAAAGAACGAGAAGACAGCCTTGTTTACGTTTTCTACTGCTTGATGACAGCTTGAGATATTCACCACACTTTCCACCATTCAGTACTCGATTCAGCACGGAATAGCAGGAACTGCGCGGAGGCCGTTCAGTCGGGTTGTCTAAATTCTATCCACTCATCGTGGCTCGTGGGTTTTTACGCTCGGCTCAGATGGAAAAATTCTAGTGTTTGCTTGACTCTCAACGTCTTCTCGCCAAGACGTCCTGCGCGGGAGAATCCCTGAGTGCAAAACCCCGTGGAAAAACAGTTCCCGGATTGTGAAAGCGAGTGCCAAGTTGGAAGTGAAAGTGCGCCTGGGAATTGAGACTCCGCCACGATCTGATAATGGATCACGAGAGCGATAAAGTCATACGTGTTGGGTCGCGCAAGAGTAAGGTGAGCAAAATCAAGCAGGCCATGTAATTAATTTTCATGCAAATGGCTCATTATGCAATCCACAGTTGGCGCTCATTCAGACCAAACACGTCATTGGGGAGCTTCAGAAGCTCTTCCCGGACAGGAAGTTCGAGATACGTGAGTGGCAATGCGTGAGAGAGAGAGAGAGGAATTTGTGGGAATGACTGGGATTTTGTCTTTGCAGACACCATGTCAACGGTGGGCGATCGCGTGCTGAACATTTCGCTGCCCAAGATCGGCGAGAAGAGTCTCTTCACCAAGGATCTGGAGGATGCGCTGCGCAGCGGCACGGTGGACTTTGTCGTGCACTCGCTCAAGGATCTGCCCACGGTGCTGCCGGACGGCATGGTGATCGGGGCGGTGCTGGAGCGCGAGGATCCGCGCGATGCTCTAGTGCTGAACAAGAAATACGCGGGAAAGACGCTGGCCAGTCTCCCGGAGGGCTCTGTCATCGGCACCTCGTCGCTGCGACGCACCGCGCAGCTGTCCAGATTCCATCCGCACCTGGTCGTGAACGACATTCGCGGGAATCTCAACACGCGCCTGACGAAACTCGATGCGGCGTCTGATGACTTCGCGGGCATCATCCTCGCCCAGGCGGGACTCGTGCGCATGGGCTGGCAGGAGAGGATCAGCGAGGTGCTGAAGTGCTCGGATCTGCTGTACGCTGTCGGCCAGGGTGCGCTGGCGGTGGAGTGTCGCTCGGACGCGGCGGATGTGCTGGGAATGCTGGAGAAGCTCTGCTGTCGCGTCACTGAGGCGCGGATCGTGGCCGAGAGGAGCTTTCTGCGCACACTGGGCGGCGGCTGCAGCGCTCCCGTGGCCGTGAGCAGCTCCCTGAAGGCGTCCGCCGAACAGAGCGGCAAGAAGCTGAGCCTGCGCGGCGCCGTGTGGAGTCTGGACGGCAAGACCGAGATCCAGCACCAGCTGGCGTGCGAACTGCCCTGGGAGACGCTGGATGCGGTGGACGAGGTGCCCGCGAAGAGGCTGAAAGTGGACGAGGAGCCGCAGAGGCGAAGCCCTGAGATCATAAATGATTCCAAGGCGAGCACGGAGAATCTGGACATCGAGGCTCTCATCAACATCCACGGAGACGCCTTCAAGCGCTGCCCGTACTCCATGGAGCACCAGAAGGCCGCGGAGGGCCAGAAGAAATGTCCTCTGCACATCCCGATTGGACATGACGTCATGGGCGAGTGTCCTTTCTTCGACACCGCCCAGAAAGTCGATCTGGCGGACACTTTCAGGCCCGAGGCGAGATCTAGCGCCGTCATCGAAGCGCCCCCAATCGACAAGTGTCCCTTCCTGGCGAAGCAAATCCAGCTGATTGAGCCGAATGAGGTGCAAAATGGAACAACAGCGAAGGCAGAAGACCAAATTTCGCCCTTCTGTGGCCTCTTCTGTCACAGCAACGCAAACAGCGATGTCCTGACCAAGTGCGAGGAGTTGGGACGGGAGTTGGCAAACACGCTCATCAAGAATGGTGCTCTTGAGGTCATGAGGAAGGCTCAGAACGAAATTCGTGAGAAGGCCTAATCAATCATTTTCCACCCCTCTTTTTTATTATACAATTGTAATAGGGTATCAATTAGCGCAATATCACGAATTTATGGTGGTAAAGAAGACATTGTTGGACATCATTTTTCAATAAAGAGGCATGAAATACATGATAAAATATGCTCCAATTACTTCAATTACCTTTTTCTTATAAGACTATGGGAAATTAATTTGAATATTGCGTTGTGAAGTTTGCAACGCATCTTCTGATATTGGCAGCCGTGCTTGTCATGCAATATTTACAAAAGCGATGAATGAAAAATATCTGGGGATTTTCATCTCACTTTTCGTGCTCCAAAACGGGAGTAAAATGTAAATTCTCCCAGAAAACCCCTAGTGTGTGTTGCAGAGGAACATCTGCCCTGTGATTTATTGTACTTTTGCTGTGGAATCTCGAGGAAATCTACTGAGAATCTCGTGTTTTGGAGAAAGCCATACAAGTGCGCCTCAGAGGGCAGTAATTTTGGTAAGAGAAAGTCGAGGACAATGGACTACGAGTATGACGAAAATCTCTCCGTGAATGACTTCTACGTGATGCTGAAGACCAAGCATCAGATCCTCCTGGACACGGCGCCAATGGAGAATTTCGTGATTCTCATTCCGCGCCGCGGCAGTCTTCCTGACGTGAAGACACTGGAGACTGACTTCATCCTGTCGCACGTTCTGATTCCCAACGACGAGCTGCCCGGGAGTCACTTCACCACACTCATGGGCGAAAAGGTGAGCGTGAACGTGGGCGGGAAGAGGATCAGTGTGGAGACTGCGGCTGGACCCGCGGAGGCGCTGATCCTCTTCGAGGAGGTCATCTACACCAAGGACAATTCCAAGTACCGTGTCTGGTGCATCGACACACCCATTGGCAAGAGCGGAAGTGAGCCTGGACGCAGGAAGAACACTCTCAGCACGGATCTGTACACGATTCTCACGAGTCACGACGCTGGCCAGCTTCTGGCCAATGAAATCAACTCCCAGACAGTGTTTAAGCGCATCCAGGCCATTTGCCGAGAGTACGTGACGGTGAACTCTTCGCAGGAGTTTACAATGGAGCAGCTCAGGGAGTCTATTCAGGTGAGTGCAGGAAAAGTTCCCACAACACTTGAACTTAAGCCCCTTATCAAGAGGCTTTCTGGCGTCTCCACAGACGCGATAAGTCTCAGACAAGATCATGTCCAGAGCGCTTATCAGAGAAATGCTCTCCCGACTGCTTTCTCATTGTGCGACCGATATGCTATGAATACATTGAATTCATTCATACTGATCAACATTGTGTTAGGGACACTTTAATTTTAGTATTTAGGTTCTCAAAAATACCAAAACTCAATGAAATCAAGGATCGTGACAAAAATATACACAAAGCACTGAATAAATGGAAGAAAATTGAAACCTTTTGAAGTCAAGAAACGCAAAAGCGCGTAAAACAATAAATACAGTAAAATTTTACGAAGAACCAAAAGCATCACAACTACAAGTGGAATCAGTGAACTTTATTCAGTTTCGTGATCCGAATGATTTACATCTTCTGAATCTGACAGCAGTTCCACTTCCCGTTCTCCGTCCGTTTATCAGACAGTGACGGAAACTTCGCCAGCCAGGCAACCAAGAAGAGGACAGCAGGCCTTAACGTTGCGCGGTCCGCGTTCTCCACAGCACCGTTCAGCTGCAGACCTGCAGCAGATACTAACACCGTCGTCAACGCCGTCGTACAGAGCACACATATCTTCCAGAACTGCTATCTGCTCAGGGGTGCATTCTGCGGCGGCGTCCTGCACGATCAAGATGGCCGCCAAGATGGCGACGAGGGCGAAAGCTGCGATCTTCATTGGAGGTCTTCTGTGATGCTTGCTTGGTGGTGTTCTGGCAAAACTCGTTCACTGACTTGCTGGACGAAGTATTCTTTGCCTTTTTATATTCCCTCTCCAGAATAATTCAGCAATAACACTTAGTCACAGTCTAGAAAGTCGAACAAAACTTTTCTCGTGTTGATAAGGAATGTGAAAATTTTGAATCGTGAAAAATATCAGAGTGAGACATCTTAATCCTCAATTGTTACATATTTCTTGCCAATGAACTTTATTTTTTCGATGCTGTGGCAAAAATTAACTTGCAAATATTTTACAATACGTATAGCTAATTTTTGCAACAATAAGACTTGGAATTCATGACTATAGAATAAAAAGAAATGATTGCAAAATTTCAATGCGGTATTTTGTCCAATATTAAAACAAAACAAAGGATGTACACGTCATTTGTATGAATCAAGGGATAATTAAGATGTCTCACTTTGATATTTTTCACGATCCAAAATTTTCACATTCCTTATCAACACGAGAAAAGTTTTGTTCGACTTTCTAGACTGTGACTAAGTGTTATTGCTGAATTATTCTGGAGAGGGAATATAAAAAGGCAAAGAATACTTCGTCCAGCAAGTCAGTGAACGAGTGTTTCCAGAACGACGCCAAGCAAGCATCGCAGAAGACTTTCAATGAAGATCGCAGCTTTCGCCCTCGTCGCCATCTTGGCGGCCATTTTGATCGTGCAGGACGCCGCCGCAGAATGCACTCCAACGCAGATAGCTGCGCTGCAAATTATTTGCGACGCAGCGTATGAGATCAGTACTGAAAACGGGGATTGCTGTATCAGATATTTGGATTTGTGTTGCAACAATGAAATTGACGAAGATCGTGGTATTGGAAGCTGCTGCATCATTTTCAACTTCTTGGTTACTGATGCCAAATGTGGGGACATTGAGTAACTGATAGAGTGAGACGAGTGGGACTGTTGTATTCAGAGCATGAAGACAGAAATAAAGTCCACTTTATAAAATCTAATTGTGTGACGTTTTATTAACACTAAGAACACTCAAGTCCTTTTTGTAATGCTGCACGCTCAGAAGAAAGAATCTTATTTTATTACATTCGTGCATTTTACAAGATGTTTTACTTTCGCAGTAACATTTGATCTATCTGAATTTTCAGGCTCTCTTCAACAAATGCCTCAAAATTGCGATGCTCAACAATGGCGTGCTAAAGAAGAAGTGTCGAGCGGACGCTTTCTTCCTTCGCAACGTGAAACTCGCCCTGGAAACCTATATTATGAGTCTCCTGCACGACTTTGTCTTCGACCGCGTGACGCTCTGCTATCTGCCGGAGGCGGAGATCTTCAATAGGCACATGCGGAGTGCTTCTGATCTCACCTTCGAGAGCTTCCACATTGACCAGCGCTTCCAGGTGGCGATGGGCTTGGTGAGGAGCGAGCTGAGTCGCATTGAAGCGTGCACAACGGTGCTGGAGAAGATGAACTGCCTGAAGAACGCCCTGAATGTGCTGCCCAGGGAAGGGCAGGATAACTCAGCTGTGAGCTCTGACGAAATCATCCCCGTGCTGGCATTTGCCATTGTGAAATCCGGCCTCACGCACTGGATCACGACGCTGAGATATCTGAAGCGTCTGAAATTCACCAGCTTATGCGATAATGGCGTCGAGGACTATCTCCTGACCACTCTGGAGGCTGCTATGACGTTCCTGGAGGGCGGATCCTGTGGAAAGATGGCGAACGCCAAAGGGGAGGCTTCTGAGGAGAGGATCACAGAGAGATTTGCGTCCAGAGAGCACTTCATTGAGTACTTTCATGCGAAAGTGCGCGAGAATAACGAAAATGAGGTGATCAGGCTGATGGATGTGGCTCATGTGGAGATAGAATCGCTGAACAAGAGACTCTGTCATCCACTCTGCGACTGCCTGGCGTGCCGGGAAGTTGTAGGCCAAAGTGTGCCGGATGTCAATTGTAACGCCGAGGATGGGAAGACGGCTCTTCACGTGGCAGCGGCTGCGGGCCCGGCGAAGATGGTCACTCTCCTGATCGCGCTAGGCGCGAGGGTGAATGTGAAGGATCGCGAAGGAGTGACACCACTTCATGTGGCAGCGCGAGCGGGTCAGCAGAGTACTCTGCTGCTTCTGCTGCACGCAGGGGCGAAGATTGACGCCAGGACGAGTCTCGGGGCGGAGACTCCACTGCACTTGGCAGCTGTGAATGGTCAGGATCGCTGTGTGAAGGCGATTCTGTACTTTTGCGATCACATGCACGTCCCTCAGATAAGTATCAATGCGAGGAATATGCGAGGAGAGACGCCTCTTCATCTGGCCTCTCGCTGGGGATTCGCCAGCATTGTGGAGTCACTGATGGAGTTCGGAGCGCGTGGTGATGTGCGCAATAAAGTGGGCATCACAGCTATTGAGGCATCTCACAATTCGCACATCCGGACACTTATGCAGGAATCTCTGGGGGCTTCCCAGTCGCCACAGCACAGTGTCAGGGCGAATGGAAGCCCTCCTGAGGTGAAGGTGGAGAAGATAATCGATGCCATCGCGCAAGGAGACACGAATCTTGCGCTCTTCTATCTCAATATCGATCCTTCAGCGTTGGCCAATGGCACTAAAGTGACCTGCGAGTGCGCTGAGCCACTGTGCCAGTGTCCCAAGGATCCGGTGAGAGTACCTCGCGGTGCTAGTGTGAATCTGGCCACAGAGGACGGCGTGACGCCTCTCCATGCGGCCATTCGCTACAACAACGTCCACATGACGCACATCTTGCTGGCGTTCGGAGCCAATCCCAAGGCTAAGACGCGCTCGCGATGGCACACCCCACTGCACTTTGTGGCAACTGGCCAGGAGGTGGACGCTGTTGTCGTGTTTCTCGATCACACGACCAAAGATATCATTGACGATGAGGATATCAAAGGCAATACGGCGCTTCATCTCGCGCTTCTGGCCTCGAATCTCCACCTCGTGGAACTTCTGCTCAAGTGAGTGCCAAATAAAGTCCTTCTAAAATTGATTCTAAACATTTCCTTATTTTCTTCAGATACAATCCAGACGTGACACGCCGCAATTGCGATGGGCAGCGCCCAATTGACGTGGCCAGGAGCAAAATGCTGTGCGGAATTGTGCAGCAACTGGAGAATCTCAGCGAGAATACTGAATTCTAGAGACACTGTGTCAGCCAAACTAATCTTCCACTCGAACTAGTCACAACTGAATTTTTACAGCACAAGCAATTCTATCATTCTTGTTCTCTTTATTTCTCCTCTGTTTTTTTTTTTTAATTTATCTAACTATCATTTAAACATTATATTCTTTAACTTGTAGTATTAGTGTGCTTCCATAAACGTCTTGTCTTAGCTATTTACACAATTTCTGTTAGAAAAAAAAGAAAGAATAGCGGCTGAGGGATTATTTACACTTTGTGATGAAGAATCTTTCTGTTCTGCATGTTTCGAAAGTCTATCAAAAAGAATATTCTAATAAACTGATGATGATCAAACGTAGAGACAAATAGAGATAAAACGACAGTCACACTTTTCAATCAATTAGTAAAAGTCCTCACTATAGAAAAAGTCCAGTGATTTGATTCTTGTCTCACTCGCGCGCACGCGATTGAGGAATAATCTCATGATGGTATTGGAGAGGAAATGAGGTCCGCCGAGCACTAGACCCACTCGGCGCAGTGCTATGACTTCTTCGTGCCCAGGAGCGGCGTCCTCTCGGCCAGCCCAGTTGACGGCCCAGCCACAGGCGCCGCCGTCGAGGAAGATTGCTGGTGCGGCGTCTGCCACAGCTGGCGCTGGCTGTGCTCCTCCAGACGCACTCCTCTTCTCGTCATCTGCAACGCCAAAGAAATGTGGCTCAAATCGCGTGTCTCACAATGGATATTGAATTATTTCCGAATTGTACTTTTCTTTTGCCCAATAAAAATCAATATGAAAACGCCAATTTCAGAAAATCACAATTTCAACTCACATGTCGATGGTGAAGCTCGTGCAGGAAGAGTGTACTCAGACTCATGTCAGCCACCGTGAGTTCTGGCTGCACTTCTGTCGTCGGGAAGCAATTGAGACTGCAAGAGAGATCACACCAGTTAGCCACTCTATCTCCTTCCACACGTCACATTGGCCACATCTCACCTGTACAGAATCCCATTGGGCTCCAACTCCGACGGACCCTCTCGCCTGCTCACACCCCTGAGACTAGAACTCATCACGCGCGGCACAACTCGCGCCTGAGACGTGCTCGGACCAGCTGCACTCCTCGTCGTCACGTCGGCATCCTCATCCTCGGCAATGTCCGTGAGGAGAGTACTTCTCAGCGGCACAGATGTGTCCGTGAGGTTCTGATGCAGCATCCTCTCGAAGTCCAGCGTGGCCTGGTGCACAGCCTGCTGCTGCTGCTGCTCTTGCGGCGTCACGTGCGTGGGAATGTGGAAGAATGACTGGCCCATCTGTGAATTGTTCAGCGTCTGATTCTGCCGCAGCACCGACTGCACAATGGACGTGTATTCGCCACCCAAGCTGCCCATTGACATCAGACTCTCGCCCATCGCCGTTGTGCTGAGCAGAGCACCAGTGCCTGTCGTGGCGCGTGTTCGATTGAGATCATTCACGGCGTGACGAGTGATTCCTGAAAGGTAAATTTCACGTAAATCTGCTGCCTGCGCAACTAATTCAATACAATACTCTCACCCTGAACGAACTTCTTCGACTCCTCTGGCATCTTCCACGTGGGATTGGTCTTGGTGAAGTGCACCAGCGAGAGTTCCGTCTTCCCATGCTCAGCCTGCGTGTATTGATTGGTCTCGCAAGTCGGCGTAAACTCCGGTTCAGCCTCTGTGCTCGGCGTCAATTGCCAATCTGGGTTTCCATGGCGTCTGATGTCCATCTGGGCGAAGGAACAGACATCACCCACACCCACAACGCTCACTGTGAAGTTCCTGAAGAAGTCCACAATGTCCAGCGCGCGCGGACGCAGCGAGAACATGAGCACGAAGGGTGTCATGAGAGGACTGAAGAGTTCATTGAGGAGATAGGACGCTTTGAACTGGAACAGCTGCCCAAATTGCTCCCTCACGTGGCTCGTGTGCGCCTTCCCTCGCCACGTCACCGGCAGATAGTGCACATGTGCCAAAACAGCCGTGAGCAACTGCTCAGGACACCAAATCATGTTCTCCTCGGGAATGAACACTCTGAAGATCACCACAATCGCCGTGAGAATGGACATGACGGTGAGAACATGCTGCACTTGCATCACATCCTCATCATAGATGGTCAAAAGGATGAAAACTGACAAAACACCACCGCAAATGAACACCATATTTCTGCAAAAGTGGGAAAACAGAGTGTCAGATGTTAATTTCCTGCCGATCAAATGCCGCCAGTGGCATTTCCCACTCACTGAGCAATAACTGCCATCAGAGGCGATGAGAATGAGTTCATGTATTTCACAGCGGGTCGATAGGCTCTATTGAGTCGCGCCTCCAGTTCATGATCGAGTTCATTCAAGTGTCTCAAATAGAGTTTTCCGTATTGCGACCAGCAACGTGTCCCCAATTTTCCAGGCTCGCGCTTCAGTAGCTGGAAAAAAGAAAATCAATGGTGTAGAATGTCGTCTAGAATAAAATGTGCTGACTTCTTCAACTCACTTCGGCATAATTGAAGAAGAAATACATGAGCTGCCAGAGGAAGATCAATGGACAGAGAAGGAAATTCGATAGTGCCACCCATGTTATCTGCTTCGATAACTTCGATGCGAGATCCTTCCGCAGATTCGCACGCTTGAAGTCCTCCCGAAGGTGCCAATTGTTCTCGAAAGGCGACCAGGGACCCCCTGAAAAACATCCCCAATTTACTAAGCAGCTCAAGAGCAAGTAGCAATGAAAACTCACAGAAGAGTATCAGGTCCATATTGTAACGCAATCCTCGACTTAAGATGCTCACGTCGCCCAAGAAGGGAAAGCGAACCTTGGCCGGAAGGATGTTCTTGTTCATCATGGCCACGGTGTAGTTCTTAAATCTGCAAAAAAAAACCCAAAAATTAGGGTAGATTTACAGTCAATCTTAGCATGAATATCATATAAACCTTAAAATACGATGATAAATATCTAATTCGGTGAGTTGCTCTTTATGGATACACATTTGCTGTTCCGATTGCACTTCCCGGATGCGTCTCTGCACCTCATGCCAGGTCAAATTGTCCAATTCACCCTGAAAGAACAAACACAAATGCTATACAAACTGACTTCGATGCCAAAACTACGCCTCCAGAAGACACTCACATCTTCAATCTTGAGTGCAGAATTGAAGAATAGCTTGATATCCCAGAACTGAATGAAGTGGTAAAGAACTTTGATGAGGCGGAAGAGCCAGAAGAGTGCCGACAGAGTCAATGCGGTCCAAGTCCATGCGCCAAATGCCCCAATACACTCCGAACTACTCACCAAAACTTCGGGAATCGTGATTTTGGTAGCTTCACTGTACTTTCCCTCCCTGAAACACACGCACACAAACATTAATCAATCGCGAAATCATTGCAATGATCAGCAAAACTCACCGAAAGAGCGCCTCATAGTTCACACAGTGCATCAGGTACGACGTGAAGGTCACCACGAAGATGAACTGGAGCAACTCAAACACTTCCTGCAGCATCATCACCCAGAATCCGTGCTTCTGATGGTAGCAGTACATTCGCGAGAAGAAGGAATCCAGATCCTCAATGTGGTTCCATCGCGCTGCAGGGAAAATAGAGGAAAATACAGTCAATTTGTATTTATTTTCATTCCATTCCAGATGACCTCAATTCGCAATCGACACTGCGTCTCTGTCGAAACGCAGAAAAAGCGTCTTACAGATATTGAGTGCGTGAATGGGAATAAAAATCAGATGATGAATCAACTAATCACACGCGCACTCCATGCGAAAGTGCAGCAGAAGTAGATTGCACTTTTTATCCACAAAACATACAAATATTTTGTGAATTCTTCCTATTCTGTTCATTCTTCTCATTCTCATATACTTTTTAAAATGCCACGAATAAATAAAAATCAAATAATTTGTTCAACAATTGGACAAAATGTGCTCAAATGGCTCAAACATTGCCCGAGAGTTCGGAAGATTATGTAAATTCTTATGAATCTTCCCGGGATTGATATAAACTTAAGCATTTTTGCATGGCATGTGCGCTGCTTGTAAACTTTCCTTCCGCGACATTTCATCAAAACAATTCTAAATACTAATTATTTGTCATTAAACAGAACAAATATTAATTTCTGGGCAGGAAAGAGAGTCAGAGAATTTCATCTAATAAACTTCCCACTCAATTACCAGAAAATCCCCTCTTTTTGGGGCTTTTTAGGACGCTCTTCGATCTCTTGACCGATTTATTGGGCATAATTTCAAGGCAAATGACTCAGAAAGCGGATTAAGAGATAAAGATGTGTTTTCCTAAGTGGCAAAAAACCACGCAAAACATCGCAACTGAGACGCACAACTTGCGAATTCCGGACAAAGAACCCGTCCGGGAAGCACATTTCGCCATGCGTTCAGTTCCAGTGCGCAGCAAGGACGCGGAGATTGTGAAGAACACCCGCTAGGATGGCAGGACTTCCGGGAATTCCACTCGCTGTGCGTGTCCAACGCCTTCCGGGAACACTCACCTTTGCCTGCCTCTGGGGCTACATGGATCACAATGCCGCTGACGGGGGGCGCTTCCTCGTTGTCCGAGTCGTCGATGTCCTGCTCGTAGGCGGAACGCTGCTCGTGCAGGACAAAGGGGTTTCTGCCCTCATTGTTCAAGGCGCTGTAACTGACGTCAGGCTTCGCCATATTCCCCACTTTTCTTTGTCACTTCTGTGCACTTTTGTCGCCTCAATTGCGTCTCAACTCCACATATTTCACCCACTGTCTCACTGCCACGGCACACCCACAGTCATCCGCGATGGTGCATTGAGGCTCAATTCGTGCTCCCTGTGCAGGATGTTGGTCAAAATGGGGGAAGAACTGGGGATGACCGCCTATTTTTGCGCTGCTTCCAAACACAATTGCGATGCGAAAAAAACGATCAGTGGCTCAGCTGATTGCGGGTTGCCAGGTAAGCTGCCAGTGTGAAGTTGGCGACGAGAGCAAGAGTTGGCAGTTTCCGCGTGTAGAAAATTGCGTAGATTGCGTATGATAAAAATAGGGAAATTAATTGTGAAGCATCACTTGTCCCAAATTTCGTCTTGCAGCCGCTGTTGCTGGCAATTCTCAATGATATTTCAAGTGATTTCTCCTCCACAGAAAGTCACTTTTGTATGTTTGAATTTTTTACCTGTCGTCTCGCAGGGTTGGCAGCACTGCGCACACAAAGGAAGCGCAGTGACATTTTGGCAGTGTGTGCGTGTGTGGCTGGGTGGAAAAAGTCTCGCGAAAAATGCTGAAAATCCCCACATTTTCCCCAGAATTTCCACCATTGGCCGCGCAAGAAAAGTCCCCGTGAGTGTCGTGTCGCCGTCGTGAGTGACAATTTGTGTGGATTTGCACGGCAAGTGCGTGAGTTTGGTGTGTTTTCTCAGTGCAACGCAGCAACATCAGGGTGCCACCATTCGAATACGCTTCTCGGGACGGAGAATTCAATGGAGAAAATCTAATTACGGGCCTCAAGAGTGAACGAATCGATAATTTCTGCTGATTCAGTGTAAGTTCCTCCCTCATTGTTTATACGTGCGTCGTCCAGCGGACACTCGGGCTCGCAATTACATAACCCAGAGTGTGTGTGGACTTTGATGGCACGCTGAAGACACACGAGAAACACCTATTCCACCTGACTTCTCACTTCTTCTTCTCTCCTCTCTTTTCGCTCGGCATCTGTGCGACACAGGAGGCGCAAGACGGGGGCCACACGATGACATGGACAACCAAGTGTCCACACATGGACAATGTGGTGCAACTTTCACTGGCGGAACTGTGCAAGCTTAAGCAGGTGATTGTCGCGGCGCGCGCGCCTCCGGAAGCGTCTGGCGGCGGCCAGGCACACGACGGCCAGAGCCAAAGATCAAAGGCTAGGGAATCAATTAGCAAAACTCTCCCATTGCCAGCTATTCTTGAGTTTCTCGGCACACTATAGTGCATGAATTGAAGCTTAATTTCTGGGTATTAATTGCCCCGAATTAATGACAAGGGATGAAAATCAATAACTCATAATTAGAGAAATCAGGGATGTTTGAGAAGTAAAGACAGAATTTGAACTTTTCGCGCAAAAGACTGAGTGGAAAGACAACAGGCTTTTGTGAAATGGATGTAAAAGTTCCGGGAGAAAGAGAAATAATGGAAATAATAGTTGTGTATTATGAAATTAAGGCGAAAAATGCGCTATTTTTTGGTTTTAGTGGCTTTAGTGATTGAATAAAAGAGGTGAAAAACTCGGAAGCTCTCAAAAATCACAGTAGCTTGTGATAGTGCACATGAAAATGCACGAAAAATGATATAAATCGATAGATTTAATGATATATTTCCCACTTTTCCGGAAACATCCATAATAACACCTTTGGTGGCTCAGATATTGAGTACTTTGTGTGCTATTTTAAGCATTTTTCAATCTCTTGTCAATGGATTTTTCGATGAGTATCGAATACGCATTTTTTCCTTACAATTTAATTTTACCTTTGGAAAAAAATATGCTAACACCCTGAATTTCACACTGAGTGTGTTACAAAGAAGCAACAACACACAATGCGAGTGCAATTGAAAGCGACTTGGTGAATCTACGACGACTTAACCTCCGGACAGAGACTCTGGTGAAGAATGAATAATGAGAATTTGCGAGTCAAGGATGGCGGATGATTCATTGCGGAACTTTGTGATAATGTCACTGCAATAATGCGTGCTTTCTCTTTGCCAGGGTGTGCCGTGCACGGATTGCGATGCCTGTGGACCAAACCTGTGGATCTGCTTGGACAAGAATTGCCTGTACACGGGATGTTCTGAGCAGTACAATGACCACAGCACAAAACACTTCAAGGTACGCCCTTGCTTCCCCAAAGCGCTAATCTTTATTTAATGGGAATTTCCACACACACTGGCAGAGATTTCGGACGAAGATTGTTTATTTTATTGGTCACCATTTCAATTATGATGCAATTTCACGCGTCATCACGCGAGTGGACAGAGAAATTGATGGTGAATTTCGTTTGTTAGCTCTTTCAGACGCACTCCATCCATATGAATTTGTCATCGCAGCGCATCTGGTGCTATTTATGCCAACAAGAAGTGTTCCTCGCCTCCGGGCAGCGTCGCACGTCGGCTGTGAGTGAGGCTGGAGAATCTCTGCGGCACACTGAGAAGATAATGGCGTACGAGAGGAGTGAATCGTGTGGCGAGAGCAGTGCTGAGGAGGATGATGCCGTGTGTCAGGGCGATCGGAGGCAATTTGGGGGCTTAGTGGGATTGCAGAACATCGCCAACACGTGCTACATGAATGCTGCCCTGCAAGCGCTCAGCAATACGCCTCCGTTGACGGGATACTTCCTGGATTGTGGCGCCATTGCAGATTATGTGAGTGAATTGGCCACTCCGGCGCAACAGGGCCGAAAGCCGGGCTTGGCGAGGAGCTTTCATCGCCTGATTCGTGAGATTTGGTGCAGGAGTCACATGAGCAGTGGCTATGTGGTGCCTAGTGGCATTCTGCATGGCATCCGGAGTGTGCATCCCATGTTCCGGGGCTTTCAGCAGCACGACACGCAGGAGTTCCTGCGCTGCTTCATGGATCAACTGCACGAGGAGCTGAAGGAGGACACTCCGCCGCCGCCTGATGCCCCGTACGCCGCTGTCTGCAATGGAGGCGATGCCGAGGAGGAGGACGAGGAGGATAACGAGTCCACCTGCTCCACACCGTCGCCATCGCAATCGGAAGCGGAGTATGAGACGTGCGACAGTGGCGTGAGTGAGCAGTCTACGGCGTCGGATGAGGGGGAATCGGAGCAGCAGAGTCAACAGAGGCGCCGTAGGTATGCTCCTGCCTCGCCACAGCCCAGGGAGCCACACAGGAGGCCCAAAACAACGCCGCCGCCAGCACAGGTGGAGAAAAATGCGCCCCGCCGCTCGATTATCAGTGATGTGTTCGATGGAAAACTCCTATCATCTGTGCAGTGTCTCACGTGTGATCGTCTGTCCACGCGTGAGGAGACATTCCAGGATCTGTCGCTGCCCATTCCGGGCAAGGATCATCTCACGGTGCTCCATCAAACCCAGCAAATGGTGAGAACACCGCTTAAATACATCCGATTTGAAGAGATCACAAGCAATTTGTATTGTAATTTCAGGTGGCTCCGGCCGGCATTGTGGGTTCCGTCACGTGCACGGATGCCGTCTACCAAGGCGGACAGGAGGGTTGGCTGTGGTGGCTCTGGAGCTGGCTTCGCTCCTGGTTCTGGGGCCCCGCTGTCACCCTTCATGACTGCATGGCGGCGTTCTTCAGTGCGGATGAGCTCAAGAATGACAACATGTACAGTTGCGAGAAGTGCAACAAGCTGAGAAATGGCATCAAGTATTCGCGCGTCTTGGCGCTGCCTGAGATGCTGTGTGTCCACTTGAAGCGCTTCCGCCACGATCTCTCGTACAGTTCCAAGATCTCGAGTCCGGTGCATTTTCCTCTGCACGGTCTCGACATGAGACCATACCTTCATCGTGATTGTCAGTCTGAGGTGTCGACCTACGACCTCACGGCCGTCATTTGCCACCATGGCACAGTTGGCGGTGGTCACTACACCAGCTTCGCGCGCCACGATCCCTCCGGCAAGTGGTTTGAGTTTGACGATCAGCTGGTGACTCAAGTCACACCGGATGTGGTGCAGAATTGTGAGGCGTACGTTCTCTTCTATCGCAAGAGCAATCATCAGATGGCTCAATTGCGCGCCCAGGCGTTGGAATTGGTCAACACGAGTCCTCCGCAAGCTTCGGACATTCGATTCTTCGTGTCAAAGCAGTGGCTGAATAGATTCAACACCTTTGCTGAGCCAGGACCAATTGACAATTGGGCTCTGCTGTGTCCACACGGAGGATTGCCACCCGGAAAAGTGGCCCTGGTGTCCAAACTTGTGGTGCCACTGCCGCAACCGCTGTGGGACTTTTTCTATGAAAAGTGAGTTCAAGTGCATTTTGTGAATGAAAGTGAGATTGATTGTCATTCTTTCTCTCCACAGATTTGGTGGTGGTCCAGCGTGTAATCACTTCTTCGAGTGCAATACGTGCAGAAGAGCCGCAGAATCACTGACAAAGCGTCAGAAGGCAGAATTGGTGGCATTTATGGCGTACAATGATGAATTCCAGGTGAGATATTTCGACTTTTGTGCAAAGAGTGTTTTGCGCTAAAACTGATTTCTGTATTGCAGCTTCTTGAAACTCCAGCGACAATCTACGCTATCTCGATGGCCTGGTTCAGACAGTGGCAGCTCTTTGCTCGTGGAGCCACGACAGAGGAACCCGGACCAATTAATAACACCTCCATTGCTCAGCCATCGGAAACACTACCCATTCGCAGTGTGAAACCGGGTTCGGATTATGCGCAGATCAATGTGAAATTGTGGAAGTTCTTCCACAGCATTTACGGCGGTGGGCCTGAGATTGTGTTGCGAGGGAATCCGCAGGAGGATGTGAAGCCGCAGAGGATTGTATGTGGAATGATGTTGTGTGGCTAAAAAGGGGGTTTTGTTTGGGCTAATGATTGTGTTTCTTGCAGGAGAAGGCAGAGTCTGAGGAGATGGAAACTGAGGAGATACTTGAGGTGCCGGAAGAGTGCACTTCAGCTAGCGAGACGGTGGACAGTGATGTGATTTCTCCTGCACCATCTGAGGTAGAGTCAAATGGCCAGAAGGATGTGGATTTGTCGGAAATTCCACCGCCGTCGGCGTTGAAGAATGAGTCAGTGAGTGGTGAGAAGCGATTGCCCAAGAATGTGTCATTTGAAGATGTGGACACGCTGACGAATGGCAGCAGTGAGAAAGAGTCCAGTGCCAAAGATGAGACCACAGAAGGCGGCGCTCGGGTGTATTCGTCCAGGAAGAAAATGCGCCAGGAGGCAGAGCGTGGCAAGCGTGAGGATAAGTTCCGTAAATCCAAGAAATCACCAAATCTCTTTGGACCGGAAGGTGAGGAGGAATTGAGGAGAAAAAGAAGCCTTCATTTGAGATTTATGGCATAATTTTGTGGTTCTTTTCTCAGGGAAATTTGTGAAAATCATTCCGGATGCAGAGACGAATCATGCTCCTGAGCAGAATTCCACGCCGGAGGATTCGAGGGCAGCACCAAAGATGAATGGAGTGGCAGAGGAGGAAAGCGGTGAAGTTCTGCCGCTCTTGCTCTCACCGGGCAGCGAGGCGCCAGTGAATGGTGGCTCCAAGTACAAGGGCGGAGCGTCTGCTGGTGATTCTGGCCATCACAAGAGTCACCATCGCCGGAAACGCATCAACTGAGGAGTCTCGTGTGCCACACATTTGTGAACGTGTCAATTTGGCGGGTGATTCTGGGCAGTGGGATTCGTCTCTGTAATTTATTGCAACTTGCCTTTATTTATTCATCGCTGGTGCGTGCGCATGTGATGCAGAAATTCCAATTTATGTCCCTTTGACTGATTCGTCGATCACACACTTTGGTTTCGGTGGAGTGTTTTTTTCTCTGTGTTTCCTTAAGCCAGATTAAGAAGGATTGGAAGCTCGATTGCTGGAAAGTTTACCAATTTATTTTTAGCAATATTAGTGTTAATTTTGCGTATTTATATCATTTGTATATAGCGATGGATTTGTTGAGTATATGAATAAAAAGGTACGATATGTTTTCCTTGGTCAGAAAACCTCTTAGAGAACGCATCTCTTATTCTCCTGTGTTTCCCGCCAATAGTCTGCAGGCCTTCCAGGCCGCTAGATTTCCCCTGAATTCCCCCTGCAGACGCCAGCGCTCGTCAGGCAACCCGCGAGTAATTCGCAAATGCGCCGCCAGTCTCGACATGGCCGCTGGAGCTCTCAGACGTGATCTGTGCATTGCGCCGAAGAAATTCTTCTCTGTCTGCCAATCAATTATGAAATTGTGATATTGTGGGTAAAGTGTCTCTGGCAGGAACAACCATTTGCGTTTTGGAATCATTTGTTGGATGCAACGTGTGTTTTCTCACCGTTTTTCGCCTTTTATTTTGGTAAGTGCCACTCAAGGTGTTTTTCCAGGCTTTCCAGCCACTTGTGAAAATTGCGCAGTTCCTGCCAAATCCACGCGATCCTCGGCAAAATGCACTCCGTGGCAGCCAAATAGCTTCACCACGTTTTGCTGGCGGTGACGTCACGCACCGCCATCGCCACATGATGTGAAAAATTGCGAGGTCGCTTTGCATACGGCGGGCCGCGTGGTGTTGGCGAGGGGCCCGTCCTCGCGTGCCTCCACAGCGGCTCTCGGCGGGGCGTGGTGGGGCTCTGGGGCGCTGTGCGCATCCAACATGGCCGCCTGTGTGGCGTTCGCAAGGTGCGGTAGCGCCCCATGAGAGAAGAAAGTTCAAAGAAAGCTTATTTGCCTGTCCGGTGGCATGGACATTGATGACACCGTGCCAATTGTCGACGCGTCTGTGTAGAGAAAAGGGAAGACAAAGGGTGAAAAGCGCGTCAAGAACACAAGTCATGTTGTCAGAATGCTCTGAATAAATAAATAAATCCTGATTAAAACTATTCTTCCACATGCGCACCAAAATATATGTATTTTTGGGCAAAGATTTAGGAAGTGTTCGAGAAAGAAAAACAAAACTCAAGGAAGTTTAATTATTTTAAATATTGATTGATTTTTTCCTGTTTAACTGTGAAATTTAATAGTCTTTATTGATGTTCTAAGTACATAATTGTAATTTATCCGGATAAATCTAATTTTTTTTTTTTTTTTAATTAAAGGTTTCATCAGATAGATGATTTCCCTTCTAATATTTTTCTACTGTATTTATATTCATATATTTTCTCTGATTGAAACTTAAATCTGTTAGTTTTATAGATATAGAGTGTAGATAATGGCAGCATACGACGTTGAAGCCTTGCAGATCTGAAGAGATGGGCAGTAAATTATGAAATTAGAAAATTAGAAAATCAGTAAATTAGAAAATGTCCTTGCAAACTAACCTGAACGAATGTGTAGTAAGAAATCACTCCGAATCCAAATGTTTCCACCTTGATTGGATTCTTGAAACCATTCATAAGGATTAGGAGAATCTTTTGATCTTTTATGGCCAACAAATACCACTTTGTCATATAGAGAGAATTTGCCATTTCTTCTGATCCGTTCTGTAGCACTTGACCAAAGTAGCAAAGCAGGAAGCTTTGCACTACGATGACTACCAGACAGAGGAGAGACGCAAGAATTGACACGTCCTTTGATTGCAACAGAAACATTGCCGAGCAGAAGTAGATGAGAATCGTGAAGAGTTTATGAAAGTAGATTTGCCAGAAAACGTCGGTCAGTTGGTTTGCGTTCTCGAAAAAACTGACGTGAACATTGTGGATAATCTTCAAAATGACATTAGCCTCACTTCCAACGATGTCTTCGTTGTTAAGGCTGGAAATGAGAGCGAGAATGGACTTGATTTCTGCATTGCAGTACATAATCATGACAATTATGAGCAAATCGGAGCAAACGACAAATTCCAGCGTAATGATGTCGAATGCCAATTGAAGGACAATGTTCACAGGATAGTAGAAGACGCTGTGCTCAGAAATTCCTGGAGTGCTGTGCAACAGTGGCATGTGTCTTTCAGTGTGTGTAACATCGAAAACCGCAACTGCCAGTCCGAAGGATGTTATGAAGATCCAGAGGAGTCTGAAAGAAGAAATTATAATATTGTTGTAGTATGAAAACACTCCAAATCACTCCTTTTCGACCTTCCATAGATGAACGTTTGTCTAAGAGTTGCTGAATAGAATGTATTCCGAAGATTCGATATGATGTACTGCTCCGTATTGAGTATGCAATCGAAGTACTTCACGATGTTCTGGACTTTGTCCTTATTCACAATGTTTATTGCCATGTATATCATTACACATTGAAAACAGGCAAAGATTATGATAATTGTGAATGACAAATCAATCATATCATCAGGATTTAGATCGGAAAGTAAATGCCAAGTGGAAAGCGAAATACTGGAGAACATTAAGATAGGAAAAAACAGAAATTTTAACGTATTTAGCAACACATATTTGGATTTTGGGAGGAAATCCAAGCACCAAACACTCAAGAATATCGAGATAAATGTCTTACAGGCGCGGTGATACTGCACTAAAGACATGCTTCCGAAGGATGTCTCGGACAGGAAACTTCTGACTTCCGTTATCAACAAAGACACACTAATATTGAGAATAATTTCTGAATATTTCAACAGACGCGTGGAAAAATATCAGCTGCTCTAATAGGTTTACTTTGAGAAGTCTTTATATAAAATTAGTTAACTGCACCTTATGCAGTTTTATCATTAAAAATGTATATCATAATGAAGCATAATCTAACTTCATAGGGGGTTAGCATCTATGTCGCCAACTCCTTCTGCCGCCCCGCTTTGCTGCGTCCCCTATTCTTAAGGCACTGCACTATTCTCACCCGCGATCAGAAGAAGACTAACTCGCACGCATTCTCGCGTCACTCTCAGTGCTGCCTCTACACCGTCTTATTCTATCAGCAAAGGTCTCGTCAGAAGGAGAGGGTTGCCTTAGACAGTGGCATTCCCGCCACACAATCTCCAGGAATACCAATTAGGCAGGGCTGAGTGTTTTGCCGGTTGGTATGGGGAATTCGATCTACAATAAGTTGTAAAGTTTTATAATTCTTAAGGCGATGTTTTATTAAGAAGGTGGTGACATTGTTTATTGTTTCTTTGTGCGATAATTCTGGGAAGTTTCAAGGGCACTTGAATAGAAGCCCAGTAAAAAGAGTGGACTTTTTTTTTTAAATTTCCTCGCCTATGAAGAATTTATTTCCAAGAAAAGGAAGAAAGACTCCAAGTAAAAATAAGCAAGTTCAGCTCAATTTTCTTCAACTTTTCTAACCTATTTGAGACTTCGACGACGCTTTTCCTTTCCAAAATCTATAGGAAGTTGTTGAAAAAGAACTATTACTTCTCACAAGTTGTTTTATTTTGGTGTTTTCTATCTAAAAAATATCAATTACATTTCGAGTTTTGGAACTTTGAAGGGAATTCAGAGCATTCCTTGCTGAACTCAGAGGCAATTCTGCCATCGTGTGTTTGAAAAATATAATTGGCGTATTCAAACCTATTGTTTTTTATCATTGTCTACACGTCTCGCGTAGACAATGGAGTAACAAAGCGTGCACGAAATTTTCCACGTCAAAATTCGATCAAACATTCACTTGTGCGCAAAGGGAAACATTTGCAAAAATAACAACAACAGTTGACATGGTGAATTGCGCTTGAAATATATAAAATTTGCATTTCTCTTTTGCAGGTAGTGAAAATTTGCATTTAGCAACGTGCGTGGTTATTCTCATACTCTCAACTGTGTGTGTGAGGATTCGAATCTGCTCTGGAGAGGCAAAAAGAGGAACGACGCAATAGCGAGACAGACGACACTTTCTCTAGCATTTCTTTTTTTTCGTGTTTTTGGCAACAAGAAGCATTTTTCCTTCTCACGCAACACCTTTTCAATTTTCACGTAAATTCTTTTCTACGTCAGCTACAATTTGAAGAAGAAAGACAACCATGAGACCAAGAATTGAAAACTCTATTGGTGGTGAGTAAATATTTATTTTATGGATAGTTTATTTCATTTGAATTCTTGTGATGCCTTTTTTCTGAGAAAGAATTTAATTCTTCTGCGAAATGTTCGAGAAGGATGTGTAAAGTCAAGAAGGAAGAGAGAGAGAAAGAGTGGGAAAAGTTTGTCTTGGTTTCTAAGGAAGTTTGTGTTCTTTTATGATGATATTGAATGACAAGAGCGGTTTTGTCGGAGAATTGATGGAATAATTTTCTTGTCAGTTGGTAAATACTTTGGAGCACTTTTTAATTAGAGAGTTGTCGTATGAAAATCTATTATGTAATTCCACATTCGATACCTTTATTAGCGCTTAATAAACATATTGTCACAATAAGTCCAATAAATGGACTAGATTTTGCTACAAAAGCACGTGAGATGTGTGAAGAGGTGGTGTAATGGCATTAGAATTCAACGTGGCATTTCGAGAATGCCTGATAGAAAACCTTGTTGAACAGTTGGAGAGTGAAGAAAAGGGGTATTCTTAGAAATTAGCACAGTGAGTGTGTAGGAATTGATAGTGGATATTTTTGGAGCATCATTAACTCACTATCGTCCAACACTTAATCACACTGTGTAACCGGGATATTCCGGAAATGGTGTGATGATGGGGAAAAGGGTAAAAAAAAATACACCCTGTTGCTAAATTGCTGTGCCGTTTTGCGAAAAAGGTCTCTTCGTCAGAGATTTCACAGCGTGCGCGAGAAGATAATAAAGCCGGCTGTGAACAAGTGTTTTTTCCGACACTGAATACGAGAACGGACGGCTCTTTGAGGGGGGGCATCATGCCAACTGTGCCTCCTCACATTGGGAGAGAGAGTCATTGAGCAGAGCCCAGATTACAATATTTGCTCTCCTTTCGTTTTATTCATCTCTCGCGCTTCTATTTCATCATTCGGCCCGAAAAAAAGCATACATTTCACATATATAATAGGAATTATTATAATAAGGCTATCAGAGTGGTGTGTTTTTCTGATATCTCACCACAATTCTGAAGAGAGATTATGGCACGTTATTAAGTTCTCGTTATCATTTACGATTGTGCGATGGGGGAAAAAATTGCGAGTATAGAGAAGAAACACAAAAATGAATTTATGAAGCACTCGAAATTTGCTGATGAGAGATACAAAGACAAAGACAAGTTCTTATTTGGCCACCTCGCGTGTTCTCACAGTGAATGACTTAATGAGGTTTTGTGCTGTTGGAGAAAAGTGTCTCCTTTCTATATCACTCAATTCATCAACAATTAGAGCAATTTGCATTGCCAATGATGCTGGTTTGCTGTGTGGAGATAAAGACGCCGCCACGACATCACATTTAATTGACGGGAGGTTGACAGTGAAATCAGCAGAGAAGTTGATCAATTATATTGGGGTTTTTCCAACGTAAAAGTTTCCACAGAGTAAATTGGTTCCTCAATATTATGCGCTGAAGTGATGTTCTTCACCTATTTTTTCATCGTGAAGAGGAAACCTTTGACCTTATTAAAACCTCACACAAATTGCAGACTTTTTTCTCACCCACTAAAAGTGGTCAGGGTTTTTGTTCAAAATTCCTTTGGACGACACAGAAATTGTGGATAAGCTGAGGAATTAAAGAGTTCCAGTTGTTAAATTTATAACAATCTGTATAAATAGCATTTGTAAATCTGCAGCAAATCTAATTTATTCAAATGGTCAAGGGAAGAATTTGAAAATAAGAAGCATGCATCTGACGTAATTTGTCGATACAATTGCATTGAATTACTGCATAAATAATGTTAATAATTCTTCACGTGAGTTTGTTGTTAAATTGCAACATTGAACAGAGTGGAGTGTTTAGAGAAGAATTACAGAAAGAAACACATGCGTTGGCGCGCATTGAAGTCACGTGAAGAGTCTGAACAGTGATTTGTTCTGACTCTCAAGCAATTTTTAATGAAATGCCTAAGCATTCAATTATTTGCTCAATTGAGAAGGTAGTGTTTTATTAGTTGTGTTTCATATAATGTTAATTTGTGCTGAGAATGACGTGTGGATTCTTTTTCTCTCGTGCACAATTTGCTACAAGAAAAAAAAGTAAGCAAATAAGAGTGATAAAAGTGAATATATTCTAAGAATTTCTGTTTGTGATACGTTTTTAGAAAGTCAAACACAATAAGTTGATAAAATGTGCATTATATGTTCACGCTTATTTGGCCATGATAACACTTAAGTGTGGAATTCATTGCTTTGCATCATATGTAATCAGCTGTGCCTTCGGTGGTATGACTTGGAGGTGTGTGCAAATTCATTGTGGTTTGGAGTGGGAGATTTAATCGCTTTGCTTCTGTGTTTTGTTGCGCACAAACACACACACACAGAAGATTGTAATTGAATTTGAGAGGCAGCGAGTGAGAATGTGCAATTTGTCTGTGGTTGAGGTGTTAAAAGAACCTGTGCTGAGGTAGAATGCCTTTAGGGTGTCGCGAGTCACCACTCAGTGAGGTTTTCAACAAGCGTTGTTGTGCGGAAAAATTCACCAAACAAAAATCCCTTCGTTTGACTGACAATGAGGATAAATCTGTGTGCTAAGTTTCCCTATAAATTCTGTGTTGTCCTCAGATAACGCTTTGTGTTTTTTTTCGATTTTGAAAGTTTTCTTCTCAAGTGGAAAATTGCTTAAAGTTTGATTATAATTGTGAAGTATGAGGATAAAACAGAGATTTCTCAACAACTACGACAGCGGTAAAGATTTATTTTGGCTACTTTCAATGAAGAGAATATAATTTTGAGAATTTGAAAACATGTAAGAGAAAATAATAAAGGAGAGTGAAGAGTTATCGATTGATGTCGTGGTTGAAAGTCTGTCTGGGTTGAAATTATGTGACAGAAAAATGTGTTCAAGGAAAACATGAGGGATTATTATTATTATTCATCCCTCATCATATTGTTCAAGGTTAAATAACTCCTTATTTTGCTTCTAGAAATTGTTTGGAATTGATTGATTTTCATGTCAGTCTCTATGGAAATTATTTGGTGTGCTACAGTGAAGCACAAAAGTGTGTGTTTAGATAGAATCAATATGTTTTGGAGCCATTCGAAACTTCCTTATTGATTGATTGGGTGATTTGATTAGAAAGAATCTGTTCTATTGTCTATATTAGGGGTTTTATTTCTAAGGATGTCTTTGCTAAATATCAAGAAATCAAGATTTTCACTTTTGGTACTCAATGTGATCAATCTCAATCAAGTTGTTAAAGAGATTTTATGAATCTAAGACAGAGAAAATGCGGAAAGAAAGTCTTTCTGTCTGTGTTTCGATAGGAAGAATAAAAGTATAATATTCAAGGTTAATTAGACATTTATATCAGTGTTGATACTTAATTGCAAGAGACACTGTTAAGATATTTTTATATCATTCGCGGTAGTTAATTTTCTTTACAAAAAAAATAACTTCTTTCATTCTCAACTTTATCTCTGAGATTTATTGACGAGTTCTTGCCATGCTGCTAATCCTCTGGGAATCCCATTACTTTTACAAACCACTCAGTGGCGCAGAATGCGAGAAGATATATTTATCTAGAGCCAGATTTAGCGATATCACTCTAATGCCTTTCCAATCTCTTCTGATAGGACTTTTATCACGTTGAACTTGTCACTCTAAGTGGTATTGATTTGGCATCGCGCGTGTGTGTGTGTGTGTGTAAAATGAGACATTTAATTGAATTAAATGTTACGCTGCCGTTGAGAATCCCTATTAGTTTCACACATGTTTGACCTTCAGGTGTTTTCATCCTCGCATTTCTTTTTTTTCCCCTCTATTACTTCCGGAGGCAATTATTTTCTTTCCACTGAAATTGAGGTCACTAGCCAATGAATGCGTGACCCTTTTTCCGACTGTGACCTCATTTTGAGTGCTGTGCTCGCGAGAGAAATGATCTCTTAGACGCTGAATTATTAAGTTCAAGGTTCACAATAGTGACTAACTTGTTGGTTATGTGCGAAGAAAAAGTGTGGTGTTTTTTTCCCTCAATTTGTTTGCCCGCTTTGGCTGGTTGTACATCACATGCCATTTTTGACCATTGTTGGGTTGTGTCGTTGGCCCCGAGATGTTCGCTAATCATGCTCAAAATTTTCCATGGTGAAAGAAAGACAAGAGGAGAAGGAGAAAAGAAGAGAGGCGAAATTCCAATAGAATTATATAAACTTCATAGAGGGTTTATTTGCAATTCACAGCTGCAAAAGAGTGCAAATTACAGTTCTTGTGTATCCTCAGTACACTGAATTGCAATTTGTGCTCACTGATTAAATAATGTGCCACGGAAATTGGAAAGAAATTGCAGCTTTGTCGCATTTGCGTGGGTGAAGTGTGCAATTTTCACGAAATAATGTAATTTAACATTGATTCAGTGTCAATTTTCCACGATGAATATCGTGTTATTTTGCCTTGTAATTAGAATGAGGACGTATTTTGTACAATTTATCGCATAGATAATCCTTTTTTTTTGTTGCTGTCTTTGCTCTTCCATTTACGCAATGAAACCACCATATCTTTTGACTGTTTTCTCATGAGACATGAAGAGCGCGTGATGTGCGAAAGAGTAGATATTGTAATAATATTTACCCGCTAAAATTCACATTATTTACATGTTCAGAAGCCATCAAAACTCGATAAACGAAGCATTGTTGAGATAATTCTATCTTACTGTCATTAATATGCTATCGATTAAAATTCCCTTGAGACTTTTACAGCTCATTTTCTTCATGTTGTTTGTGGTGGATTTTTATGATCAACAAGAAAGATTAAGTCATATCACATTTCTTCACACTTATTTGCCTATAAACAATTGCACAAAATCCTTTCTCGGTGATTCTAGTTAATCGGGGCACATGTAAAAATATTGTTTCAGCAGAATTGTGTGCAGAGTCGGAAGGGGGCCAAAGAGTCTGGCACCATTGCAATCTCGGGTGATGTTGACAGAGAAAAGATTAGCGATGAATGTGAATTTAATAGAGAGAGAGAAAAAAGAGAAATAGAAGGCAATAAACTTGAATGGAAATTTCTGAAAAAATCTCCCAAATTGCCCGCGCCCCCAAAAAGCGAGTGAAAATAATCAATTTTCTTATCCCAGTTTTTGCGACACTTTAGCCTTTAATCACGTGAACTTGAGTCACATTGAAATTTCCTCTGTCTTTTTTTCTGTTCTGCGTGTGTGTGTCCGATAAAGCTGTCCGGCAAAAAGTAACACTTTGTTCCGCACTCTTTTTATACACCGCGTGCCATCCTCGTTATATTTACACATTATTCGTACCGAGCGAGAAGCAATTTTTGAGTGACTAAAATTGATTAGCAGGCATATAATATACGGCTTTACGATTAGTGAAAGAAAGAAAAAAACACTTGGGAGATTGACGCAAAACACTGGCAAAAATATTCTTTCTAGCCCTCATGGCGCGAATTGGTTGGTGGATAATAATAGTTGGATTTGTTTATTGTTAATTGTTCTTCAACACTTTTTTTGTTATCATATTGTCAAGCTTCGGAGGAATTGAATTTTGTCACAAAACTTGAGTCATCGATCTTGATTTTTTTTTGATAAACTCATGTAAAATAAGGTGTTAAAATGATGAGGTGATAAAATGAACATGTTTAAACAAAAAAATATTCTTTCAATTTAATTAAAAGATCTCTACTGAAAGTCCCTTAGAATTATAGGATTTATTGAGAAAACTAATTCTGCGCTTTGCTGCGAAGGTTGAACAGCGGCAGACGCAATGAAGAAAATTCAAGGAGTTTATAGAAATCAATTAAAATAGCAGAATAGCAGAATAGCAGAAACTCTTACACTTTTCTTTTCAATGGAATTTATAAATAGATTCAACTCATGCACAATCTAAGCAAATGAAACAAGTGAGCTTTGGATATCATCAGCTAATTTACCAACAAACAGCATCACAATCTCTTTTCTTATCAGGCGCATTCTGTTCAATGTAATTTCGAGCACTTTCGAACTGAAAAACATATGACGAAAGTGAGCCATGAGGATGAGATTGTTTTAATTTTCTTACGCATTAATGGGGTCTTTTGTTTTTAAAATTAGACAAGTGAAGTGTGGAAAGCGAGTGAATTTCGCAACGGTGCGTAAATCATTGGATGAATGTTGTTTAATGGACGCATTTTTTCTTCATCTTTGCAGACGATGCAATGGAGGACTGTGGCTTCCTGAAATTCACCGATAATGATCTCAAGTCGTCCTTTCTGCAGGCTTTGGCCACCATGAGAAAGCATCGGCTCTTCTGTGATGTGATTCTCAATGTAAGTATTTGGGGAATTGATAAGTGATAAATGCAATGAAGTGAATGCAAAATCCACACACGATCATCAAAATTCTGAAACATTTTTCACACTAGAATAATTATAATATTAATTTGGAGGATGAGGAAAAGTATAAGTTTTCTTTTAGACGATGATATGACACTATTTTGCCTTGTCGACGGGGGGAAAATAAGTGTGGGCAGAAAAGGGAGAGAGAGAGAAAAAAAGAAGAAAAGGAGTATTTTGAAATATTTGTATTAAACCATATTTATGTCCCAAATTGTCTCCCTTCTCACTTGTCATTATTGATATTTTATTCTTTTCTCATTTTTCTTGTGTGTGGGCGATTATTTTCACACATTTAGGGTGTTTTACTTCTCGATGCAGGTTGGCAATGCCGATATTCATGCTCATCGAAATGTCTTGGCATGCGTTTCGCCGTACTTGATGGAATTATTTAGTGCTGATCAGGTAAGATTTGACCATTCCAGTTTTCCCACCTCCTTCTTGTCATCCTCCCACTTTTGCCTCCGGCGTGACACTTGTTTTCTTGGAAGCAAAAAGAAAAAAAAAAAGAAAATAGATCGAATGACTGGGTCTTTGCATATCTGTTTATTTTTATTGTTATCTTCTAGGCAAAGAAATTTTGGGGTGTGAAAAAGTGATGGCAAAGATTTCAAGTGACATTCGAAGCTGGTTATTTTCTTCACACGTGGAAAATTTTTCACTAATATTTCTCCTTTTCTTCTCCCTTGATTTCTTTCTCTTTGCGGTGCAGCAAACGCAGAATGGCAGCGGAGATGGAAGTATTCCGAGCTACAGGCTGAATGGCGGCATGAGTAAGATTGCTCTGCAGATTCTCGTGGATTATGCATACACGGCAACGCTGGAGATTCCGGATGTGCTGGTGAAGGATGTCTACTTGGCAGCATGGAAGCTACGCATGGATCGCGTGGTAAGCGAGTGTGCGAAGCACTTGATAGCTGAACTCACGCCTGAATCGTGCATTGAGACGCGCTCTTTGCCGGGCATCACGAAGAACAAGGCATTTGTGCTGGAAGTTGATGATTTCATTGCTAAGCAGGTGAGATTTATTTCGCAGATGAGAAATTTCTCAGAGATTGACTTTCTTCCTCTCTGTGATTTCATCAGTTTGCTGAGGTGGATCAGTCACCGGGATTCCTGCAACTGCCCTGCGTTCAGATTGAGGTGTTGTATCAGACGAAGCAGGAGATGTCTCTGGTCACGCACAGCTCTCTGGCGCGCCTGGTTCTTGACTGGATGAAGCGTCAGCTGTCCGAGGAGTCACTCTCGATGCCCCATCTGCTGGAGCGCAGTCATCTGCTCTATCTGGCACTGGACAACTCCCTTCAGGACTGTTCTGACCTCCCGCCGGGCCATGAGTCTGAGTCTGAGTTGGTGCAGGACTACAAGCGTCTCGTGCTCAAGTGTCCCAACAACAAAACCAGGCGCAAGTGTTTGGCCGCTCCGATTCGTCCGCGAGTTCTGATCTACTCGCGTGACATTGGTGGCGATCGCGAAGAGGTTGAGGGCAATTTTCAGCCTGACTGGACTGTGTTGGGCAGCACGAAAGTCGCTGAGAACACCTTTGTGTCGCTCGTGACGCTGGATGGCGCACTGACGCGCATCTCCATTCAGTTGCGCCTCAATGTGCCCACGAGTGCATCGCCCATTCACACGCCGGATGCATTGACGTTCGGGCCCAAGAGTGAGGATGCGGCGGACGGACCGGAGCTCTTCTGCGAGGTGGCGACCATGTCGGGGCCTAAGTGTGGCCTAGGTGTTTCCGAACTGGACGGCAAGTTGCTCGTGTGCGGTGGATATGATCGAGGTGAGAGAAAGACACAAGATATTCAGCTTAATTGCATGCAAATTTGCGACGTGGCAATGCGGTGTGGGTCGTGTTGAAAATCACTCTCAATTAAGACCACTTTTTATGATCGACGCGCGCAAAATGTTTGTGTGACGCAAGTGTCTGGTTCCGTTCAATATAAATCACTTTTTGAATATATGGCTAAATGATCAGCTTAATTATCTCTTTCCTTACCCTCCTTCATATTGGCACACGTTCCTCTGTGAATTAACTAAGAAGGAATGCGACTAAAGGGAGGCAAATTAACTTTTAGAATGACACAGTGATCTCAGTGATTAAGCCATTGTGAGATCATTTCATTATTCTGCACATTTTTTTTTTCTTTCTTTTCTTTTTACACATCGAGTGACGGAAGAATTTGGCTGACAAATCTTAATGTTTCTTTGCAGGTGAATGTCTTCGTCTCGTGGAGGCCTACTGTCCGGATGAGAATGTGTGGATCCAGCGTCCGAGCATGATTGAGGCTCGCGGACGTGTCCAGATCGCTGTGATTGCCGGCACGACGTTCGCTGTGGGCGGCAGCAATGGCACCACAGAGCTGGACACGGTGGAGTGTCTGCCGGAGGGTGCGTCCAAGTGGCGCAAGTGCTGTCGCCTGCCACTGGCGCGCAGCAATGCCGGCGTGTGTGCCCTGAACGGCCGTGTGTACTGCATCGGCGGCTGGAATGGCCAGAGTGGCATTCGTCAGTGTGATGCGCTGGATATTGATGGCGATCGCTGGGATAGTGTATCACCATTGAACACTGGACGCACACAGGCCGGAGTGTCGGCATTCAGGGGGAAATTGTGGGCTGTCGGTGGCAGCGATGCGTGGAATTGTCTCTCTTCCTGTGAGGTGTACGACCCTGAGGTGGATCAGTGGTCAGCGGCGGCTTCTCTCCTCACGGCTCGTCGTGGTTGCGGTTTGGCTGAGTTCAAAGGGCGACTGTATGCCATTGGCGGCAGTGATGGATCCCATTCGCTCTCAACCACAGAGATTTACGATGAGGAGAACAAAGTTTGGGTGAGTCACGCATATTATTTGACATTGGAGTAATTAAAAAGCCTCCCTCATATTGGCACACATTCCACCGTGCAGATTTGCGGATGGAATGCGACTAAGGGGAGGCAAATGAATCATATATAATATGGGCCAGAGTGACACAGTGGTCTCACGCGGAAATCATCGTGAGATCATTTCATATTCTGCACAATTTTTTGTTTTACCCATTCTTCTCTCTCTATTTACCATTCCTATCTTCCATGCTCAAACAGTGTGAACTTGAGTCACTCTGCAGCACAGATAATGGGAATCAGTCGGTGATTTGAAAGGACATGGAACTCAAACTCAGCACTGTTTAAATGTTATTGTTCGTGTGAGCTCGGGCGCAAATAGCAATAATTTATCTAAAAATATCCTAAGCATGTGAGAGATTGTTTTATGGCTCTGCAAAGGCATCTTTCTCTAATCAATTGGGCAGTAAATGGTTGTTTAGAACGAGAGAGAGATAATGCCAAGTGATGAAAGAAGAAGTGCTCACATAAATTTTCGCGTTGCTTATCAGTGATGAATGGAAAAGTGGGTAATCACGCGTTGTTGGGTATCATAAAAATGGGGCTAATTCATGGTGATTTATATTAGTTTTGTGCGTGAAAATTTGTCATATTTATTTACACACCATGTATTTGTCATGCTTTGCAAATCATAATTACAATAAAATTCAAGGTTATTAATTTTGAAATGCAAACGGAAGAAGACAATTAAATGGGGATTCTTCTTGAGATAATTTATCTCTCAAATTCGCAATATTCACGTGTTATTTCTTTATTTGTTCTGCCATTTGTCGAATCATACAGTGGTGTGGAATTTCAATAATAAATTCCTTGAATTATTGCCGAGGATCGATTTCACAGGGTTTTTCCTGACCAATTTCTGCTGGTTTGTCAACTCCTTGTCCTACTTCATTTACTCTCTAATAACTTTACACATCAAACAATCTTTGCATGTTTTTCTCAATCATATATAATTTTCTGATTTGCGTGTTTATTTCCATTGCAATTGCAATCATGTAAATTGCCTGATGGCATGAAAAGAGTCTCCTGAACATACATTTTAACGGTGTATATTTGCTGTCTATGTTGCAGATTCAAGGACCAAATCTCACGACACCGCGCTCAAATGTGTCCGTTGTGGTGGTGAAGGACAAGTTGTATGCTGTTGGTGGCTTTTCCGGGAAGACATTCCTCAATACGATTGAGTATTTGGATCCGAATACCAATGAGTGGACGACTTTTGTGGCGCAAACGGGCAACGGCGACGCGCCGCCGGCGCTGGAGAGTGAGACGAATGGGCGTGTTGAGGTGACAAATGGCGTAAATGGCCACAGAGAGGTTGAGGATCGGCTGGTGATTGATGAGAGCGCCGTGGAGAAGAAGTTGTCCATTGTGTTGGGCTACAACAGCTTCGCGGAGGCCAAGAGTGAGGCTCACAATGGGGATGAAATTGTTAGTAATTGAGGGGGTGAGTGGGGGTGAAGAGAAAGCCATATTTGATGACAGTGGGAGGGAAATTTTGCTGAAGGTAAATCTTATTTTCATATTAGAGATAAAAATGCTTGATAAAATGTAGTTTTGAGATATGAAAGAGAGAGAAAGAGTTTTATTGAATGTCGTCAACTAATCTTAAAGACAACACATAGAAGGTAACTCTTCGTTAGTTCTTAAGCTCACACAGACACAGTTTTTGAAGAGTTCAACATAGAAGACAAAACTACTGAGTAACATTTAATCTTGGGAATCAATTTGCAATACAATTTAAGGGCGCGCATAATTCCATATTCTTCACAAAACCACGTATTAACTTTTTTTTTTCTTTCTCATGAATTTCCTTTTCAATTATGGAAAGATTAATGTATTTTACCACCAAGTTGATGGCCTTTAATGAGTGTTGAGAGTTGTAGAGATTGAAGAAAAAAAAGTAATCTAATTGATGAAAATGTATGACATTTTTCTACTTTATTTTTCACATCCTCCAGTCGCACACTTTTTCTGGCGAAAATATGGAGGAGAAAGACATGATAAAATAAAAAATACACTTGGAGAAATCAAACGGGGAAGTGTCAATAGTTGAGTTGAGGCTGCAAACAGGGAATTTGTCAATGAGATAACGACATGATTATTGTGTGTCTTCATTGAATTTGCTGCCATTTTAATGTTGTAATCAAGCGTGAGTCCATTTTTTATTGGGAATTAAACTATGTTTAGTCCAAAACACGAAATTTGTAAAAAGTCTTTCTAATCCACCAATTTTTGAAAGTTTTCAACTCAATTATTGATAAAAATTTCTCGTGTTGATTGTATTAATCATATTATATCTATATTATGAGAATATTGAGAGAGGATATAAAACTAAAAAAAAAAATTGTTGATAACTTTGAAAAGAGAGAAAGAGAAGAAGGAGAAGAGATAAAACTATAACTAAACATTTTACAGCAGTTTATTCTTGAATATTTAAGTAATAAGAGGGATACAAAAGAAAATAAAAATCATAGCAATTTAAAAAGAAGATGTGAAGAGGACTATTGTATTAATGAAAAAATAAGAGATTTAAAGAAAGAAAAAAAAATTGTAATTGAGTGATAAAAGCTCATAATTTATACTCACGATATTAATGTGTGTGAAATTTAATTTCAGTCTCACTATTAAAATTGTGATGTTGGGGATCCAAAAAATAAAGAAGAAATATTATATTGAAAAGTTGATGTGAAAAAGAACAGTAAAAGAGAAACAAAATAGACTGAGAGGAATTTATAATTTAAAAATGAAGAAGAAATAATGAAAATAATAATGATGAGGTACATTTCCAATTGTAGAGAGAGAGAGAGGGAGAAAAAACAATGAGGGTTGAAAGAAAATCAAATGAAATCATAAAATTGGCATAAGATTTGGGATATATTTTTTATTGCTGCAATTCTTTTTGTGATGCACACTTTTTTTTAAGAAGGAAGGATATAAAAGACAATTTCAAAGAGAGGGTGTAAAATAATAAGTAAATTTTTGTCTCAACTTTGAAGAAAAAAAAATGAAAAAAGTCTCCAAAAAAAGATAATGAATGTTGTCAGTAGTGAAAAGTGAAAATCCTACTAATATATCATTAAGAGAGTAAAAAAAAGAGAGTAAGAAATCATTTTTTCCACTTTTGCGATTGAATCAATTTTTGATTTGGTCTCTTTTTGCATTCAATTAATGTATTGGGCATGAAATTCTTATAAAAAAAAACACAACAAAGAAAAAGAAGGATTGTATAGAAAGAAAAATATGTTTGCTCTCATGATTTTTTATTTTGTCACATAAAGAGAGAAATAATAATAATAATGAGAGAAGGAGGAAAAAAGAGAACATTTAAACTTGTGCGAAATTATCGTCTTTTTCTAATGATTCTGGACACAAAAACAAGAGTAAAGGAAAAACAGAAAGTAATAAAGATGCTTTAATACTATCAGAATGTCGTAGGAAACTGAAGAAGAGTGACAAGAAGTGAGAGCGGCGACGTTGTGCGAATCGTGATAGGAAGGGTCGTGATCTCTGTGACTGTGTCACTGCTGAGCTGGAGATTAGAGAGCGTCGGAATCAGAGATGAATTGATGACTGCGGAAAGTCGATGTTTTCTAAGCTCTGGCGATCTCATTAACCCTCAACAGGCTATCAGGGGGCAATTCAGCCACTTCTGACTACAACAGTCCTTCGAGGAATTGCACATTTTCTCCGATCCTTCCAAAGTGTGGTTCATTAGTTTGTCTGTCTCGATGTGAACGATGATGTGAAGGCGAGAAGCAGGTAAGTGACTCTGAGTTCTCTACGCACGCCAAATCCCATCCCTTTGCGCTCGGCCAATGAAGCGATCACAGATAAGAAACCGTCCGCTTGATCTCAGTCTGCTAATCTGTCGCTTTCAGTGCCTTCCCGGCCGATGTCCAGGCGCAGCGAAAGTGCGAGCAACTCTCCAGTGGGTGTGTCAGCGCAATGAGTGCCTCCAGGATAGCGTTGAGGAGCGTGAGTCGCGGCCTCCTGGCCGCCAGGAGCTTCTCCTCTGCCGCCGCTGCGGCGGAGAAAACCAGTCTGTATGACTTCCACGTGGCGAATCAGGGGAAGATGGTCAACTTTGGCGGCTTCCTGCTGCCCGTGCAGTACGGCGACTTCGGCATCGCGGCGTCGCACAATCACACACGCACGAAGGCGTCGATCTTCGACGTGTCACACATGCTGCAGACTTACGTGCGAGGTGAGTGAATTCGTGAAGTTTTACCGCTAAAAAGGACAAACTGCGTCTGCACACTTGTCCACGTAAAGATGGAAGTGCGTGAGATTTCTGTCCAGGCCAGCAACACACTTGAAGAAATCCTCACAATTGCAATTGAAGTCCGGGAAATCCTCTGGACACTCAATGTTGTACCAGAGAAAGTCGTTTAATTTCAAGTCAAATTGACTCAAATGTGCACAAACGATCCCAGAAGTGAGAGTGAAGATTGATAAAATGATCAGTATTTTGCTCATTTCACTTCCCGTTGACTTTTCGCGGTGTTTTTGCGGATTTGCAACAGTGGCACTTTAACCAGCTTTGCCAACCTCAAGTTCTCATTTGAAACACTTGTTCAAATGAAAAAAACATGAGGCACTTTTATTTAATTAATTCAAATAATATGATAAAGCGAAACAAGCAGTATTTCTCAGAGACAAACCCTTTGATAAGCACATTGGAAACGCTTTTCGCTTTTGCTGTGTCGTAATTTAGCGTTAAAATTGATTAAAACTGGTGAAATAATTCCTCCGGTTTTTATTTTGCAATTAAAAGCGAAGAAATGCCTGAAGAAAGCTTCGAAAATTGGCCATAAGAGAATGAAAAAATCTGTTAATCTTCAGTTGCACAAATGAATCCTTCGCTCTTTTCCCTGTCCAGGAGCCGCTGCCATTGACTGCATGGAGTCCATCAGCACGGCGGACATCGCTGGGCTGCCCGAGGGCTCCTCCACTTTGACTGTCTTCACGAACGAGCGTGGCGGCATCCTGGACGATCTCATCATCACGCGCCTGTCGGACTCGCTGCTGTACGTGGTGTCGAACGCCGGCTGTCGCCAGCAGGACATGGACATCATGTCCGAGGCGGCGGAGCGCTTCCGTCGCCGCGGCAAGAATGTGGACATGGAGTTTCTCACGCCTCAGGACAGAGCCTTGCTGGCGCTGCAGGGCCCGGACGCCGTGCGCTGCCTGCAGGAAGTGTGCGACTTCGATCTGCGCTATCTGTACTTCATGACCTCCACCAGGGCCGATGTGGCGGGCATTGAGAACTGCCGCGTGACGCGCTGTGGCTACACTGGTGAGGACGGCGTGGAGATCTCCATGCCGGCCGACAGGGCGGTGCACATCGCCGAGGCGCTGCTGGGCAGCAAGCTGAGCGCCGTGAAGATGGCAGGACTGGGAGCCAGAGACTCGCTGCGATTGGAGGCGGGATTGTGTCTGTACGGCAGCGATATTGATCAGGACACCACGCCGATCGAGGCAAATCTTGCATGGCTAGTGGGTGAGAGGAAATCCGCACAAAATCCCTCTTCTTCCTCATGTGCATTTCATGTCCTTCTCTCTCCTCAGCCAAGCGACGGAGGAGCGAGATAAACTTCCCCGGAGCCAAGATTGTGGTGGATCAGCTGAAGAACGGCTGCTCGCGTCGGCGCGTGGGCATCCGCGCACTCTCTGGTCCACCAGCCAGACACGGAGTGGAGATCTTCAGTGAGGACGCCAAGGAGAAGATCGGAAGCGTGTCCAGCGGATGTCCCAGTCCCACGGCGGGCGGAAACGTGGGCATGGGATACGTGAAGGAATCCCACAAGGCCAATGGCACGAAGCTTCAGCTGAAGATCCGGGAGAAGTTCTTCCCCGCCGAAGTCGCTCGAATGCCCTTCGTCAAGGCGAATTACTACACAAAGCCCAAATAGTGGGCAATTGGCCAGTTCTCTCTGTGGAAGAATAAATCCTAGCAAGTCAGGACACTTTGCTGAAGTCGATGAAAAGAATTGTTTATTAAATTGTTTGTCCTATTTACATTTTAAAATAGTGTCCCCAAGATTTTCTGTGTTCTTATACAATATAAACTCCTCTGGGCCTCTTGCGGCCTCACTCCCATAGTTCAGATCCTCCGTGCGGCGCGCGCCTAGGCCGACACAGTGCCGTGCACCTTCTTCAGGTGCTTCTTTAAGTAGCCATTGAGGGCGAAGTTCTTGCCGCAGAGATCGCACTGGAACTTCTTGTCCGCCGAGTGGATCTGCATGTGCTTCGTGAGTTGGTTCTGCGCGCTGAACACCTTCTTGCACACGCTGCACTCCAGCGCGCCCGGCTTCTCCCCATTCACGTGGCTCACCTTCATGTGCTGGTTGTACTCCTGCAGGGACGGGAAGCTCTTGGGGCACACCTTGCACTTCCACTCCTCGCTCGCGTGCTGCTTCCGGTGGGCCGCGTACGCCTGCAGGCTCACGTTCTTGCCGCACACGTCGCAGATCGTGGACGCCCGGTCGGCGTGCAGCTCCACGATGTGACGATTGTAGCTGGCCGTGTCGCCGAACGCCTTGCAGCACAGCTCGCACTCGTAGATCTTCATGCCCGGGTGCTTCTGCAGGTGCTCGCGGAAGGACTGCCTCTCGGCGAACGTCTCGCCGCAGATGAGGCACTCGCAGCGCGCCTTGCACACCAGCATGTGCTCCTTCAGCCCCGTGGCCAGCTCGAAGCGCTGCTGGCAGTTGGGACACGTGAAGTCGCTGAGCGACGCCCTGATGATGTCCCCGTCGGTGGTGGGCGCCGCCTCGGCGCTGCTGTGGTTCACGAAGTGCGCATTGAAGGACTCCGGATCGGAGAAAATGTCCCTGCAGATGCCACACATGATCTCGAGGATCTCCGCCTGGGCCACGTCCAGGCCGTCCACGTGCCCAAAGGCGATCTCACCACCCTTGGCCGCGTAGTTCATCTCCTCCGGCATCGGCGCCACGTCGCGCGGAGCCCCCACGTTGCCCAACGCCGGCGACATGCTCCTGGGCGGCCATGAAAGAAAAAGAAAGCGAGTCAGCCATTGAAGAAATAAATTGTAAAGAACAGCACTTCTCATGTAAGGCCGGGCAGACACAAGCCGAACGGGATTCGCAACAAGACCATGCAAATCTGTCTTTCACGCTCACTTGTAATTTCGCCAGAAATTTAATGCAAAATGCAAAATTTTTCTTTTAATCATGAAAGAATGACTTTCTTCGCTTACATCCCTGATGATTGAGGATAATAAATATTGATTAAAGGAGTGAAAAGCAAAAATCACAAATCAACGAAACTTGGAAATGAGTGAAAATATCAAGCGCCTCCAATATGACTGTCTAATTAGGATCAAATTGATCAAATAGGATGAGCAGAGAGAGCAAAGAACAGGAAATTCTCCTGGCTCTGCTCGTCAATTCTCCGGCACGATTGCAATAGCCGCGAGCCGCTGAGCGCCAGGGCGCGCTGTCAATCGCGGATGCTGGAAGCCACTTTCACGGAAACCCACCCAAGTGATTGGGGCGCGAGAACTCACCTGGATTTCACCTGGACCGCCTCGGGTTCCGCATTCTGCACGGGCACATCGATGAACTCGATAATGGCATCATTCTTGCCGTGGCTGAATGTCACCTGCTGCCCCAGGAATGATCGAAAGTGGTTCAGCTCGAGCGTTGTTTGGGCCAACTCCGCCTTCAGCTTGGCTATTTCGGCGTCCTTCTCAGCGCAATAGCCGCACTCCTTGCCATGATACATCCTCGGCGCCGCCGCTGCTGCTCAACTGGGACTGTGGGGCTCCACTGGGGCACGCGAAGACGCCAAAACTGCGATGCACACAAGTGTTTACGGGGGGAGGCGAAAAAATGCGATATGGCTCGCTGTTGTCTTTCCCGTGAAGTACACTGACACTGGAAAGCGCCTCGCTGGAAGGCTTGTCCGGAAGTGTGAGGTTAGGGCCGACCGGCGTTACCGATTCCCGACTGAACGCACCCGCCTCGCGTTGGGTGTCTGGTATTAATATGTAAATTTATTGGACAATTACATCGCCAATTCTTCTTCATGCCACTCATAATGCTCCTTGAGCTCTGGCTGCGTGCTGAAGCCCTGCTCGCACAGTTCGCAGGGGAACTCCTTCTCGTGAAAATGTATGTTGATGTGGATGTCCAGGAACTTTTGGGAGCTGAACTTGCGGCCACAAATGGCGCAACTGAAGCGCAAATTGTGTGTCTTGATGTGGCACTTGAGAAGTTGCGACTCCTTAAATTTGCTCTTGCACAGCTTGCAGGTGTTTCCCTTGTCCGCCAGCTGATCCTGGTGATTCCGCGACATGTGCCGCTCCAGTGTCTCCAGATGCATGCATCCTTTGGCACAGTATTGGCAGGTGTATTTGTTGGGACCGGACTTTCTCATCACATTGTTGCTCTCCTTCCTGGCAGAATTGTATGTGCGAATCTTCACCGAGAGTGGATTGGACTTCACTGGGATGATAGCCTTCTTCGAGTCACTTGTGGCAGGACTTGTGAGGGATACATTATTATCCCTTACTGGCTCGGTTTTCTCATCTTTCGGGATCCTCTTCTTCACATCGCTTAGCTTCTCACTGAGAAAATAACACGGAATCAATTGAAAATCAATCATCAAGGCATTGGGAGTTTCCCTACTCATCGGATTCATCAGAGGATTTGTCGGCAGGACCACCAGGGGCTGGGAAATCATCCTCATCGCTGCTGCTGCTGCTCGCACTGCTGCTGTCGCTGCTCACCATGCTCAAATTCAAGGTGTTCTGAAACTTCTTCGTAGGAACTGAAGTGTGGACGAACACAATGTCGTCATCTTCATTGATATCCAGTGGATTTTTCTCCATTTTCCCCAATTTTCACTGAAACTAGATTTGTTATTGTGCTTTTTTCGCTTTTCTGGATGAGTGTCAGAATCCCGGCTGTCGAGTCCACTTGTAAACACCCTACAAATCACAGATTCGTGCTGGGTTTCTATCCCTAACCTCACATTGTTTGTTTATGGTGCTGTGCAGCATGGTGATTTTCATTCTCTGATTTCGCGGTGTTTTTCTCCATTTTCACCATGTTTGTGCTATCGGAATTGAAGGATACGGTGAGAATAGCTCCTGAACTGTTTGAATTGAAACTACCAGAAGCGATTAAGGACGAAATCAATAGGAAACTAGCCAACAAAGTGAGTGCTTCTGCTGATGACTTTTTGGACTCTTGATCCACCAAAAAATCGATTTTATTCTTCAGGTTCTGTACAACGTCGGCCTGTGCATTGCTCTGCAGAATATCGTGTCACTGGGTGACTCAATAATCCTCCCTGGAGACGGTGCTTCCCACACAGAAGTGATCTTTCGATACATCGTCTTCCGGCCCATCATTGGAGAAGTGCTCACAGGGAAGATCCGGAGCTGCAGCCGGGAGGGAGTGCACAGTAAGGTATCTCTGGCAATTCCATACGTATCTTCTGATGTTGGTGTATTTTCGCAGTCACTCTGGGCTTCTTCGATGACATCCTCATCCCGCCAACTGTTCTGCAGCACCCTTCGCGCTTCGAGGAGACGGAACAGGCTTGGGTGTGGGAATATCCACTGGAGGACAATGGGAAGCATGATTTGTTCATGGACATTGGAGAGACAATTAAATTCCGCGTGACTGGCGAGATTTTCGAAGAAGCCTCGCCAGTTGGAGCGCAAACGGGAGAGAAATCCAGTCAAGCCTCGGCGGAGGTCAGCAAAACTCCCTACAAAATCTTCGGGGCCATCAATGAGTCTGGCCTGGGATTGCTGTCGTGGTGGGCGCAGGATAATGCCAATGCCGACGATGCGGACGATATGGATGAGGGTCAGGAAGAGGATAGCGAAAATACATGAAGTTTCAATATATTTAAATTTATCTTTTATTTACATTATTATTCATATTGCTACAACACTATGATTAGTTTATTTTTAAACATGATTTCTCGTGGCTTTTCTCAAAGATTCTTCACTTCATCATATCCCAGAAAAAACACTCAATTGACGAACAGAATGTGAAATTGCGACTGTTTTCTTCCTCATTCTTGACTCTAACGAAATATTTCATTTTTTTTTTTACAATTATTTACAAAATATTCCACTTAATGAATGATTCCACAATGATGGCATTCACAGAATTTGCAACGTGTAAAAAGAGCTTTTCTCTTTTGCCGAAGAGAAAATGCAAAAAAGTCGCAGTAAAAGTTTCTTTCTCTTGATTTTGATGCTCAAATTGGAACAAAATGTTGATTTTCGACCCATGAACACTTCTTTTTCAAATCTTTTCAGATGTATTTTGATTACATTCAAGGGATCACTTTATAATGCTATTGCTGCTATTTAATTGTGAAAGTATGACAATTGATCCTGAACATTGCCTAGAAAAAATCGCTGCAAATTTTATGAATAGCGGTTCACTTTTATCGCTATACACAATGAATATCTTCGCATTTCTTGTTCTTCTGCTCCTCTAATAATACTGAATAGACACAAAACGTTCACATACAATCTTCTACACGCGTTTTCCTGTTTCAGTCTTCGAAAAAGGAAAGTTTATATAAAAAAGGGGAATAAGAAAATGTGGTGAAACGAGAAAGGATATTATAATATTACAATTGATTTTCCTTACAAACTAAGCATATATATTTTCTCCTCCAGCAATGCTTTCAACGTTCCTTAAAATGTACTCTAAAGCCTAGCAAGAATTCTCCCACTGTGGATGTGTGATTTTCTTTTGAAGAAAACACTCACAGAAGGTGTCTTTTAGCTGCTTTCTTCTCTCTCTCAACTCGTCTGTCGTCTATTTTGCTAGTCATGGGCAGGTGCTCAAAGTGATAAATGTACAATATTTCACTTTACTTTCTCTTTGTTATGCCAATAATTCACTTTATCTCTCTAATAATTACACAGCAAGTGGCTTCTTCTTATCATCTCCTTTTGTACAAGTAAAACACGTATTTTTCTGAGGCTTTGCGGATGGAAATCTGATAATCTGCGTGCGTGTGTGTGTGTGAAGAGGAAAGTTAGTGAAAATTGACTAGAATTTACATGATTAAATTCATTTCTACATTGTTTATTTCCCTTTCACAACAAAAGAGACACACTAGAGAACAAGGTGAAGAAAGAGGACTCTTCTTCCTACAGTTTAGACAGGATTTTCAACAACAACAATCCAACAATTGCACGCAATGTTTCTTTGGGGTTCTTAATCGCTTTTCTCTGTTGCAGTTTTAGAAGAAGAAAAGAAAAAAATAAAAATCAGTGCCTAATAAATATCTAAGCAGACTCAAATGAGAAGACGCCTCGATAAATCTCTAATTGGTATTCTTGAGTATTTTCTGCTCTAATGGAAAGTATTTACTTGTAAAGACTAATATTGCCTATAAACTATCATTTATTATCTCACTCTCATCCAATCTCTCTCTGTTCATAGTCGAATAGCGCGCACGATTTTCCTAATGTACTGTGATTTCTCCCTCCTTCACATTCAGTAAGATTTCACCTCAATTATACAAATTTAGCTAAATTGTCACCTAGTTTTACAAATTATATGCATTACTCTATAATGAGACAGCGCGGCAGGTGTTCTCGTAAGTATTCGAACAGTTCCTGCGAAGCGCCTGGACAATTTGTCAGCTCCAATTCCTGCAAGTGTCTCAGCTGAATGAGGCTCGACAGTCCGCTTGACGTCAGCAGTGGGCAGCCTAGAGGAAGAGGAGTGCTTAGATTAGTTGAATTCAGCAGGGAAAAGAGCTCTGCTCCGTTCTGTAGATTTGAATGGAATCTGAGGAAAACGTGAAGCTCCGCCTTCTCACTTTCCACGCCCATTTCCATGGTTACTTACCAGCTAACGAGAGAACTTGAAGATTTCGCATGGAGCAAAGGTGCTGCAGTCCAAAGTCCCGAACCTGAGAACACCAGCGCAAGAAGAGAGCTGACAAGGAGAGCATTGTGGAAATGTAACCGACTCCAATATCCGTTACGTGGACGCATCTGAAATGAGTGAAAGGCACAATGTTATTGATAATGCAGAAAGACTGACCTTTTAAGTCTTTCAGAGCCATTGACAATTTACGTGGGGTTTCAGGAGTGCAATCAATTACCATTGAACGCTTGGAATCCCAGCGGCAGAATAGCGAATTGTTCCCTTTTGTCATGGCATTTTCAAATGGACAATGCCACGTTATTTCCTCTCGTGCGATTTGATCAAATTAATTTATGTAGCATGCAAGGCTTGAGGACTTTTTTTTTGTCTTCCTGTGGCAAATAAGACGACTTTGCCAGTGCGTCGGTGAAATTACGACCACTCATTGGCTCTGTGGGGTGGTTTAGGTCGAAATTTTGGACGACTTCTTGAAAACTCTTGCCAAACAGATTGTGTAATTCTGTTGGAAGTGTGATTGAGAATTACCAGTGAAAGTTTTGCTTACATAATGCATGAATATGGGCGAAAAGGGTTTGCGATGTAACCACAATTCCTGCCGATTGATTTCCGCGCAACACGGACGGAAATACAAGAATATTTTGGGGGAATTCTGCGGGCGGTGAATTTCCTAACCCTTGATTCTCGTCTCAAGAGTATCCTGTCGAAGGATTGTGTGCCAATAATTGGATTTGTGGGCGACGTTTATGCTGTGTGCGGACTCCGAGGGTGTACACAAATGATGTGGGTGTAAAATGGGGATAAGTGAACCGATTCAAAAGTTTAGGGACGCGCGAAATGAAAATGCTTTTTGTGTATAACAAGAAAAAAGGACTACAACTTTTTTGATATGCTATTGATTTATATCCGCATTCTTTTGCGTCAACTTGGCATTCTGGCATTCTTCAAAAATGACCCATTTGCTAAAGTGGATGATGACCTTTTCGCTGTGCCATTGGAAAAATTCTCTGATTCTTGGCACGTGTTTTTAGCCCTAAGTTGAGCATGTTTTTCTTTCTCGAGAAAATACATCATCGATTGGAGATGAAATTTCAGCATTTCACCCATGAAAATGTCTGTTTGCCTTGCCATGCTCATTTTCATCCACTCAATCAATAGGATTTTCATCGTGTAGGGAGTGAAAGTTGGATTTTTTCCAGCACATTCCTCCGAATGTCAAACTGAAAATGTTTACCAGTGGAAAATCACTCTTATCATCATTCTTCGTCGCCCCCAGTATTTCTCTGACCTTGAGAGATGAGATAAAATTCTCTATTTTGTCCATAGTCTCAGCTGGAAATCCTTCTTTGGGTGTCTCAAGAGGCGTTCTGTCGTTTTTATGGCCTTTAGAGTGACTGGAATTGTTGGTTCTTTACTCAAATTGAAAGTCAATTTTGGGGAAAAAAAGGTCCTTGAATTGTCTGTAGTCTTAAAGTCAAGAGCAGGGAAAGCGAAAGAGGTTTGCTTGTGCCACTAAATCGACATGCAAGCGACGCTTTAAGATTGATTTTCGTGGTTTACAATCGCTAAATCGAAAGAAGATTAGAAAAATATAGTTGTGATATTTACCGGTCAAGCGTCAACTCTTCCAGTTGATTCAAGTCACACGCAATGTACTCCAGGGAAGCGTCTGTTATTCTGGGACACCAGGACAAGTCGAGTGCGCGCAGCTTCTGCAGATTCTCCGCTATCAGCTCGACGCCGTCGTCCGTGACTTTGCTGCAGCCGGAGAGTGACAAGACGGTGAGATGCGGCAGCGAATGGACTGTTGGGAGAAGAAAGAGGGACAATTTAATTGTGACGCCGAATTGCCATAGCAAAATGAGCTCGAAGACGTCGATGTAATTCACTTTGTGCCAATTTGCACGGCAATTTTCGCGGTGAGCAAATCAAATTAACATTTCATAGAGTGACTGAGGCTTTGAGAGGAAATTGATCGCGCTGTGGAGGCGCCTGGTGCTCCACCTGTTTTTCTCATCCTTGCGAAACTCACTGTGTCTCTCTTGCCCACTTGATAAACATGATTTTGTTGACTCATGTGCACACATATTTTGCAACGAAGACGATAAATTTAATGCAACTTCGTCACTTAATTAACATTTCACGTTATTGTTTGTCGCTGACAATGTCAGACTATATCCACCCTTATTGTGTTATCTTTGCCAAAATTTCACGTGTTGTTTGCTGAAGGCACTGAGCGGAAATGAGTGGAAAGAAATATTTATCTAATTTTGCAAATAGACAGATTTCAGTGAGCGATGCTATAAAAATACATGTCAGCTTTTGGCAGGGAGCCTGAGAGAGTGTAAAAAAAGGGCCAAAAGGTGCAACTTTCATTGCCAATTTCTCTATTAAAGAGCTATTTAAAGTGACCGTAAAGATGCATAATTTGGCTCAAAATATTGATTTACGGTCAGTTATAAATAGCGATGAATTTTCATTCTTGCAAATGAAAGCACTTTTCATTCATACACCGTGGAAATGCGTGGGATCAGAATAAATTTGCAGGTGGAAGTATTAAAAAGTATCCCGAGGGCGTTTTCCTCTGCTATTTATGTATGGCACTTTTCCATAAATTTCCTGTCTATTTTTAGCCCATCAATTGTTGTGTAACTTTATAGTGAGAGTTCTTAAGCGATTTTTTTCTCGTGATTTGAGATGGATTTTTGGGGGCAAAAATATTATCCGCAAATTGGCGGAATGCAAATCTCACCAATGTTGACGATGCCGTGGTTTGTGAGCTCCCAACACGACTGCAGTCTGAGGATGCTGAGGCTGTGGCTCTGCTTGGGCGAGAAGTATCCCAGAGCGGCGTCCGTGACGTGATAAGCCTGCAACGGGAGATGAATTCAATATTCACTGGGCTCCTGTATGAGTGAATGGACGATGATTGATTAGTGCACTCGGCCAGATGGATAATTCACCTGCAGGGAGAACTCGTAGAGCGATGGAAGCAGCTGTGCCACGGCGCCCACCGCCTCGTCCGCGATGTTGATGCAGTCCGCCAGCGACAGTGACACTATCCTGGGTGTGAGGCATGCCCACAGGCCGGCCTCGGTGACCTCATTGCAGCCGGCCAGCTCCAGCTCAAAGAGGCTCTGAAACGGACAAAAAGCACTCTTCAATGTCCTGCAAAAGCATAAATAGCCGTCAGTCAGACTGTCCGACGGATAGTTTTAGTATTAGTTGAGCCTCGAATCCAGGGACGCAATTTCACTCCTGCAAATTGCCCCACAAGTGGCCAGTGGATTTGTGCACAATGTCGCTTCGGAACTGAAGCCTCTTCAGTGACCCCACGGGATGAGATATTGATCCGTGCGGGCATTATGAAGATAAATACCAGAATGGGGGACTTTCACAAGGCTTCCAGTGCGATTAAACGTATAGAGAGGACAAAAATTGAGTTCCACTCTCGTATTTACTCAAATCCCCAATTAACTTGATGTCGCTCGGGCTTCACGAATATGTTGTATGAGTTAGTATGGTATTGAAAAATCAGGCTTAAGGGAACGAAATGATTAATTCCCCGATAAAAAATATTGTTTGTCACTGCTTTTTCATCATCAGTAAAATGTCATTTGGAACATATTTACTTTCAACGATACAAAAAGCTAAAATGATGACTTCAACAGTGCAATCAAATTCATAGCAGGTCTAATATTAATCTATATATTTACATTTTTGTTCTCTTCATCGATTACCTTCCGTGGCGAATAAAATTCATGCTTTTGAACAGCAATTTGGAGAATGTTTAAGGTAGGGTTGAAGGATAACTCTAAAATAAGTGAGAAAACACTAAACTATTTGCTTGAAGAAAAGAGTTTTCTGGATATTCCGAGATATTCTGTTTCATGTCAACCGTTGAGTTAACTTGAGAGTCAAAAGGTGGTGAAGATTCACATTTTCTGGCCAACAAGATAGCAGAGTCAATCCAACTGAAAGTGAATAGTGTCATATTTTCCCAGTGAAATTTCACACTGCTTATAACGAGGTGTTACTTATAGTGGGTGTGTGGGTGGGAACTTTTGTCACGATGCAGTCAATAGCCACGCTGAAGACGAGAAAGAGTGTGAAAAGTGGCGCAGAAGGCAAAAATAAATCCTCACTGTGTCACAGGGATTGCGAAGAGCACCGCTCTCTTTACATTCAGACCAAAGCACTCGGGATTACCGTGGAGATCCTTGGCTGATATTATTTTTCCAATTTCCCCCGCAAGTCTGTGCACAGTCAATTCGCATGACCCACTTTCGTCAACGCATAGCCTTTACACACGACTGGAGGACCTCAGCTCATTAATGCATACTCTCTAAAGTCTCAAGAGTGGGAGTCTGTTTTACCAAACATGACTCTCATTAACCCCTTTCCCTCCCTGGCATGTCTCTGTCGTATGTTTTCCCCACCGCAGAGACACACACACATACACTCTGTGAATCCTTCAGCTTCAATGGCAGGCAAATTTCTCATGGTAATAATGGCAAAATTACCTTATAGTCAGGGTGGAAATAAATTCAATTACTCTCTTCGCCACCCGCTTATTATGTTGAATTTATTCGCCACATTAGCGAACAATATCGCATGGAAAATTCACCTTTCAATTCAACATTTTGACATTGATTGGAGAATTTGAGCTCTAGTCAAACCAAGTACAGTCTTGAGTAATTACTTTCACCCTGGGTGACGTGAGAGCGACGAGCTTCACGTGAAAATGATACTACAAGAGATGCAAAACCACATTTACTACTTCACCGGATCCGTGAGAGCAAATGAAAATTAATATTTCTGTTATATAATCGCATAAAAGCTCACTAACTGACATGTATCTTGAAATTTTGGCAGAGAATTTTCAGAATTTTAGAAGTCACAAATCATCTTATGAGCAAGTTCGTCGCATGCCAATCCTTAAATGTAAAGTTATCCGTGTTGAATTTAATCTTTTATTCATGGGAAATTCTTGTGCTGCCAGACGATGCAGTTACAGTGAATTTTTCCTATAAATCATGAGTTTTCTCGCCTCTGGAAGATGAATATTCCAAAGACAAAGGAACTTCATGCCCTGAAGTTAATTTCATATCTCTGCAGGAGTTTCAATTGCAAATTCATAGGAAGTTATACAACTTCTTAGAGGACATTGTCAAATATCTTGCAGGCCGGCTGTTGGCATTATTCTGGGTGGCATTTATCTGCACCTTTCTGAATGTTCCACATGCCCGTGTCGCCCACGCTCTTCTCGCATGCCTCTAAAAATACCGCATCAGCAAAAATTCCTCCATTGATGAAGTGTTGATTTTCCAATGTTGACGAATTTATGACGATGATATGCGGTGGGAAAAGGCGAGAAAAACGCCACCAAACATCAATTAGTGACTAAACGTGGTTTGTCACTCACAATTTTCGCTTATCAGCCTCGCATATCCGGAAAATTCTACGCCGTGTAATTCACAAGCTGATAAAATCGATCTGGGAAATATTTTATTGCGGTGTTTGTAGAAGTCATTTACCACAAATTGCTCTTCAGATTATCTCAGTATTTATTGATGGAGAAAAAAAACTCAAGACTTCTTGGCAGAAACCTTAAAGAGTCTTGCGTTGTGGCTTAAGAAAGGGCTGAAATAGTGGCGAAAGTTGAATTTTCAGGAGAATGTCAACACGAGAACGAATGTTAATTTGACCTGGAAAGCTAATCATGGTCGCAATTGTGGTTCATTTGCGTGATTTATTATAATAAACGTATTTATTATGCCTTTACGCGTTGTTGTTTGCTCTCTAAGCGAATGGGAAAAATCCCTTTCCGGCATCGGACATTGAGCACAACCCATGGAAATGCACTAACAACGTGGGACCACATTAACCTGAGTTGCTTGTGAAGGGAATCGACAAAGGCAGCTCAGCTTGACGACACATGAGAAGGTGTTTCCGAGAATAACCTGGAAGCATGTGTATATGTTGTGTGGTGATGTGTGCATATGTTGAAATTAATATTTGATATCTCGGTTTAGTGCAGACGACACTCAAAGTGGGAGGTAAAAGTTGAGGAATATTGTGTGGTTTCCTCCAAGAGAGAATCAACAATCATGCAGAATGCCATTTTGAGAAGAAGCAATTTCTGAGTACCCACAAATTTATTGAATTACGGATTATATTATTCTCATAGTTGTAATATTCTCTCATTTAAAATGATTATGAAAGGATTTTCTCGACATAGCAGAGTCAAAAGGAATGTTCAAAATTGTGATTTGAGTTTTCAATTAAAATTGCAAACTCAATTAGATTCCGACAAAGTTTGCTAATAATATTATATCGTTTTGATGTCATTTTATTAATTAGCACAGAAGATGGATTAATAATAAGATCATCTCATGAACGTGTGAGAAAAGGTTTAAAAAAAAACTGGGCGGGGCATGCGAATGGGCGGAGCGTAAACCCGATACACGCGTTCGAGAACATTGTGCACTTCTGACGATACTCAATCATTCTGAATTTCCGCACCGAACTTTCCACTTTTATTATTGATTTGTCATGCGAATGTAGTTTCTGCATAAACTTTTCTTTGACAAATTCTTCCCCAAGCGAAAATGGACTTTTCCGATGGCAAATTTTGCTGTTTATTTTTTGCTCAAGTTTGGCTGTATTTAAATAATCCATTTAGTTCTGCGTGTCTCTCGTTCAATAACGCAAAAAAATGCTTTCACAACTTTTACAAGAGGAATGAACAAAGGGAAAATCGATATTTTGGCAATATTTCTGTACTCATGCCTTCAATACATTGTGATTTTTTATTCATTTTATGTGTTTATGCCGTTTATAGGTTGAATGGGCCAAAGGAAAATCTGCGTGATTCAATTCTTGTTGTTCTCTTTCTCTCTCTATCTTTTCGGGGTGACTTTCGGGAATGGAGAACACATGATAAAACTCAATTTCTGCCAATGATTTTGCGTGTGTGTGCGGAAAAATTAAAACCTCATTCAGTACAATATTTTCCTTACAACCAATTTATCTATTTTCATTGAAAATATTTACACGCGGTTTTCCAGTTTCCGCTGTGTGGAGGAACAGCGAATGGAGAATGTGAATATTGTGGTTTAGGGTGGGAAAAGAGAGAATTGGAAAAATAATTGGATTTATTGAATTATGAGTTTGAACAGTTTTACAATTAATTTACGTGAAACCCGAAAACTTTTATTCCTTTATCACAATGATGGTGCATCGCTTTTCCTCTCTATTTGTTGTACAGATGAATGTTGCACACAGTAGTTAAAAAATAATTAATTAAAATTTTATTTAGAAATATTTCTTCTCATTGTGTTCCAAGCAATTTGTAGACTTAACGAGGTGTTTTTTTCTGCATTTTCCATGGCGCTCTGTCATCACTTCACTTAATCAAAAATGTTCTGTTTGAAATGCCATTCAAGTAAAAAAAAAGAAGCTTACGAAGAAAATTTACACAAAAGAGACATCAAATAATGAAACATTCCTTGAGTGAGCGTCACTCTAGACTCAATTACTTTTCATCGATGGAGCTTTTTATGATGTTTCATTCTCGCTTCGGAAAACTCAATATAATGAATTATTTGGCACGCAAGAATGTCCTTTGGCAGCAATCTCACATCCAGGAATATTGCATTGAATGGTGTTGTGAATTTCATCTGAAAACGGGACAAGGTTGCTCAAAGTACTGCACGAGAGAATGACGGTATTTCTATGGGGAGAATTCTTTGTATGATTTCTCTATATGGCATTCCGATGAAGAATTCTACCAAGATTGAAAAATTATTTTATCTCTATGGAATTGTACACCTTGTGCAACACAGAAAGAAGAGGGTGAGAAATGAGAAAATGTTGTTTATCAGTGGAAAACATTTCATTTGTATTTATACATCTTTCAACATTCTACTTGCATAAAGTGAAACGAGGCGTGGAATATACATTCCGTGAAGTCAAAAGGACGCGCCGCGTGTGAGGAGACTGTGATGTTTTACTTGGAAATGGGAATTGATACTTCTCCATGGAAAATCTAATATCCTCCTCGTCATGGCGACCAGAGGTGTATCTCCACTAGCAATCTGCTGCCTTAAAAATAACAACCTCCAACCCAGAATCCGGTGGAGACACGCAATGACATTTGCTATATTCTACATAAAGAGATGTTGAGGGAGAAGTCCGCGTGGAGAGAGAAATTCTTTGAAAGACAAACAGTATAGTTTCACTGCAGGTTTATTGAGGATGCGCTTGAGTGCTTCGGTTATTTTAATTGGCAATTAAATCCAATAACTGGAATTTAACAACCTCTGACATTCTGTTCACTTCACCGAATGCAATTTATTCCAGCGTGAAAATAGACACTGAATCTCACTGAGAATTGCCAGAAACTTCTCAAGGATCAAATTGAGGGTAACTTAAAATTCATCAAAACTCATCCGGAATACGAAAAGGAGAAAAATAGTCGAATTCATTGCTCCTTTAAGCGGCTTTACGGTGTTCTATATGCATGTGAAAAGGCAGCTTTCCCGACGCTTTTGGGGTCTGGCAGGAAAGGTCAATGGTTTATTTATTTACTTTCAGAGTCGTGCGAGTGAATTTTTTATTACAAACCAGCACTCACACAACACTTCATCTATTTTCGCCAAAGGTGTTTCCCTCGCACCTCTTGTGATGGGTGTAAATCTAAAGGACGATGACTCAAAAGGGCCAAAAGTAAACCTTAGAAACTTCAATTGGGATTCTATTGATTCGTGCACGTGTTGTGGCTTCACCATTCCGCAAGAGTTCATTTAATACTCTCGCCAATACTTAATGTCAGTCACTTGCCCAGGAGAGTTGAGCATTTTGGCTATATATCAAGAATTAAGGACGCCTAAGTGCTGTGCTAATGTCTCTGTGCATATACGAAGTAAGAGACACGGCGACAAGATGCCAATTAACGATATTTTGGAGCACATCAGAGTACACAAATCATTGAGAAAACTATCAACAAACTTTAGATGAATTACATCAGACATCTGAAGAGTTTGTTGGTAATTCAGGACATCGGAAGAGTGACTTTCACATAAGGATAGAGGAGAAAATTTGTGCAGATGCTCTTTTGCATACAGTAAAAATCAGTATAATGTTAATAGAGTGATTTTTCCATCAATCAACCTTACTCAGTGATTCGTAATTCTCCTCTTTAGTCATTCACCCTGTTTAATTTCCTAGAATTGATTAATGTGGATAAAATATTTACTAGACAAGCCCAACGACTCTCGAGGCATTAACTCGTCCCACTCAGAATCGCGAAAACGACAGAGTAATTAAAATTGACATGATATCCGACATAATATGTAGGATATTACCATCAGACCTCATATTTCTCAAGTGGCAATCCTGAGAATGCTTCTCAATGAATAAATCCCTGGATGTTTACTGTGAGACTTTCCGTCCCATTTGAGGCCAATTACCGAAAAACGGTGTTGAGAAACAGTGAAAAGGCGTAATAGCTGAATAAATTTCTCTCTCTCTCCCTCTGATTTAAGTCACTCAATAATGCATTAGCCCAAAAATGCGTGCTCCACACACACACAACATACACACAAGCGTCATGCGGATGAAGATAAATTGGCCGAGAGATAGAATTGGGGTGACCAAAATTTCGCGAGTGATAAACCTCTTTGTGTTCACTGTGCAATGTTGGCACTTTGCCGGCAGTTTCTGTGCATTTGCCACTTTGTCTGGCCCTTTTCGCATGGCCTGAAATAACATGCATTGCCATCAGGAAGTCACGGTGCAGATGGAAAAGTTACTGGGTGAATTCTTCAAAAGCTCAAATATTTCCCCCGCGGAGCTTTCGCCGAAATAGCCTGGCGGCCAGAAATAGCCCAGCAGAGTGGTTCTTACCTAATTGGACTCACCCACACACACACACGCGTGACAGAGAGATAATTCCGCATTAAAGACCCATTTGAGCCACCCTTCGCGAGTGCGTCAGTGGTGAGCTTTCACGCTAAATACCAGCCCTGTTTCCCACTCTAATAGCCGGATTACGGCACACTCAATGAAAGCTCCCCGTAGCCGAAGGGGTGGAAGTGAAACTTCGTTTGCCTATGCTTCCAATCCGGCCACCATGGAAACAGACTCGAGGCCAGGAGACAATTTTCACCAGCAAGCTGAGCTGGCTGACTAACAAGGTTTTAGTGTTGTCGCTTCGCTAAACTAATGCGCGAATGCAAAGCTTTTGATATTATCAGCCAATGCATACTTAACTTTTAATAGGCAATTATTTTAATGACACGAAAACTTTTAATTAGGCTGTCGGATGAAAAACAAATTTACCAAAGCTGTGAAAATCATGAAGAATTCATCAAATCGATTGTTCGATATAAATGTGAATTCTATTAATATTTGCAACAGCTAAAATGCATTTTTTAACGATACATATAACATCCCACTTGTGTGATTGTAGTCCGTAAATTATATATTAAATGTAATCTACTTTAATGATCTTTTACCACTTCCCTGAACGCTTCCTTGAGCTGATATATGTACCTTTGTCTTGTAATTTGAATAATAGTGATTGAAAAAAGAAAACATCCCTGACCGAAAGTTAGGGATTGCCTCAGTTAAGAGGCTTTCAAATTGATGTAAGAGAATTTTAGAGGGCAGAATTGACTTATAAACAACATAATCATAACTAGAAATTGTCGATGAAAGGAGTTGCAGCTTTTCCACTGCACTTAGCAAGAATAACAGTGCGAAACCACACAACGCTTTGTTCCTTCTTGCTCAATTGTTCTCAGGCTCCGAGGATACAGAGACTCGTCTGCAGAATCCCACATAATACACAATCTCCGTGTTTGCTAACACTGCCTCAGGGGGAGAGCAGAATCTTTTCATGCACGGAGTGTGTGTACAGGTGTTTTTCCCTTTCAAATGACTCACAAAACAGGGCAAGTCATGGGGAGATTATCACAAGTTTGCGGAGAGCAAAGAGGCGGGCCTCACCTGAAGGTGGTCCAGAAGTGCCTCGAGTCCTCGGTCGCTGACGGAGGAGCACCGGAGGCTGAGGGAGTGGATGTGCTTGGAGGCGAGCGGGAAGGAGTGCACGATGTCCAGGGCGTCCTCATCGGTGGCGCCCAGGAGACAGATGGCATGGAAGCCTCGCCGGATGAGAGAATTGTACAGCTTCACGCGATCCTGGCCGCTGGCCTGGCGCAGTTCACGGCTCTGCAGCACCGGCAGCAAGCCCGACCAGAAGCGCGGTCCGCGGTACAGAACGTCCCGCCAGCGCTGGCACACCTGGGCCAGGACGCAGCGCTCCAGTGGACTGAAGTAGAGGAAGAAGCGGCCCAGGAAGCGCTCGTCCATGAGCAGTTGCTCCACGGTGAGAATGGGAGGCGCTGGAGGGCTTTTCCGTGCCGCTTGGGGAGTTCCCGTGTGGCTGGTCGACATTGGAGCTCCTTTGCCCACGCTCAGCTTCATGGCGGCCATGCGGGAGGGCTTCTCGGGCGCGCCCAGGGAGTTGGCGGACGCGTGACCGGCGCTACTCCCGCCACACAGGACGTTCGTGACCCGCTCCATCACGCTCGCCTTGGCGCCGTGGTGTTTCCGCAGCCCGAGGCCGTTGATGCGCTTCGACAGCTCGGCAGACGCGCGCTCAACGACTCCTTGAGCCGAGATTGAGGACATCTTTATCATCAACTCGCGTCCTCGTCACTCATTCATGGTTTAAAAGCAATCTGGAGACACTTTCAGGATCTAAATTTGGTGTTGGAATGATTTATTATGTGATTGAAGTATTTCATCAACTTTGTAATTAATCTTTGATAAATATTCAAATATCTTCATTGTGAAAATATTGATGTTTTTTTTACAATAGTCAGAAAAGCAAACTACTTTTATATACAAATTTTGCACATGAGCGTGAATAAATTTATGATTCTTTAACAAATGTTTCGATGGAAACTTTTCACTTCTCGCAAAACTAATTAACTTATTAGTAAACTTGAGTGAAAGGTAAAATATGGAATTCTAATCATTTAATTAACGATATGAAGATTGAATGTGGAACATGTGTATGTAAACGATGTAAACATTGAACTACTCTGCCAAATTGGCACATTAGAAATGTTCCATTTGCAGAATATTTTCGCTCTCGTTTTGTGCAAATAAGCTTTAAATGTAAATTCACATATCAAAAAGTTTAAATTGCAAATCAATATCCAATTAGCACATTTGTGTGCATTTGTGTTCAACAAACAAGGTTATTCTTCACGATTTTCCGCAGAATAATAGTTTCAATCGTTTAAACTTTAAATCAACTTCTTTCCGTTTTCATCGACTAACGTGTAAACATTGAAAGTGTTAAAGAAATGATTTCAATTGATGTCTCCTCAAGTAAACTTTGTGCCGAGAAGTAATTCGACACTATTGTTCTCGTGTAAGAATGACTTTTGGTGAAAAAAAAAACAGAGAAAATCGATTTCTGTGGCTCTTTTTTCTTGTACAAAAACACACCATTCACTGGAAAGGTTCACGTTTTTCCTCGCAAAGACCAGAATTTTTTGACTAAACCACCGAATTGGCCCAACTCGTAACTTGGCCTCACGCTCTATGTTTTCACTCCTCACCGCACAGAATCCGAATCTTTTTGTTTAGGGAATTGAGCTCAAAAAAGAGGGGCGAATTACAAATGTTACCACAATTGTGCAAGAACAAAAATTGCGAAACAAGAACTTTTCACCGTGGGCACAAAACACCATACAATGTTTATGCGTTCAGTGTGGAAAATTGCGCCAAAACAAGGTGTATTCACGGAAAAGTCGCCCTTCTGTCCAGAAAACCGCGCGTAACAGTCCTTTGTCGGGCACTTTTGCGGGGTGGCTGAAAATGGTTGAGTTTGTGTTCATGTGTGTTGAAACACCGCGCGAAAAGACGCTTTCTCACGAGCTTTTCCCAACTGACACTGTGCGAGTTTCCAATTGTGCGGATGTCACGGCGCCTCGGTGGACTTTTCCTGCGCATCCGCACGATTGTCGCCCGAGTGTCGCCCGAGGGGCGTCTCGTGGCGTGCAGCGGGGCGGAGGCGCAGTGGAAAACTCGTGGTACAACACCATCAGCCAGAGTGCGACAGAGAGACCACGACTGCTTAACACTCGAACACATTGTTCAAGTGAGTTTTCCATCGCGTCATCTTCCTCGGATTCCCTCATGATTTCGCCCACAATTCAGTTAATATTAATTCTATTCTTCTATTTCTCCGGCGTTCGTTGACTTGGGGAGAATTTTGATAGGTTACTTTTATAGACTTTCAGATGGGGACAAAGAATTTTCTGGTTCTGACTCTCACTAGACGCACTGGCGACATTTATCCGCAACGGTTGAGGGAGAAAAAGAAAAGTGTGGCGCAAACAGAGTAGAAAAAATTCTGGACTAGAGATTGTGGACGAGGATAATGGTTACTATTCGCTTTCATTGCTCCTCCCACTCTGATGCCACGCCCATCAACTAACATATTGTCAGTTTAACATTGCTTTCTTATGGCTTTAATAATGTTTTTACACTATTTTTTTTAATACATTTCAGTGGAAAATGGATTCAAAAGTGATTTGTCAGAAAATGTTGTGTGTTTTTTTTCCATTTTAACAACGCTTTGTCTAACCCTCTGAGTATTTTGATTATTATATCGAGGGCACTTGTTAAGAATTATGGTCGGACATCAATTCTTGGTCATTACACGTTAAGCAACACGGTATTTTATTCATCATAATCGATTTCTTGTAAATTCATTTTTCCTTCGATGTCTAAATGGATGAAGGCTGGCAGGATAATTGCTCATCAACTAGGAAATGTTGATAGAAATTGTACCCCAAGCTTTGCATGATAATCCATATAGAGCTGCTTTGCGTCTCCAAGGCCTCATTCATCTCAATTTCCGTCAAAACTCTCCCATACCTGTGTGCACTCATGAGAAAATCAATACAAGATGCTTATCTCTATCTGTCATCTATGGCCTTGCCTCTTCTGCTGCAAGCCATCCAGCGTTACTCCATTGAATTTATGTAGTGCAATTGAGTGGTTACAAAGTGGCTCCTTGCTCTCCCTCAGCGCCGACGCATGCGTCCCTCCTGCTGGCGCCGCCAAGATTTTGTGCAATCCGACCCCGCCGGAGAACATGACGTCATCCTGGAGACAAAACCACAAGCCACAAGCCGAAGATGCCATTATGCAGCCTCTCAAGGCGCTGAATTATTCCTCTTTCTCGCATATCAGGAGGACAATTCGCTGGTCGAATGCAGTCAATCAACCTTTCTTGATCAGTGAAGAAACGTTACTTTCAATGCACGCTTTTATTTAATTGGGCAAAGAGCCACGAATGGATATTTTCAGGACATGTGCGTTCCCGCCCATTTACTTTTATGCACTCTCTAACATGTTCTCATCCCAACAATCCTATATTTTACTGCTTATCTGCACAAAATCCCCTGTTGTCTCTTCCTCATCGGCGGCATTACCGTGTTTTGTCGCTGCAATAAAAACAGCATCTGTGCCAAGATTAAGCAGTGGCTGATTTATTTGCAGCATCTGATTAATCTTAATTTGTTGACACATTTCACAGAGATTCCTCATTTGTTCGCAACACAGGTTAATATTTTTCTACACGGTGTCTCACATTTCACAACTACAATCCTCTAACTATCAGATCATGTGGCCTTCTTGGCGTCATCGAAGTCTCCCTTCTCACATCGGCCGCAGCATCCGTTGCCGGCGATGCGTGCGCAGCCCTCCTGCGGATCCTCCGGCTTGAAGTTGGGCGTCCAGCGTCCCAGGCTCTGCGACGCATAGAAGTCCATCGGGTAGGCGTCCCTCGAGTCGCCCCCGCAACGCCACTGGGCGTCGCCAAGCGCCACGGAGAACTCGTAGGGCGTCAGGAGGGGCTTCGCGAACGCTGAGCCCCAGTCGATAGACAATCGTGGACAGGCGACCTGGAAATGCATCGAATTTTCCAATTAATCCTCCATATATTTACTGCTTGACCAATCAAATTGCTCATTATGCCCACAATTTAAGCAGGAATTAATCATGAAGTACGATAAATTGCTGTGCTATTGAAGTGAATGGAAAATGCAAGGCAAACAAATACAATTTTTTGAACACCACGACTTTAATAATAAATTGAATGGATAGTGATTCACTGTCAAGAGAAAAATATTGCGTTTTTTGCATTAAGCATTCAATTTGGATGCCAGGAATGGGATTTTTTGGCGCCTAAAGTGTGAAATAATAATACTTTTATCGTAATTTTTAACCCTGTTTTTTGTTTATGACTAATTTCTTGATTAATTCGTCACATTTGCATAATCGGCAGAAGACCAAAAATAAATCTAGGTCACCAAATTTATTCCACAATATTTCCTCCTTTCAATGTTTCCAGGAAAAACCATATTAATGTGCAAATAGTTTTTATGGATTTCACGAAAATGGAAATTCTCACCTCGTCAACTGTAATTAAATTGTGTTCAAAAGGTCTTTTTTGTGCTTATGAAAAATGCAATTTCCATTTCAAATCTATCTTTAAAATCATTAAAAACTACTCAATAAGTCGTCAGGGCAAGAATTTCTCAGAATTTTACCTGAACAAAGGCGTCAATGTCCGTGAAGAGTTTGAGCTTGCTGGGGAAGATTTCGGACAGCAAAATGATGACAGACTCCTTGTCCAGCTGCTTCAGTCTTTTCTGCAGATGCTCCAGCACCTTTGTGGAGCCCTGGCGACCGAGTGTGCCCAGGATCAGACCGAATTTCCTGCCACTTCTCGCCTGTTCGATGGCTTTCAGTCGCGTTTGCCGCATTTCAGCATGATGATACTTCTCCATGGTGAACTTCTTCTCGTACGGATCGTACTTGAAGGCCTCCACGGAGGGATTGGCGATCATAGCGGCCTCCAGGTGGAAGCGACCGTCGCCCAAATAGATGAGGCAGTTGCAAGTGTCCGGAAGCTTGGGCGCTGTGCATCCCAGGATCTCTCCGGGACTCAGAGGTCGCGACTGAGGCACCGTGACTGTGAAGCCAGCCTCACGAAGGTGATTAGCCGCCGCGTGAAGGGTCGTGACGAACTGAATCGTGCTCACGAGGGCCAGATGCTTGTCCGTGGGGAAGTTGGCCTTCACGCTGTCCACGAAGTGCAAGGCGTCGATCTTGATGTCCACGAAGACGTACAACACGCGAATGCCAGTCATGCGGTCCACGGGGATGAGGCAGCTGTGACCGTAGTGCACTAGGAGATCAGCTCCGAGTGCCTTGGCCGTGAAATCGTCCACACAGCACGCACCATAAGTCACGTCGCCCATCACCACCACATCCGCGTCCGTGAAGCGCTCAATGATGTCGCACAGGACAAGACTGAACACCAGCAAGCCCTCCGGAAGCTGCAGCGCCACTCGCCTGGCTTTCGTCTCCCGCACGCGCCAGATTGTCTTGTGCAGCTCAAAATTGTAATTCCTCGGCAGGGCTTCAATGGCAGCGTTCAGCTCCACATTCGCCAAGATTTCCTGTGGAATTTTGTTGAGTGTCCTCGATGTGGTGGGCTTGAATACCCTCCGCACAGGCTTCGCCTTCACCACCACGACCCCATTCGCGTTTTCCACTTGCATTCTGTGAAGTGCCTTTGTTGTCTTCTCAGAACACCATTGTTCACTTCGCAATGCAATTTACGTGCGAAATTTCACCTGAATTGTCTGCACTTCACTGAAAACTACCTCTTTGGAATGCACTCAACCACTTCTCGCTGAAGAATAAGAGTTCTGACCAGTGGAAGCACTCGAAAAAGCCTGGAGAAAAACGTGGTCAAAACACCACGTTTATTTTTCAAATGTGACACAGCTCTGACGTTCTACCACTATTTTGTCACGTACGCCACGAGTTTATGGCAAGTGGTGACGTCACGAGTGGAGGGGAAATTGATATTCTCCTCATTCCACGCACAGTGGCGTAGCATGAACATATTTCACGCACTTCACAGACAACACGATAAATCCGTTTGGAGGAAAACGTAGAGAAGAATGGTTCCTTAGCCAATGAATAGTTGATGTTCAAACAATCCCACATCACTGACTCTCCCACTCCTCGCTCTCCTCCTTCCTCCACTTTATAGCGTGGAGTGCTATAAAAGAGCGACAAATTCAAACTGAGCAACATTTTGTAGTTCAACGGACCGGCTCACGTGTTCTCCATGCAAACAATCGATAAATTATTAATTTCCCCCACAATTCAGCATACGATTTTCCACTTACCTAATAATGCGGCGCTACGTGGGGCCGTTCATGGTGCGATTGTGTACAAATGAGGTTGAAAATTAGATTTGATCCACACCTAAAATAGGAGCGAATGTCCTCGGTATTGTGCCTACGATTGTGTATAGCAATTTGTTGCTCCACTCCGAGGGGCTCTGGAAAATTCAATTTCCTCCTCGTCCTCGTCTTCCTATTCTGTTCTCGCAATAAAATGATTGACATCACAGCCGAATGGAATTGATTATTGAGCATTTTTATCTGTTTCGTGGGGGTGAAATGTCTCCTAAAAGAGAAACAATAACGAATTGTGAGGCCTTTGGGTGGATGACAAAGAAAATATATATTTCTTATATCGTTGCGGCTTCACTGTGCCCCTTTTCCTTAAGCTCCCATCAGAGGTATTGTTGTGTGATTGTGGAGCATAACAATATGCTGTCAATTTCCACTCGACAAAAAACACGAGGGGCAATGGAAAGGGTTGAAAGCTAAATATTTCTTCTGAAGCTGCGCTTGGGCGGTGGGTGGACTCGTAAAAATCCGCCAAAATTGCTGGGGAACTCGCGGGCTTTCGCTTGTAGTTGTGAAACAACAAAAATACACCATTATCGCTGCGCAGAGTTGAAAGCACAAGAGAAGGAGTGTTGGATTTATGCTGTTAATTGATGATGGAAGTGCATGGCAATTGCACTGTGACGCTCATGGTGATGAGGAAGTTGCCAATTGGGAGGGATTTTTCACTGACTAAAGCACAGCTTTGTGAGTCCGGAATCTCTCATCTATCTCTGTGGGCGGGAACAGCTCGACGGAGGTGCGCTCGAGAAGGAGCGGGTGAGCCGTTGGGAAGGAGAGCCACTGTGTGACGACATCGCAGCTTGTCGCCTGGAATTATTTTCGTCACGGACCTCGCAGTCACCAGCGCGAATCCGTGGTGAGCAGACGAGCCGGATGGAGATCCAGTATGTGTACCAGAAGGAGCGGCGCGACTTCGGGAAGCAGTGCAGCTTCGCGGACAAGAATGAGCTGGTGTTCTCGGAGGGGCCCAATCGGGCGGCCTTCAAGGAGTTCATCCTGCGCAACCCGATGGACCGCGAGACGCAGAAGAGCCGCCAGATGTCCGCCAGCGAGGCCAACACGGAGCGCGCCGTGTTCGAGCACAAGGGCGTCAATCACACGGAGGGTGGCTGGCCCAAGGACGTGAGCATGGCCGATCCCGAGCAGACGGTGCGCTACAAGAGGAAGATCGAGAAGGACGAGTCCTACATCGTCCAAGTGATGAGTCTCACGAAGGTGAGCCCACCCCCAATTTGTGGTTTTGTTTTGTCGATAAAAGTCATCCTTCTCTCTCGGTGTCTTCCGCCTTCCGCGGGGACACGGCAAGAGGAATTAGATGCACTCCGCCCCGTCACAAATACACCCGTCCGCGGAAGAGTAATTATAAAATTTATTAAGACATCCCCGACATTCCCCCATTGTTGACATGCAAAGCGGGAACTTTTTGCACACAAAAAGAAGTCCACAGTCACGAACTTGGCGTGTTGGGAGAAATTACAAAGTTTTCCTGCTTTCTTTTCGCCCAGCCAATGGAGCACTGCATCTTCCAGAACAATGCTGTAAATATCTATGAGAATTACTTTGACGATCTCGAACCTGCGCCGCTCGTCGAGAAGTGCAACTCGAGGACAGTGAATGTCTACAGGGATCCTTCATCCATTCCGGTACGCATTGCCAATTGATCAGGAAGCAGAAGATCTCATTAGTTCTCTTCTCCAGAGGAACGTGACCCACTTGTCGTGGTCTCCGGACTCTGGGAAGCTGGCTGTGTCGCACTGCAACAGAGATTTCCACGAGGACAGATGCTCACAGTCCAAGAATTCCTACATTTGGGAGATTGAGAATCCCAACGCGCCTCTGCAGACTTTCGAGCCGCCGAGTCCCATCGTGTGTCTGGAGTACAACCAGAAGGATCCCTCGAGCCTCGTGAGCGGCATGTTCTCCGGCCAAGTGGCCGGCTGGGACATGCGGCACGGGAAAAAGCCCATCTCGGTCACAGATCGCGAAGTCAGTCATCGAGATCCTGTGAATTCTGTGCTCTGGATCAACTCCAAGAGTGGAACGGAGTTCTTCTCGGGCAGCTCGGACGGACAGGTGATCTGGTGGGACACGAGGAAGCTCACTGAGCCCCTGGATCGTCTCCTTCTGGATCCCATCAAGACAGATGATCAGAATCTGGATCGGTCTTATGGCTGTTCCGTGCTTGAATACGAGACAACAATTCCCACGAGGTTCATGTGTGGAACGCAGCAGGGAATGCTCTTCTCGTGCAACAGAAAGGGAAAGACGCCCAGTGAGAAGATTAACATTCGTGTAAGTGCTTGGAGAATTGATTTATTCGCCGCTTCTATCGATTGTGACCTTTTCATTCCAGATCATGTGCCACTTGGGACCAATTTACACGGTGGCCAGGAATCCGGCCTTCGTGAAGAACTTCCTCACCGTTGGCGACTGGACGGCGAAGATCTGGTCTGAGGACTGTCGCGAGAGTGCCATCATCTGGACGAAGAACCACTCCTGCCTCTTGACCGGCGGCGAGTGGAGTTCCACCAAGGTCTCAATGTTCTATATAACGCGCATGGACGGCGTCCTGGACGCCTGGGATCTGCTGCAGCAGCAAAACGATCCGGTGCTCAGCATCAAAGTCTGCGACGAGTCCATCCGCTCTTTGCGCTCGCACGAGGCAGGACGGCTGATCAGTGTGGGCAGTGAGAAGGGGGCCACATATCTGATAGAGGTCAGTGAGAACATGTCCTTCTCAACGCGCAACGACAAGCCCTTGTTCACGGCGATGCTGGATCGCGAGAGCAAGCGGGAGAAGATCCTGGAGGCGAAGCTGCGGGAGCTGAAATTGAAGGTGCGCGCTGCTCAGCGTCAGGAGGATGACACTGAGGAGGCCAAAGCGTCCCGCCTAGCTGCCATGGAGCGATCTTGCCAGCAGGCGCAAACTGACTACTTCAAGATGGTGGAGAAGATGAGATCTTCCAGGAATCCCGATCTCTATCCCTGTAAGTACGGCAGATTTTCTGCTAAGGCTGAAAGACATGAAGTGGAAAGCTTGGGATTTGGGAGGAATTTGAGATTCTTCAGCTGACCAGCTCTTTTCTCCTTTCCAGTCAGCGGTGATGAGGATGAGGAGACTGCGGACAGGTCGGAAGTGAGCCAGAAGGACACGGACACCAGCGAGAAACACTAGTTGGCGTCTCTAAGCAACCCACCCACCTTTTCACGAATTGCCTGTTTTGTTTCACACTCAGCGGCAGGTGTGAAAATTGATCAAACACCTCTGGAAAGATTCCCTCGAAGAGACCCTTAGTGAGCACTGGTGATTCTGCACAGCTCATCCCCATGAATAAGGAAGTGAAGGTGGTTGTGACGAAGACGCGGCGGGACTTGGGGCTGCCGTGCATCTTCCGGGATCGCGATAAGCTCGAGTGCCATGTGCCGTCGGAGGAGTTCCATCGGCGGGACTACATTATGGCGCCCGCGACCACCCGAGGTGTCCAGGCGTGCACACCGATGGGCCTGAGTGTGTGCAACACGGAGAATGTGGAGTACATCAGCAAGGGTATTCAGCACACGGAGGGCGGCTGGCCGAAGGACGTGAACAAGAATGACTCAGAACAGACGCAGAGGTACAGAAAAAAGATTGAACGCGATGAGGCCTATTCGCGGCAAGTGTTGTCCATGGCGCGCTCCATGGAGCACTTTGTGCAGCAGAACAACGCTCTCAACATCTACGAGTGCTTCTTCGAGGGCCTGGAAGTTATGGGCACGACTGGACAGTGCGACGCCCGGACTATCTTATCAGCGAAGGATCCCAGCGGAGAACACCGCGCGGTTAAGAGGCTGTCCTGGGCGCCTGAGCGCCAGGACGTCATTGCAGGCGCATACTGCTCGCTGTACGGCGATTCTGGCTCCCCTGAAGCCCTCATCTGGGACATCCGCAGCCCCAATGAGCCCCTGACTGTCCTCAATGCCTGGTCGCCGCCCAACTGCATCAAGTACAACTCCAAGGACTTCCACCTGATGATTGGCGGTCTGGTGAGCGGTCAAGTGGCGCAGTGGGACCCGCGCGTTGGTCACCAAGCCATGGCTTTGAGTCCTCGCGAAGTCAGTCACAGGGAATGCGTGACGGACGTTCTGTGGCTGTCGTCGAAGAACAACACGGAATTCTTCTCGGGCTCCTCGGATGGTCAAGTGCTGACGTGGGACGTCAGGCATCTGCGTGAGCCCATCGAGGAGCCGCTCATCATGGATCCCGAGAGACCGGATCAGCCCAGCCTGGAGCGTGCCGAGGGTGTGACCTTCCTGGAGTTCGAGGCCACGATTCCAACGCGATTCATGGTGGGCACTGAGAGAGGACACATCTTCAGTTGCAACAGGAAGGGCAAGACGTCAGCCGAGAAACTCCCTTTCAAGGTGAGATAGTTCAAATTCGCGCTTTTTCTGTGGGGAGAATTCTGGAAAAGTAATAATCGATTTTTACTTGAACACACTGAAATTCTAACTTTAGACCACAGTTAACAATTGAGTGATTGACGAGCCTGAGTGGCATTTGTCTTGCAGTACATGGCTCACTGTGGACCGATTTACGCCCTGGAGCGCAATCCGGCCATCAGCAAGATGTTCCTGTCCATCGGTGATTGGCAAGCGAAGGTGTGGTCCGAGGAGTGCCGCGAGAGCGCCATCATCTGGACACGCTTGCACAAGATGAATCTCTACTGCGGCGCCTGGAGTCGCACGCGTTTCACGCTCTTCTTCGTGGGGCGCGAAGATGGTGTTCTGGACGGATGGGATTTGCTTCTGGACCAGCACGAGCCCGTGATCAGCGTGAAGCTGTGCGATGAACCACTCATCTCGCTCGTGGTGCACGAGAGTGGCGAAAAAGTTGCCGTTGGGACGGCTGATGGCACGATTTTCGCGGTGAAATTGTCACAATTCCTCGTGGAGAATGCCAAGAATGACAAGGCGCTCTTCACGGAGATGCTGGAGCGTGAGACGCGTCGACAGAAGGTGATTGAGGGTAAGATGAAGGAGATGAAGCTGAAGAACAAGACGGCACGTGAAGAGGAGGAGCGTGAGAAATCACCTAAGGAAGAATTGGCGATTGACGATGAGGAATTGAGTGTTGCTGAGGCATTTGCAGATGAAACTGTGCTTCAGGCGGAGAAGAACTTCTTCGGTGTTGTTAAGGAGGAGCGCGAGAAACGTGCACAGGAGGCTGAGAATCGCATTGGAGCCGGAAGAGTTAGACGACCACCGCCCAGAATTGATATTGATGCAGGAAGAGTGGAATCACTGGAAGTTGTGACGAAGAGTCTCTCTGAGAGGGATTTCGAAGGGCATGAAGAGTGTAAGTTTCCATTGAAGCTCTTCTCTGACTCATTTGCTAGACACTTTCTTGTGGAATGTAGTTAAAAATAATGTTCTTTAAAGTTTTTATCTGCTACACTAACTTCCCTCCATATAAATACCCACGATTTCCGCGCCACGCGAGTTAGTTTGCGCGATTAAGTCTAATCTTAAGCATGACTGGCAGTATTTTTGTGACCTTCCTAGTTCTGTGTGCAGTTTTCACCCAAAGCAGTGGTCAAAGTCTCTTAGAGCGACTATCGAGCATGGCTCTTAGTCAAGCGGAGACTGTGTACAATGTCGCAAAAGGAGCTGCAAAGCTGATCATCACGCCTGAAGAGATGGTTGAAATAACGAAGGAAATTCTCTATGATTTACCATCGAGAGTTTTGACTGAAGCAATCAACATTTTTTGCTCACAAGCCATTGCTGTGGATGGAAATCTAAATCGCTCTCAACTGATCATTCCCGATGCTAAAAAGCTGGGCTTAACATTCTTCAACGACAAGGGTTATGTGATTTATCTTTTGGATGACATTGAGCATCTCGTTGAGCATCCATCATTTGATAGGGATGGTGAAATTGTGATCTTATTCATGGGGTGGCTTTCCAATCGAAACGACAGCTTAAATTATGCTGCAGAAATTCTGTACAATGCTTATAAATGTCGAGGACACACAAACTTCCTGGTGAGTAAAGAGAAATTATGTTTAGACGTGAATTGTTAATAATATGATCTCATTTGTCCTTTAGTTCCTCGACACTGATCAGTTCATCGACAGTCTGTACACTTGGTCTTCTCTGAACACAGAGGATTTGGGTCGTCTTCTGGTGCCTGCCATTGTTGCTCTCACAAAACACATTGACATTGGCAAATTTCACATCTTAGGCCACAGTTTAGGCTCTCACATTGCCAGTTCGCTGGGCAGACACTTCCAGGAGATCACGCAAACATCCCTGCCACGGATTACGGGTCTGGATCCGGCGCATGTGTGCTTCAATCAAGGTCAAGCACTGACAACCCTGGGAAGTGGCGATGCGACATTTGTGGACATCATTCACACCAGTTCTGGGCGATATGGCCAGGAAGCGGTCATAGGCGATGTGGATTTCTATCCCAATGGCAAGGATGGCAACATGCCAGGCTGCTTCTCTCTCGCATGTTCGCATGCAATGTCCTGGAAGTACTTTGCAGAGAGTATCTTGCCGGGCAATGAGAGAGGCTTCCTTGCCACACGATGCAATTCCTTATCGGCCTACACACAAGGCCTGTGCATTCGTGAGCCCATTCCAATGGGCTTTGCCACACCCTTAACGGCAAAGGGAACATACTTTCTTGAGACAAACGCCGCAGCGCCTTTTGGGAAGAATTCACAGATACGGAATAAATGTGTAGATGAGCTTTAGTTGAAGTTTTCCTTACCAAGAAACAATTTTACTCATCCCTTAAATAATCCTTTTCCACCTATAGTTGCTCAAGCATCTCTTTATCTTTTCAGCAAATATCTCCAGCGTCATGCAGAACTCTGTCGCCACTTTTAGGAGTGATGGAATAGCAGGAATAACACAATCCGGAGATTCCAAGACAGAAGACGGAAACAGTAAATCCGCAACTCTGTCCGGGACCATACCTTCCCTCTGAAGAGTGCAAGACTTCACTTTAGTAATACTTTAATTGACCTTTCGGACTGTCCTTCAAATTACAATTAGTATCTCTGTACTGAATTCGGGACTAAAACATTTGTGTTTGACGAAGAGGAATATCTTTGCGTGATGTGTTAATGGTGTGAAAAAGATGCTTTTTCTTTGACACTGTGGATCAGACTTCTCTCACTCATCAAAGCCACTGAAGCGCCAATTGCGCTCAATCTTCGCTCCCACGCCGGTCACTTGCTCCACGAAGATGTTGGTGTAGCGACTGAGCAGCTCCTCGAGGCCCTTGGGACGCAAATGGGGCGCCACGCGGTGCACGTAGGACCAGATGTAGTCCGTGCTGGCGCCAAATGGATGCACCACGAGAAATGTGGACACAAGACCAATGATTCGCGCCTCTTCCGGATCAATCTTGATCATCTTTGGATACTCATTTATCGTCTCTGCCTTTGCTGACTTCACTTCCACCTCATCGAAATTCTCCGTGTCCTCAGACTCTGTTGAGGAGCATTTGGTTGCACTTGTGGACGATTTGGTGGCAATTTTGGTCTTCAGCAGCAATTCTTTCACATTTGCCGCCTTCAGTTTTGCCTCCAAATCGACAATTTTGCTGTCTTTCTCCTTCTCACGCGACTTATTCTCAAGCAATTGCGTCTGCATGTTCCTGATGGTCTCTTGCAACACCTTTATTTGCTGATCTTTGATGTCTGTGTCAGATTTCAGGTCTGACTTCACGAGATTCACCTCATTTTTGTACACTTCCAATTGACACCTCAAGCTATCGTTCTCCTCCTACAACAAACAAGTGACGGTAAGTTGAGATTATGATTTGAGTTGAAGAAGAGCGGCAAACCTTGAGACTATCATTGTCCAGTTTGGCCTTCTTAGATGCACTCTTCAGAGACGATTCCCTCTCTTCGTCGGACATTTCCATCTCGTCCTCATCGTGAAGATCCTCAAGAGGCGTTGTTGCAATTTCCTGTTGCACAAAAATGAAAAGAACACGTCAATATTGATGAAAAACTGAAAGTTGGATCTGAAGATTTATTATCTCTGTGGAGGAAAGTATTTTTCTTTTGTACAATTCAAATGAAAATTGTGAAAAAGGATAACTTTTACTGAATACTTGTTGGTTATATTTTTTTTTTTGGACGAAAGTGTGTCTTTCATCGCAATTTACACTGTTTAATATCTAACAATTACTACTTATTAAGAAAATCTACAAGGAAATATCACAACAAACTCACACACATACGTATAAAAAAAAAACTCGTGGACAAAAGAGAAACATGCAAAAGTATTTTTTTTTCTTGAGACCTCAGAAAAATCCTTAAAGATTTTCTTGTGTTCTCATTTTTTGAGAATGGAAGCGAGAGAAAATAAATAGAAAATTCATTACCAATTGTGGATTTTTGGGTTTAAATTTGCTTGATTGTTTTTTTTTGTAAATTACTTTTCTCATCCTGGGTAAACAAAACTATATTTCTGAGAATTTACGGTCATTGCTAAATACCATTTTTCATCCTTGGCCCTGTTTTCCGTCCGTTCTTTTCCTTTGCTGAACTTTCTTTCACTTACCTTCTGTCTTAATCTTTGCATATTTCTTAGATTCATTCTAATTACTTTTTTTTTGAAATATTTTTCTCTTTTGCAAATTTGCCTTTGAATGTCTCAAATGATTCTGGTTTTACTTCAGTTACGCTTTTCATGCAGATAATTTGAAAATCTTCACACATTTTTGAGGTTTTGGGATTTCTTTTAAAAGTAAAAATATTAATTTTGAATTGATATTTTTGTTTATTTTCTCATGTAAAATATTTGAAATTTCTTTATGTTTCTTGAAAACATTTTTCAACTCATTCTTACAAGAATATAGAGAGAGAAAAAAAGATACAAGATATAATATTTAATGTATGAGAAAACAAACAAAGATTATAATTAACTATAAAAGTGGATTTTAGGATAGTTAAGAGGATAAATCTGTGTGCAAAACTGGCCTATAAAAGCGAAAACTGCCTTTCGAAAGATTGTCTGACGAGAAGTTCTAACAAAATATCACGAAAGACTTTGGAAAAAATAAAGAGAAAAACACATAGAGTACGTACCAGAGCCTGCCTCTTCCACAGATCGATGTTCTTTCTCTGTGCTTTGGTGAAATGGTCCCAAACCTTCTTGTGACTAGCAGCATTGAACACTTTTTTAATCTGAGTGACTGATGGAGATGATAGCGAGTACAATATACAATTATAATTGAGAGGAGTTAAATTTATAAAATAAAAAGTCACAAAGAAAGAAAGAATAAGAGACGGAAAATTAACGAGTCTTCTCTTCTCACTTTGGAATATTGTACACCAAGGAAAAGTGAAAGTGGGGGGAAAATTTCACATCTGAAGAGGATCCTCAAGACATTTAAAACTTAAACACGAATCCTCTTATCTTCACGGCTAAAATCCCAATAGAAGAAAAATTAAAGAAACTGAAGAGCTACGCGACTCTTCTTCTGCTTAAGACACCAAAGCAAAGGTAAGAAAAAAAACAGTAATTTGAAAAAATAATTCACACAGAACAATTAAAGAATCACTACCAGAAATGAAGTTTTTTTTCGTGTGTTGAGAACGAAAATAAAAAATTATATACTTGAAAACCTTGGAAATAATCCACCACTCATTTTTTTTTTGGCAACCTGATTTCTAGAAATAAGAAATTACGGTAAAAATGTCCCTGAAAAGTAAAGGTATTGGAAAAATAAATGAAATATTACCCTGCTATGCTTCACAAACTCCCGCTCAGCATTTTAGATTGCTTCATCTTCATTCTGTCTTAAGTTCAAATTTGTAACTTTACATACCTTTTTTTCAATCAATATTTTTCAATCTTTTTTTTTCACATTTGCAAATGTGGGAATTTTGCAAAGAAATACAATTGTCATGCAGTGTTGAACAGTGAAATAAAGCTCATGTTTTCACTCTTTTTACACTGAGTTTGCTTAAGTGGATATTTATCAAAAAGACATGATGGTTTTATTCCACTGCACAACACTGTATTTTCCTTCGACATCATTTTGTTTGTAACTCCTTTTTACATTGTGTAAAAAGGAGCTTTGAACTTGACACCCAAACATTGATCAATTCCAAAACTCTTCTTCACGAGATGCTCTTCTGTTCTAGATTCCTCAGATCATTTTCCTGTCCGATCTTTGATTTTTTTTTCTCATATTATACAATACCTTCATGAATTGGTCGGGAAAGTTAGGAGAAATTTGCCAACCACAATACTTGCCAGAAAAGGACTCAATTTCTCCTAAGTTCGTTCTATGGAATATTACAAGACAGATTTTCTGACTAAACTTCCACCACCAAGACAGAAATGTAAAAACTAAAGGTCTCCTCAAGGCACCGCCAAGTTACCGGATCAACATAAAGGTGTGAATTTGGACCTCTTCTCACCGCCCCGGGGACAGAGAAACACCACGGCGGGAGGGGATTGAGTGCCTTAGAATCTGAGCACAGAGAAAGCAATCGCGACTACTTACATTGCACCATCATGCTCTGCGTCTGCTTCCTGTACAGCTCGCGCGCCTTCTGCAGCTCCTCCTCGTACGCCAGCTTCTCGCCACTGATGCGCCTCACGTGCGCATTCGTGCTCTGGATCATCGAGTAGAACGTGTTGGAGTTGCGCTTGTTGCAATCGCCGCGCTCCAGCCACGCGATCAGCGTCTGCACGGCTTTAGCGAAGGACTCATCCTGCTTCAGTCGCTCCGCAATCGCCGCCGCCTCGTGCTCCGTGTAGTGAACAATCGGCGGCGGCGACAGAGGTCTCAGGCGATCGCGCTCAAGACGCTCCCGGTGACGCTGCTCGCGCTGCAGTTGACGCTGCCGACACTCCCACTCATACTGATCGTCTCTGGCCTGCAATAGCACACCAGAAGCTCTCAAGTTCAGTCTTCCGGAGGATCAGAGCGCCGGCTTTACCTGTGCATAGTCCACGTGGAGGCGTCCGGAATGCGCGAGGTCCGTTTGTCCAGTGATGCGCAGCCTGTAGCCGGACAGATAGATGGCCGAGTCCACGGAAGCCTCAAAGGCGAAGCGGATGTGGCAGAAGTTCTTCTTGGACAGCCTCAAAGTCGTGATTTCTCCACATCTCTCAAACACTTCCCTGATGATCTCTTCGCCGATGTTCTCAGGCAGTCCGCCCACGAACACTGTCCGGCATCCTGGCGGCCTCTCGCGAGTCGTCGGCGCGGGTGTGTTGGGATTTGGCGGGAAGAGCGTGCAGGACTTGCACGTGATGACTTCCTTCGCTGATGTGGAAACACCGGCTCCCGCTGAGCTGCTCTTCCCGTCCGCGAGCAGCGGATGCGGCGCTCCGACGATGGGGAACTGCTGCAGACCCAGCATAGAGGGATCAATGACGTTCATCATGCCCGGCATCATCATGAATCCCTGCGGCATGCCCATCATTCCGTTGAACACCATCTCGCTCTGTGGCAGCGACATGGGGCCCAAGTTCTTCTCCTCCAGCCCATTGCTGCTCCCCTCGCTGCTCCTGCGCTCCGCGATATCGGCCTTGTCCTTCTGCCCGGCGCGGCACTCCGGCTCGTTCGTCTCCAGATCCATCGGAGCCGCTCCGGGCGCCTGTCCCTGGTTTTTCTTGAAGTCCAGCGCGGAGTCACTCACCGCCGACAGGTTGGCCATGACCGTGTGCGATGGCCCCGCCATTGGAGGGATGCCAGCAGCCAGGGAAGTCATGAAATTGGCCCCATTCGGCAGATTCCCCATCAGAGGCACTGCATTGACGTGCGGAACATAAACATGGCTTTTTCTCGCAACTCCCCGGAAAATCCACCCAATATACTCACTCATCGCGTGAAGGGGATTATTCCCAAGGGGGTTAAACCCGAAAGACATCCCCGAGATTTCTTTTTATCCACAAATTATCAATTTTTCTCACAATATTTGCACTATTGATTAGACAAGAAAATTTTCACTACAATCGTGAAGTTGATCACGAATCCCCTGTAGCGAAAGCTTTCCCTGACAATATTAAAGAGTAAGAAGTGTCCATTGACCAAAGAAGATTTTTCCGATACATTTTCTCACTTTTTCTATATCGTTGTTTTATTTGTTCATTAAGGTATGAGCTGTGAAAATTTTATTTTAATGCCAAAATTTTCAGTAAGAAATTGTGTATTTTATTACAATTTATCAAGTTAGGTACACTTCTCCTACTTAACCTATCATCCATCAAGATTAATTGGAAGCAGTACGCATGCATTGGCGTATTGTGGAGGGCATGTGTAACCGTTGGGACAGACGAGGCCATCGGTTACGCAGCAAAGCCATTCCAGATATGGATCAATCTTCGTGGCTCCTTGGTAGTATCTCGCGCAGGAATCCGATCTGCCGAAGGAAACTATAGCCACTTGCACTCCAAACAGTGTGACCCCTGATCCAGAGTCTCCGTTGCAGATATAAACAGAAGGGGTGATATGAGTGGCCGGCCCAAGACAATAGGCGCTTGGCGGGACTACTCCGCCAAATTGTGATTGGCAAATTGATATGTCTACAATTTCCATGTAACCCTGTTGAAGTATTGGTGATAAATCACTTGTGTCTGATGTTTTCCCGAAGCCAGTCACACTGAGACTTTTTCCGTAAAAGTAGCTATCCGGGAAATGAGTAGTTGGCAGAGGTACAGGACGTACTGTGGCAGAAATTGTAACTGGCGTAGTGAGTTTGATTACCCCGATGTCATGTTCAATTGTTAACTTATTATAGAGTGGATGAGGACAGATATTTGTGAATAGAACTTCTTGAGAATTCCCACTATCAAGTCTATCACTGCCAAATTTAACATTTATCACAACAAAAAGGAAGAATTTAACTCTCAGGCAGTGAGCCGCAGTTAGAACATGTCTGTCAGTTATTAGTGAACCACCGCAGAAGGCGTCAGTGATAACGTCAATTAGAGAATCTCTTGCAGTATCTAGTTCAAGAGCGACTTTCAGAAAGAGTTGAACGTGATAGGGATGTTCTGCAATTGTAGCATCATCGCCACCAATAATTCTGGATTGAGGCCCACTTGCAGCCTGTAACACATGTATATATATTTTCAAAGTCCCTGCTCTCTAATGCTTCTCAAGAAGATCTTACCTTACTTCCAGGCACTTGAAAAAGTGCAAGACTGATAATTAGCACAGAGAGTAGTTTCATTTTCACTGATTGAGCAATGACTGGTGGTTCTGTATTATTCCTTACCTTTTTATACTCAAATTTAGCCTAATTTCTTAAGGCAGAATAAAGTATTATCATTTTAATAACTCATTGTTATAAGTAGAGAAGGTAGAGAATAAAGCGTGCTTTTTTAGGCTCAATTATTGTATATTTTGGAAAATTCTTGTGTTGCAATGTAACACAAGGACTTCTTATCCATCTGACCTAGTCTAGTATAAAAGTCATAACTTGACGCATCAATTATTTAAAACAATATAGTTTCTGAATTTCTAGGTCATTTATACTAAATGCTGACAAAGATAAGACATTCTTGTGGAAGTTCGCTGAATGAATTTTATTGGCTTCAGCCTGTGTTTCATCTACACGACGCTTGGATTGTCTTTGAAATTACAAAGAAACAATCGTTTGAACACAGAGTTGATTTCTTAAATCATCATAATTTCCTGTTCCACTGATGTGAATATCATTTATGGCTTAGTAAAAAAGAAAGTCGACGAGTATTATTTTATTGATCGTGAAAAAATGATGAAGGATTTCACCCTCTTTACAAAATGCATGTCAAATTACCGCCTTTTTTGGTCACAAATTCACAATGCGCGCTTATTGAAAGTTCTCACTTTGGGTGAGAAATAAAACCAATAAAGATAAGTTTTAATATGTGAAATTTCTTTTATTTCCCCCTAAATGGAATGCGCAACTCTTATTTTCATGTAGCGCAGCTGTAATTTTGGTCAAATCTCTCAAACAGCTGTTCACACGCGAAGGGTGGAAGAGAAGGAAAATTGTATTCCTTTTTGATGGGATTTTTCTTTGATTTTATTGGCACGTCTCGCTAGTTGATTCCCCTCGAGAAGCCCCAGTGTGAAAAACATCTTGTCCACTGTATCTTCCTTTTGCCCGCGAAGACCATCACGGGCAAAAGAGAGACGGAGAAAGAGGAAGAAAAAGAGTGAAAATGGGGCAATGCGGAGATGCCCAAGAGAGCACGAGAGTAAAATGCCTCAATTTCATCCTTTTTTCCCGGCTCTTGTGCAATTCCTTGGCTGGTTTCTTCTTATTTGGACAGCTGATGGTGAGCGTAAACAAAGATGGATTAAGCGAATCGATGCACAACTCCGCGATTTCGCCTCACTTTTTGCCATTTCGCTAATATGTAAAAGTGCATCATCGTAAAAATGCGCCATAAAATCTAATGATTGTGCAAATATCGTAAATTACCACCTGGACATGTCTAACGAATGGTGGACAAAATTTTGGCGAGTTTTCGTCTGTGCAATAAATTAAAATTGGAGATATCTTTCACTTGCATCGCAGGCCATTAACATCAGTTCGCCAGTGTCGATCTTAATACATCAGAAAGTTGATTTTATGACTTCTTTAGCACCACCAGTGGTGATGTAATTGGATTGAGACAGAAGAAAGGCAATCGCCAATCGATTTCCGGTTCCGCGCGCAAATCGCCGCGCGGAAAAGCGACCAAAGAGCTGAAGCTCTGCCTCATCTCCTCGCGCGCGCGGGAAAACCCTTTCGGGGGAGCATCAGCAGCTGCGCCAGACAGGCAGACACTTAAACAGCACTGCAATATCATGACGAAGATTAATGACCTCGAGCTTCCCTAGCGAAATCCTTTGCTTTGTCGTAAATTTCACTGTGCGAAAGATGAGGGGCGGGAGAAGAGAAAAAGTGCATTTCTGAGAGATGCAATTTTCTTTTTCATCCTCAGCACCATCAAATTTTTCCCAGGGTTCGTCGGGGTGGTGGCGACGAGGGGTTGGAATCTCATTTATCTCCGCTCTTGAAGGATGTTCTTGAGGTGGAAGTGGTGAAAAACATTAAAGCACGCGATGGAGAACAAATTGTCTGTTTCGAAATACTATGATGCTATTTATCTGTGTTATATGGATAAAGATAAGCCTGGATAAAGAATTTATTACAATCTCTATTTAGATTAAATGTATTTGATTGATTGACTTTAATTTAAAAACAATTCAATTATGTTGCAACTATTATTCTATTTTCTCGCAACATTTTAGAAGGAATTCGTTGTGTCACACTTTTAATCATTTTCTTGGCAGGAATTACAATTTCCCCAATTCATACAATTTTAATTGGTCAATACATGAACAGCATTTGAATTTATTTTCTTACAATAAACACAAAATACTATTGAAATCGTAACAGTAACAACAATTATTAGAGAAATTCTTACAGCAGTGTAAGTTCTATCATTGTTTGATAGTTTAGATTTGTTGATTTGAAGATTCTCTGTTGTATTTATTGGTACAAACACTTGATCTGTGTGAGAACACTTGTTCCAGCACGTGGTGTTGTCCAGATCATCCTTCTTTGGTTGGTCATTTTCCTCAAAGTAACTGGACAAAACGTTTACCCGTTTTGCAAAATTATCCAAGTACGAATCAGGAGATAGCCTACGATAGTAGTTAAATACAGAATCTCTAACGACGATCCAGGCGCCGATTTCATAAAAATCATCAGCTATTTGATGACAACCCCAAAGCATTAGAACGCTGTCAGAATTGTACTGAATATTGACATCAAACCAGTGATTTGGACATGGGTTGTTGATATATCGTATTTCGTATTTTGAAGGTTTGTAGTGTTTGAAGATTAAGTGTACATTGTTACACAATACTGGATAAGAATATATATCTTGAATCTGTGAATTGCACTTGATGCTAAAGACTAAGATAATGAAGTATTCCGCATGTTTCTTGCAACTTAGGTGAATGGCTGTGTAACCCAGGTCTTCACACGGATTGCTGTAGAGATTGAAAGTGTCATTATCTGCTGGAAGATGGTACAAAACTCTGTAGATTGTCAAAGATGTGTCTATATTCGCAGCTTCGCAAGGATTGTTTTCCTGAGACACTTCAGCTTCAGGACATTTTCCTTCGAACTGCAGCCCAAGAACACAAACCAATATAACGAGTATCAACCGAATTTCCACAGACATACTGGAGATTATAGTACCCAGAACACCTACAAGGCTTCTTATATATAACATAATAATATTTTAAATTATTTATTCGTTTACAGGTGTTATGAAAATTATAGAGTCAAAGTTTAGTTACGCTTTTGGTGTTACTATATCTTGTATTTCTTAATGATTCCAATAACGCAAAACCCAGAAGGGATCAAAAGCAAGCCCAAAAATCCTGCAGTTATGAAGATCATTTTCTCATTATCTTCATTAGACTGAGATTGATTTCCTGTCGGTGAAGATGAATCGCATTGATTGTGATAATCACAGTTGCGAATTTTGCATTCGCCACTTTCATACACGTTGCTCATGAAGTCCATTTCGAAAACATTTAGTTTTCCAGATATTTCCTTCAAGATCTCCCAATCTCTCAACATTTCACGGTAATTGGGATCCTTGGTGATTATCCAGGCTCCCAGTTGATGGCGATTCCCTATCAGATTTTCGCAAGTCCATAATCCAATATATTGCTTCCCTTCGCCAGCGAAGATGCGAAAGTCTTTCGAGTACGAAGGACACTTTTGTTCTAGGAAAATACTAGGCTTGATTTCCAGGGAATTATTAATCTGTTTCACCTCAAAAGGCAAACACTGAAAGTCAATGTTAAATTCAATGTCACGCCGACACTGAAAATATATTACGAGTGTGTCGCTTATTTTATTTTCTACGTATTTCGTTGGGCAGTAAATCTTGATATACATCTGTCCGAGATCTTGAAAAGGATTATAAAACAGGGTAAATGGTTCAGATTTGAGT